CCCCCCCCCAGAGACACTACCTTGCATTACAGATATTAGCAAGCATGCAAAAACTAAATAAGAATTTTTTCTACCGATCGATTTTTGCAGCAAATTTCGTACCACGCGTTATATATAAGTAAATTAGGCGAAAAATCATGTGAGTTCCACATTTTAGCCCCAAAGGTGCTGCGCTAACAAGCTTTTTAACATACGTATCATCCATTCGATTGTTATTGCGAGCGTGTTCTTTGTCCATTGGAAGATTCTTATTTTGATTTTCATCGGTTGTGATATCTGTTACTGATGTGTGAATGGTTGGCAATGGAATATTCGATTCAATTTGTGTAAGAAATGTAACAAGTGAACGTAGAGTTTTTTCATTATCATCGTATTGCTTTTTTAGTATTGATTTTGATGGAAGAAGAGACTTTTTTGAATTAACAGTTGGTCGTTTTGACCGTTGTTTTTTAGTTGACAATATTTCATTGTGTTGATTATTACTAAACCCATGATCACCGAATATAGTGCCTACAAGACGTTTTAATAATGGCTTCTGTTCTTCATTGATGCGCGAATAGCAAGGGCCTCGTTTGTTCGTAATACTACTTTTTATACCAGATACTTTCGTTTGTTTAGGCACTGTTAATAAATCTGTATGATTACATTCGTTATTGATTAGTTCAGTTTTTGTGGGGGGCAAATCCAATGAATTGGTTGTATGCTTTATTTTAGATTTCAAAATATTTTTATTTATTATTGTTGATGAACAGTCGATTGAATTCTGATCATGTTCATCGTTATTGAGGGATACATTTGAATTTGTTTTATTCGATAGATTATCACTAGATATCGATTGATTAGTATTAGAATAAATTCGAGGTAAACAGGAACGAAATACTGTCGTCATTATTTTATGTAATAAGAGGAAAAATAAGATTTTGTTTTTCAAATCAAATTTATCTTTTAAGATAAATTCAAACTTGTCTACAAAATTTTGAAAAAGGCGCTTTTAAAATGTTCATCTTTTTGATCTTATTTTAGATGACTGATATGAATCTCTATCCAGATTTGAATATGGATTTTCGATCCAATCATCGGCGACAATCTCCAGGTATAAATTTGAATTCACCTATAAATCCTCAACGACCTCGACTTCCATCACATATTGCTGATGAAATTTCACGTTCAACTACATCGGACAGTTCATTCATGAATACGACTCATGATAATTTAGCATCGCCATTACGACAAAAAATGTCATTACCATCGTTTCTTCAAAGTCCAGCACGTCTTCTAGAACAATTACCTGCGTCACCAGCTAGCCTTTTACTAAGTCCTCTAGTTAAACAAAGTGACAATGAACAATCACCATTTTTCTTAAACAATAAGGACGAAACAAATTTAATTGAACAAGTCGATCATTATTTCATTCGACGTCGACAATATTTACAACATAATATTGATGTTTCACTTAATATTAGTAGATGGGTACTTGAAAATCTCATTTTCTACTCAGTTGAAACACTTAGGTATGTATGAAAAATGCTATCGTGGATTAGTTCGATGAGTTCACTGCTTGATAATAGTTATTCATCAAAGCTGAAAATTTTAGCAAGTGAAATTCAATATCGCGTAGATTTGAAAGAAATATGATTCGCACTTAATTTATTGAATGAAACGATTAGAAGGACCTCTATGGGATTAACATACAATATTGTTGCAAATCATAGAGAGATTATTTAAATACAATAAGGACGAATTTCATATAGTGTATATCTTTCCGTGGCCATTGTTTTATTGATCGACCAGCGGTTTTCTGATTTCGATAGGCATTCAATTAAATGAGACAATCACGAAGATATTTTAATTTAATTTCGATAAATCAAAGTTGATAAAATAGTTGAAATATTAACTATGATTGCCATTCGGAGACACATGCACTTGACGTTTATATATTAATATTCTTCCTTTTATACCGTAATACTGGTTTTCAACTATTTTAAATATTAGATTTACACGATTTATTATTATTATCAACTATTTCATCATAGTTATTTTCAGTATATTTAAGATTTCGACAGAAGTTTCTTTGATTATATCCAAGTTGCACGGTTTATTTTGAGTAATATTATAAGATCTAAAAATACAACTCATTTTCTAGACGTCAAGCTCAACTGCAAAGTGAATCATCGTGTGCTTATTTAACGCCATTATCGGCTATTCGAATGATTTATACTATGAAATATCAACAAGGAAGTGGCGTATTATGGAAAGGTTGTTTCAGTTCTCTCATACTAACAGCAACTGAAACAATGTCAAATAATTTCATCGATGAAATAGCTCCATTAGATAATCCACTATTGAGAATAAAACATATACTTTTAAAAGCTATTAGTTCATTTCTACTTATTCCAGTGTATTCTGTTCATCTTCTTCGATCTATTCAGTCGGATTTAACAATTGTTAATCATTGGTCACCATTGACCATTTTCATTGAACCATTTCAACGTATACTCGGAATTAAAACTGGTTTTTATGCACGTGCACTACCATTATGGTATTTAATATCATTAAGTTTACCTTATTTTGTCGGACGGCATGCATTGCAATATTTTCTTGGTTGTCGTTTTTTAAAAGCTCGAGAAAAAACTCTTCTTAACAAGGATCAATCAATGAATATAAATAAAAATCAATTTGAAACAGTCGATGATATCGAATGTCAACTTATTGATACAATACCAAATCTAGTCGATCGATCATTTTTACGTATAGAAGCAAATATATTATCTGTTTTTCTATCCAATTTTCTACTCTATCCATATGAAACTGTACTGAATCGTTTATTTGTACAAGGAACACGAACAATTGTGGACGATCTCGATAAAGCAGGCGTTGGTTGTACTGCAATCAATACACGTTATTTAGGTTTATTCGATTGTTGTCGAACAATATTTGAAACTGAAGGAAGATGTGGACGTGGTTTTTTCAAAGGTATTGGCTTCTTAATACTGAAATTTGGTTTAATTTATGCCAGTGCGCAATGTTTAAAACTTCTTATTGAACGACTAGCAATTATATATACACAAAACACAAGTGAATTAAGTAAATTCCATCATTATGTTATATCAAAACAACAACAAGAACCACAAGACTTTGAAAGCGAAACAAGTTAAAGAAGCCACAGAAAGTGACTTGAACAATGTTTATTTAAAAAAGAAAACAGTTCTCTCCTTTCGTTCATTGTTGTAAATTAGATTGTTGAAGAAGAAAATGTGTCATTTTTAATACTCGTCTTTGTGTGTGTGTGTGTGTGTGTGTGTGTGTGTGTCTATACTTATGCAGAGTTTTATATGAAAATATATATTGGAGCAAATGAAAGAATAAACCGATCACAATATTCATTCATGTATGATGCGATAGAGCTCGCCAAACGTGTCACGAATGAATAGTTTTCAATTCGACTGGTCACTGACTGATGAATAAAAAAACGTTTAGTCTGAAAGCATACACTTCTTGACACTTCTATAAATCTAATTGTTTTGTTTTTAGGAAAAAGACAGAACCAAATATTATGACTAAGAAAAATCAGTAAATCAAAAGTTAAAACCTTCCCTTGTTTCCTTTGGTGGCTGAGAAAACTCAGCGTTTATTTCTTTGAAGAGCGAAATCTAATAAAACAATAAAAAAAAATTGTGCAGATTTAACAGTTATTGTTTTTGCTTGTGCTTGTGGTACTAATTGAAAGTCTCATCAAAACTCAGAATCATGAACCTCTTGGTAACCATGAGAAAACCCTTATCTAGATCCAAAAGACTTCTTCGCCACGAACACATTTTAAATACCCGGAAATTATCGTTCTGAAAAAATTCTGAGGCACACCATATTACTTATAAGAATGCCTAGAAAATCAAATCAAATTGTCACACCCACAAACCACTTTTTGAAGTCTAGAAAAGCGAACATTGTGATATGTTGAATCGTTATCACAGAACATATAGGACTAGTATAATGTGGTTGACAATTATCTATCTCTATTAAAGCTACCATAAAAAAAACATTTTTATCGTCCGAAATCAAAATTTTCTTGAAATAAGACAATTATCAAAAGATAGATGTATAAGAGATTTAATTCGAATATACGTAATTTGGACGAGTTTTTCTATGCTACGCATTCATAATTGACGCCAAAACGAGGTAGATTATATTTGACATTCTATAATGTCCCTATTCAATAGCTGACTCTCTAGATGAGATTACTTTTAACGCATATACTTATTTTTATAAATAATACAAGATCTGTTTAATCAGGCATCTGCTCATGCTCATTAACTTATTAATAAAAGCGATGATGAAAAAATATATTTTCACTTACATGAGGATATATTAAAAACTTCCTATTGAAAGCCACTTATTCTGATTGGAAAAGTCAATTTTATGCTTGACTAGTACATCGCATACTTTAATAATGTATAGTCGCTGAAGATAAATATTTTAGGGACGCACCAAAGATAGTAGTATATTTCAGTGAGGAAAATTTTATAATATAGCATGGGTTGTGTTTTATGCTTTGATAGATCTGTTCAATTATTAAACTCTTAACATTTGTATTGTTGCATTCAATTGTCTTCATATTTGAATAATATATTTCACGATGAATCTATCGTATCAAAATACAGCACACAGCGAATGAATGTTTGAGCATATGTCCTTTGCTTCAAACAATTGTGTCTTTTGGTGATAGTGGTCGTTCTGTACTACATAGGAAACTGTGGAATGAAAATAGTGGATTAACTTCTACTCATCATCATCATCCCAAACGCTACTTATTGAAAGATCATAGTCATAGATTTTAAATAATTTTGTTTTAAATCCACTATCGTCATATTACAAGCATCATTGATGCAACTATTTCTAAAAACTAATAGCTACTCCAGTATTGATGACTTCGGTCGCTAGAAAATACTCCGATTTTTCCGCAATTCAGCTCCAATTTCTGTAGGAGATTCACGAAATTGGAGCGAACTGTTTTGAATGAGATATCCCTTGAATCCACGGACAACTTTCTGCTCAGCCAGGCAACTTTTATTTTCTTAAAAGGTTGCATTAGTTTAAAGTGTAGGCCTTTCATAATGGGGAAAAGGTCTGGAAAAAACCTTTTTCATTTTCAAAGCGTATATTTCTTAACATCATTGTCTTGAAGATCACTTTTGAAAAAAAAACTTCTTTTTTTGAAAGTGTCAATAGTGTAAGTTTTCTCATATGGAAAATGCTTTTTAAACGCTTTAATTTCAGTGAGCGTTGATTACTACTGCGTTCGAATTTCATCAGCAGCTATTTTTTCCTGGCAAAACTCATTCTTTGGCGTCTCCTTGAAATTAATTATTGTGCTTGTTCTACGATAGTATTCTATGTGTGAAATTCAGATTGTACTTGTTTCATTTTACACTTTGCATACTAATTAAAATTGTTCAAATGTTTCATTGAGATTTTATAGATAATTAAATAAAAATAAATAGACTAGGTTCACAATTGAGTGTATGTGATTAAAATAAAAGATATTGCATCAATCGCACGAAAAATCTTTAGTGAATATTGATTTATTAGGTGTCGTAGCAAAAACAACCGAATAAATCTGATTATTGTTAGATGACGAGCACGTCTCGTCTTTTATAGGACTACAGAAATTATTATGACATTTTTGGTTACGATAATTCTAATTTATGGGTCGATATCTAAAGTGAAAACATTTCGTGATCTCTACTCGCGGGATTGACAAGATATATAACGATGCCTTTGATCAATATTTAATCACTTTTTCTCGTTCATCACTTAAGTGAATATAGTCATCTCGATCAGGTCATTGTTCGTCTATTGTTTCAAAGACATTTCTTTATTCACAGTCACAATGTCATCATAAGCAAAACAGACCAGTATTCGAGGTAAGTACTTCGACAACACAGAATCCATCTTTTATAATTGAAATTCGATACATGTTTAAGTATATAAATATATACAACAAATTGCGCTATTCATTATGAAAATCAGTATCTCTCAGAAGAATAAATGTTACCATTCTATATTAAATTCAGAGCTCGAAATATTCATGTATAAGATGATTCGGCTGTTTTTTCGAGAAGTATGTTGCAGCATATTTTGTTTTTAATTGAAAACTAATAGCACTTTTTTGAAAAACTTGTTCATAGATAAACTATTCTATTTTTTCTATTAATTTCTTCTTATAGTTGCATATTTTCTAAAATAATTGATTCCATACTATTCTCAAATCGGCCACTAATAATCAGCCGAAGTCTGATGCCTTTTCATGATTGAAACCATTGAGTTCTTTTAATTCAAAAAATACACGATCGCATTAACAATGCAAGATTTATACTGTAATAATTTAATTTTAGTAAGAAAAAAGTAGAGTCCATCGACACTTCTAGAACTCCATTGTGTTCTTAATGTAAGATCCAATGTATAGAAAATTAGTGAACATTTTTGTCATGTTTTCATTTATAGCTCCGCTTATTATTTCTGCTATTCAAAAGTCACGTAAACCATGTTTCTATTAAATTATGAAAATATACTAAGAGGTTGGATGCATTAAACTGAGGTCATAGAAGCAAACGAAGATGATGATAGTCTTTACGTTGATTGAGAGTTTGAAGCCCAGAAATTTGTATTTCGCTAATTGGAATCAAAAAACATGCAAATGTTTTATGTCGTTTTTCATCCTGTCGGCTAATTATAATTACTCGATCATCATATCTCAATGAGCGAGCTAAAGCCGACTATCTTTTACTAATGATGTTTTCGACCGAATTTGAGCTCGATTGAAGATAAATCTACTTAGAGAAAACAACAGAATCTTCAATACTGAAATTTGCCCTTCTACTACAAACTAAAATTAGAGCATCAAAGCTTATACGAATTGCTAGACTATGCATCTTTACGCACGAGTGAGTATGCAATCTAATCAAATAGCGTCAATAACAGAATCAGAATAGAAAATTCTAAAAGGTTTAATATGCAAAAGTGTGTTGTTCCATATTTTATCGAATACAATCTAAATAATGCACGTTTTGAATAAGTGCTGTTTACGGTAGGTAGAATCACAACGTCGGATGATAGTTATGAATAAAACAATGCTAAATTAATTGTACCGAACAAATGTTCAATGAAAAAAAAACATTTTCCGAATCTATTTCAAGGAGATAGAGTAAAATATAAGCATCAAATCAAGAGAATCGACATTGACATAAAAAAAAAAGAGAAACAACACATTCACTCTTTTATTTAAACAATCTTTAGAATTCGTTAGTCATCAAATCCCACGCATTTATTTTCCGATGAATTTTATATTACGTCTTACGAGTTATCATTGAGCAAATAAGAAAATCAATATTCCAAAAAACGAAATCCATAAAAATTATCGTTCATCAATTTACATATATATAGCATCGCATAAGAAGAATGCTGAAATTCTCTTTCGATATAAAGCAATCAGTAGATCGCATCTATCGTTGGAAACTTGTTGACGTAGCCCGCCGACAATTAAGTAATATTTAGTTTTATTTCGTCATTCGATTTTGTTATTAAATTTATTCTAACGATATTTGCTTAAAACAATTATCGTATGAATAAAAATCCGAATTATAAAATAGTAACAGTCATTGCAAAGGACAGATGATGTTTCAAACTTCGGTTGATGACACTCTAACATCTAAATGGCAATATGAAATCAACTAATATTACATTTATTTTTCTTCTAAATCATCCATTAACGTTGACAATAAATCAAATAAATATTCAAATGAGATATCGCATTGCTGCTCTCTTTTTTTCTTGGTCATCAATATTCCATAAATGAAAAATTAGAATACTCAATTTATAGAGGAAAGATTTTTGTTATTTTTTTTTTCAAATCTTAACATAAAAGTAGTTAATTGATTGACATTGATAAGAACATGTTCAATTACGAACAAATAAGTAAATATTTTTTCAAAAATAAAACAGCAAATTTCTTTTTACCGAAATATGCGCACCAATAGACGTATTAAATAACAATGTAGATCTCTAAAACAAATTGTCTGATCCGATTACAAATAGGAAAAAAATAGATTCTTCCTGAGAAAATTCTTCACATTCAGCCTGAATTTCTTAGTAGAAATTATACAACAAAAAATAAAGAAGTGAGCATCCTACGTTCAATCTTTTTTTTCCTCGACCGTGTTTTATAGAGAAAAAAAAAGTCATAATTATATTGACTTAGTTTTGTAATCATAACTTCGTCTGATATCTTTTTTTTCTTAAAATAAAATGTGCTGCATGTTTGACATCATTATTATTATTACTATTATTATTATCATCTTTTTTTCTCTCTTCCTTTCCTTTTCTTGATCACTATTATTCTTTTCTTATGTTCACCATAAAATTAAAATAATCGACGTTCTATGAAAGCAAAACAAAAAAATGATGATTCAATTCAATAAAATGTGACCAGCGAGAATCAAAAATATTTGCCAACTGAACTATTCGTTATAGAAATCGAGAAAACGAAACAAACGATATAAAAATATTTTGGTTGTAGGGTTTTTTTATTTGTCTATATTCTTATTCGTTGAAGCGAAAAATTATATTTTCAGTATATCTGTTTCGGCAAGTTTTTCTTGATTAAATCTGATGGTAACACACACGGGTGCTTTCTGGATACAATTGTGTTTCGATCAAAAAGGATAAAAGCATATGAATGTGAAAAAAAGTTTAATCTCGCACGACTAAGCATAATAGATAAAAAATAGATGGATATAGACAAACTCATCAACCATAATGAATTGCATGAATTATTTTAATTATTTTATAATTCTATACAAAACAGCAGCATATATGAAGTTGCATTTTTTTTCTTCTTTTTTTCTCTACACCGAGAAAATAATTTTTAGGATGTTAGTCTTTATGGAATAGCTCATTTGGGCGTGGAACGTCTCTGTACAATCATCATTATCATTATCAGATGGCTTCGAACACTATAATTAGTGAGGATTTTCCGTTTCCTGTAGTCACTATTTCCTCATCTGGAAATTAACTATGTCAATGAATGATAAGAAAGACATTTGTCTAAGTATTGTATCTGGGTCTTGACTTTTCATCATGCAATCCAACAGAGTGATAGGTAAGACTTAGAGATGTTTTTACTCTAATTGATGATCAGACATTGAATGAACAAACTTTCCTGCTGCTATTCCAATTAGCATACTTATATCTGACATGGCATACGATCAGTTTTACCAAAAAAAAACTCAAAGAAAAAAGGCTCATTTTTCTCGTCTCATTTCTCTTTTTATATTTCTCATAGTAAGAAAACCATTCAAATATGAATATACAGACAGTTTTATATTGATAATCAACAATGATTTTCTCGACTTTTTGGCAATTTATATTCGAGTGATTTTTTTTCTTTTCCTTACTACCAAGTGTGTATCCGTTCGGAGTTTTGAATTGTTATTCTTGCCCGCCATTATAAATCGTCAATGGCGGAAATCTTGCACATTCAATTAAAAACTCTACTTCATGAATCAAAGCAAGAAAAGAAAAGGAGAAAGAGTGGCAGTCGCACATTTGTATATATATATATATATTTATAGAAATCATCAATTAACCATTTGCACCTATGTTTGCCGTCGTCATTGTCGTCGAACAAAGACAAACTCTCGGCCAGTCGCCCTTCTCTTGTCGAACTGAAGTCGCATCTCAACAGTAGTTTTTCATCATTTTCTTTTTTCCCCTCTTTGATACTCAGTATGCTGTTTTGCAAATGACCCCTTCTTACAAAGATAGAGACACAAAAGAGAGAGAGAGAGAGAGAAACCACATACAAGAAGAGTGTAATAACACGGTTTGAATTTGATGAGCATGCTGATCCTTGGTGCAGAGTAAAAGAGCGTGCTACAAGCTATTATCGATCAAGAGTTTCTGTAGCTGCGTGGGCCCGGAAGCTGGATGAGCATCACTATTATCCGCATGTTCTGTGTTTATTTGTTGTCACGCCCATGAACATTATAAACTACACTAAAACTAGTATTTAAAGAGAAAATTATTGTAGACTTTCGTCATTTCAAAACAAACTAGTTTGTGATTATTCTTATTTGCTGTTTTTCTTAGACTATGCCTCGAGGGCCTTGTTCAGTTGAATATTAGTAGTATTAGCTCATTAGTCTATCCTAAATTGTTGGTACTCTTAGAAAAGTTGTTGTCATTTTCAATCAAGGACATTACTAATAGAGATGATTGTTGTTTTTTCTCTAAAGAAATTGAGCAAATACCGAGAAGAAAGAGCGAGGAAGCGTACCAGAGAGGGAGAGAGAGGTTGTATTGAAACTCGATTTGTTCGAATAACCGAGATCAAGAAATCAAATCGATCTAACATAGTTTGTGTGTGTGTGTGTATGTGTATAGCTATGGATCGTCAAATCATTCAAGCAAATTTAGATTTGTTCTCTCTATCTCGTGCATTTCTCAGCCGGGCAGAGAGAGAGAGAGAGAGAGAGAGAGAGCAAGCGAATAATTTCATTTCCCATTTCATGATCTACACGGAGTCTCGCATCTTATTTTTCTCTCTGCGTCATCTTTTTTCTTATAGTTTTCTTCTCTCGTTTTTCTTTTTCATTGCTCGATGCACCAAAGCGATTAATGTCATCATCGCACGATCAACCATTTCTAATCAGGATTTAAGCAAATGACGAAAATCTCTCTCTCTCTCTTTCTTGTTTAGGTCTTCTTTTTCTTTTTGGTATTCTATTCGTCGTATTCAGTTGAGATTTACTATGAATACGAGATCAAATCTAGAAATATAATTCGGCTCTATGTGTCACTTATTTACGAACGTGTTCATGCATGTAATGGTCTGAGCTAGATGAAAACGGAGATAGAAGGAAACACTCGTCGCCACCGTACGCTAACCGAATCGATGCAGTAGCAGAATAGGAACATCGTTCGCTGAACTATGGCAATTGTACCATTATCATCGTTGTCGTTTCGTGCTCGTGTCGGCATTCGCATCGTATAATAGGATTAGGTGATCAGACTGCCGAGATGTATATATATATATATATATATACGCATGTAGAAGCGAGTTTCAGCCCGAAGCGTATCCAATATAAGACGAAGAAAAAAACAGAGATGATGATGAAACTCTGACAATTAGATAGCACGATAGATTATCTTGAATTTACTTATTTTATCTTCTATTTTTATATATTTCTAATGATTTCAGTAGCTTGTGAATGCTCATCACATTTTGAAAACATCCAATGACTACTTGACCTATTTTCTTTCCTAAATGTTTCTATTAGACGTTATTTTTAACTATAGATAAACGTAACTTTATAAACTGTCATTATACTTCTATATTCATAGATTTTATGATGAAAATAATTGTTACGACATTTTAAATCAAAATAACATATATAGAATGGATGCTATATTAAAAATAGTTCAGCAACGAATAGTTTTTGCATGGGAAGCGTTACAAGATATTATCAGTGTTCCAAAAAGGCAACGACGACTTATTATGGTCATCGTATGTGTTGCTTTATTACTTGACAATATGCTCTACATGGTCATTGTAAGTATTTGCGATTTTCTCTGACGATAAAGAAAAAAACACAACTGTATTGTAATTTTTCATAGGTACCGATTATTCCAGATTATTTACAGAGTATAGGAGCATGGACATCGAGTAAAAGTAATATATCGAAATCCGTAGCAATAAATGACAAATCATCAAAAGTAATTAATAATGATGATGATGACAATTCTGAAGATGTTGCTATTGGAACATTATTTGGTTCGAAAGCAATGATTCAACTATTAATCAATCCATTTAGTGGTGCACTAATTGATCGGATCGGTTATGACATCCCGATGTGTATAGGACTTTGTGTCATTTTTTTATCAACAACAACCTTTGCATTTGGTCGTTCATATGGTGTCTTATTTTTAGCAAGAAGTTTACAAGGTGTTGGTTCGGCTTTTGCTGATACATCTGGTCTAGGTAGATTTTGAAAGATAGTAGAAAAGAGAATGAAGAGAAAATGTTGGACACTGGTTTCATTTTGTTTTAGCTATGATTGCTGATCGATATACAGATGAAGCTGGTCGTACTCGACAATTAGGTATTGCCTTAGCATTTATTTCATTTGGATCTCTTGTTGCTCCACCATTTGGAGGTTTGCATTCATATCGAATATGATTCTCTATAATAAAAAAAATTGATCTCTTCATTTTCAGGCATTCTATATGAATTTTTCGGTAAACGTGTACCGTTTCTGACATTAGCCTTTATTGCTCTATTTGATGCGGTTCTATTGTTTATTGTAATGCGTCCGAGTCGACTTCGGCAGGCATTCGATTTTTCGAATCATGTAGACGTAGATAAGCCCAAAGGAACACCTATATGGCGTTTGTTGATGGATCCATATATTGCTGTGTGTGCTGGAGCTTTAGCTATGGTAAGAATAAATTCGAAAAAAACTATCGCAAATTGAATTATTTACATTGGATTTTATTTAATAAAGGCTAATGTTGGTTTGGCTTTTCTTGAGCCGACAATATCAATATGGATGCGTGAACAAATGAATGCTACCGAATGGCAAATGGGTTTAATATGGTTACCAGGTTTTATTCCACATATTAGTGGAGTTTTCCTAACTGTTAAACTCAATGAACGCTACCCTAAATATCAATGGTTAATGGCGTTTATTGGACTTGCTCTTCAAGGTACGATGTGCATTTTTGTGCCATTTTGTAAGAATTTCGGTACACTTATGATACCTATTAGTGGAATATGTTTTGGTATGTTTTCTTTATAAAAGAAATCATCTTATATATTTGTTTGTTTTTCATTACAAAAATATTTTATAGGAAATGCTTTGGTAGATACGGCTTTATTACCAACACTTGCGTATCTTGTAGATGTTCGTCATACGTCTGTCTATGGGTAAGTGACTAGTTAGGCATAATTACATAGGCCCTTTTTTGTGGCAATAAAAACAACGATTCGTTTTCGTTTCTCATGTAGATCGGTCTATGCTATTGCTGATATATCATATTCACTTGCCTATGCAATGGGCCCAATATTAGCTGGTTCAATAGTTTATGCAACTAATTTTTTTACGTTAAATATCCTTATATTTGTTAGTAATATTGCTTATGCACCTGTTCTATACATATTAAGAAACTTTTACACATTTAAACCATTGGGAAATGATGAATTAGCACCATTTGCACATCAACCCTTACAAAACGAGCCTGATGATGATAATTATTTAAGGTCAGTTGCAAATAATAATTACAGTACAACAAACGTATTTGATTCATCGGTAAATTCTTGGTCGAAACCAAACAATGGAATGGGTATGACAAAAGAAAATCAATATCCTCAATTGAATATGATCGGGCAACAAGGTTCAGTACAGTTCCAATCGAAATCAAGAAACATTATTGATTATGATGATTTCTAAAGACAAAAGAAATTTAAGAAAGAAACCATAGTGGGGCCGGTGATGTATCTGTATTCTTATTCTAGGGAAATTTTTTCTTTTATTTTTTCTTCTTGGTTTTTGCTTTGATTTCTAAAATTTGTTGTTTGTCCGTTGATGTGAATGAGAGTCTGCCTTCTCTGTTTTATTCATCCCTTTGACAAAACATTATATCACTCATTTAGTTTTTGTGATGATTCATAATAATGAACCAAATATATCACAATGCATATCAAATGAAATCATGCACATAGAAATTGTGCCTGCTTGTTTATGTTTGTATTTCATGTATTTATTTTATTTATTTTATTTTATTTTATTTAACGCGAATTTTCTCTTTTAAATAAAGTATGTGTAGTTCAATGTCGTTCTAGTCTATCATTCCTAAACATATGATATTTTTAGATATTAAGAAGAAGAAAAAAACAGACATATCTATAAAGAAAAAAGAGAGAAAGTAATGGTCGAAAATCTATCATCGCAATTGCCAACATTAGACAAATATATTGGACGTATTAAACGACAACAAACCGAAGATAAAGATTGTCTGAAATGGGATATTGAGGTGAGCTGTCGAGAATAATAATAATAATAATAATAATATAATCATATATATATGTATATGTATTATAGAAAGGCTTACCTCATCTACCGGTGCCAAGTTTAGATGCCACATTGACTAAATATCTTCGTTGTTTGGAACCAATTCAATCACGAGATGAGTTCGATCGAACAAAAGCCTTAGTCGATCGATTTCGTTCATCCGATACTAATGTTGGGCAACATTTACAAGATATGCTTACGGAACATGCAGCAAAGTCTGAGAATTATGTTAGTAAAAGCTAAACAAAGAAATAATACAAAAATAAATATTCATATTATTATTTTATTACATTTAAGGCTGTAGATTGGTGGTTAGAAGATATGTATCTTGCCAATTCGCTTTCCTTACCCATAAATTCTAATCCAGCATTCGTTTTGCCTCAACAACATTTTACCGACACAGAAGATTATTTAAAGTAAATAACTAATGGTGTCGTTTGCAAAAAAAATGTATTCGCTGATTTTTTCTTCGTCTTCAGATTTATCGCTAAACTAATATCAGGTATATTAGATTATAAAGTATTAATTGACGCGTAAGTTGTCTGAGAATATTTGACATTTTCTTATGATAAATTAAATTTTTAATTCATTACAGTCGAGCATTACCCATCGATCGAGCAACAAGCCGTGAAAAAGGTCAACCTCTATGCATGGAACAGTATTATCGTTTATTTTCTTGTTATCGTATGCCCGATGTATCCATAGATCGTCTTCTACAAATGCGTAATAGTAAATTACTTTATCATCAAGGTGAACATGTTATTGTTGCATATCGAAATCAATTTTTTGTTTTAAATGTTATCGTTAATTTTACAAGATTAGATGAAGATGATATTTATACATTATTAAGGCGTGTCGTGCAAATAGCAGATGATGATCCATGGTCGACTGATGAAGTCGGTATTTATACATCATTACCAAGACGTACGTGGGCACATGTTAGAACGGAACTAATGAAAGGTAAAAAGGAAGACAACAAAAATATAAAAGATTCCATGAGAAGCGAAACAAAAGAAAGGACGCATTCATTTGAATCAAAGATGAAAACAACATATTTAATTGTGCTGAAACTACAGGATATTATTTTGGTAAATATCAAGTGCATGATATAAAAGCTTGATATATATTCTAAGAAGAAAACAACCTCTAAATAATGCTTTATGTCAACGGAAATAAATTCGAAATATCTAGAAAGTGTTTCCGTCGTTTAATGAGTCTTAATGGATACTGGAAACGTACGAGTTTCACATTACAAATAGCGAGAAATTTGATTATCAAATTTTTATTTCAAGCTGTGTAATATGAAGATTGATCTTTATAGTTACAAAGTTTCTTGTGAAAGAAGGAATTTTTTTGATTCGATCTCTATCTTGCTATACCAACATTGAATCTTTCTTTTTTTTTGTGAGCAATAGGAAGCCCGACAATATTTCCAACATAAACAATCGACTGCTTTTTTTTTTTGTTTACACCAGTTTCTATGCTAAGTTTCAAATCGAAATCCGAAAACGAGTTATTCTGGTTTCGTACGAAGAAATAACCGCAGCGGAAATAGTATAACAGTACTTCAACTCAATAGCAATAGACTGAGCGAACAAAAATCTCCGCAACGCATACGTAACTCGTTTGATTTTGTATAATGCTCTTAGTCTCGACTCAACCGTAATTTATTAGCGAGAAAATTTCCTTCAAAAGAGAATAATAATTTATTGGATTAGTCGAGTGCGGATTGAATTTCATTTTCTTTTGTGTTTTAGATGCATTAAATCGTGATTCACTTGATCTTATTGAACGATGCATTTTTCTTGTATGTTTGGATCAAGCGGATATACCTGATTTGGACGAAGAAGAGGATCTTGTTAATTTTAATACAGCAGTAAAACGTGATTTCGTTTCATTAGGCGAACAAATATTACACGGAGGCAAAAATATGCTTAATGCTTCAAATCGTTGGTATGATAAAACTATGCAATTTATTATTGGTACTGATGGTATGTTTGGCTTAAATTATGAACATTCGCCAGCTGAAGCTATTGCTGTTATTCAATTAATTGAACATCTTTTTAAATATATGTAAGTTACATTGAAAGAATCGAAATTATTTCTTAAACAGAAACAATTTAGAGACGAAAAAACTCGTGAAAGATTTCATCGTTCAAAATCATTATGTGAACTTCCAGTACCACATCGATTAAAATGGAATTTGAATCAATTTTTAAGACAAAATATTTCTCTATCAAAAGAACTATTACAAAAGTAAGAATAGATAATAGAAAACGAAAAGGAACAAGCGAATTCATTTGTTTTTATTTAGTGCAATACATGATTTTGATTTATATATTCTTAAATTTACCGATTATGGAAAAGAGTTTCCAAAAAAACATAATATGAGTCCTGATGCATTCATTCAAATGTGTCTTCAATTTACTTATTTCAAGTTTGTATTGATTTTCTATTTAATTTTCAATTTAATTTTATCAATTTTTCTTTAGAATGTACAATAAACTCGTATCAACCTACGAAAGTGCATCAACACGACGATTTCATTTTGGTCGTGTAGATAATATTCGAGCGAATACACCTGAAGCACTCGAGTGGGCACGAGCTATGGTTGACGAAAGTGGAAACATATCCGCAGCTGAAAAATTACGTTTATTCCGGCAAGCTATGCAAGCGCAAACTGACCTTATGATTCAAGTAAATATTAGAATGAGAAGATAATAAGAAAAACAAACAGAACATTTTTCTATACTATAATTTGAGAATTTTGCTGAATGCAAATAAAGTGATCATTCTTTTTTTATCATGAGAGAGTACAAATAGAAGATAATAATCATAGGTTTGCAAAATTTCTCAAAGTAAAAACAGAGATTATTATAGGTCTCATGATATCTTTAATGGCAACATTAAGTTAAGTCATATACGAATGAGAACTATACTCGCATAAATATAATGTTCTGTCAAAACTAAAATATTTTGTTTTAATCTATTTCCTCTTCATTCACGAAGTAAGAAGACAGTTAGCTATATTACGCGAGTATGATGAAGGATTTGCATTAATTCTGCTTTATTCTGTAGTTAATCGTTCATGTAACTGAAAGATAATTTTAATTAAACTCAAAAATAATGTCAGATTATTCTAGTAATTTGTCGATAGCATTTAAATATTTTCTGACACACGTTGACTAGTGTATTATTAATACGATAGTATTGGAAGTTTCATTTTATCAATTAAGAAACCATTAAGGAATAGGATGTCGTCACTATTGCATATAATATACTCGCATGTATATTTATTCATAGATATTCTTAATTTACAAAACGAGTAAGTATTTGTCTATAATAGCTTTCGAACGTAGCTAAATTTAGCTTTTATACTTGAATTGTACGCGACAAGTACAGTCCAATGAAGTGTTAAAAATTTCAGAAGAATTCGAAGCCATGGGGTTTCTTCTTGTCAAAGTTATAACTCTGTTTTATTAAAATCTTATTTAATCGGTTCGTATTTACAAAAGAATTGAATGGTGGTATTTTAGCTTGAAGCATTGTTCTTAAATGCGTCTGTATTTAAGTAGACTGATCTTAACATTTCAGTCGAGCACAAACTTTCATTTATGAGATTGCTGAATCTTTCGTTAGATATGATTAAATTATACGAATTTAATATCTCGTGATAAGAGTATTTTCGATGCACATAGACACATCTATGAGCAAATTCGTCTCAAGTCACCATCGCTTCAATTGATGATTTTGCGCACATTATTCTGTAGGTTAAAACAACACTGAAAAAACTGTGACCTTGTAGAGAAGGTATGTTGTGTCTGATAGATTTGTGATCGTTAACAGTACATTTAGTTCTGTATTATTATGTACAAGGTTCTAAATCGAAAAATTGCTTTATGCTGCGAAAATTTACTTCACACTTTAATCATCGTCAAACATAGGAGTATTCACATCGAACAGGTGTAATATTAAACTGACCGAACAAATTTATATAGTATTTGGATACTGTAGATAAATTCTCGTTTATATGCAATATTCTTTTTTTCTTAAAAAATAATTTTGTGTAATCGAAATGTCTTATTTAATTTTTTGTCTTTATAGAATATCCTTGGCAATGGAATGGATTGCCACAGTAAGTTCAATTAAATTTTTCAAGTAATATGTATTTTGTTTCTGTTTTCGTTCAACTTTTCTTAGTGCTCGCTCTTAAACAAATAGCACGTGATAATCATCTTCCAATTCCAGATCTATTTCTTGATCCCAGCTATGAATTAAGTAATCACTTTAGTCTATCAACAAGTCAAGTAACAACAAATATAAATGACTCATTTATTTGTTATGGTGCCGTTGTACCCGACGGCTATGGTTGTTCCTACAATGTTCATTCAGATAGTATTCTTTTTTGTTTATCATCATTTAGTAGTTGTTCAACAACCAATTCTCGCGAATTTGCTGAATCATTGACCGATACACTCTATGAAATTCGTGATTTATGCACATTGGTGCAACATGAACAACAAACCATAGCTCTTCGGCGTCCGTCATATGCTGCAAAAGTTGCTGCGCAAAAGTTTATTTCATCTACATCAGTCGAATCAAACGAACACAATACAGTTTAATATTAAAAAATTTCTTTTGAAAGTATTTTTTTAAGTGTTTTTTTTTCTGGCAGAAAAAATTGTTCGCTCTTTTTTCTTCAAAATAATCACGATTTTCGAGCAAGAAAGAAAAAATACGGTGTAAATATGTCACTCTCACCACCACGAACTAAACCTACAGCAGCCTTTTCAAGTATTTCAAGTGTTCCTATACTGCCTTGAGCTGCAATCCAAGTTTTTTCCATAAACCAAACCATATTACGTGTTAACCATCGACCAATCGCACTTGCACGAAGATTATTCAATGAAAAGAATGAATCGCCACCTTTTAATGGTTGATACCAAGGAATATCACCTTCGGGTATTATTTGATTTTGTTCAACAGTAAAACCAACTGTTTTAAGATCAGATAATAATTGATGAGTCGATTTCAACTCAGGCAGACCATCACCTTCTTCTATTAAACGTTTTGTTTCGTTATGTATCGGATTGCTCTTATCATATTTATCAGTCAAACACCAATCGTAACCAACGAATGACCCACCTGGCTTCAGAACGCGAAAAACCTCAGCGAAACATTTTGCCTAAACAATTATACAGAAGAGCAAAAATTAATAGTTGTTTTTCTTCTCTATCTTAATTATACAATCATATACCTTTTCGGGCGCATGACATGCAGCCTCAATAACATAAACATGATCGAAACTATTGTCCTCGAATGGTAGCTCCATAAAATCACCTTGAACAAACTGACAATTAGCTGGTACACCTGAAATAAAAATAAATAGTTTTGTTTTCTTTTCTCTTTCAATGAATAAATACAATAGATTCTAACCGATTGCTCGAGCTCGTTGAATTTGATATTGACTGATTGTTACGCCAGTAGCATGTGCGCCCGTTAAATATGCAATACGTCTCAGCGGTCCTCCAACTCCACAACCAATATCAAGTACTTTATCGCCAGGCTTGATTTTCATTTTTAATGCCAAATAAGATTCATGTCGTTGAATCGATTCTGCTAATGTTTCAGTACGAAATCGATTAGCAAAATGAAAACTTTGTCCCCAACCATATTCATAAAAATCTGTTGATACACTATAGTAATTTGTTACTAAAGTTTTATATTCAGTTTTTCGTTTATCAACTGATGTTGAATCTTGAAATAGTTCGTTGTAAGATGAAACTTCTTTTTTAACAGCATCGCTCGCTCGTTGTACAACTGTTTTTTCCGTCATAGCTGAAGTTGAATAATGCTAATAAGCTGATATCTTTCAAGTACTTTATGGCGTGATCTTGAAGAAGCAAACTGACATGTATATAAATATAGTTTATTTATCTTGACAAATTTGCTGATTCGTTAGAGGACGCTCGAATCGATAAACAGTACACGGTTGGCTGTAAATTGTAAGAAACATACAGGTAAAGAGAATGCATGGCAACACTCTGAACGCAAAATGGTAACACATTCTAGCGGAAGCAATGACTCACATCACATATTGTTGTTGTACGATATATACCTAAATCATAATATGTAATAGGCTCTTGTTCTTAAGCTGGTAATTAGTAACATTAGAAGTTGTACTCGTTATGATCAATAATAATAAATCGGCGATTCTCTTCCGTTTCAACCAAAAATTGTATAATGAGACGAATGAAATCATGAAGAACTCAACAAAAGAAAACAACGGAAAACGGACATGTTTTTCTTTCGTCTTTAAATCTTGAATAGCAAAGAGAATTCTCACGCTCGGCAAGTGCACATTTTTTTCTTCAGTTGACATACATATCGTGATTTTCAGTCTTTTTATTCGAACAGTCTACATCCTTTGTATGTCCCCCCAAACATGTTTATTTACATTTATGCGTGGAACTTATTGTGTTTTCGAGCGTTGTGATTACTGAGAGTGAAATAGCGTTTAGAAGTAATGCACAGATGAGAGATTTGTATGCAGATAATAATATGAAGCCATTCATGAATTGAAAAAAAATTTCTCCTTTGATATTCACTTGTTGGCAAACTAATCGAGGATTTCTTTTTTAGCGGTAAAATAGTTTAACAATACGAAGCGGGTATTTTCTCTTTTGTTTTTCTTTTGTACATATACTGTGATTCCAGTTATAAAAGTAAAGTTTATTTAGGTGAGCCTTGGATAGGCTTCAATTTATTTCCAGTGTTTATTTTGTATTGCTCATTTTCTATTGAAGAAAGAAAAATAGCGAAAAACAAGGAGAAAAAAAATGAGAGATAAACATTGGGCTTTAAATCATCGAGAATACGCTCGAAACCGGTAAGATTGTATTTTTGAGAATTTTTATTAATAGTGAAAGAAAAACACAAGACAGACTTGTTCCATCGATAAATATTCATGAGATTTTAATCTTTTTCACTCAACCGCATATTTGTATTAAAAACTATTCGCCATCCTTCACAATGTATTTTTGTCATCAAATATTTGACACATCGAGCATATTAAATGGATAAAGAATTGAAATATGGACAACATCGGTAAATGTATCATCTTACTTTGTAATAGCATCTCTTCTGTTCGCTATTATTTATTCTTTTAAAATGTCTTCTATTCTCGCATATCTCGATCTTGTGAGTATGTCAATTTGAATACATGAAAAGACATAATTGACATGTTAAGATTCCATTTCAAACTGTAATTTTCATTGGTTTAGTAAGAAATCTTTTTCTTTTGACTTTTCATTTACACATTCATTTACTCTTTTTCAATGCTGTTAAGTTGGTACATAGTCTGTCATTTTGATTTTGGTCTTCACATACAAATTATATACATATTCTAAAGCATACATTTTTACGATTGGCTAAATCCAAAAGAATGTTCCCTTCAATTGTTACTATTGATGGTTAACTGGGATGAGTATGTAGACAGTTACGTTTTCATTCAAAGTTTCTTTTTTATTCAAACACATTGAAAAAAAAACAATGCTGCAGGACGAATTTCAAGAGAAGTAGGAAGAGAAAGAAAAAGTCGCAAACAATCCATGTTTATCCTACGCATGTAAATGTTGCGTCCTTACCATGAAAATGTTCGAACTCAAAGAATGATGAAAACAACGGAACCTAAAAATATTATTTAGAGTATAAGAAACACATCATTATATGATCGATCTCATAATGTATAACAAATGGACTCGATTACACTCATAAGCGTGTTCGATTTCAATTAGCTTATTCATTATTGATCTTATGTTTTTCCATCCAGATATCTTCTTTTTGTTTCTTTTTTATCGAGTAAATGCTTTGTAAACTGTTATTATATTTCACTATTATTTTGTTTAAATATTATATCTCTAAACAGTTTCTAGCCTATGAATGTAATTTTAGAAAAATTCTATAGACATCAAACTAACGACAAACAGTGTGAGAGATCGATAAGCTTTTGTTTCTTGTTTTATCGTGAAATTGAGCAGGTGGATATATTAAAAATTCAGTCAAATGTTGATTTATCTCTCTATCGCCAAAAAAACAGCAGACGCTCGTGTTATTACATGTCAACCAGAAAAAAAACTGCCGTTTTTATGCGATAAAGAAAAGATTCTTTTCCTCTTTTCTGCCATCGTACTAGAAAGAATCATAAGTCGACATAGTAATATGACTTACATTAAATTCATGTTATCGATATAGATTCTATAGTCAGGTATACCAGTAATGGAATGATTATTCATCGAAGTGTTATTTTTATGGTTGATATAAACAAAGGAGAAAATGTGTTTTTTTTCCTTTATTATTTTAGATTTAGGAATAATATTTTTTTCTATTGGTATGATCGACAGTTGCAATGGGAGCACGATTTTTGCTCTATTATTTAGTTGTTCAAATAACGTTTATTTACGGTAAGCAGAAAAGAAGAAAAAAGGAAAAGAAACATTTCAGGAACATTATATATTAATATTATTATTATTTATTTCAAGGTTATAATAATTACTTGGGCTGTTTTATTAATCGCACTGATAATCAAGATCTTAAAATATTCATCAAGAATGCATGTGATGCCTAGTTCGACTTCGAACCTAAATCGACATCTGAATAGCTATTAACAGTTCTAATATAAATGCAAAAAAATCGCGCCCATTTAAAAACCATCCCAAAGCAAAAGATAAAGATCGTCAAACTGGTAGCACATTTATAATTTAGGAATAGATTTATATTTCCTTTCTTTCTAGATTATAAAATCTATAATTCGAATTCGAATTCGAATTATAGATTTTGTAATTTATAAAGAAAGAAATCTTCAGTCGGACATACGGGAAAAAATGAAACTGCTTTTTTCGCATTTATAACCGAAGTCGAATTAGGCAGCTACTCTAGTTTTCACCTTCTATGAGATCATATCATCGATTGCATTGTTCACACACTCCCTTTTACTATTTCTCTGCCACTAAGAAAAACGAAGTAACAGACTGCTCTTTTCTTCATCATCTTATCTTCTCTCTCTCCCAGTTTGATCATCGCATATACAACGAAGTGTTTTTACCGCTGCTATGATGTAATATTCAACTAATTAGACGAAACATCTTCCAACCACGTTCTACAGCAGTAGTTCTTACGCAACCTTCATTTTCCATTAATGTGTCCACTCCCACTAATTCTTCAAGCGTTGAAACAATAACACACGTTCTTTCATCATCTCCCAAACATAACGGCAACAAATATAAGTTCCAATTCACTTCCAGATCCCCTGTCTTCCTTTCAAGATTTCGCTTTTTCCACTCATGACTGGTACAGTGAGAGTCCTTTTTCCTTTAGCCACTAATGAAACAACAACTATTCAACAAGAATCAACGACCAACACAGAAACTAGTCCTACCATATCACTTCTCATCACCTCCGGTAGCTCAACCTCGAGTGCTGCCGCCAGCCTAACAACCATGAGCAGCACCCAAGAGTCTACTGCTCCCGTCGTCTCACAAACTAACACGGCGTTCAGTGCAGCTAGCCCAATCTCAGGTGAATCGACACCAAAATCTTCGACAGTCGCCAGCGGTGCAACACAGGCTACCAGTGAAGTCACATCCGTAACAGCTATGATGTCCAGTGCGACCAGCTCAATGGCTCGCCAATCAGCATCAATATCTTCGACTGTCGTCAGCGGTGTAACTAGCCCAACTGCTACCCAATCACCATCAATATCTTCGACTGTCGTCAGCGGTGCAACACAAGGCACCAGTGTAGTCACACCGGCAGCAACTATGATGTCCAGTGCGACCAGCTCAATTACTAGCCAAACATCATCAATATCTTCGACTGCCGTCAGTGGTGCAACACAAGGCACCAGTGTAGTCACACCGGCAGCAACTATGATGTCCAGTGCGACCAGCTCAATGCTTAGCCAAACATCATCAATATATTCGACTGTCGTCAGCGGTGTAACTAGCCCAACTGCTACCCAATCAGCATCAATATCTTCGACTGTCGTCAGCGGTGCAACACAAGGCACGAGTGTAGTCACACCGGCAGCAACTATGATGTCCAGTGCGACCAACTCAATTACTAGCCCATCAGCATCAATATCTTCGACTGCCGTCAGCGGTGCAACACAAGGCACCAGTGTAGTCACACCGGCAGCAACTATGATGTCCAGTGCGACCAGCTCAATGCTTAGCCAAACATCATCAATATATTCGACTGTCGTCAGCGGTGTAACTAGCCCAACTGCTACCCAATCAGCATCAATACCTTCGACTGTCGTCAGCGGTGCAACACAAGGCGCCAGTCTGGTCACACCGGCAGCAACTAAGATGTCCAGTGCGACCAGCTCAATGCTTACCCAAACAGCATCAATATATTCGACTGTCGTCAGCGGTGTAACTAGCCCAACTGCTACCCCATCAGCATCAGTATCTTCGACTGTTGTTAGCAGTATGCCGCGCTCGACTGCTCAGGGCACCTCAGAAACGAATATGGCATTTATTGCGACGACGCCGACGATCGGTCAATCAGTGTCAGTGGCTACAAATACTGGTACGAGCTTAACAACGGCTAATGGTGTGAGCACAACAGTCACAACGAATCCTAATACTCAAGCATCTGGATTCGCTGGTACTAGTGTTGCTATGGGCTCCATCGGTTCCAGTTCAAGCATTGAGGTCGTGTCTCTAGCCACATCGTCGATTATATCGATTCCGACACTCTCAGGTACATCTGTAGGAAGTACAGCGGGCAGTGGTGTTGGCTCTTCTGGAAGCAGTATCAGTCAAGTAACTGGTGCGACAATGGCGACGATCACACAAGGTGGAAGTTCGTCTTCTAATACAGGTACGCTAATATTGTGCGAAAAATCTAACTGAATATTATTTTGTCTCGTTAGGGTCTGCGTCTACGAGTTTGGGATCAATTTCAAGCCTTGCTGTTGGATCGACTGTATCAATTCCAACAATCAGTCAATCATCAGCACAAACAGGTGTCTCGCAAGAATCCAGTGCAACTTCAGTTCATAGTTCTGTTACTGCTAGTGTTGCGTCAATGGGTAGCTCTACAGCTGGTACCACTAATACGGCATCAAATCCGTCTTCTGTCATGTCAGGTGAAACATCTGCGTTCACTGGTACGAGTATGAGTGTCGGTTCAGGCAGTACCGCTTCGCTAAGTAGTGGTGCTTCATCGTATACATCAAGTATGATGTCCGCATCTGTTTCAACGATAGCATCGAGTACACAAAGTGGAACTATATCCGCTAATACGGGTATATTGATATTTTCTTCACCAATATTTAATAATCTGTTGTGAATTCTAGGTTCTGCAGCTACAATTTCATCACAGACTCAATCATCAAGTAGCATTTTTACTGGCACTGATACCTCGAGTGCAGTAACGCAGTCTACAGTCACAAGTATCTCCCCGTCTTTGTCCACCGGTAAGTGATATTCAACGTAGCTAGTATTATTTTTCTATTGTTTCGAAATATTTGTTTCGGACCCCCTTGCTCTTTGGGGAATATTGATTGTAGTACAATTTTTGTATGTGATTTAGGCATCACGGCTCAAACACAAGCTACCGGTCAATCATCGGTTACTTCAGGAGTCAGTGTTTCTGGATCTATATCTGTTGCAACAAGTTCTGCTACAACAATCACTGCTAATACCGGTTCTTCCATTTCAAGTGTGTCAATGAGTGGAACTACTGTTAGCAATGTAGCAGCAAGTACTTCTCAAGGTGTTGCTCAAACGATTACGGGATCAATCACAAGTAATACAAATGCAGGAACATCCACAACAGTTACTGTAACAGTCGGATCTACATTAACGAGCACAAATATTGCCAGTACAGGAATGTCAACTGTTATGAATTCACAAACATCAGTTATTGCGAATACAATCACATCTGTAGCAATTACAGTTACGACAACGGTTGCTCCGGTAAATCTGATATATACAGGTCAATAAATGCTTTTTTTTATAGTAAATATTTTGACAAAAAGTTGAATTTTCATGCCAGATTTCAAAGTTTACGGAAATTCATTCAATCCAAATAATAGCACTGAAGTAGAAGCACTTCGGCAAGGATTAATCGCAGTCATAAATCTTGGCTATCAATGTATAAGCAATTCAAGTAATCCACAATGTTTCGCATCGTCGCGGCGTAAACGTGCGGCACCTTCATTTGTCAATGTTACAATACTACAAAACGTCACTCTCGTATGTTAATATAGAGCAATTCTGATTGGATTGTATGCGTAATTTACTATTTACACTGTTTTAGATTTCCGCTGCCAATGTTGAACCAAAAATATATAGAGTAACTTATGTTGTGAATGATGGAACAACACAATTACCAGCTTCGGCTGTTAAGTCAGCTGTCGACACAGTGCCTATTAATCAACAACTCATTCTATTTAAGTTTATAATTGTAGGAAGCTTTGTTCAAAGCCCAAGCATTTCAACTACACCATCAGTTACATCGACTGATAACCAATTGTGGATAATTGGTGCTGTTCTGGGACCAATTGCATTTGTTTTATTACTTATTTGTTTATGCTGTTGTCTGCATGCTAAATTTCGAAGGCGACAACATGCTGGAAGTACTGCTACAGTATGTTCATTTGCTATATTATGCTTGTTCGTAATATTTTGTTTTCAGACTATGTTTCATGTTCCACATGCACCGCCTCGATCTACAGTAAGTTAAATTAAATATAAACAATATACATAATGAACTGTTGTGGTTTGAATAGAATTATCATGCTCCCAAAAATGAACCTATGAAAGAGCAAGGAGCACCTCTTAATACTACTGGTTCATCTGGCCAACGTAATGTCTCCCGTAGTAATACTTTATCACCGAGACGACTGCCTCCTATCGAATTACACAATACTTCAAACAATATGCCACAATATCCTGCATCGGTTGATATACCATTGCAAAGTGTACGCCATCAGAATGATGTTGAACGTTGGAGAAATAAACTTCGTTTACAGGAGAAATTTGAAGTAAATGAAAACTTTCTTTTCCAAGGAAATGTAAACTAAAGAAACACTTTCGTTTAGCAACGTTACGCCGATCCATTAAATGATCTTGATCAACTTCAAAATTCATCACCATGTAAGTTTAATCATATAAGAGAAATAATAGATTTAGCATGATTGTTAATGAAAAATAAACCTTTTTTTTGTTTTTTTTTGTTTTCTTTGATATAATTGAAATTGTACTTATAAAAAAGATAATTTTCTTTTGTTATGAAATCTTCGATAATTTATCAGTATATTAATTCAACTTTTGAACTAGTTGTCCCACATGGCTCTATTCGAAGTGTGAATGAATTGAATCTGTTTGAAACATCTCCATCAACACATGGAACACGTCGTACGTTGAGAACGCCGGAACTCGAAGTTGGACGAACACGATTACATCGTTTATTAGATGAAGTGCTTGATCAAGCTGAACCTAATCAATCAAATAATGCTGATTCTCAAAGTGAAACACGTCAACGTCATATTCAACAACCTAGCATTCATTCACCTATGATACCTCGAGTATCTGAACGTCCCGATCCTACTCTTCTACGTCATCATTATAATCCATATGAAGCAGGTGATCGTATACATGATATTGAACATGCCTTACCAGCATTTTCAATGAATGATAATGATACTCGAAACTATAATCCTCAATCATCTTATCGTACCAGTCCCCCGTTGTTTTATGATGATGATAATCAACAGCGTGATGTTCGCGCCCGTATTGAAACTGATCGTACGGGGCACCGTCACCATAAGTTTGATGATGATGTTGTCTATATTGATACAATACCTAAAAATCGTGATGGTACACGAATACAAATGCCTAATAGATGGATGGAAAGAGACGGAAATAACGGCCAATTATTTCATTTAAATCCATCAGATTTAACTAAACGTAATGATTATCAGGATGAATATGAACTAGCTAAACGAAGTGTTGTAAATACAAAACATTTGGTATCATCTATACATGATGATTTACAACAGATTATTTCTGACCCATTAAATGATAGTCATTATGTGTGAAAGTGTTTGTTTTTTTTTATAGCTATTAATTATTATAAACCTGTGCGATATGTTTTTTTCAGCTCAATAATGCAGCTTACTAATCGACGGTACACAAAGCAACAGTATCTTTTTTCTTTCGCTTTGTTTACATCTGTAAATATCTGCTTGCTTTTACAGGGTTAATTCTATTGATTATTTATATAAGTATTTATAGTAAATTTTATTTTTTTTTTGTTTTTTTTCTGTGTGTGAATGGAACCTGATTACTATTTTATTCCTATTTGAGAAAATATATATTTGCGATTTTTTTTATTACTGACAAAAATACTTTTTTTTAATTGAGATTTATTTAACATGTAGAAAAGGCGGAAATTGAGTTGTTTTTTGATCACTTAATAGACAATAGTTATTTATAGAGCCAATTATTTAAGGCTACACTTCTGCTATCGATCCAGCTCTAATGACTTCTTATTCAGTTCTCTTGATTTTGAGTCTATTGTAGATAAATCTGGTAAATGTCTTATGGGAAACGCTAAGAAAAGGGACGACAGTTGTTTCAGTCTCCCTCCCACATATGCATATTCGTTTGTTACGATCATTAAGGAATAATCTGCTGTACGACTTTGAAATTTTTGTTAGCCATTTTAAAATGATGCAACTCTTTTGAAGTTAAAGGCTCAATTTTTAAACGTCGGAAATGTCTCTGTCTTCACTTCAAAGTACACATAAGAACAAAGAATCGCCCATTTTTACCATATCGTTCATAATTAGTTTCTAGCATTGTCATATAAATATTCAAAGATACAAAGAAAACATTGATACACTCAACATCGTTAAAAAGACGTCAGATCTATTGTAAGCTGATTTGATTTTACATACAGTTGTAAGCAACAACTAGACGATATTTGAAAATGCTGATTAGATTGTGTCGAATTCGATAAAACAATGAGAAAAAAAAGAGAATAATTTGTAATTTTGTTTTTATTGAACAAATATCACGTACAAAAAAAAGGTATCTCAAGGCTAAATAGAAATAGAAAACCATTAAATCATTGAAGAACAAGATTCCATTTTTATATTTACCAAATGTTTTGCTTCATAATCAGTTATGCTTTGAAATTGTTCGAAGCGTTTCTTTTTATATTCTTCTGAACGTGGATCATTAAGGATATTATAACATTTATCTAATTTTTCGACTGCTTGTTTGACTTCACCTTTCTTATACTTAACTTTTTCTCTAACAGCATTTGCAATCACTAGAAAAAACAAACAATTTTTCTTTTAACTTAAGTTAAAAAAAAAAGAGAATAAATTTACATCGAATTGTTTCTTTAATATTTTGCATTTGAACTGATTCTAATGATCCATATATGTGCTTAAGAATGTATTCATCTATTTGTACCGTTGCTTTTACTGAAGCAAATAAAAGGGCTGTCAAGGCAATCTAAATAAGAAGAAATTATTCAATTTTTTAATTTTCGAACAAGCATTATTTTACTTGTGATGGTGGAAAAAGAAAATAGACATCGGTTAATAATGTGTCATCGAGAAATTTATAACCAGTTAAACGTAATCGATCAGCATCATTGACATTGTCACGTAAATAATGAGTCTAAATACGTGAAAACAAAAGAAAACGCTGATAAATTCGATATACAATCAAAACAAAACATAGTTCAAATCTTTTTTTATGTATAATTTAGAAACTTTAGATCATAGTAGAATATGTAGTAGTACATATAAGCTGATTTTATTTTAGGTCGGATTAGAATGCTCTCATAGAAAACTGAAACTCAACAATCGATTGTTAAACTGATCTGAGACAGATCGGATCGGTACTAACAAAGACTAACGTTCAACTATTCATATGAATCGAAATCAAACTTTCTCCTATCATAATCAGACGGACGAAAATAAGCTAAAACTGATCTCAAATTTGCATTTGATCATTCGGTAAATTTTTCGTCTCAATTAATTCTTTCTACAGAACAACAAAAAATGATTATTCAATCTTAATTTATTTTACTGGAACTTGAAAAAGTAAATCTCACCTTCAAATCAATCACAAGTCCTTCAAATGGTCTATATGCAGTATGTATAACAAGTTGAAATTTGAGTTTCTCAATAAGTAATAATTCATACGATAAAAGAATATCTCCTATTATATCAAGATCAGGATCATTTTTAATATTGGCAACAAAATCTGTTATTGATATTCGTAATTCTTCTGTTTTACATGTTAAATAGACACATATTAGACTACAAAGAAGAAGAAAAAAAATCGATTTTAGCATTTTCTCATTAATTGAAAAACGAATATTTTACTATATATCTTTTGGATGATAATCCATAACAGAATTATTTAAATAGAATCTTTTGAAATATTGCATACAAACAGCCTATAGAAGAAAAATTATAAATTCTATAAATTGTCACGATCAATATATACAATAGCCATTTTAGTCATCGGTGGTTCGAATTTTTCACAAAAATCTTTCAGTTGTAATTCATAATAACGTAAAACCATAGCTTCTTCATCAACTGTTAAACAATTTGTAGAATTCTATTGATAAATCAATAATAAAAATGTCAATAATAAGCATGTTATCGATGTTTTCTCTCTTACACTTTTTCTAATATAATCATTATTTGCTTTTGTACGTAATTCTTTTAATTGTTCAACAGTGAATAGCCATTGATTATACTGTGTACTTAAATGATACATCTAGAAGCATAAATTAGAATAACTCGTTAATGCAACATGGCAAGCTGGTGTAATCGAAAGAAGTGTTTGAGAAGAATTTAAAAGATCAGATATTTTATTTATCGGCCAGAATTTTAATTCGCTCGTTTCATTCGCTTCAATGTGTGTTTGAAGATCGTAACGTTGCTGTAATTCGTTTGATGTCATCGATGTTCTATAAGTTAAGCAAAAATTCAAGTTTATTATTGGTTGGTGTTTTGGCGCTACTAGTCTATACAAAATTTGAATATTATTCAAATATTTTAGATTGATAAACTATAAATGACTAATTGACTTCAAGTAATGAACTTTATCGGATTAGTTCATGTTACATGAAAACATCTTCATCTTGACTTGAATAATCTAGATATGACTTATTTAATTTGGCTAACAATGAGCCCATCTTGAATTATAATAAACAATGATAGAATACTTTCAAACAACAGATAGATTAACTGAATCTATTAAAAAGAATATTGCACAATCGAAAAATTATCTGTTGCAATACTTTGTTGCTCTTGCGAAAATAATTCTTCATCATATGAAATCATATCAGCATGGCGAGGAGTAGCTAATTTATATCTGATGAAAAACGTTAAACAAGTGAATTGTTGACAAGAAAGAAAATATTTATTGTTTACGCAAAAAGTGATGCTTAGATTACCAAAAACAAACTGAAAATCCAATGATATTAAATGAGTTTAATCCTACATGATAATGCTTAAATTGCAAAAATGTTTCAATTCTCTAATCATTTTGTATTTCGATTTGTGTGATTGGGTATTTCTGGAATTTTTCTTTTATCCCTTAACTTGTTTTCTTAAGTTCTTATTAAAAAGACTCTCATAATAATTATAAAATACCCGAAACACCATTGAATTCATGGTTATATGGCCTAGTTTTGTTTTCAAATAACAACTAATACGAGTCGCATCTTTGTTAACTTTTCAATGCGTTGTTCCTCTAGTAAATTATGTAGGAGCCTGATAAATCTTTTATTTTCTATGATATCACTATGTCAATAAATACGATACTTCCTTCATCGATATATTTCCCTCTCTTGGTAACTAGTACATATTTTATGAGACAGACAAGCTGATGTAATTTAATTACTTCTAGTAAAATGCTTCGATTAGTTTCTTGATGTAAAATCATTTGACAGTCATTCATACCTGAGACAGAATTCAATCGACGGTCGACCGTATTGAGTTTGATTACGTACGACAGCAATAACGAAGAAAAATGAATCAACAAGAAGACTATTCCTATCGACATTGGTTTCATCAACACATTCAGCTATTGTCGATGAAATTATTTCTTCGATGATATCTTCCTTTGAATTTGTTTTTAAATTCCTAAAAAGAAATAAGATTTCCTCAAATTTACTATTGGTTTATCTTCTAAGAACTGTTCTGATTTTTGAAAATCTCAATTCATGCGAAATATGTAAATTTGTAGATTGAATTTATGATTTTCAAATTCCAAAGAGAAATTTTAGACATAGACAAAATCCAATTTTGTAAAAACGAATTAGATCTCTCTTGTATATCAAAATGTATTCATCAGATTCTAAAGCCTAGGAAGAAATTTCACTAAGTTTTCAGACATATTATAAACATGATTCTTCACAACTGTTGAATGGGATAGAAAACAGATATTAGTGATAGATCTACAATAATATTTCTCAAATTTTCAGGAATCTGCTTAGAATTTCATTCCGTTAAGATAGAAGTAACTGATTTTTCCAAAACAAAATGATCTTTCAACATTTAAATTATTTTCAAAAATTCAAATAGTACAATTATTTTTACCTTGGTTCAGCATGGCCGCCTGGTATATCATACATATGTGGCGAGTCAATGCAAGCAGAACTTCGCTTAACAAAGACAAAATAACTATCAGATGTAATCAGAAGACAGCCAACGCCAAGTGGATGTGATAAATGATCCTCTTCTATATGCTGACGAATTTCATCAGGTAAAATTTGTTGTTGAGTACAAATAAATGATTTGTAATCAGTTAACCCTAGATTAAGAATAAGTTGTTTTGAATCATCATCTTCATTTGTTTTCCAATCAACAGAATGCAACCGAAATTTCGATTCATTATATAAGATACGTCCTGGCTTATCATCATCAAGTAATTCGTTCCATCTGTTATCTAGTTTTTTCTGAATATCATTTGGTAGTGGCTTTGCATTATACAAATCAGTGTTGAAATTAACTGAAAATTCATTGAATTTTAATGGCTTTTTCAAATTTGATATATCAGTCCACGTGGATAACATTTATATACTAAAAACAATCAATTCATTCAATGCAGAGAGTAGGAAAAAACAGTGATTGTTTTTTTCAAATATAACTATCGTTTATTTAAGAACAAGAAAAACAAACAATTTATTGTCCTAGATAATGACCTCTCTTCTGTAGAACTTCGTATTTTTCCCAGTATGAGTTATTTCGTTCAAATTCAGGTCTTAATGTTGGATCAACAAGTAGTGGTTCACGTTTAGTTACAGCTACAGTTGGATACGATATCAAACCAGTCATTCGAGCCTGCCGTATCAATGAATGCAATTTTTCATTTTGTTTTGGACACAAACCAGATATTTCCGGAGGAATGATCGTGCCATCTTTCCGAAGATATTGACGAAGTACAAGAACATCCTATTTATTAATAAATAAATAAAAGTTTATTTTTATTATTGATTGAAATTGTTATTTTTATTTTTTCATACTGTATGCTGAATATGAATAGATCGACGATCGAGTTTGCACCAAATGCAAACCTCTTCTGGTCCAGATAATTTCAAAACATTTTTTTCATTATCATCAATATATTCTCCTTCGTACTAGAAGAAATTTTATCTAATACAGTCCTATTGATTCAATTATTTAAACTTACTGTTATCACATTGCCTTCGATTTTTTCCGAAACTAAAAGAAAAAGATCGAAAATAAAAATTTATTTATGACAAAAACATTTTCTTATCCATCGTAGTGTCAGGAAGTAAAGAGATTGTTTTGACGAGTATCTCATTAGTTTAGTTTTTGTATGTAAAACTTTATATATGAAAAAGAATGGCTTTAAGAGAAATTAATTCACTCGTAATTTCATTTTCATTCAATGAAAAAACTACCCGCTTTTGTCCGGACACATATAAATCAGTTATTGTTGTGAGTTGGTTATGGCTCGATACCACTTCGTGAATATCAGGAAAACGAATGCTTTGTTTAATGAAACTAGTTTATTATGAAAGTTCCAAAGCCCTTAGAATACAAAAGAAATTCACAGATCGAAAAGTTTTACAAATTACTATTTTGTTAATGCTCTTAGTCTTTTCGTCAAGCAAATTTTTAAATGAAAATTTGAAGATACGTTCGCCCTTGTTTCTCTCAGAGACATTGAGAGCATTCAGTTCAACAGAATTCTATGAAAATATGCTATTTCTGAATCAATAAGCTAAGCATCAGAACACTTTTCATTATATTCAATGCTAAATCAGATCTATTTTTGTTGTTCAAAAGCAAGTAGTGCATTGGAAAATTTCTCTTGTAATTATCATCGTTGATTCTAATGAGAATAAAACCTATTCTTTAATCGATATTCATCATCTGAACAGTCGAACTTCGCTTCATTACTTTTTTTTAATCCAACCGGCTGCGTCAAATGAAATAATCGTTTCGATGATGATAACAAAAAGTTTGTATTAATCAATCGAAGTGTTGCGAAGAGAAAAGACATCTGAAAAAAATTCTTTCTTTTTTTATAATATTTTATTTCTAAAAAACATATATATTTATCGTGCAAAAGCAAAGAAACAATGAGATACCAAGATGCATAATGAATAAAGGCACATAGGGTACACAAATACATAAAACAGACACTTGTTCTTCGGTTAATGTTAGCATACATGAAACAGAAAAGCAAAAAAAAACATCTGTTCGAATTTTAGAAATACTCTTCTTTTACATATTCGCATTTTACGACATCGAGATTATTGTGGAAAATTGCACACACAAAAGATTTCTTTTTTTTGTGCTAAATGAATAAAAGTAAACAAGATTCATCGAAATAAGTGTGTTGAGCAAGCTACTGAAAAATAAAAAACAAAAAGCTCAGCGTGTGGTAAATGAGAAAGATTAATACAAAAAGAGAGAGAATGAGAATGAGAATGAGAGCAAATTATATATAATAATACTTGATCGACAAGACGAAAATGAATAAATATAAAAATAACATGTCATTGGCTTTGTGTGATTTTTGGAAAGATAAAGAAAACATATGGACATCTGTTGATTGACATAGATCTACTGTTCATCCTCTTGTCGTAATTTCATTTCGAGATTACGAAGAAATTGTTTAGGAGTTAATATTTGATCGCCACCTAGAAAAATTCAAAAGATTAGAAATTGTTCTTCTGACTAAAAGAAAGAGATTTTAATACATACCAATAAATACCTCGTACTTTTTTAAATTACTTTGTGTAACCTCATAGGCACAACGAAGTTCATTATAAGCGACACCACCAAGTATAAATACAATTATACGTGGACCAGAGCGAGTTGCACCCCGACGAGATTGAATCCAACCGACATCTCGTGAACTAAAATGTTATTAATCAACAGAGATTTTCTTTGAATTGAACAAAAATAACTTTGTACATATAAATAATGAGTACATAGTTTAATATATTCTTATGCGTAATATTAATTAGGAAATCACGAGAACTATAGTATGAATGTCATTTCACTTTAGACTAAGACATGGAACTACCCAATAGAATCATTATTACATTGACATTTATGAATCTTTTAATATGATTTAGTTGCTCTTTATGAATAATCTTCTCATAAGACTAATACCTTTGAACTATAGGCGCAGTTGGAAGAGTTTTCTGTCCACCAATCGATGGAAATTGTCTTGAATCGAGTTTATCATCGATAATATCCTAGAGGAAAAACATATATATATATATATATATATTTTTTTTCTTCTATTATAATGTTTTCTATTATTTACCTCCAATATATCTTTTACATAAGGTGTCCATCTTGAATTCGTATAAGTCGGTTCAGAACGTTCTTTTCTTGGTTGTGGAATATTTTTACGTCTTCCGCCCTAAAATGTTAATATATGCAAATACTATTATCCATCCTTGCGATTAGTAATCAATCACACTATCTGTTATAATCATGCAAATTCTCGATTCATTTTGTTTTCGTCTTTTCTTTCATACATGAATAATATTGACACACACATACAAAAATAATAAATAAATAAAATAAAAAAAGATAACATAGAAGCCCATCGATTGAAGAAGAATGCAATTAAAAATTATATAAGGGATATGTTTGAAATTAAAAGAAAAAGGAGAGTATTCACTCATGCCTATAGAAAAAAAACAAGAAATCACCCCCGAGGATTTTATAAATAATTCCGAAGCCACGTGCAAAGCAGTTGCTCTGCCTAGATCTGGTGAGACTCCACTCTCACGCTGAACGTTTTATTAGAAAAATACAAAGGAAAAAAAATAAGAAAAATCAATTACATACTCGACTTTGATCTTGAAGAATTTGTAAATTAAGATATTGCAAATTTGCTATAATATTCTTCTTTTCCGAAGGAATGAATGCATGACTTAATAATTTATTTAAATTTTCTTCCGTTATGCCTATATGAAAATAAACATATTATTAAAATCTGGTCTATTGAAAAAATAAAAAATTTTATATAAAATAAATGAAATTCCACTGTCAATCAAGTAGTTTTTAATGTTAGTATCAAAATAGAAAGTAGCAAAATCGTTTTATGTGCGTGCTTTTTTCGCTACCGTATGCATCGGGTGTTGTACAACAATAAGCTGAAAATTTAATGTATTAAAAATTTCTCGTTTTTTCTTTTTTTCTTATTAAAATTACCATTTTTATGTAAAATATACAACATTATAATACGTAATTTATCTTCAATGGTAATGGCAGTATCAAGTAATAAAGGTACAATATTACGCATATGGTCTTTGATTCGTTCACCTTCAGGATCAACACCCATGACTAAGTTCTAGAAACAAAACAAAAACATAGATTTTAATTTACTATTTAATCCCATCATGGCTTATTAGGATTTTGTCTCGCGTGTATGCGTTCAATGAAAGAATATAAGAGTTTTTATTTCTTACTCCTAATCTGGCATTATTCAAGCTTTTTAGAGAATCACATCATTAGAAATTTGTTTTTATGAAGAAACAAAAACAAGATCATGTTTTACTTAGGACAATAGTAGAAGTCTATTCATAAACAAAAAATTGATTGCTTATAATTAAACTACTTTGATAGATGAAAGGAAAAAAGGATTTCTTCATGAACATAATTCTTTACTTTTTTTACAATGAAAAACAATCTCTATTTCTGCTGTTGCTATGCTGAAATCAGATTCGAATACTAAAGTTTGACTTTCAAATTTTCACTTTTCATTACCTGTTCAACAGAACATAATTTTTCTCCTGAATCTCTATTGTAAGCATTCATACATTGTTCAGCAATATTAAAATGAAGTGCATATGCATTTAATTCTTTTTGATATTGTGGCATTTTCTTAATCATTAACCTATGAAAGAAACAAAACGTATTTTATGATTTATAAATAGAATAAACACATACGAGAGATCTTTCATTGTTGTACGTTCGGCACGATCAGATTCTTTGACACGTTTTTGTACTGCAAAATCTTTGATCTTTTTTGTGATACTCCTAAAAATCATAGTTCATTATAGAATTAAAGAAAATAAAAAACGAATAACGAACTGTGTAACAACAGCAATATGTTGATGACGAAGCTCTGTCCAAAGTTCATCATTCTCATCTAGTAGAACTTTTTGTTTTTGTACTGGACTGAGTTTTTGATCAGCACCGGGTGTTTGAACTTCATACCTAAATTTAAGAATAAGAAATTTTTAATTTCTATGAAACTTAATCGACAAAAGTTCGCACTCAAAAACATCATTCTCTATTTTTAATAAATCGTGTGCCATTGCTTGGTATGTTAATTCATGAAGTAGTGGTGAAACAGCATCAAAACCACGATCCAACAGAATTAAAACAGATTTTGCTTTATCAACGCCCTACACAGGCGAAAAAAATATCAATTTTGTATATTTTTTAGAAACGAATTCTTTACTTCGCCCATAGTCGCATCATCGGCTTTATACTGATTTAATTTTTGTTGAACAGCATGAGCAAATTCAGTCATTTTTTCATTCTCTCTGTAAAATCAATCAATGAATATTTAGAAAAACTAATCCAAAAATTTTCACTGACACTCGATATCTTATTGTTGGATATTCTCCGAGTGTTGCACATAGAGTAGCAATTTGTTCCGCAATAACATCGAGATGTGCAGCTCGTTGCGGAACTGGTGTTGAATTATATGTAATATAAAATGTATCAGGTGAATCAAGTGTAAATGCCTGTTAGAAATATTTTAGTAGATAAAATAAGATAAGAATTTAGAAGTAAAAAAAAAATTTTTACTAGACGTTCATATGGTAGAAATGCGATGTTCACTTCTCGTAATGTTTTGATATATTTTGCGCATTTTGATTGGGTTAATTTTGTAAATAATTCGGAATTACATGCTAAAAAATATTAAAAGTTTACATTTGGGAAATAAATCGATAGATGAAGATTCTCACGAGAGTCGAATCACACAATATTTCGAAACAAAAACAATAATTTTATTTTCTCAAGCAGCATCTTCTCAAATTATTTTATATATGAAATAACACTCCCATATGGAATTATTTTTATTTCATTGTGCCAATGAAATAACAAATGAGCCTCGATCATTTTTATTGATCGTGTACAATTATTTACAATACTAATAAATCGTTTCATAAAACACTCGTATGAATACGTTGATACTTTGGTTCATTCACTATTTGACGTTACAACTGCTCAAATATTTTCTGACTAATCTAAATAGAAGTCGACAATTTTACTACAGACATGAATTTCATAAAAAGAAAACAACATATTCCGAGTGAAATATTATTTATAACTTTCTTTTCATTCAAACGAAAAACAAATATATCGTAGGTTCGATGAATTTTCATTTTATTCATTGAATACTATCTCATTATTCGACTGCCTCTATGGGCCAATAACTTCTTCTTATCTTTTTTTGTTGTTATTTGACACTAAAATTGTTATGCTGTTCTTTTTTATACATTATAAAAATAAAATCTTCCTGTCAGTTTTTGTTTTACACTTCATGAAGCAATGTCTCTGTTTCATTAATAGAATAAATTTCCTTCAGATACAAAAAAGCGATGATTCATATGTAAAAAAAAGCAATATTTTCCTTGTATGTTTGCCTAAGATTAATCACTGAAACGAACAAAATCAAATCAATGATTGTTTCATAGAACATAAAAGCATGAGAAAAATAAATTCTTACTTTTCTCCACGGTATTATTTTTGATACAAACAGATGTATTACTCACGCACATAAACGTCATGGTCAAAAGGAAACAATAGATTTATCATGAAATTATGTGTACACAGGACAAATATTTAATTAATATCGGCCGTCATCATAAACTGTTTAAAGCTGTCGAGCTTTGAAAAAAAAACTAACTAACTAAAAATGATTGTATCATTTTTCTTTTTCTTCTTTAAATATTAATATGTTCATCGGTACAATTATAACACTGAATTAGTGCTAAGGAAATGTTAACGTAACCAAGTCTTACCTTCAGTAAAAAATACATGTGCAGCTTTATACTTGGGTATTAATGCATGGCTCTTATCAAAATCATTAATAAGTTCATTGACAGACTAAAATAGAATAATTAATTTAAGACGACTCCAAGAAGAAGTATTAGTCGTTTTACTTTTTCATTTGGTTGAATAAAATAAACAGCTTCGAGCATTCCTAATGGCTCACGTCTTTTCATAATATCTTCCACAACTAAAATTAAATTTAGTTAAGCTTAATTAGTTAAGTAAATATCTCGTTTACTTGTAATTCCTTCGGACATGATGTCATGCATTTTACACGATGCTGATATAATTCTCGTAGCTAAGCGATCCATAACTAAAACTTTCCAATCACCTTTTTCTTTTTGCCGAACAGAATCACATCGTAGCATATCAGATATTAATTCTAGAAGAATTTGTTTTATTTTCAAAATTTTAAATATCGAATTAATTAATTTTATTTCTTACTTATGCCAACTAATTTTTGTAAATTGGACGTTGTCATTTTTAATTTAATTGATTGTTTATTAAAAAATAGATAAAAATTATAAATGTTACAAAAAAGGAAAAAGATAAAACAAGGAATGAAATGAATATCGATCTAGAAGAAAGAAAGAAATGACGTCAACTTGTCAGGATTTATATTATTTGTTCAATTAAAAATAAGCGAGCTCAATCAATCGGAATCAACCAATGCTCTTATTGAGGATGAAGAAATATCTTAATGATATTTAATTTAATTTATAAATGCATTTGCTCGAAACAATATTTTCTTATTGGTGAGTTTTAAAAGCCAATAATAAACGAGAAAATGATTCGTTCGTTCGTTCGATTATCCTCCATGGATATTTTTCTGTTTACAACTCTATTTCATAATACGTTGCTGGGAGAATTGCGAAATTGTTCGTGTTTTTTTATTCATGAGTCATTGATAGAAGAAGAAGAAGAAGAAAAAAGCACACATTGATTTTTTTCCTTTTCGATTCTTTCACTTTTTTTCGTAGATGAAGAATCAAAATTCGATTTCAAAACCGGCTGTTATCATTAAACCTCCGCCGTCCGGATCAGCTGTGCCATTCTCGAAAAAAGAAAAATTGCCAATTGATAATAAAATGGAATCGAATAATCATCATCATCAACAACAACAACAACTCTTCGATGAAAAACTACAACAAAACAATGATTTTCCATACAACAACAATGAGACTCCTCCGACACTTTTAACTGATAAGGTAAGAAATAGAATGTTCTACTCAAAACATATCGTCTAAGTTATAGTAAAAAGAATATTTTCTTTTTTCACTAATTGCACCGAATAGATAACAAAAAATAAAACAGTATTCATAGCAAAGATAAATTTTAAAATACAATCGTGATCGACTTTTCTGTTTTATCATAAAGTACGATATAAAGAGTCTGCATTGAATAGCTCGACAAGGTCGAATGTAGATAGTATCTTTTATTTCGACTTTATTGTGAGGTGTACGCATAGCAGTTATTTCACGCTTCATGTGGTTTATGCAAACAGTTTGTTATTTTCTGTTTATTTAAAGCAAATACTTTATGAAAATAAAAACGAAATGTATAAATTGTCTATTTTCACTAAGATAGTATATCGTTAATGAAGCTTGTCGGTTTTCCTTTTAAATAGAATTCTTGCAATGAACTTTCGAACTTTTATTTTAGTTTAAATAAGAAAAATAGTTAATTGGTAGGAGAATTTATACGATCATCGAAATATAAGGAGGCGCTAAGTGTGTATAATTATTTTGATCTTCGTCTTACTTCAAAGACTGTTTATTCACATAGTGTTAGAATAAATTGTTATCTCTTATGTCAGTTGTTAGTCAATTCAAAGAATTGATAGCCGATGAACAAATCAGTTGTTCATTCTAATCACATGTAAGATATCTGAAGAGTTTTTCATGTGAATATCAAAGTAGAATTTAATGAGAAATCATTTTGTTTTATTTGAAAAGAAAGAATAACGTTACACAACTCCTTGCTTCAGAAATATTTTTCGTTTAACCATCCGTGACAATATATATATATATAACTATAACATCAATGAATATCATTAATCCACATCAGTCAAATAGGCTTGAAGTATCATTATGAGATTTTTCTATGATAAGAATTCATGTATTTGAATAGTACGTCTAATGGGATTGTCATTTCTTCTGTTTGATCAGGGCAAATATATCTATGCACCTAAGCTAGACATGACTTGCTGCTACAATATTCATTAGACACTTTATTTTTAAATCATGATTAGACTTTTTTTTATCAAAAAGAACAAAACCCAAGTCATCTTCGTATGCGTATATATATATATATATATTTCATTGATGTCTTATGAACGGCCTAATCTTATCTTGATTGATTGAGTTGGCGTCTATATATGTATAGATATATATTCTAAAATTAATTGAGAAGGTGTATATGAGAATGTAAACACATCTGTTTTATTGTATAGCATTCTATATTGATTTCATTTCACAGGAAGCGAAAGAACAAGAGATAATTATCTATGAATTTCATTTTCCTGTTGACTTATGCGGCCGTCTTATTGGTCGACAAGGTGTTCATGTGGATTATATACGACAAATGACACAGGTGGATTTAGTTGTGCGAGATGATGCTGTTTCATTTGAAAAACAAGTTGTTGCTTTACATGGTTTGATTAGATTGTTTTTTGTTTGTCAATGTTGATCTTTAATTAAAATTCATCACAAATAGGTCGTCGTGTTGACGTTGAACAAGCAATTGAACTCATAGCTAAACGTTTTCCACCCGACCGCTATCCTCAAGTTGCATTTAAACCTATCAATAAGAAAATTGTTGTACGACAACGTCCACCTGAACGCGTAGCTGTTCCTCAATCTGTAGCACAAGTATTTGCAAATGTATAACTAAAATAAAAATATTCACTTTTTTCTTTATACCTTCAGCTTTATTTACCCGACGGTATACCAACTGAAGTACTTGTTACCAGTGTTGTTTCATGTAATCATATATTTGTTCAACAAATTTTACATCCATCTTATGTTGAACTTGCACGCCTTGATAATTCAATGTCAGTCTTCTATCATCATACCGAAATGACACCACTTTTGCCAAGACCTATTCAAAGTAAGAAGAAAAAGCAGTAACAAAGATTCGAGGATTTTTCATTGTTATTTTGTTTTTCAGCCGGTGTCATATGTGCTGCGCCAACACAAGCTGGTTGGTTTCGAGCATTAATCACAGTATATAACAGTAACGACGATATGGCTATGATCAAATTTCTTGATTATGGAGGTTATCTTTATGTACATGCAAATTCACTGCGTCTTCTCCGGTAAAATCTTTGTTTTCTTGAAGAAGTACAAAAAAAAAAGACTGCTAATGATAATTATTTAGACAAGATTTCATGGTTATCCCATTTCAAGGTGTTGAAGTCTATCTTGATAATGTTGTTCCAGCTGAGAGTAAGTATTATAAATATTACATTTTTCAAGGAGAAATATAATTTTATCCTTAGCGACAACTTGAAAATTTAACTTCATCTTATAGTATAAAGTTATAACAATATCGAAAATGTTTCCATCAGTTTAACCATATGGACGATCGTCACACACGTGTAGATTAATAAAAGATTTAAAACAATGAAAATGACTTAGCTTTTTAAAAGAATAGATCAGCTGATAGAAGCCAGCTAATCAGTAAAAGTTTAGCAACAGTCTGTCTGCCCTCAAAGCCCTACTATAGATCGATAGTGCATTACTTTACTAGTTGATTCCATTTTAAATCGTCAGATTTGTTTTTGTCTTGAATTTAAATTGAATTCGTTGATAGATAGAAAGTCTACAATCATCTGTTAAATGAAAACAATATTTTCTTATTTAGATCAAGAAGATTTTACCCCCGAGTCCACTGAATTAGTTAAACCAACAATTCTTGGTTCTACTTTTAAAGCAATGATTACGGGATATCATTATGATAATACTCCATTTATTCAACTATCCAGACGATATGATTTCGTAAGTGTTCATAAAACTAATCGAACACGAAAGCAAATTTCGAAATATACATCTTCATTGTTTTTAGCAGCGTATCGTAAATATTGATATTCAGAAAATGATCAATAATCAATACCAACCATCTGCTAGTAATGATTCAACATCGACAAACAATATTGCTAATACATCAAATACTCAACCGATGATAACTCAATTACAGCAATCCGTATCGGATGTATCAACATTATCATCGACAACGAATTCCGATAGTTGAACGATATTGATCTGTATTATTACTTATTATTTCTTTGTGGTATATTCACCGGTTTTGTTCTCTGTCTTTTTTCGGAAAAGAAAAAAGAAAACAATACGTGATTATTGTGTGCTTTATTCTTTTTTCTTTCGTTATTGATGACTTTTTGTTTGTGTTTTTCTTTTTTGTTTACTGTTCTTGTTAATTGAGGATGATGATGTGTGCATCCCTCGGCTTTTTCTCTCTTTTTCTTGAGATAAAACTGTTTCATCTATATCTTCACTTTTTTCGGTTTGTTTCGTTATAACATAAAGTTGTGTGTCTTTGATTTCTTTTTTAAGCGTTGTTTTTTTTTGTTCTTCTTCATTTCGCTCAAAAAGACAGAAAAACGAAGAAAAATTCAATGAACAATCAGGAGTTATTTGAAAAATCATATAAGTAACAAGAACTATATCAATTGTTGGTAGAATAGCATTTGCTATCAGTACGAATGATTCTGTTTGATTAGCAGTTAATCTTGAATAATAGTCAGTAAGTCGATACGTTTGAATGATAATAGGCAACATTTTTTTTTTTATTAAGATGCATGATCAATAATACATGAATGGCGCGCGAGACGGAAGACATTTGTTTAAGTAATCTGAAATTTGATTTTGTCTCGAAAATTTTAATCCGTATTTGAGTTAGACTTGATTCTGCATAAGACAAGCAGAAGTCTATACGGATTAGACACCATGAAGTTTTGACGATGAAATATGATCGACTTACTGCATTTTTTGATCTACATAATAAATTTAACCTTTGAATAGCTATGTAGATTTGTAGAATTTCCTAAAAACTTAGGTGAAATTATTCAATTGTTCAGTAAACTCGGTGTTTGTGATGGAAGACTTTCTTGGGAACTACTACCGTAACAAAGGGAATAGTTTTATCAATTGAAAAATTTTCAGGCAAAATTTAACTTCATGATTTTATTTTACGAGAAATGCATACAGATGGGATAAAAATCTAGTTAATCGATAATAACAGTTCGGTTTCAAAGGCTCATGAGACTAAATCATTTGAGACTGTTGCTAATTTTTCTAAGATTTTCCTTCGAAATCTAATGTAAGCTCAAATAACATTTGTCACTTGAGACAGTTACTTCCTTAGAAGAATAATTACTGGATTTCATAATGAACAACAATACCTTAATCGAGCTTTTATCTGCAATCGCATGCAATTCTTGACTTTCTTGATCAAGAAAGCCAAGAACTATGGACACATCTTGAGCTCAAGTCTTGACAAGCGCATGAATAAAAAAGATCGACTAGGGTAGTTTTAAAAATAATATATCTTAAAGAATTCTCTTTTTTATTGCACCCAAAGGGTAAAGTCACGGTACTTGATTGTATATTGATTCTGCATGATGATAATGAAAACTGAAGAAGGTTGCATTTAGTTCGATTTCAACATCAATTGTTCTGTTAAATATAAATTATTTTGTATTAGAAAATGTAACATAGTTACTGAAAAAAAATAAAATATGATTTAAGGTCGTAAGAATCCTTGAGCAAAAAAGTGTCATAGAAATTCTTCCGGAACATTTTACATTTAGAAATCAGTTCTATGAATGAGAAAATTTTTATTCTTTTTCCCTTTCGATTGCACCTCCATGTTTTTACAACAACCGATAAAAGCTATTTTATAGCACCTTCATTGATTTCACATAGTTTTAAGTTGAAAATTTAAAAAATACAATTCATCTCCGAAGACAAAACGCATACATTTGTACAAAACAATGGTGGTTCGACTAAAATCACCCTAGCCGATGTTTGTGAATGTGAGAGCAATTATTATGATCATGTACGGAACTTTTTTGAGCTATGAATATACATGATATGTGAATAATAGATATATCATCGATATTCAAGAAAATGACGATTGAGAGTTGTGGAAAATTCTTTGTTCAAAACTCGTCGCCTCTTTCACAAAGCAATTTCAATTGATACCTTTTCTGCACATGAGATTTCACTCTCTCTAGTAGCAAACAAAAACGCATCATCGAACTTCCGCAATGTTGCATTAAAACTCAACATTATAGAAATAATTAATTCAGAACTTTGACCTTAACCATTAAAACTAATTTGCGTTTTTTCTATAATTGTATATATTAATCGGAGTGGCCAATTTTAATTGTGGATGTGTAGATAACTATGTATGCGTTCTATGAACTTATTTCACGTTTGCCATTATTTATAATACAAAAATAGAACAACATCAATTCATAAGAACAAACAACATTGATGAAAAAAAAACAAACAGAAAACAAAATAAATATATTAAAAATTTAGCTGTTTTATATACTTAAATAATATATGCATTTATATTCGGATAGAAAATCATCGTGTTTATGTGTTTTTTTAAATTTTATTTTGCTCTTTTGTCTGTATCTTAATTTATAGTTTTGTTTTGTTGGGCTGTTGAGCAGTTGATTGTGTTATAATCAATAATCATTAGCATTAATTTTGAAGAAAAGAAGAAAAACAAATGAATCTGTTATAGAATTTTCTCAAGAAAGCACCAGGTTTCAAGAAAAAAACGCGAACGAAAAAAAAATAATGATCAAAATTTGGTTTGTTTTAAGAAATATTATTTGATCATGCTTAATAATTAATCACACGGTGTTTTGCCGTTGAGGACAAGTCACGGATATAGTTGGCAATGGCTGTCGGATCGTGTTTAATTGTGTTTGAACATGAGATTCTAACCGTTCCCATAAACGATTGTTTTGTTCAGTAATAGTCGATACCATTAAATTAGGCAAGTTTTCAATTTGATTCTAAATATATGTAGATAACTATTATAGAAGTTCACGACTTGCATTCCTAAAACTTTATTCTCGTTCAAATCAAAAAATATTGTAAAAGTCTGTCTTTTATATTGGTTATATAGATTGATAGCTTTGATTTTCTCCGTTGTACGATTGATGGAGATTCAGAAGGTGTGAAACTTTTGTCATGAAATATTCTTCTGCACGCTTGCTTTTGATTCAAATTAGTTTTCTTAGCGATCCCAAGGTGAGAACACGACATCAACTTAGCAGAAACAGTTAGAATGTTATTTTTTGCTAGAATAACATGTCAAGAGAGGAAACTTTTTAAAATATTTCATCGATCATTAGGATATAAATGATGCACATAGACCACGCTAAAAGGCAATAAATCAGTAGGGAAATTTTTTCTCGTAAACCATAAAAAAAACATACTGAAACTAATTGAATCGATGAAAACTTGTTCATAGATCATATTTTATGATTTTCTATTGATAAACTACCTCTAGGGAGAACAAATCTGTTATGAAATAATATAATGATTAAAAATATTATTCAACGGGTTATAAATCATACTGAAGATATACAAAAATATTTTGAGTCGAAATTAGATGAATCTATGGTTTTTTTTAAGCATTGATACTTTTCTTGTGATTCATTACTCATTTGAGTTACTAATAATTAATTTTTTTGTAAGATTTCGAACGTATACTACTTTTATTAATTATTTTTATGTATAATTATACCTGTAAAGCCATTACTCTTGTATCTAAATCATGAAATTTTGTTTCGAGAACCGATTGATTCGATAGCATTTGAGAAACAATATCATATACCGATGATTGCAACTTGAAAAAGAAACAGAATGTAAATTCATTAGTAGAACAAATAGACCATAGCATTATTGTAAATGCTTTCTTACGCGAGCAATATCCGATACGGCATTAACATTATCTGTTAGTTTTCTTTGATCTAATTTAACTTTTCGAAGACTATAAAAAGCAAAATAAAGAGCACTTAACAAATATCAAGCGTTTATCATTACCTATGAATTGCTTGAAGAAATTTTCTTTGATGTGTTCGTACTTTAGACGTATTAACATATTTCACAAGTTTCGTATACTTATATATTAGCCATGTTTCACGTAGAACATTAGCTGCTGCATTTTTTAACTTAAAAACAAAAAGTCATATTTCAATGATTGTTTTTTTCTTCTTCCTATGATCGTCTAGCTTTCGACCTACTCTTTTGGTTAATTGTGTGTCCATCATAAAATTATGGACATGTTTTTCTGCTCGTGTAAGTTCAAGTTTACGTGCAAGTACGGCAACCATTGTTGCTGTACAAGATACACCCTGAAAAACATCAAAACAATTACTTATTATAAATTAGATTTAATATTTGTTTTCGAAGAGAAACAATCAATATTATCAAATTCATATATGGCTTGTTTTTATTGTTTTCCTTTGAGATTCGTAGAATAATAAAAGAATTGATTTTTTCAATTGGCCTCAACAGTATGAGAAAATTCTCGGAATTAATTTTATAAGAGAGACTGGGAATTAGCTATGATTTAAATATTTAAAATATTCTTCGTTGTTTTATTATAAAGAAAGATCAAGGTTAAAAAGAAAATAGAGTGCTTTTTTCCTCTTCTATGTCTGATTAATAGTGAATATTAAGTTTCGATTAACGATTTTGACAAGACAGACGTATTAGAATTTTACTGTATAACAAATGAATGAATATGACTATGGCAAATACGATTGTTTTCTAATTCGTTAGATATCGTAGGATAACATTACTATCATGACTAGACATTGATGAAATCCAAGATAACTATTAATTCTACAATGCTTATTGTATAAATAGATTTTCATATATATAGATGCTAGCCGATTGTCTTTTTGTTACTATGAAATTGCAACAAAATCTCATATTTGAAATAGTACTAACCATCAAACCGGATACAACACAAATGGCTCGACCACAATAAGTGTTTGGTACTATGTCTCCATAGCCGATAGCTAGAAATGTCACAGCTATTAACCACATCGAATTAAGGAGATTGCCATGATGTTTTGGATCATGATTGCTATTAAAATATAAAACATGCGTATATGCATTTAGGGTGTAAACAAATAAATTCCACATACCTCTCGCACGCTCTTAATGTCCAGCTGGCAATAATAAACAGTGACAGAATAAAAACAAGTAAAACTGTTCCCGGGCATATTGTCATCAATGTTTTTAATACAAATCTTGTATTAAATTTAATTCGATTAAAAGCTCCGATACTTCTCGATGAAGCATCTAAGAACAAGATGAATAATTAGAATAAAATATTTCTCATTCGTTTTCACTACAAACCTGTAAATAATTTGCTATGCAATAGCATAACGCGACATATTAAATAAAGTCGAAAGAACATGGGTAATGAAAGTAAAATATCAATATAAACAGGAACAGTTTTAATTTGCGAATGATAATCAGCTTTATTCGACATATGTGTTGTCCAGTCAAACATTATTGAACCAGGTATTGGATGAATTGCACAAACTTTAATTAGCAAGAAAATATGATTGCGAAAAGATTCAATTAACAAATTTTTCGTTTTTTTTACTCGATACTTCAGAACCAATTTGTAACACACGTTGCCATGTCATCGCAATCCTCCAATCGTCCAAACAATTATCAATCATAAATAACTATTACAATATATATATAGAAAACAGTAGTTTAAGTCATATGAAAAGTATTTGTCATTATTTACTTTTACTTCAAGTGCATGATAGAAAATAATCATAGCCAGTAAGACTAATGTGGACAAAGTTATAAACGATTTGAGAAGCACTGAGCACCAGTCGCTCTAAAAATAAATCACAATTAGTTTTTCAATTGTGTGTGCCTTTCGTCTCTATTTTCTGAAGTCTTTGTTTCCTTGCCATTTATATTTCCTGAAATAATGTTTTATTTTGAACAATTTTCATTGAGTTAATCATATATAAATTCAAATTCTATTTCATTCCGTTTTCTTTGTTTTTTTGTTCATTAATGACATAAAGCAATTTTCCTTATTACTGTTGCCTATCTTGTCATTAAGAAACCGTCTTTTCTCTTATTTTGACATCATCAACATGAATGACTAGAAACTACGATTTTGTATAGATCACATTCATTGTATGAATGTCTATGGCTAGGACTGTCGAAAAAAAAAGATCTGAGCAAATAGAAGGCAAATGCAGACCAGTGAGCACGTCACAGAAAGATAGAAGAAAAAAAGTCGGAGAATGTCTAAAGCAAATAACCAAAAGACATTAATGTCTTTTTCTTTTTCTTTTTCTTTTTGTTTAGAGATTTCCTATATGTTACAGATTATTATGAAAGAAAATCTTTAAATTACATTTATTCACACGCTCAGAAAATGTTTTTTCACTCATATCCTTTTACATTTTTTTTTATCATGAAAACTGTGTCTCCCAAGCAAGGAGAAAGGTTACTTAGCTGAAAATAAAATGTGAAAGCTTTCTCATCTGGTAAAGCTCTTTCAGGTGGAGTTAGTGAATAACAGATGTAGATCTGTACATGTTGCAGAAAGAGAAAGAAGAACAAAAACTGTCTACCAAACAAAATATTCTTTTTTTATGCACAAATGCCAATCGAGCGGAAGAACAAAAAATTTAACTATTGTTTTTAAGATCACTTGAGTGTATTCACTAACGAGCCACTTCCCAATCTCTTTCATAAATACAATATAACGTTTTGCTTCCGTAGACGCTTTTTTTTTCTTCTCTTCGATTATGATTCACACAAAAGAAAAAAAGCCTATAGATTTGTATAATTTCTTGTTTACCTTGTCGTAAACTTTAGCCATAGTGAATTCTTGTTCAAGCACCATTAATAAAAGACCAACCATGGCAAACAATAGAGCATAATCAGATGCTTTACGACGCTTTTCAAAAAGTAATTTTCGTCTGCCCAAACGGTAGCATTCTTTACGTGATGTTCGTTCGACACGTTTGCTTTCGCCTGAACGAGATTGAATGAGTGTTTGCCGAGACGAATCATCGGCATTATTAACTTTATGATGAGGATGTATTGATTGAATAGGAATACTAACACCAATAGATGTTAAATCATTTGAATTAACGGCATTTGCCGTTGGTGACATATGCGCCTTTTTATCGACATTCGAATTATTAGTTGTTGATATACCTGGCTGCGATGTATTCGACATGAAATCACTAACCAACGAACCGTCACATTCGCTTTGACGCGAACTTTGTCGTGGTAAACGATCGGGCCGTTGTAATTGACGAAATGGGATAGCTAGAAATGAGAAATAGTCAAAGAAAGAATAGAAAGAAAAAAAGAAAAAGAAAAGCGGCAAAGAATGTCGATCAATTATCCATCTTTTTTTGCTGCAATCTCTCGCTCTCCCTCTTCTCGCCCTCTCTGCCGGTCTGTCTGTCTCCTTCATTATATCTTCAAAAACTCGACACACACACACAAACACACACACACACACAGGCATAGATATTTTTACTGGCAATAATGAAACTTAGTTAGTGATACGTCATGTATAATTAGTCGATAAACTCGAAGATAATATTCTATTTCAAATTAAAACCTTGCTGTTCTCTACCCCGCGAGAATGAAACTCAATCGTTTTGAAAGCTAAATGGTATTAATAATCACAATTGGTTAAATTTGTCTCGTCCAGTAAGAATATTCGGGGAAAACAAAAAAAGAAGAAAACAAGAGAGAGGGAGAGAAGGAGAGGGAGAAGAAAGAACCAGAGTTCCATATTTACCTCCATTATACTTCATAGATTCTAGACTAATGTCTAAAATTGCATCTTCTTTTCGGCGTTTTAAATCACTGAGTAGTGTTTTTCCACCACTTGTTACACTCCCACTCCCACCACCACCACTATTATCTGTTTGAGTGCCAATATCTTCATTGGCAACTACTCCTTCACCACGCCATCCATTATAATTTGTGTCAGCTGAATGAGCACTACCATGAGATTCAATCGATCGATTAAATGTTGAATGACCAATAAGGACTTTAGATGATGCTGTAATTGATGCCATTGTTCCAAATATATATGTAGATAGATAGATAGACAACGAACAAGAAAGACAGAGTAAAGAAAAAATTGATTTAGGATAATGATAGTAAATAACAATTGGTAGTTTTACAATCGGATGTTGACTTTTGTTGCATTACATTTGGTTCAATAAAATAATCAAGTATATACAGATTTTTTTCTAAAAATAGAAATAATCGATAGACAAGAAGGTTCTAGGTAGTTTTGTCTTTATCTCAGTGACATATGCATATCTCTAGATATATTTGTATAGATGAATTACGTTGTCTAGCAGATTATTAATGGTGAAGACGATGCCAGAAAAATAAAAAATCAGGAAGGAAATGTAAAATGATCGATCGTCTCTTTAGCTGTCTGCCGAAAGTTTAGTCAGTCAATAGATTTCTATTTAATAATGTGCAAGTCTATCTTATAAATTCAATGGCAACTATTTTGAGACCTATCATGTAAAAATTCATGTCTTCCTTCTACAAAATAAGACAAAGCTAATTGAGCGTAGAGTATCGATTCTCAACAATCGATTGCCGTGTAATAGCTGTTGCGAAAGAGAAGAACAAGTAGAACAGATCAGAGTCAGATGTCTGTTATTTAGGAAAAACAAAAATTCGATTAAAAAAGTTTTCTTTCGTTCGATCATCCGATTCTAATTTTCTTTTCCGATTTTCACTTATGGTGCTTCTCTAAATCGTACGAGACGACAAGACGACAGCGTGAAGTATCATTCATACCGTGCACAGATTAGAATTATTAGTTTTGGTACTTTTACTGGTATACTCGTCATCGTTCGGGCTTTTTTGCCTTGTTTTTTTTCGTTGTCTATTTATCTTATATCAGTAAACATCGGCGTATGTTTCTGCGCGCGCGCACGCGTGTGTGTGTGTGTGTGTGTGTGTGTATGTGCCTATGCAGATGATGTGTAGAGTGTTAAGCACCATGCTGCTGTCTTTAATGCTAATAAAAGCAACAACCATAATAGTAATAATAATAAACCTAGAAATCTGACAAGATATGTGGCGACGGCAGATCGATACCATTATGTCTCTTTCTGTATCTAATACCTATAGCCTATTCTTCATTTTATTATATACATATATATGCATCTATATGTTTGTATAAATTTTTCATGAAGGAAGACTAAATGATAGGATCAACTGTTTACGGAGAAAGCAGAAAAAGAAGAAGAGAAAAAGAGACTTATTCTTTTTTTCGCAACTTCTCTATCGTTTCCTGTATCCTTTGTCATCCACAATATTATTAGGCGGCACAGAGAAAAAAAGATCTCTAGATGTATGTATTCATTCCATGCGCATGCTCATTGTTGCGCGATCGTTATTTTATGTTCTGGCTGAAGACCAAGCATAAATTATAAACTATGACTTGATAGTGAGAAGCCGGAAAGCGTCTCATTTTACTCAACTAACTACTAAAGAAATAACAAAAAGAATGGCCATGATTGGCTCTTGAATACGAGAACAAAAAGAATGACAAAACGATAAGAATAAATGCATTGAGATACGGGGTAAAGGTGTTACAACAAAACAAAATCAACTTAACACAGATTCTGATGTTTATGAATTAGAAAATTGACGAACTTACATTAAGAACTATTTTCTCACTGGTAAATATAAGTCAGAGATGTAGAGTTAAATATGAGAAATATACATGCAAACACGCATATGAAACAGACATTCGATGCATCATATGGATCATATTTTAGTCACATGAGTAGAGAAATAGCTATGTGTAATTTAGCATTATACTATCTGCATCTGTTACTCTCGCATGTTCATTGTTTTGCCTTAACCAGAAAAAAAAACAACAAAATTATGCCAGCTCAATTCGCAGTAGACTGCACAAAATCTGGAGCGTATTCTTGTGCACAAGCAAGTGTCGTATCGCGTGTAGCTGTTGTAATGAGAGCAAATCTAGTGTCGAGGAAAAAGAAAAGAAGATGAACTGCAGATTTAGTATAGCAGTTAGTCACGTTAGATGAAATTCAGGACATTGCAATAAAAATATTGTAGCGAACAAGACTACTCCTTATTGTCGTCAGACACGATGTAGCGGGCTCTTAATTATGAAAGAGAAGCATATACATAGAGCGACAATATTGAACAAAATACTTGAAAACAATAAGACAATATTTCATGTTGATAAGTTATGCGCCACATAAATTTAAAATAAAAATAAATAACTCCTGAAATACGTTACATATATATATATATATCACAATTTATATGTACATACATATTGATTACACAATGAATAATTAATGATTGACACATATACGTTCTTATCAGTCTATATTAAAACTTCAAACGTTTCTACCGGGATATAATAAATTTTGATAGCTTCAACATTTACATTATTATCAAACATCTAACAGAAGTACAGAAACGAAAGTACTCAAATTAGCAACTAATTTGGTTATCAAAAAATACAAGATATCCCGGACACTTTCAATATCAGTTAGACCGTCAAACTATGCAACAAAGACAGAAAAGGGCGTGACAAAATAATCGAACAGGTCGTTGGTTGTGTGGCCTTTCTTCTTCTCCTTCTTCTTTTAGTTCTTTTCCTTCTTCGTCTTCATAATTCAACGTCTTCTTTTTCTCTTCGTTGTTCCAACAACAACAACAGCAGTAGCAGCACCAGCATCAGCAGCAGCAGCAACAACGGCCATGTCGATGTTTGCCATGAAATAGCGAATACCAAAGTAATAAAAAAAAGAAGAAAAACTTTTTCTGCCTGTGAGCCTCTTCCTTTCTATACATCAATATAGTTTAACAAGCGTGATGAACAATTGAAAGGAAAAAGAATTGAGAAACAAAATGTTTGCGAATAATAGACCTATGTAAATTATCACTAATTAGTTGAATCCTAGAAAAGAAAAAGCTATAGAGTTTCTTTTCTTGTTTTCCGTATAACTCGCTACCTGGCCAATTTCTCTTCTACTTGTAAGTTCTTATCTTAGTATGAGTATTTATTTGTATGTTTATTACCCGAAATGAGCATTCAACCATCAAGAGATACTTTTGTTTATCATATCATAGTTGTTCGTTTAACTCTTTTTTCCACTCTATTTATCAAACATTATGAGTTATAAATAGCGACCTAGTAAAAGACTTGATGCAAATACAGAATAGAAAGAAAGAAAGAAAGAAAGAAAGAAAGCGAGAAAAAAAAGAATAGAATAACTAATCAGCTTTTTATTCCTGAAATTCTTCACTTGGACAGAGATTTTGCTTTTTTTAATTAACCACCTAAATAACAAAAAAGAAATAATTTCTCATGTCAACACACAACCATTTAAACGTTACAATTAATCGTTTGAAACATAAAGTTGACAAGAACTAAATATAACTTATAATTTCGTACGATCGATTTCTAAAATATTAATAATTATCCTATATCAATAGAGAACGAGAGAGAGAGAAAAAACGACTCCATTCAGATCTCTATCAATTCAATTATCGAAAGATTTCGGAGAATTTTGTTTTTGTTATTATTTCTATGGGACTTGTCTAGCGTTCTACATTTGTTATAATTGAATCAACATCTATGCTCGATTGCTTTCGTTCCTTATTCGAAATGCATTTCTCTCATTTCCTCTTCTGTTTTACCAACACAATTAATATAAAGTCGGAGCAACTGACATAATATCATCACTAGTCTGCATGTCTTTGATTTGCATCGTTTTGTTTATCTATACCAACATCATTTAACTAGCGAGATATCACAGAGTTTTGATTGAAGAAAAACAAAATTAGCCACTAGTATATGAATTATATTTTTGATAAATATCGTGACAACAGAGTTCATGATAAATATGCCAATCATTAAATCGGATTAGACAAATAGAATATGCCAAAGAAAAAAACGTATTGTATTAATAGTTCTTTTTCTCTGGTAAAATTAATCTATCCAATTTGATTAAGTGTTATTATAAATTGTTCGCCCAACTTATTCGGATTTCTCGTAAATAGAAAAATAATAGTGTTTCCAAGGAAAAATACTTCTTTATATAGCTTACATGCGAATAATACTTCTAATAAGTACCTGAGACGGATGGTTTTCATAAGAAATCATTTCCTATTTTCTCGTATTGAACTTAGTTCCGAACGAACATAATTAACAATAACAATACGATACTTTCTACGACCTCAATTATTACTAGGTTTTGGTTTACCGCTGCAAGAAATAAATGTCGCAAATGTTCGACAGATTCGTTCTTTATGCAGTTCTGTTTTTTGCTTATGGATGATGGGGACCAAAAAGTACGATAAGCAAAAACATATATGACGCTAGCAAATATTTTCTTCTTTTTTTCTATCTGTCTGTTTTATCGATTTAGGAAAATTATAATGAGAATATTTTCCTTAGGTTTTCCATTCAGAAGGTTAACTTGAAAACGCTGCTTGCAAACTAAAAAAGGAATTAGAGAGTTTAGAACATTAGGCAATTTATTAAATAATTAATGGACTTCGTTCGCGTCGGCTATTTTCAACATTGATGATTGACTAAAATATAAATTTTTTTTTTCTAATTTACTTCATCGGTGCTTTCTCAAAAACTGAACATCAAAACATCGCTTGAATTAAATGTAGCATAAACATCAATTATAGTATTCACATACCATAGGAATTCACCTCACTGATTTTTTGTTCTTGTTGTTATTGCATGACTAAGTATATCCATTGAACCTGAATCAATACAGAAGACAAGCGATTTCATAATCTTTTCAGACTTGAATAGGCGTGGCCAATAGTGGAATCATTTTATATTGTTGTAAACGACATTTAATTGCTTCTTCTTTTTGCGATTAGTATCGTTCCATTGTGAAGACTTATATACTTGTACGAATATTGCCCGGTGTTTTTCTCTGAACAACTTGAAATTACTCGTAAAATATTACTAAAATTGTTCTTTTTCCAGTCACGTTCTTATAACAAAAGAGTATCAATCAAATGATCTTTGAATAATTTATTTCAATGATTCCCTAAGGATTTAATTGATTGTTCGCTACTCAATATGCATAACGATAAATAGACGGTGATTTATCAAATCTATTAAACGAAAAACTATCCAGATAGTATTTTTCACTCGTAAAATATATACAATGATATTGAAATATGCATTCAACTGTAACTGAAATACATCGTTTCATTTCTATATGTAATGTTTATTCAGTAACTGAAGATATTAATATCATACTCCGATGATTTTCTCTGATTTCTCTTTTATAATACACACTAATTTATTCTCTATAGATTTTATTTCTTGATTAACTATTTAGAGTTATTTATAGAATCGAATTCTATTACAATAATACAGCTATATTCGATTGACAATAGCAAAACTTAATAAATTATGAACATCTAAACATAAATTTACATTTGCGTTCGAGTGTTATTGTCTCCAGAATAAGTATCCTCGCGTATATACTGACTTAATTGACATATAATGATAAAAAATATCAACTATTGCTGTCAGTCTGTATTCGGGGGTTATCCAGGAAATTGATATATTTGTTTTCCAAATTTCTCGACTTATGTAAGTCGTCGACACATGCATATACAATATCAAAAAGAAAACTTTTGAAGGTCAAATACAGATAAAAAATATAAACACTAGAACAAAACCGTCAATTTTGGTTGAAAAGAGTGAGCGAACATTCATAGATGGCAATGACCAATCGCGACTATCTTTCGTCTTATCATTTTCTTATTGTCTTTATTCCATCGACCATACGGCGAATCAATTAACACACGCAGAGTTTTATTGAATAGAACAGTTCTTCTATACTACTAAGTTATATTTATAGTCGACAAATAGGATAAAATGATCTCATGAAAGAATATATGCTCAATAATTAGCCTATGCAAATATATTTTTCTTCAAAAATGATGATTACTGAAATTCAAATGAAGTTTTAATTAGTCTTCGAGTAATAACTATCTTTTAAACGAACTTCGATAATTCATTCGCAATAATATTATCATTACTCTTGTTTTCTTTCATAGTAGTGAGCATGATAAAAGAATGTTATTGAATACTCTGGTGTTATATTTTCTAAAGACACAGATAACATGGATGTTATTTCAGATTCGCCTAGTTTTATATCTCAGATCAGATCGAATGATATTATTATGTCTCATCGTGTGACGAAATGCCTTTTCCTTGTGTTTAATGAATGAACCGATGAAAACGTTGTTAAAAAGATTTCTTAGTATTCAAAAGCCGCTAGGATGTTTTGCATTGCCATCATGAAATATACGATGCTAATGAGGTCATCCAGTAAAAATGCCTGTAGCGAATATTTTCTCGTGAGAAAACAAATAGTAAAAATGTGTAAAACTAACTTAAGTGATAGAATACTCCATCGTCGCACTTAATTCTGGAATGTATTTTAATTCATGTTATCTTTAAATGCAAGTTTTTTTCACTCTGAGTACGATCTAAAAATACTCTTACCATCAATAATTGGAAGAAACAATCCGTATTCTCTGAAGTTGATTGTCTTTATTTACAATAAATACTAACCAGAAATACTAATCAGCGTTCGAAATGGCAATATTTTGAAAAAACACAGGCGTATTCTGAGATCATTAGAATTGTATGGGAAGAGTTCAGTGACTCGAAAGATCGACTAGGATTTCCTTTGCTAAAATTGATTGTAATTTTCTCAGAAAAACGACAAAAAGAACTTTTCTTTAGAATTCAAGAGCAGAAAAAAAACCTAGAATAGAGAAAAACTTGTTTAGGTTACGGGTACATCTCTTGTAAGGTGTCGCTAAAGCAGAATTGGAGTAAATTTTGTTTCTCGTTTATTTATATATGGTTTGATAGAGCTTGAAAAGCTGATCAAGAGTATATACTTTTTATTTCGATTTAGTTACTGCCTGGCTGAGAAAATCTTAAGAAATGAGAACACCTGAGAAAAACATATTTTTATGTTAAATTTTGTTTTTCTTACAAAAATTGCCAAATTTNAATTTAACATAAAAACAGCATTTTTTCAGTCGTTCTTGTTTTTGAAGATTTTCTCAGCCAAAAAAAAGATGAAATCGAAATAAAAAGTACATATTCTTGATCAACTTTTCAAGCTCTATCAAACCATATATAAATAAACGAGAAACAAAATTTACTCCAATTCTGCTTTAGCGGCACCTAGCTTGTAATAACCTTTGAAGTCGAGTTTGATAATAATTAACGTGATATAATAATATCTTGTTATTGATAGATATACTACTATTCTATGTTGTATGATCTATCTAGTTAATAACTGCAATAAAAAAATTTGTTGACAGAAAACTTGGCTTTATGAAAAAGGAAATCCTAGGAATTCAGATTAATTTTGTTCATTGATAGTAACAGATGCTAGAAACGTTCTCCATCAATTTTGTTCTCATAATAATTTGTCATGATGATTAGATACCTTGCTAGCTTCAAGGAACTAAGTCTTCGCTAGAAAAATACGTGTAAATATCTTGGTTTAAGAATACTAAAGTGAATGCGAAAATAGTTAAGATGATAATCGTCTAAACAACAGAACTTGAATTGAAATTTTACACAAAGTTCAACTATGAAAATACTGCATTTAATCGATTTTTCTTACAAAAAACTTTGAAAATTTGTTTTACGTACGTGCAACCAATGGCAAACATACTTTCAACTGGTCTCATACTAGTTTAATTACAAAATCATTGGTTCTACAGAAAATTTTCTCTATCCCATGTATGCTATCTGAAACAAAATATCAAATAGGAGAGTTCAATAAACGCCAGTTGAACATAGTATTTGAGATTTTACAAAGTTCCATTTCGGGGAGAAAACTTAAGCTTTCGAAATTACTGATTTGTTGTAAGCGTTTGGAATGTTCTTTTTCAACTGCAAAAAGATTCAATTAACAACATATCCGCATCCGGAAAATTGTTTCACTTCAACATGTCCTCAAGAATTTTGTGTTCGGTTGAATTATTCCACAACGACTATTTCGACATCGCTCAATAGCATAGACCTACCACTTTCAAATAAGAAAACTATCAAGTCGTGATAATGAGTATTTATCACACTATACTGAATGAAAAATTAATATAACAAAAAAACCGTGCACCACCCGTTTTTCTATCAGGCATTTCAACTAGAAGTTGTTCAAGGAAAAATCTCAATTTTTAACATCTATCTCCTTCGTCGTCTAATTTATAGCCATTCTAGAAATAGTTTTTCATAAATGAAAAATATCATTTTTTCTTCATATTCATATAGAAGAAAAACCAATTCCCATGGTTGAAACATTTATTTATTAAATTAATCATAGATATAAAAAAATTCACATATGATATATATGTTTGTATATATGATATTTATTTTGTTCCTATTTTGTGGACTTACATTTGTTTTCTAATTATTAAAAAAAAGCAAATATATAATACAAATCATCAACTAGCGGTTGAAGAGAACTAAGTATGCATATGAGAATAATAAATGTTAACTGAAAAAAGAAAAGAAAACATGTGAAACCCTTGTTGAAAATTAATACTTGAATAAGTATAGTTCATTTATCGTGTACATATATATATGAATACGTATTAGCAGAAATTTGTTCTTTGTCTTAAAAGTCGTCATGAAATGGATCCGATGATGATGGCGGAAACGATCGATTGGTACCAAATGTCAAGAAAAGTCGCCGTAAAAGTAGAAACGATACGATCATACAACAAAGAAATATAAACATGCTCAAAAGATTATTATTAGATTCATTTTGACGTCGAGTTGATGCATTTATTGGCGTTCGTATAGGTGTATGTATTGAAGGCACGGCCGATATTGGATCTGGTGGTGATAATAATTCAGTATTCGCTTCATCAGTGGATGTTGATGATGGTGTTTCACCTGTTGTTTCAGGTTTCTGAAACAATGACAATAGAGATTAGTTTGCTTCTGTTTAGTTAATAAATCAAATACATACTTTAACCATACCGATTTGATTGGCTAATTCTTTTGCCTCTTTTTGAGCATCAACTGATTTTTCTGATAACGGTAATAGTACTTCACCATTAGTTATATCACATTTTGGGCATTTGTATGAATGTGATCTATTGAAAAACACGAAAACTTAACTAAATAGTACAATGATATACTACGTTGAAAAAACGAAACTCGCTTTGAATAGCAGATATAGTATTACAATAAAGATGTAGAAGATGAATATTTATCGTACCCTGTAATCTGATTGAAAAATCTTTTTACTCTTATTCATCTATCAGTCAGCACGACCTCAGATGCTATTTTAAATAACAGAAAAGGAAGCTCTTGATGTCAATGAGGTGTTATTAAGAATGGTGGAGCAAACGGCATAATCAGAAGCTGATAAAAATTCAAATGTCTAAATACTCCTCGATGCATGTTTAAACCGCCTTCCTTCCTTCCTTCACAAAATTCTTGTTATATTTCTATTTCATAGATTGTCACGCTTGTAGAATATGCCCTATACACATATAATAATAAGAGTACTTCCCCAGGTAACTGACGAAAAATAAAATTTCACTCGCACTAACCAATTTAAAACAGAGAAATCTTTCTTACTTTTTAGCAAGAAGTTTGCGTTCTTCTGGTGTATAATCAAGTGAGCCTAGAGCACCTTCACCGGGCGTTTCCATGAAACCAATAATAGCCAACAAAGCTGTTCGGACACCCCATGTGGGTGTCCATGTTTCAACATGATGACCAGATATTGATAAACATATTTTTTCATGGATTTTAAAACGTCCACTTTCCTAAATGACGACAGAATATTATTAACATAATTTAATCGTAAAAAAAAAGAGAACAATTTACTGTAAGTAATATAATAGAAGGTGGTTTCATTGGGTATTCAACGGGAAATATAATACGTCCATGATAAATTCCTTCCTCAAACTCTGTTGCTATAGGGCCACGAATTGTAAAATGCCATTCAAATAAATTATCCTATTTATATAAAAAATAAAAATTTATATTCAGTTTTTGAATAAATGACGAACTTCAATCGGTTGGCAATAATACAGTTCTGTTGGATCTTTCATTTCGACAGCTTCACGCATAAGTCGTTTTACAGCTAAAATATAAAGATTTAATTTAGCGAAGTGTAAAATGAAAATGGTTCGTTTTCGATTACATACAAGTACTTCGAGTGTTATACAACGATGTAGGTGGTGGTTCGACTGCATTAGACATAGATGCTACTGCCATGATTTCAATAGATTTTAATGAGAGGTGAGGAGATAGATCAAATCTAAAACAATAGCGTATCAAAAGGTTGTGTGACTGTTATTTATTACATGATCTTTATGAAGTCTAGAAATAAAAGTATACTATCAATTGTTTCTGGTTTAATATAGACTGAAAAAAGAAATTGAATTTTAAAATACTCGTTGAAGATATTAACAGCTTTATAAAGTCAATATTACGAAACTAAATATGAAAAGTAAAACATGTCTCTGACCGAAGTAAAACAATTAAAGATAGGGTACCCCGTCTATCTATATTTCTTGTAGATCAAATTATTACAAGGCATCGACATTAATTTGCATGGATCAAAATCCAATCATATAATAGACAACTATTGAGTTCAATGTTTTCCCTAAACTTCTATAGAATGAATCGATAGATACAACATCAAACGGAATATATATATATATATATATAGTATTTATTTCGTAGATCTATATCGAGATAAATGATCCGCTGAATTTTAAGGATTAACTTTACCAATGAGAATGACTTTTTTCCTAAATAAATACGGAACAGTTGAGTAAATATGAATTTAGTCATCCATAATTCTTTATCGCTTCAAATTAAGAAACAGATTGATATTTGAAATAACTGACGTGGTGACAGCTTGATCACAGTCCAGAATTTATACTGTCCCTAATTACTAACCAATCAAAATACAATCTATTCAGTCTTCATCATAGATGTCATGCTATAGTGTATAGCAGATCTGGTAGCAATATATTTTCTGTATATGTTTTTATGTCAGCCACTCTTAAATCAAACATGATCGTTCCATTCAAAATGATGAGTAGTAACGAGCATAATCAGTTTATGATAAAGACGATCATACTTAAAAAAGGTTGATTCGTTCCTAAAGAAGTTTAAAATATGAATCTTTGGCTGCTGAATTAAATCCTTGTTTCGTATCTGTGCTCTATAAGGATGAAATTAACATAAAATTTTCTATAGGAAAAAAATATAATAAAACAAATTCTATCGATCTATTTTATATCGAATAAAATCTGACATTGGCAATAATAATAAGAGGACAAAGAAATTCTATCAACACTAATGTCAACAGTAAATTGTCCATTCCAAAAGACTAAGTATGCGTAATAGGTTTTCATACAAAATTTTAGTATCGTGTTTTTCGACAGGTTTTAGTATAACTGTAGCATCGTATGTCTAGCTGAAGAAATTCATAAATATATTCCATGCTTGACTTGTTATTTTGCCGTCGGAAATCGAATACTAAATATCAATTGGTTGTCTAAATAAAAGTTAAGAGAGAAATTCTATTAGGTTTTCTTTTCATGAAATATTCTTTGACCAATCTGGATTGCGTTTATCAGTCGTACAGATTTACATATTAAATAGTCACGTATAGAGCTCTTCAAGAAAATAGTTTGCTCAATAGGAAATGGTTTATTGACTTTCTTTAATATATCTGTATTCTATTTTTATTGCTACAGATCCGAAGTTTGCTTTTCACATTTCAATTCATCTGTTTGATCCATTTTGTTTCCAAGAAACATTGGCACCTATTTGTTGACGGGGCATTAATAAAATTACTTCTCAACTTTTCCCAGTCACCCGCATGGAATACTATGTTGTGGCCACAGAGAAAAGGAAATACGAATGTAAGAAACCAAGGCCATTTTATCTCACTATGTTCTCGTCTCAGTCGTTCTTTTTCTTTTGTTGCTTACATATAGCGAGGTAATCATAATAACGCAGTCTTAAGAAACGAGTATTTTTGCAGTACCATCAACAGCTATAACGGAAATGGTACTCATGCAATTGATATTTTCTGATCGAACCAGAAGTAGTCTAGAGAAGCAAAAGAAGAAGAAAATAAAGCAAAACTCCAGTTGATACACTGCTTTACTCTATCGCATTTTTTGTTCTAGAATAAATATATTACGTCATATTTATTTATCGCTAATAAACAAGCTGACAGTACGCACAATGACAAAGATGGAACTTTCGAATGCACGATTAGGTTAGTATGATGAATTGCGTGAACTCGTTGCTTCACTATTTTGTTCTGAGAAATAAACCAGAAGGAAAATTTTGAAAATGAAATATGACTTTTGTTTTCGAAAAATCTCTATCAAATAAATAGACATATAGATTGCATGAAGATAAAAAGAACTTAAAATGATTATATCAACAGTATAATTTGACATCATCGGTTTTGATCGGCAAGATAATGCTTATGTCTATTCGTTAGGCTTTCTATTTTTTCCTTACTATCTAAAACCATTTTTGGTTAGTGATTAATTTTATCTTCGAAAAAAATTCTAGCGAAAATTTTTGAGCGAATGCAAAACAGAGAAAAAAGTTTGAGCGAAGAGATATTCGCTGAAAATATTTTTCTTTTTAAATATTTAGGTCTCTCGCAAGCATGGCCATTACTAACACTTGGCTTGTCTTCACTTACAATTGTTGTTGTGGTAACAATTTTGATGATTTTACTATGTGTTATACTTCCTACTAAACGACACCATCGTACGTTTTCATTTATATGTAATTGAAGCATTTATCATATTTTTTTTTCAGGCGTGCCAACTGAAGAAGCACATCACTTTCAAGAAGACTTTCAAGTGAAATAAAAACACTAGCAATCGTTATAACAACATAACAGACTTATCTAATTAACTTTTTTTTTCTTTATTTTTGGTCAAATAATCTAAAAACTAAACACTAGAATAACTCGAAAATCAAAAACAAAAGGAAAACTAATTGAAATTTTAATTAGATATTTCTTGTTGCTCCTCTATGAAAGTATTCCTCATAAGAGTGAATTCTAAAATAAAAAGCATCATCACAGGCACAAGCAATCATTGGTATAACCAACATGTTGGCTTCTGTATCTATGTACTCATAATGAGATACATGAAATCGTTGAAGCATCAAGTTATTTCTGTCTGTTATTTTTGTTTGAAAATTAAAAGTTGATTTCTTCGGTTGAAAAACAATATTTTTTTATGTAGTTTCAAAGAAATGTTTCATTCCATATATATTGTTATGATATGACGGTACCAGAAATATTAATCGAACCATTGTAGGTTTCTATACTTTCTATTCAGAAGAGAACAAAAGATGCAGATATTAAATTACAATAGTCACGACTGTTCGTTGTTCTGTATTAGGACTGGGCGAAAGTTCACACTACTTCATTTAATTAAAATATAAAATTCATTATTATTGTCGTCAGTGTAATACTTTTAAAAATAGGATGAGCCAGTATTCAATTTATAATAACTTCTTAAGAAAAAAGACTAAAATATCCGTCTTTTTCCTTGACAAGAAAGTAATCTGAAACGATGACTGCAGATCGATCTGCTTGAAGTGTCTAAATTTTTCATGAAAATATGATCATCTATTCAATCTTTTGCATAATAATGAATATATTAGTATACAATATTCATCGATCATCCTTTCGTTTATTGTGAAATTACTCATTAACAAAAAGAGGATGCCTTCTAGTGATTCCTCACTGATAAGGTGACATGGCGGGATATGAAAAGAGAGAAGTTTCATCGTATAATTAGCTCCAAAGAATGTCAGCGTCTAGGTGTACTTAGTATGATTATCGAAATTAGCATCAATATCATGATAGATATAGGAGAACCACCTGAAAACGTTTTGTTTTAATAAATCATATGATCCGATGTTTTCCCTTCAGATATCAAACTTTGAAAAGCCTTGAGTTTGATGCTCGTGTTTAACACGAGGAATTATTTATTAATCATTGTACCTATGATTGTTTTGCTAAGATAAAAATACAATGAAGTGGCGGAAGCGCTGTAAAAAAAGCCAAAAAACGATGGAACCTACGCACCTCAAGTGATTATCTTATACGTTTTTTATGAAGCCGTGGTGCAGTTATCCCAACAAAAATTAATCAATTTTTTATCATCATCTGCAAACAGGGACTTCGATTAGAGGTGGGCTGTGGGGGACCAGCCCCCCACTAAATTTAAGAAATAAAGTTGTTTCTGCGAAAATTTTTCCTGGATTTTGGGTTATTCGAAAACTCTTGGTTGCAGTACGTTTGTGTACCGCCAATTAAGATGTTTTTTTTTCTAGTAAAAATGTTGTTTTATGCATCCTATTGTTAAATGAACATTCTCGTTCTGCAGTTATTCGTTTCTATTGGTGACTCCGCTGTTCATTTTCTATTCGTGCCAGAAAATCTTTAATTTCTACCTTTTACTTCTGTTGAAAAATCTAGCGATTCTATTTATTTCTGTCAGAAAGCTCACTTGTTCTATTTGTTATTTCTGCCAGAAAGTTCACTTCACTCTATTTGTTCAAGATTTCATAAAAAATCCAGGGCGTGCAAAATCACGAAATGTAACATTATTTTTTGAATCTGATCAATTGAAACAGAAAGATGATGAGTTTTGAAAACGTTTTTTGAAATATTTCTTTTTATAAATATGTTGTTTTGGCTTATTTTTAATAAAAATGAACTTGGATCATCTATGCTAGATGGTGATATTATAAATCAAGGATGTTCTTTTTGACATATACTGGCTGCCAGAAAAAGTACTTTCTGCCAAAATTTAGCCCCCCTCACTTCGAAAAGTAATCGGGAACCATGATTTCATCATAGTTTAGTACTATATTGATTAAATTTACATAGAATATCTATGGAGAGCCGATACCAGGAAATTTAAATGCCACAAAATATTTTGACTATTTTACGTTAAATAAATGTAAAAACTTTTCATATTTATTTATTAACTTAACTATAGATATTCTCGGTGATGAAAATATTGAACATTGGCAATTGGTTCGCAATGCTCCATTTTGGTTACGTGGTTTTCAAGGAAATGAATTGCAACATTTATTGCGGCGATTGAAATTTCAAGGTAAACACTTGGAAGAAAGTCAACCACAACGTTACTCAGATTTAATAACACGCATACGTTATCTTATGTTTAAAATTAATTTTAAACATTATAAACGTCCATGGCTTATCCGTCCAATCGTGGGTCCAGATGAACCTTTACCTGAATATTATGATCCACGTTCCAGTTGAAAAAAAAACTCATTTGAGTTGTTTTTTGTTTATTATTATTATTATTATTATTATTATTAGAATAAAAAAACAACAACAACAATAAACTATTCTTTATCTTTCTTCGATTTTAGTTTTAATCTAGTTGTACGTGGTGGATCTGTAACAGTAGGTCGTTGAATATAATAGCAATATGTATCAGCTTCAGGTATTAGGCGCCAATCGGCATATTTTACTATATGCTCAAATGTTCCTTTCTTTCGATAGACGTCTCGAACATCAGGTATGCGCGTGTAATGATCACAACTAAAACCTATTGAATCCATCATTGATTGAATATAGATACGTAGTGCACGTATACGAGGATTATATCGATCTGTCCATTGAACATCCCATCGTTCGGCTAATAATAATTTATCTTCAATAAGTAGTTTTCGAAGTACTGGCACTTCAGATCCAGGCATGCTTACTTTGATATGCAATCTAGTATTCTCTGATTTAACTAAACGAGAAAGCCACGAGGAAAAATCAATCCCATTCAGCATTACTACATTTTGTGCGTCTACTAAAGAAGAAAAAAAGAAAGAAATATTTTGTTTTCCTATTGAATAATTTTTTACCGATTTCAGTCAGCTGTATACGACTATTTTCTCCATGATTAATTAAAAAAGGAACTTTTTCATTTCTTAACCAAACAACTTTAGGTATTATAGTTATACTGTAATTTTCAAATTGTTTTTGTTTTAATTTTTTCTTACATAATTGATAGTTAATTGGATCTGGTTCAAATGTAATTATATCATATAATATACTATTTGGAGTAAAATAAATAAAATGTTCAACTGTTTCACCATCAAAACAGCCAATATCAATGTAAATATGAGTAGAATTTCTTTTAAATACACTTTCATCGATGCTATTATTCAATAATGTATCTGAATCTTCTATTATGAATAAAGATTGCAATAAGTGCATTACAGAAAATAACATGAAGATAAATATGAAAACAATCATAAAATAAATTGTATGTCGATTGTAACACCTTGGAACTCTTTTTTCTTTAATTGTACGTGAACACAGCATGGGTTGATTTATTTCAGTTCCTTGAGACATCAAATTTTAAACCTGAAAAGCAAAATTTCAATGAATGATTTTGGTTATTGCAAGCATATGGATAAAAGATAACTATTTGTATATTCATATACTTTCATAAAAGACGTAACTGCAGACGTACCGTTTTTGGTCTCTGTCGTTTCTTGACATTGGCGTTTGCGTACATTTATTGGCTACGCATCACTGATGGATACGAGTCGATGAATGCATAACTCAATTTGATTCAAGCAATAGAACATGCCAATACGAAAAAAGATTTATCTTTCCGTTGGTATATGTACTTTTTTCTCGCTAATTGAATCACGTCACATTATTGTAGGTTTGCTCTTAATATAAGAACGAAGCGGCAGTGCCCAAGGACTGAGAAATAGGAATTCCTAATGTGTCGAGGAATTGCCAGTGGCGCTGTGATAGTTCCTAGAGGAAATGGGAATCAACTATAGGCTCCCTCGCAGTTCCACCATTCACGAAAGTCCTGATATTGCTGTTTTAAAAATAATTTTTGCATGAAATCATTGATTCTCATAATTTTTCAAGTGAAAATGAGTGTAAGAACAAAAATTATCGTGAATATTACATATTTTTACCTTTAGTATGCCAGGTACTGCAGGGAAACTGATGAGTAATTCCTAATCCTCAGTCTTTTGACACCCCTCGGAAACATCACCAACAATTATCAATCAAACTATTCAAATTTCTTTTTTACTGAATATATTAAATCTTTAATATTCTTCTCAGTAACCAGGAACGCTAATCAAATCCTATGCACGACTATTTTTTTATGCACAACTATTTTAAATAAGCAGTAGAATATATAAGTGTATTCTTTTTTCGAGAAATTTCGTCTGTAGTTTATTTTCATCTACATTTAAATAACCTGTGTTAGGTGAAATTTTTTATATTACCTATTTTTTATGCTGTGCATATAAAAAATATTTACCTTGAGCATATTTCCGTTCACATGAATGATTAATTACCACATCTGTTTCATTTCATTTACGAATAAAATAGCCAATCGCGTTTTTAAAACGATAGAATAAAATAAAATAGCTCTTTATTCTATAAAAGTATAGTTGTGAAGTATGTGTGAAGTTCGAAGGTTATTATGAACCTTTAACGGCTGAAATAAAAATTTCCGTTTGAGACTACAATTATATTGATTTTCTTCGAATTTTTCTCTCGACACCTTTGTGGTTGATAGTACAGCGTGCAAAGCAAATCAAGCCTTAACAAAGTGAGTTATAAATAGATAATCTGACGATTATGATTCAAACATAGTCTAGTTTCATTTTGTGAGTGTGAACGTCGAGAAATTTCAAAAACTTTCGTTGCATATGTTCCAAAAGTTCCCATTTCCGATAGAGATCTGACGGAAAATTAGTATTTCATTATATAGCAATCCTTGCTTTTTTGTTTTGATATGCTTCAAATATGTTTTAGTACAAATTCACAAGTTTAATTATGGATTTCAATCTGCACAAGCTTGATTTTTACGTCTTTCAGAACTTAGAATCGATGACTACCATACATATAATGATCCTAGATTCGCAAAAGATATTTATTTGTTAATCTAGTACGTTGATTTTCAAATATCAGTATCAAAATGGCTGAGCTGTAATCTCATCTTTTACTGTGTGACACTGTAAAAGTTACATGGTTCAATTTAATTCTAGTGTCTTCTATTTCAAGTCATTCCATCTGCGAGGATTTAGTCGAACCGAAAATATTTATCAGATAATGGCTCGAAAATTCGTCAAATATCTCGACAAAATATAGACTAAAAAGAACGCAAAGAATGTAGCTCGAAAAGGTCAGTGACTCTCTATTCAACAACATCAAAAACAAGATTTTGTCAATATTTTATGTTTTCATAAATATAACGAACTAAACAATATTCTCAGAAAATAAAAAAGCTTAATCAAAAATATCCGATAACGATTTTTCATATTTAGTTAAAATAGCATCCCAAACATCGTAGAACTCCAATGGATCATCACGCATTCCAGTATGTAATTTTGACATGCATATTAATAACTGTGGATTGTTCATGAAATATTCATCACATGGAATTGGATTATAAAATGTATAAGAAAATTTAAGATCTTTAAAATCATAAAATGGTATTTCTGCTAAATCACGTAAAATACCAGTTATATAAGCATCGCCTATACGCACTATTTGATGATTTGGTTGATTGGCTGCATTTACTAAACGTTGACATGAAAAATTAGAAAAAAGATAGCCTACACCAAATGTATATGGAGGATATGTATTCGGTTTATATTCCATTTTTGTTACAGCCCATCGATCTCCACGATGAACTGTATTATTAAATCTGAACCATCCATATAAACCATCTTTAACATTGAGATTTAAATCATCTTTGATAAAATTTAATAATAAAAATGTATCCATTAATATATCGTCGTCGGCACGAAATAAAATACGAGCTAATGGACAATAAAGACGTGTCCACAATAAAGATGCAAGTTCCTTATGAGCAACGAAGGCATAACTTTCTGGTATAGCTAGTTAATAAAAAAAACAATTGATTGGTAAAAATCATGCATAAAATAAATAAGAAAAACAAGCACAGTGTAATTTCAGAAAGATTTATATAGTAAGTAATAGTAGAAAAAATGTTCGATTGCCTATTGCATTCTCGATATTTGATATCATTCGAGCAACTACCGGAGATCGTGAATCAATGTGTCTCAAATCAACTCGTGAGATTTAGAATGAATTCATTCGCAGTGGGAATATCAAAGTCGTTAGATAAAAATAGGAAATTCATTTGCAATTGAGTTGAAATTTTATTTGCCTTACCAATTTCAATAACATCATTAAATCTTGCTTGTTCAAGTCGTACAGCTGATTGAACACTATCGTCAATTCCAACAAAAAAAATTGTTTTTATAGTAGTATTATAACCTTTATATTTTTCACTACGGCCCCATGTACCACGAATAGCTTGACGAAAATCAAAATTAAATGCACGCGATAAAACAATAAAAATCATATAATTTTCCATATTATTTGGATAAATACAAACTGTATTTGGCGGATTAATAAATGTTAAACGATCTAAGATTGGATTTTTTGCTTTAGGAGAGCCAAAAATGTTTTCACGCAGATTGCTTTCATCGATTCGCGCAACTGATGCATTCGAAGGACTTTTATTTGTGCCATTGGCAACACTATGCAATTCTATTTGAGCATCATGAACTGATGCGGACGGTGTCAATGATGATAAATTATTTTCTGTACGAATGCGTTGGATAAAAGATACAGCCACAAATGAAAATATTGTAAATGAGATCAGTAAAACAATATGTAAATAAAATGACAACAACATCGTTCACGTAATTTTTCGTTGGTGAAGTTTGTATCAGTGCCTTTCTTTATTGCTTGTTCGTTTTTTTTTGTTCGTTCTCTTTCGATTTTTTGTATCATGCCTAACGCACGCAAGCGTGAATCGTTTTCCTTTCGTCAAAAACTAAATACTACTTGTCACATGTAGGCACGAATATAACATGGGCTAAAAAAAATATTTGATACTCTCTTGTGAAGACGATACATATACCGTCATCTCATGCAAAAAAAAGGCATGCTGCAAGGATAATCGTTGTTATTACTATTCGTAGATAAGCTTTATAGAAAAGAAAACAGCGCTTGCTTCAATAGTATTCATTATTTTTTTGTATATTGCACGTAAAAATATCGTCGATACGATATACCGTACTTTCTCTTGTTTCGTATACAACATGATCGACTGAAAGGTGCATACAAACAGAATGCTTAGCTTTTGTTTTATCTATAAACTATGATTATAAATTCAATCGTAGAGTTTCACTGTTAAATTGAGTATCATCTAGACACGAATTATCATCTGAATACTTTATCGAGCATAGCCAATTACACCAACAGATACTATTGCAATTCCTCCTGTTTAACATATTGCTGAACTTCATAAAATAAATAAATTATTAATATTTCGTTGCTATATTTGCTTCATACGAGATCTACATAAGACTAAAGCATTTTTGTTTTATCTAAAATTCTTAGTATAAATCAGACAGTCGATTAGTGATTGATGCTTGCTTATTGTAACATACAACTATACGAAAAGTTGTTAGTAAAATTTCTAGAGACTTAAACTAGAAAATACCATACAGCTATTATTAACACCCTCAAGCACATCATTATTAACAAATTTGTTCCTATCTGTGAGCAATATTCAGATATATTTATAACCTATAGTGGTAAGAAAAGAGTAGTAGTACATAGTTTTTCCTTATTTAACTGTATTTATCTATAAATATTTTATAAAAAAATTAACTAATTATTAATTAACAAAAGCAAATCAACCATAAATAGCTAGGAACATATTTTTTATTAAACTTTGCTAATTCAAATGCAAAGTGGTAAGGGGCACATGAAAAACAAATCTTCGTCAAGTTCCGTATCAAATAGAATTCGGAATATTTAAATCAGAAAAAGCCTTTCATTGATAACGAGACAGCATTTCTAATTACTAAAGTAATTAGCCAACATATATATATTTTTAATGTTTTTATCTAAGAAAAGCAAACGAGCCATGTAATCATTAAGAGACGAAAAAACATGGTATCATGACCCCAATAATCGAAATTTTTTAGCAACAGATTTATGGATGATATTTACAGATTGTTTTTATTTATTTTAAAATTGTTTCGGAATTTGTAATTTCATTTTCTTCGCTAATAGCGCCATTGCTTTATCGCATGGTGCGAAAATTCTAATTGCTGCAAGATGATCATGCGGTGTTTTTTGTAGATTTATAATAATTAAACCAAGCGTTCCTTCTCGTTTAGTTACACTAGTCGCAATTCTATCTGCTGCCATGCCACACATAGATGATCCCATAGCAAGTACGAGATCACATTTTTTTGCCCATTCTAGCAACCATTCGTGCAAATCAGATTTAAGATGATCATCCATTAAAACAACAGGATTCTTCTTATCAAACCATGAACCATGAATTTCATTCAATTTTTCTTGTGGATATCCAGCACGTTGTGCAAGGCCATCGTGATTCTGTTGTACCCAATGTTTGAGGAGCTTTTTCTTTTCAAGTGCAACAAGCACATGATGGCTCAATGTTGGTATAGCTTTCAAACGATTGACACTTGTTTCACGCATAACTATTGAATTCGATGCTTTCGATGCATAATCACCAATACCAGCTGATGTTGAAATGCCAGCACCTGTATAAACAACGAACTGATGACTTTGTCGAATCAACGATACAACTGCATCGAGTTTAGCATCAAGTACTTTATCGCTATCGAGATATTCACTCGCATCAATTTCACCATCAACATCTGGTCGTGCTTTTTGGTTACATGATGCTATAAGGCGTGGTAATTTCCAAGTACTATTACCAGCACGACCATGCATAGATTGAATAGATGAATCTTCCGATGAAGTCGCCATCTGCTGTATTTCTATTCTCACTATAAAAAATGTAAATGCTAAAACTCCACTCAAATTCTTTTTATATCGTTATCGAAGGTGAAGAATGAGTCAGCGTTGATATGTGTATGCGTCATCGTGTTTTGGCGACTACGTTTCAAAAAAAAGATTACACAATTTTTACAACATTCGTCGACTTCCTGTTCTAACTACTTTGCTCATCTTTTCTGCGATGCTGATGACGTCATATACACTTTAAACAGAGATATCTCCGAAATCTGAAATCTGACGATAAAATTTTTATGAGTAATTATGAAACATATTATACGTATGATTATACAGTAGAACAGAAAGGCAGGGGCGTAACTCTAATTTTTCTGTTTTCATGATCTAAAAGAATGAACTTTTGGAAGCAAGGGATGTAAACATTTTTCTGTTTTAGTAAGCAAAAAAACGAAATTTTCAAAAGCAGAGGGCGTTACGCCCCTGGAAATGATTAAAAACAATATTTCATCTAGTATCTCGACCACATATATCATTGGATAAAGAACGAAAATGGAATGTCTCAATCAATCAACGAAATATATATCTATTCACAATCAGTCATGATCATTTTGTTTGCGATAAACAGATTGACGAATTCTTTCACATGATACATGAAAGATAAGAAATTAGCAGAACGATTATAAAATATACGCAAATTGTTATAGCTAACAATAAATAACGTTCATCAGAAAATAGAAGAAAAGAATTCATTAATCGAAAGCTTTATAAATTTATTGAATAGTCGATCGTAGAATGTTTAATCGAATATTATTGAAGACTGCAATTAATTGTACAGTTCACTGGAAATAATCTTCTTTGAATGATAGTTTCAGTTTGAAATTAAAACAACTGTTGATTGTCTTGAAACTCAATAGATAAATTGAACAGTGAGAAAGAAGAAGAAGAAGAATTTTCTTGTCATTTTTTAATAAACTTGTTTTTGTTAACATTCTCATCTTATCTTTGTATTCAAATCGAGGTGGTCTTTTCCTCTCTCGTTATCAATAGACGCGTGCATTAACAAGATATAGAGGGGAAAAGATGAGCAAATGTATGCATATATTGTTATCTTTTTTCTCAACACCGATGTGGTCCCATGAGACACTTAATCCTACTTGAATGTATATAAACAACTGTGATGACTCTATTTTTCTCATTTTGTTAAAAAAATATGCTGTTCCACGTTATAATTATTAGTATTGTCATAGGTCTTCGTGCAATATTAGCTTTAGAAAATCAGAGTGACACAATAATTGACTTTTATAATAAGATTAATGCATATGGATCATTATTAAAAGCAACATCATTTGATCTAAATACACAATCGAAGTTAAAAAATATAAATACAATTCGAATGGTTTCATATGAAGGTTTGCTTGACGAACAAAAAACATATTCAGTTTTTATTTAAATAAAATAAATTCTTTTTTGACTTTTAGTTTCAAATGATACAAGTCTATTTGGTATTCAAATAAAAAGAAATCTCAATGAAGAAATAGCTCTAATTGAGTTACAATGCAATATATCAAATGTTTATGTTCGATTAGGAAAATATGGCCGTCATCGAATATATCGTTTACCAACAATATCACAATCAACAAGTACAATGCATTCATATGATCTTACTAATTTGTTAAATAAATATCATGAACGTACTATTTATTTATTATTAAAATATCCAATTGAAAACCATAATTTATCAATTTTTTATTATTCAAAATCAAATAAAAATTTATTTTCATTTTCAACCACAAAAAATTTCAAACGACGTTTTCGGCGAACAATATTATCTAGCAATCCAAGTTTGACATGCGCTAAACATGAATATGAAATTGATTTTAATCAATTTTCATTCGGCCGATGGATATTACAACCAAAACGTTTTAATGCATATACATGTTCGGGCTCTTGTCCAAATCCATTATCTCCACAATATTATCCATCGAATCATGCAATCTTACTCAGTCTTCTGCATTCGCAAAAAGACTATGGCCAACAACCATTATGCGTACCTGTACGATTAAAACCTTTATGTTTACTTTATTATGATCGAGATGAACTCGTAATTAAATATCATCGAGATATGATTGTACAAGAATGTGGATGTAGATAAAAGAGAAATATTTTGTTTTGCTTTTCTGTTTCATCTTAGAATAAATCTAGATCATTGTATGGATCGAAGGCTGAGAAAACTTAAAGAAAACAGTTTCATTAATGAACGGGTGTGTGTGGGACTGTAGGTCAAACGTTCATCCACACTCACACACCCAAAATATTATACATTGCGTTTGTGATTCGATTTGAATACTTCATTCATTAGTTAGAAAAAAGATAACTAGTAATAATAATACTGAAGTTTGTAATTCGCACAATATTTCGTGGTATCAATCTAGTGGACAATGAACGATTTATTTACAAAAATTCTTCATTGAACGGAGCCAAATCAGTTTCAAAGCCGAACTCTTCAGTTTTCTATCAAACTTGAACTACAAGAAAAACGAAGCATTGCAAGTTGACTAAGCGCCTCCTCTATTTGCATTTGATGTTGAGGGTAACACCTGCTGGAGCTTACATGATCTAATAACAATAGACTTTCCAGATTTGGACAGCTGTGCCGATGTATTCTGTTTTCTACCTTCCTCCCTGTTGCTTATGAATAAGGACTAGCTTAATATCTCCCGCTAATGTGCTCTGAAGTAAGATAACTAATGTTTATGGTCACCAGCACAGTAGATTTTTTCAGCAGGATACTCCTTAGAAAATTAATCATAGCCAAGTGAACTTGTAATTATTTAGGTCAGAGGAAACCCCATTGTATTTCACAAGTGCATACTAAAAACATTTCCTCAAAATATCATTTCCTTCTATTAAAGTTCTCTATTGTTAGTCAACATTAATGATGTTTATAAATATACGCATTTCAACAACGTTGTAATTTCAGAAAAACTAAACATAGTTTTAGCATGTTTTCATTGTCAATTCCTTTATTTTTAAATTATTCATTGGATCTGTCAAGTATTTTGTTGATACTTAACTATTAAGAGAACTATACTATAATTAAACAATCGACATGATTAGAACAACAAAATCCACTATGCTAGCTAATAGAGAGCAAAGATATGACGTTAGTCATATCTATATACTTATACTACATGTCATTTGATTGAAACAAATAATTACTTGGCTGCACGAGAATTTACTGCTAAAGTACAATTGTTTTTTTTGAAAATCATGAAATATACAAGTACATTTCATTCAGAATTAATTGATTGTTCGAAGTTTCAGTCAAAAACAAAATCCACAAATAAACTATTCCCGAAATTCATAATTCATATATAATCAACGCAGAATTGAATGTTTTCTTGATGTACTTGTTCGGTATCAACAGATATCATATTTTTTCAAATCTTTTCTTTGTTGGAATTGGAATTAAAAATATATTGTATGACTAATTCAAGGAAAACTGCTGAGCGAAAGGAGAAGATATTGTGTGTATTTTGAAGAATATCGTCTTTTCGTTGGAATTGACGGAAAAGGCAGAAAGGAAAAACGCCGAAAAGGGAAATGTCGAAACTGGAAATTGCAGAAGGTAAAAACGTCGAAGAGGAAAACGTCGAAAGGAAAACGCCGAATGGAAAAAGTATAATTAATAACAGTGTCGAAGAAAAGCTGCGAGAGAAAAGAAGTAGAAGAATTTTGAAAAGGAAAACGTAGAATGAAAAAGATGTCTATAGCTAACGAAAATTTTTTCTTTTGATTTGGCAATCAGTGCAAAGCAATTATTGAAGAGATTAGCATTACTACTTGGATCACACACAAAAAAATACTACTGATAAACTTAGTTTTCTTTTTTTTTATTGTATTTTATCATATGATCCCAGGGCGAGAAATCCGACAGTAGGCACCTATCGGAACCCATCCGATCCGACTGGAATCCAATANTTCATAGGATTCCGACACTGAGGATCCGACATCGATTCCTCGACCCGGAATCCAATAGAATTGTATCGGATTGTAGGATATTTCCAGGTTCCTATCGGATCCGATGTCGGATCAGTCAACCTGGGATCGAATTAATTTTTATTTTTCGTTAAAATTATTAAAAAACGCAATTTTCGACATTTACCTTTCGACGTTTTCCTTTTTCTAATTTTTTCTTTTGACGTTTAAAATTTCTGCATTTTCCCCTTCTATGTTTTCCTTTTCGGCATTTTCCTTTTTTTTTTCGACGTTTTCCTTTTCGATGTTTTCTCTTTCTGCCTTTTCCACCAAACCCTTTTCGTTATGTTAATCATATATAAAATATAAACAAATGATGCAGTAGAGTTCTACTGAATTATGTTCCGACTAAAACAAAATAAAAACGAAGGATTATCAAGTTTATCTTCTCTGTGCAATATATTCGAAAGTGTGACTTGTGTGGTCAATAAAAACAAAATTAGTATCTAATCGATCGTTTTCATAGGAGCGAAAAACAGAATTTATTGAAAAATAATTCATAGTTTTTCACATGATTACATACTAAATACATATAATTAATAAAGATATACGTGTATGGTATCTAGTTACGGAACAACATTGATAGTTTTAAATAGAAAACATAAGAAATAATGAATTTTTGGTCACTGAATCTGAAATTTTTCAGATCATACTTAACTACGCGTTATGCACATTCTTCTGGACACATCAATGAATGCTTGACGAAATGCTTTTCTGCCACATAATGTATATATGTAGAAAAGGGAAGGCCACTTGAAAAATAAGTTAGAAGCAGTGACATATTAAAAGTCAGATTTTCAATAGCATTTTGTAAAGAAGATTTGATCTGTTTTTCGGCCAATGTTCAATAGATTTTTTGTATTGCTTGTGGAAGTGTAAACAGCCAATAACGAACTGCTGTACGAGCAGCATAAGTAATAAATAAAAATCTGTCTTTCTCCATTTTTGTGTTGCAACACAAACCTTTATTGAAAACTGTGTTTCTATTTTCATAAATACACGACGATAAGATTTTTGGTATGTTCAAGATCAAGATAGTTAATAGGCCAAAACAAATCATAGTAAGAATTGGTATGATAATAGTGGCAAGTGCAAATGTGAAATCAGTCACTAAACGACATACAACTGTTTTTCCATAACATTTTAATTGTGTTCTAATTCAATTCGCTTCATAACAATAAACTAATTGAGCATATATAATAATTGAGATTAAGATAGTCATAAATGTACTTCGATCTGCATCTTTTAATGAACTTCTTTGCCGATGTTTCGGAAGAGTTGATAGTAAAAACCATCGATCAACACTTGCCAATGCAACAGTTCTCGAAGTCATGAGGAAAAATATCCGAATTTTACAAAGCCAACCAATGGTATTTGTTAAATCAGCAGCATAACCTGCTAACATTCGTGTTGTTAAACCAGACAAAATAGAAATAAGATTTCCATAATCCACTCTCCCCCGACGAGTCCCCTGGGGACTTTTCAGGGGACTCCCTGGGGATTCTTCTAGGCAGCGTTGACTAAGGTTGCAATCGATGACATTAGAAAGTAAAATGAACATGTATGTGTACGAAGTGCTCGTTGGCCAAACACAAAACAGTTAAGAATATTCCCAACAACACCAAAACTAAAGACAAATATGAAGAAATAACGATTTATTTGTGTTGATAAATTGTTTAACAATCATATCATATTTGTAGTATCACTTGACATGTTTACTTGTTGCGATTATCTGAAGAAATATGAATAGCAAATATGTGAATAGTATAGATTTTATTTGTCTCTGTTATATAAATAGGTCTGATATGGAAAAAAGCTTTATTTCATCCAAAGGTTAGAAGAAATTTGCGAGAAAATAGACTAATTTTTTCCTTTTTTATACAATGAAACTCAGGAAAAGACGTTATTAAACACCTAGACATTTCTCTTACTGTTCTATAGAAAATTATGCCACCCGTGGTAAAAATGAAAGGCATCGTCTCTGAAGTTTCATTTAATATCCTTCATCTGTTCTCAAGATCTAGATCAATCAAACGTGAATTACCAGTCTTAATGATTTTAACTAGGTACTCGCTTATGGTTTTGGCAACGACTGCATTATTTACGGAAAAATCAAACTAGTCGTACTCCAGAATTTTACATATTCAAGTTGTAAAAGATTTTCTCTAAGAAAACATTGCTTGAGTATATTTGACATTGATAAATATTTCCTGTTTATTGTTCTTCAATGGATTGGCCCTAGTTAGAATTGCATTCCAAAGTATAAGTCGTAAATTGATCTATCCATCATTTAATTACTAATTTATTTTTAATGCTGTGTAGATGCTTAGAAAATCTAAGACTATCACTAGAGTTGACAAATTTTAAAATGTTAATTAAGAATACTTTTCTTCTGTCATTTACGAACAATTTAACAAGGTCAGTCGAGTACTTTCAAAGACATCGTCACGCCCTATGTCTCTTTTTATATAATAAACGTTATTTAACATGGTTTTTACAATTGTTTTTGCTCTCTGATTTGAAGCATGCGTCCTGTAATCGTCGTCGACTTTTGCGAGAATCGAAGTATTATCTAATTGAGTCGAGCAGGCGTTAGTTTCATAGAACGATGCTTTTTAATGAATAAATGGTTTTTAGATATTTTTCAAAATATCATCTTTTCAATCAAAAGATTCCATGGTGAAAATTAATCAAATAATCATATTAAAACAAATTAAATTGCTGGTTTGGTCCTCGGTCATGTCTTTATCTTGATTCAAGAATAAAATGACAAAACGAGATTAGCTATAGAATTGAAATTGTTTGTTCTCTTGAACACTATAACAAGAATGAATCGTAAAATAACAAGTGAAAACCAATAAGGTGTTTTATTTTTGTATTCTAATTGATATAATTTATCAAGCATAATCAACTTTGAATAGTTCAGTTGTTGAAACGGCTTCAATTGACATCAATAATGGCTGCTGGTTCATGTGCCAACATCTCTATCAGCATGCGTAATAGGATAGATTTTCATTGGGTTTGATTTGTCCTCGGTAAAGGTCATATTTTATTATTTTATTCGACTTAAATTATATTCGATATAAAAAAAGTAAAATAATTTCACCATTGGTTATCATTGAAAGAATTGTTTCTTTGATCTAGTTGAACTTTCTTCTCAAAAGTTTTCGTCGAAATACTTTTTCAATAGTCTTTACTGTGAATAAAATGAAATTAGTAATTACGCAATCATGTGAATTTTAGAGCTTGACGTTATGACACATTGATTAAATAAAAAAAAAAAAAAATAACGACAACATAATTAATAGTTTTATAATGAAATACATTACTCATTAAACAGCAACTAGAAATAATGAATATTCTTCTCTGAATATTCTTATTATTAATTATCGTTTGTCCGAAACGAATAAACAAAATGTAGAGTACTAGTTGATTTTCGTTTTTTCTATAAAGAAAAAAAATTTAGTAATCTATCAATATGAAAATGCTCAAAAATTGAACAAAGTTAGAGAACTCAAAATATGTAGTTATCAATTTTTATTCTCACATACACGATGGAATTGATGAGCAGGAAAAAATTATATCTTTTGTTCCTTCTATTCTAATTTCAAGCGTGTTAAAAATCATTTGATTTCAAGCAATCGAAAACTATATCCTATCAAGCACACAATTTACACTTCTCAAACACGTTTCGACAACTCGACATTCATCGAACTTTCAAGTACTTGGCAAGAGGAAACCTACCGAACGAAGACTATCGGCTTGTCGAGCACCTTTCAACCACTTGAAAGCTATTGAAGTTCCGACTGCTCGGAGAAAAAGCCATATTAAAGCGATAGAATTTTTGCTCTCCGACAAAGGCAAACCTAGCACGATAATAGTTTTTTCGTCACTAAATAAAAATTTGATTATGCGAAATTTTCCCACAGCAATTATTGTGAGATATGATTTCTATTCGATCTTTTTACTTGAATCATTTGTTTTATCTTAATTTTATAATTTTATGCAAACATATTGAATAGTACCATTTGATGGGAAATGTGAGAGAAATCCGTCAGTTTTCTGAACGACGGCATTCATAAAAGAATTCTAGTCAAACAAAATAGTTATTCTTTAATGTGAATTAGCTAAATGGGCATTGAAAACGCCACGAAAGTTTTTCTTTTAGTAAAAGACGTACAAATAATCTCATTTCTGTTAAAAATATAAGAAAAAAATTTTTAGTTCTTCAAAACTGCTATCAAACGTTAAAATAATAAACATCATCTTCAAGGTATTACCTTGTCGTCAATTGAAAAGATCATCATCATCATCACCATCATCATCGAAGAATAATAATCATTCATATTTATTTTAGATGTTTAACGAAATCTTATTCAAGTATATCTGTTGACGAGTCGCTTTCACTGTACAAATCTGACACATTTCGAAGATTTGAGTGTGTGACATCTACCGGAGAATACTTTTTGCGATACGACTGAATATCGGTTCTCTTCGACACAACCATTGACGTAATAATAAAAACTACGAGTTAAACTGAACTATGGGAAAGTAGAAATGCGTTAGATCTATTTTAAAAAATTTGAATGCTCACCAAATATTGATATAGACAGCTTTGAAACACTCATCGAACGGCAGGATTGATATATGCATTCGCATCCATAGGTTTATGTAGCGTACAATTTTTGCTAGGCAATCTCATGAAAGAATAAACGACAGAAAGAAATTTTCTATTACTTCAATTTTTTTAATAGTCAACTATCTATCCAAAATTACAATTACTGATTATACTAAACGATTAAAAACTTGATAATAATAATAATAAAAATAATAAAAATAAAACTTGAGCAAAGACCAAATCGGAACAAATGATTATTGACGTTACGTTGTCAAGTGATTGGAAAGAAACCAAACAATACTTGATCAACGCACCATGTAATAGAAGTAAATTTTTTCAGTAAAATGTTAATTTTTTATTTCGTTTATGGTCATAAATCTGCGCTGTTTTCACTTCAAAGTTTTTTAAATCGTAAGTAGAAATGAATTTCTTGACTTCATAGACTATTTAATAAGAGCAAAGCTCAATCTTACTACTGAGACCAAAGCAAAAAAAATAAGAGAGACCAATTTATTAAACCCGAGTAAGGTCAATCATAATAATTGACATTCTCTTACTGTCTACCTATGCGAAATGATAATCAATATTTCTATCAAGTTGTATAAACATATAGATACATGTAATAATTAAATATAACCTCAATAAGATCAATACCAATGACATTCATTAAAATCAATAGATTTTTTTCGTCAATAGTCAATCTATTTATTTAGTCTGTTCATACATATACACATTCTTATTGATCAATTATCGATCATAGGGACTATAGAACAAGAGAAAATATCGAAAGAGTGATTATGTTGCGCATACAATAGTTTGATGCGAAGGAGATTACTTCTTGAGCACTAGTAGTTAAAGTGTTCTCTACAATGTTACACACATGCTTGTTCGTTCGATCATATTCGATTTGTTTGTTTATTCATCTCACTGCGTTATTTTCTTTTTTTTGTTTTTTTCTTCTTTTTTCCTCTCACTTGGTAAAAATGGATGAACGCGTAGGAGTAAATAACTGAGCTGATTTTTGTTGTTGAAGTCTATGAACATTACGTATAGCCTCATTTACTTGTGAATTATGTACATGGATTATATATATATATATATATATATATATTCATATTATAAGAATGGTAAGAAACAATCAAGTATATTTTAATATTTACAGAATTGTTATACTGAGTAAGATTTGTTTCTTAAAACTAAGAAAAGATGCACTGAAATGATTTTTACCAGATATTCTAAATACGTACTAATCTTTTGAATTTTTACTAACCATAAAGAATAGCATTGAAAAAAGAACAGAGAGCGACTGAGCGAGAGCGCATGGGGGAGAGAGAGAGAGAGACATCCAAATGAAAAGAAAGCAATGAAAATAACGAAAGAAGTTATTATTTTTTAAGCTTGAAACAAGACTGAAGACAAGTGCCAAATAAACAAACGGTAGTGGCTTGAAAAAGCAAAACACTGCAGGTGTGTTTGTTACCACGTAAAGTTGATTTTAGTTATATGAATAATTTTCAATACATTACTTAAAAAAAAAAGTAGTAAAACTTGAAAATTCAACTATGTTTTTCAAAAGTTTCTAGAAATCAAAAAATCAACGTCCGAATTCAGGTGATTATCGATATTTTTATTTTCCATAAGAAGTAGAATTATTATTAGGCTCTAATCCATGAGTCCGCCCTTTTTTGCGATTTAACTCTATTACGTAGACAGCTTGTGTGTTCTGTGTGTTTCTCTGTTCTGTCGCATGTTTTTTTTCTATTGTTCTCAATCAAGTATTATAACTAGGAGGATTCAAATAGACGTTTGATTTCTTCTTTTGTTTTTTTATTTTGTTGTAAAATGCAAGCTTTGTTTATTCTCTACAATGAACATTCAATATATCATTAAAAAAGAAGTATCAGGAAGCTCAACTATAAGTATCATGAAAATGGATGAAAAAGAAGAGAGCGAAATTAATACGATAGCGGTGACTACACGGATTTCTTGATTGTTCGTCCTTTTTTTTCTTTGCTGTTTTATTGTATTTGTATGATGACGAGAAATTTTACCATGCAAGAAGTCATCCAACTTACTGCCGATGTTGTTGGTCGTCGTCGTCAATTTTTTTCGCTCTATTCTGCCTGCCTTGCTCTCTCTCTCTCTCTCCCAGTGATTTCGATCACACATACAAACATACTTTTCACATACACACGAAAGTCTTTCATTAATAATAATAATAATAATATTATTATTATTATTATTATATGAAACAATCTTCACCAGCTATTTTATTCATCATTATCATGTTCGTCATCGATGATTTTGATCATTCATAGTATTGATATTCAATACCAAGAACCAAACAGTAGACAGGTATATTATTAATGATATTTCTAGAGAAACAATAAAACTAACCAAGTCAATTTACATACGAGTACTTTCTATAAACTTACTTTTTATAGGAAAAAAAAGTGAACTTATAACTTAATACTAAAAACTCATTGAAACATTGTTTTTCTAAATTTAAACTTATTTGTGCATGGCATATTATTTTTGTGAGTGAAAAAATAAACATTAAATTTGCTAATGGTCAATAATGCTCTTCTAACTATAAATATGCCTCTGATTATTTGTCTATTCAAATGTTTTGAAAACTTTTGTTGTCAATGTGTGTCTTCCATATGTTATAGTTATACAAATGTTACAAATAGTAACGGTTGCGTTCGACATTTTCAGGAAATTATTGATTTTTTTCACTTGTATGCATTCATTTCCTTTTAGTCGCAGAAGATTTTCTTACATATGTGACGTTTCGATTGTTTATAATGTTTAATAATAATATATAAACTAATTGGTTGTATCCTATTCTATTTTCTTCTTTTTTTAGGCCTTAATTTGACCTTGGGTTAAATCTATATATCAATCAGCTTCTTCCTATCCTCATAAACATGGTGCAAGGTGCACATCATAATGCGACACCTGAACGAGCCTCGGCACTTGATGTAGGCGATGCATCTCCCGATGAAAAACGAAAAAAAGTCGGTAATTATGTCATTTTAAAAACAATTGGAGAAGGAAGTTTTGCCAAAGTACGCTTGGGTGTTCATCTAATCACTGAAATGAAAGTAAGTATAACTTCTATACATCAAATGATAGAAAGCGTTTTTTTTTTTATCATGCAAAATTGACTCACGCAGCTGTTTCTTTTACTTATTTCAATGGAATTAAAACAAAAAGAAAAAAAATGAATATGGTGTTTTTTTTCTCTACATTCTTGACCTCTGAACTATTTCTACGTAATATTTTTTCTAGGTTGCAGTTAAAGTTATTAATAAGCGTGAAGTATTTAAACGAAATTATTTAAGAGCTAATTTACGTCGTGAAGCATCAATGATGCAACGTATGTCACATAAGAACATAGTACAATTACATGAAGTTATGGAGACAGAAAATTCCTATTATATTGTGATGGATTTAGTACAAGGCAATGAATTTGTTAAATATTTAACAAAAAGGTAATTTTGCAAAAGCAAAATGCTGTTTTTGTCTTCAGAAAAAAACCTATAAATATTTTTGTTTAGGAAACAATTAGATGAAAATGAAACGAAAAAATATATTCGACAAATTGTGTCTGCTGTTGATCATATGCATCGTGCTCGTGTTATACATCGAGATATAAAACTTCAAAATTTTATGCTTGATCAAAATAATGATATCATTATAATCGGTAACTAGCACTTGGATAGTTTTTAAGAGCTCGAAAATAATAAAAATATATTTCTTTTTTTCCTCTATAGATTTTGGTCTTAGTAATTGTCTTGATGATAAAGGTTTTCTAACTACTCAATGTGGTTCACCAGCGTAAGACTTGTAAACTTCAAGCAGATTTGTTTTATATCATAAGGTTTCTTTTATCTATGCAGCTATGCAGCTCCAGAAATTTTCGCACATCAAGAATACGGTCCTGCTGTTGATGTATGGAGTATTGGTGTGAATATGTATGCTATGCTAGTGGGAAAACTTCCATTTAAAGTTGAACATCGTAGTCGAAATCTTGCTAAACTTCATGCATGTATACTCAAAGGATGTGAAATACCCAATACACTTTCACGTGGTAAATCGTTTTTCTTTTGTTCAATAGAAGTTTTGATTTGTAATATTTTCTTTAAATTTTTAATTTAGAATGTCACGATCTATTATCAAGACTATTGGATCCATCACCAAGCAAACGTATAACCATACCGGAAATACTTCATCATCCATTTTTAACCGATTTATTAGGACCTATTGAATTAGTGCCTTTTAAACCTCATACTGATTTAAGAGAAATCAATCAAAGTATAATCAGATATCTTTCTATGAAGTAAAGTAGTACAAAATAAGAAATGAACGCAAACAATCTCGAGTTGTTCTTATTGTTTTTATTATTGTTTCTATTAGGTATGGTTATTCAGAGCACGAAGTTGAAGAAGCCGTGTTACATCGAAAACCAATTGCATGCCGAGCTCTTTATAGTTTAATTGAACGACGTCTTAAAGAAGGTCTTGGTTGGCCTGATCGTACATATAATAGTTCTGTGAATGCACAATCAACAATATCAGGTACAGGTGTTGCTTCTGTAGTTGATGGCACACCAGATCTTGTACTTGATAAACTTGGTCGTCATGAACCATTACTTCCCGGTCGTCGCGCGCTACCACATCATTTACCTCTACAAGTGTCTCCGCCAACAGCGAATGGGCAAAAACTAACACGTGAAAGATCTAATTTTGGATTTGATGAACAAATTTTAGTACGAACAAATGCAAATGCTAATAGTATTACACAGGGTTTAACACAAGAAGCATTGAATGAATTAGTACCACAATCAAAATTAATTTCTAGGAAACTATTTCAAGATTCAACAGTAAGAAAATCATCAGCTATTGCAACTAATATTGAGCAAGTCGAAGAAATTATTGGTGCGCGACGAGCACAACAAAATTCAAATACCCTTGCACCAATTAGAAATTCAATAAGTACTCAGCGTGGCAATGTCCTCATACCTCAACAAACACAACAACATAAAGCTAAACCACGTAGTTTACCTAATTCAACACTTGATCACGCAAATCAAAATGGTTTTCATGTACCACATGATCTAGTGCTAGGCGCATCTGCTGATAATCGTACGCCAAAGGCAATTAGTCGTACATCGCAAGTTGATAATTTTAGAAAAAATCAACATCATTCACCGGTTCGATATAATCCTGGTTAGTTGAATTTCTATTACGATTGTCATAATTTGTAAATACGATCTTTCTTGTTTTTACAAAATATGTATTTCTATGATTTTCTTTTAATATTAATGTTTGTATTTACTTCGTCCCTCGCCAACTTTACAATATTTTATATAAGCAGCAAAAGCCTTTGAAGTATTTTTTACTTTTTCGAAATGAAACTGATGACTAGGAGCAAAAAAATCTTCGTAATACTACTAATAATAAACTTATGCTTGCCTCTCTATGGTTTCGTAAATAGAAATAATTTGATCTTTATTTGAATGTGCATATTTTATATTTTCTTTCTGTTCATTGATTTTTAGCTCCATCAGTAACAGTCAAGGCTATTGGTTTATTTCTAAAAAATTCTGCATTACATTCACGTGTTAGCTCATGTAGTAGTAGATCCTCGAAAACGAATGGTACTACAACAGTACTTGATGTTCAGCACCAATCGCCACCCTTAAAATTTTATCCACCAACATCAAATACAAATCATAAACAGAATGTTGTTACTTATCATTCTCATGGTAACTTAACATCAACAGATACAACACGACAATTTTTTGTTAAAACAGCCGGATCATCAAATCGAATAACAGCAAGTAAAGCTCAACATTCAACAGCAACAGGAGCCAATGGAGAAAAGTTGATGCCGACATAAATTGAAAATCTTTTCATTTTTTTTTCTCTTCTGAAAACTTCTTTTCTTATATTTTCCCTCTTTAAACTTAGTTCTTTTCTTGCCATTGAATACGGTGCTTTCCATCTTGTTTCTTTCTCTTTCGATTGTTAATGATTGTTTTTTTTTATTTTACGAATGAAACTAATAACACTCTTTGTTTGTATATAAGACTGTATAAGTTTATTACCAATTGAATTTATTTCTCATACATATATATATTCATATAAAGTGCCCAGAGAGTCATCAACTTCAAATGTAAATTATGTGTTCATGGTAGCGAAAGAAAATCAACCAGTTTTCTTTTGAAACAGAATAGAAGAGACATGCAGACTTCTATTCATAAAATTTAAAAGTCTCTTAATATGTTTATATTGGAAATTTCAATGAATAATAATCAGAGTATCCTTTCTGTTTATCGTTTCACTTTTTTTTTCATTTTTTTTACATCTAGGTCTCGTTCTCTTAATTTCGAAGTATTTATGTGAAAATCTTTGAAAAATCTCAAGTAATACTCATATTGTTCTTCAACATTACGCCTTCATTGCTAATCGAAAACTTTGAGAAGAGGTAACTAAACGAAAAAGAACCACACTGATTCAATTCTATGGCTTGCACTCTCACCTAACTTGGAGACTCACTCGTGTGCTCAGTATTTTTTAGATGTGTCGTCACGAAATATTATTATGAAGTAAGAAGACGAGGAGACCGTTGATGACAGAAATTTCATAAAAATAAAAACAATGGCTGGTAATAAAGTCGGAAGCCTTATTTATTGTTTGTCAAAACTTGAAACAAGTAGAATAATGTTATGTACTTTTTTCAAAAGTTTTAATTTGCATGAGTATTGATGATTTCTTGCTCTATGGATAAAAAATTTTATATTATCTATATCATCAAAAAAAAAGAAACATTTTGATTCGTTTTAGCCATTTTGGAGAATTTTAGTTTTATCTTTAGTACGTAAGTAGCCTCTGAACACTCTAAAATACAAAAAAAAAGAAGAAGAAAACACATATCGAACTGTTATTTCTACTACTATACAATATTTTCTGTCTTGTTTCAATCGCAAACTTCAAAATATATTGAATTTTATTCTAGTATTCAAAATCATTCACACGTTAAATTGTAAGCAAAGCCGTATGGTGTGTTCAAATACAATTATTGAGCAATCAGAATATTACTTTTTCGTGCATAAAATTAGTACCGAAAAGAAATATAAGTAGAATTCATCGAGATTCGATTCACTTGACGGCTGAATGACGTTCTACAGATAGGTTTACATGTACATGTAGAAATAAAAGTTGCTTTATGTAGAGTTTAAATAGCCATTCAATGCAAAGAATAAAAATTCGTATTAGCTTACTTTTCAATGTGTCACATCTAAGTATTCGTTTTATGATTCACTTTTTTTCTTTCTTTATGAACTATTATGAATACATCATTTAGTAAGAGCTTTAGTTATTACATTCTTAGATTTATTGCCTGCGGATTAAATATAAGTTCGATTCTAGCGAACATTCTCTGAGACGATTGATATTGACATAAACATCAAACAAGAGTTTTTTCTTCTGTCACGCCAAATCTATGAATTAACTTTCGAAAATCAAAACTTTTATATAGTGAAAGCTATTGAAAGACACTCTTATTAGGCAAATTTTACAGTAATTAATATTAGTAACTATCGAAATTATAATGATTTCATGAAATCAATCAAAGTCATTATCAGTATATTTGCAAATCCTGTATAACATAAATGTGGAAACTTCGGATTTCATCCGAAAGTTATGTGTACTGCAAAAAGTGCATGGGATGTATGAGTCATTCTAGAATGTCTGAACACCAAAATTATCATGAGAAACTAGGCAATTTGATTTCTGGATGCAGTTTTTGTGCATTTTGAGACGTTTTTCAGGCGATGTTTCATCAGAAAGCTACGGTTTAGCTCAAAACCAATATCAGATTCGGAATCAGCGTTAAAAACTGAGTCGATTTATATATGTTGTGAATAATTCTGAGAAAGATTTATTTTTTGAAAAAAATTCCCTGTACTCCTCCTTAGGGATGGCCTGGTCAAAAATGACAATTTTTTCGATAACTCAACCATTTCTTGAGGGATTCTTCTCATCTTCGAACTCGACCGAGATATTCATGAGATGGAACTGTGTGGAAAATTTCATCACGGTCTGACTCTCCTTTCGCAAGTTATCATGCCTACGGCCGGACGGCCGGCCGGACACACTGATCGATTCTAGAGTGTACTCACTTTTTGAGTACACAACAAGAATATTTTAAATAATTTATCAAACGTCTATAAACATAACTAGTCTAGTGTGATGATAGACATTTGTTTCTGATGGAAAAAGTACTTCTCTTGTAACTTGTAATCTTACCGCATATGTGTTTTTATTTCGTTTGTAATTAACAAAATAAATAAATAATGTGTATAGTTTGAATAACGAATAACAAAACCTTTAACAAGCAAAGAAAAACAAACGAGAGCCCAATTGTAAGAAAAGACAAAAACACAAAGAGAAAACAATGGAGTCAAAATATAAGCAAGAACAAAATGTTCACGTCACTATTGTTCTTACGATAACTTCATCTAAAATATCATCTATACATAATCGAACGTCAGTTTCAATAAAATCTACGATTAATGGGCATGAACATCCTCTCATTGGTTCCACGCGTGATGATTCAAGAAACATAGTTGGATCTTGACAGGCTTCTTGTAAATCTCGAACATCATGAGTTACTTCCCTAAATATTTTTATTACAAAAACAAAAGAATTACAAAGTTTGTTTTCAAAAAAAAAAAGTAATCCTTACCATCGGCTTTCACATGATAGACATTCAAATCCTAATTTGTATTTCCATCGTTGTGAACGACGAGCATGATTTTCAATAAGATTATGTTGTAATTCTTTCATTTGACTTTCCAAAAGACCCAAGCAATCACGTATCGGGCCAAGTGAACTATAAATAAATTCATTCGATGATGATGTAATTATTTCTCCTACAACAGTAAATCTGTTTGCTGGTTTTTATTTCTGAAAAACTAAATCCACCGACCAATTTTAACCAAGCTATTATTGAACAATAGAATTTTATGGCGCAATATTCAAGAAAAAAAAAGAAAATGAAGATCCTCACTGTCACCACTTCGTTTCACAACAAACAAAAGTTCACCGAGAACGTTCGAAACTAAAAACTACGGTTTGTTGAGGGCTTCTCAAACTACAGTAGTTTTTTCTTCGAAGAATGAAGTTTGTTCTTTTGCTGTTAACTTGAGTAATTATGAATATAGAAACGAAACAATTATTGATATAATTCAATGATAAGTTCAAATAGATATCAATTCTAAATTATTCAAATCTTTCTTGAGATTCTCGACATGATCGCAAAAGAAAAAGTTTCTTTTTGAAACATAAGCAGATCTCTAAAACGCTCGATTGACGGAGACAATTTTCCGTAGTGCACCCTTGTGGAAAATTTCACCATAACTATTGCTTATCGCATGGAGACTATTCTGAAATTCTAGGGCTTATCGATTATTGTGTAAGAGAACTATCAACAAATTTAGTATGAATAAAAATTCTCCGATGCAATTGAAAAACAATGCAGTTGTATTATTGCCTTGTTTTTCACCTCATAACAAAATAAACCCATAAAGTGCATCAATACTTCAACGGCAATACTTACGTTGTAACTCTTTGTTCAGCTTCTGTATCTGTAATTAAATCTTGTAATTCATTAAAATCAATTATTGAATTCTATCAATGAATAAAATCGGAATCATCTCCATTAAAACCAAAAGATAGAAAGTTAATTATTTCTCACCTCTTTAAATAAATGTTGATTATCAATCAATGGTTTAATAGATTTACATATTTTTCCTAGTCGTATTTCTAATTCTTTTCGCTTTTCTTGATGTCGTTGATCTAATTGTTCAAAACGTTGAACATTATCAAGAGAAAACTAGAAAATAAAATAAGAAAGAAACATAATTTCATTATCTTACCAAAAAATCCTATTTTACTAATATCAGACATGCAAATGTGTTTAAAAAGAAATATCAATCTTTATTACGTGTTACGTTTTGCTAGTTTACTTAAATCAATCAGGATAAACAGCGCACACAAGAAAGACAAGCACACATGTATACATATATCACCGAATAATTCAAACGAAAAATAAAAAGGAAACTTATCTTTTTAATCATCCATAGAAATCAACAAAATAAAAATAAACAACTAAGTTAACATTTAATTTTACTGAAGCAGTGTGTTTGTCTATTGTTTCATTAATATAAAAACAAGCAATGTACGTGCAACAATATTCATAAGCATTCGATGTAAAGCATGGAATCGATTGTGAGTTAGTAGAATGAAGAAGAAGAAGAAGAAGAAGCATCTTCATTGCAATCCTTGATAGTGCCTACCTGATTGGCTTTAATTGATTCTTGTAGTTCAAGTTGATGTGCTTGAATTGTGTAATCTAATTTTTCTTTTAGTGCATGTAATTCACGTTCTTTTAATTCAAGTAGTTCACGAAGGTTCTAGAAAAAAGTAAAAATATTTGTTTTACAAAAGTAAAATGATTTTGAGAAATTCCTACATTAGTTGAATCATTGTTATTGTTTGTTCGTTCAAGTTTTGCATCGGTTAATTCACGTTCAATTTGTTGAAATTTCACTTGATTGCAATGAACGTCTGTTTTAAGACGATCAACTTCTAATCGATATTGGGTTTCACTGGTACGTAATCTAAACAGAAAATTAATTATTTTTGAAAGTTTCCCTTTCTACCGGTTTGCTGTCAGAATTCAAGCTTATGAATAGAATAGATTTGATATTTATTAGGAAAATTTTGATATCAAACGCGTAACTATACAGCAGATAGAACTTCTGCTTGATGAAGCCTATCTGCTACAGTCAGATGTGATTAGCAATCTATTTGTCACTTCTGTCTTTGAACGACGTATTCAGAAAACTGATATAGTCATTCTTTTTCTTGAATTCATGCATGTGCATGCACTCGACGAATATTCTTAGTGTCAGAGTCTTGACGTTTTTGGTATTAAATTTCTTTGTTTTCATTGAATAAACAAAAGATTTCTGTTACCTTTCTATTTCAATTTTAAGTGTAGATAATTCTTGAATTTTAATACTCATTTCATGTTGAATATGTTTAAATTGTATTGTATATGTTTCAAGTTGTTTCTTCAATTTTTGATTTTGTATGCGAATACTTTTAACCTGAATAAGAAATTTATAATAATAATAATAATAATATTTGAAAGTCTTCTTACTTGTCGTTCACTATCATATAATCGTTGTTTAAGATACGATTCATTATCATCAATGATCAATGACGATTGTTCATTATTATTTGATGTTCGTTGTGCTACTTCGTATGTTAACCATTTTAATGTTAAATAACAAATATCCATATCGGAAGATGGGGAGTTTTCATTACTGCCAGTTATTTGTTTGGATGAATAAGATAAAAATGAAAGATGTTGATTTTCTTGTTTGAGCAGTTCATTTTCATGCATATAATCTTGTATAATAGATTCAAATTTAAGTATAATATCTTTAAGTTTTTTATTTTCAACTTGAATTTGTTTCACAAATTGTTTTAGTTGTTCACTTTCTTTCGACCATGCTAATATTTCTTGTTCGAATACACGACGCGATATACGTTGTTCAGGCTGTGTTGATCTTTTCGTGTTTTTTCAAAATTAATGAAAGTTACAGGAAATTTAAAAAAAAAGTAAGACTTACGATTCATTGTCATTTGCAGTTTTTATTTCACTATGTTGTTTATTTGATTGATGTGCTAACTGTTTGATTTGTTCCATCAAAGAAATACGTTCGCGAAGTAATACATCGATTTGACTTTGACAATCACTTAAGCGAGATTCGGCAAGACTACTGCAATTCATAAAATGTAGAAAAAAATATTTAATTTAGAATAATAGTACCAATCAATATTAAGAGAAGCTTGTGATTCAGTACTATGACTTGATTTATATGAATTCTTGTCCTTTATTTGTATTTGTTCTCGAGCTTGATCTCGTTCTTCGATTAAAGATTGAATCTCTCGTTGATAAATTAAATTATTTTGATCAATTTGTTCTTTTAATTGATCGATTTCTTTTTGATATTCATCGGGTGTTGTTAGGCTATTTGATAAAAATGAATTAAATAAAAAATGAAATAAATAATGGGTGTGACAAATCAAACAATTGTACAAAAAAAAAACAGACACCCATAAATGATTTCTTGAATATTGTTAAAAGCAAATTGATGACGTAAAAAGTAGTACGAATAGAATAGAGTTTTGTTTATGGAATGAGTCAAGAAATGAACAGCCGTATGTATGGTGCTGGGGAATATTAAAACATTAGTCGCTATTTGGTTCGAACATGACGCAGACGGCTTCTCTTACTTGTTAGATCAGGTTTAGGAATATTTTTTTTGAATTATTGCTGGCGAAGTATCTGAAAAATTTGAGACAGCAATGTTACTCAGGCAAATTTTCTCCGAATAATAGATCGTAGTTGAGTTTTTGAAACTTCTAAAACTGTTTGAAAGTCGATATGGTTGGATACAACAGATTTTACTCGTTTTCAGGAAATAGCTTAGCACTCGCAATTATCTCTTTCTAATCTAAAGAAGTGAATCAACAATTATGCTGTATTATAAGACCATCTCAAAAACAAGATTACTAGTTGACTTTAATTCCGCCGGCTAAAAGCAAGGCTTACCCAGATGTCGAAGCGAGAACATCACTTGAAGCCAATTCATTGGCTCTTATTGTCTGTTCATTTTCCACGCGATATCGATAGGCATCGAATGAACTACACAAATAATAAATCAAACAATTTTATCGTTGTATTTGTCAAATTATTTGTCATACCTTTGTAATTCTTTTATTTGATTTTGGCAATTTCTAATGATAGCGTTTAGTTGATCAAGTGCGTCAAATGTATCTCTATTGATATTTGGGAAAAGCTCTGGATATTCAGTGATGATTTCGTTAAGTTTAGTTTTTAGAATTTCTAGCAAATTTTGATCTGTCGACGAAGATGAAATCATGTGTTCAACTAGACGTGATTCTTCAGATGGAAACTTAATAGGTGAACTTTGTTCTTCCCAATCATTTGTAGCTGTTTCAGACCATAAAGATATTTCATTTTTCGGTAAACTTAACAATTGATTTGAAACAGTCGATTCATAATGATCTGTTGGTTTATTAATAGTAGATGGATCATTATCAGCAAGTAATTCACATTGAATATCAACATCACGGAATTTTTTCTCATCATCTGTTATTATGGGTGCATCTACAGACCAATCGTTCCATTGATTTTCGTTTGATACTTGTCCTTTCTGTTCGATTGGTTCACTTTCAATATTCTGAATTGCATTTGTTGAGGATACAGTAAATTCGCTTAATTTCATACGGTAATCATTATCAATTTCTTGTCGATAAACATCGAAAGAACTAAAATAGGCGAATGTTTACAGATAAAAATAAAAAAAAGACTTTCGGTTTACTTTTTTAATTCATTGATTTCACGTTGAAGTTCAAAACGTTCGGTTTGTAGTGTTTCTATTTGTACTGCTTGATTTTCTACTATACCAATCAAATGATCAAGACGTTCACTTGTTTCTTCGCTGACGTTCGTAAACAGATCGGATCTTTCAGTTGCTATGCGATGAATTCTATCTTTGAATGTTTGTAATACACGTTTGAGTTTATTGTTCACTTTAAGTAGTTTCTCATATTGTTGATCATTGTTTTGTTTCTCATTTTCAAATGGCTGAACAGGTGAAGCTGTATTCTTTTGTATATCTACCAAAAGATTTGTACGTTCAAGACTAAGATTTTCAATTTGATTTTTATAATTATTCATTTGTTCTTCAATTTCTTTCCTAATTTAATATTAGGGAAACTTATAGCATTCAATAAAAATTAAAAATCTGCTAAATTATTACTTTTGNTCATAAAAAAAAGCAAAATACAAAATTTCCAAAAACCAACAACGCCATCGTATTCCCCGACCCCAGTTACCTTCGGTCAAACCTATCCCTGCAGGATATTGTTTGAGCTTAGTTAAGTTTATGCATCTGCTTTCCTATTGGACGAGCGAACGAACGAACGAACGCATTTAACTCGTTTTTCGTAATACCCTCCTTTCAGTAGAGGGAATTATAATCAAAAGAAAATGTATGAATGCAGATATTAATTAAAGATCTAATTCACATAAGAATTTAGGGAGACACTGATTTTTAACATTTTTGTAAATAAAATTGTTCAGATATTCTTAACAGTTGTGTACTTAAATTAGCAATCTCAAAAACAAACAAAAAAACTTGAATTTTTTATTCCATCGTCGAAAATATGACTTGCACAATATTAGTGATATAAGTAGACTGTGTCAGTGAAACCTAGTGTGAGCGAATTTAGGGTTAAAAGCAGACGAAAAGGCTGCATGCACTCTATCTCATCAAGAAATAATTTAAATAAAAATTTGATTGATGAAAATGGAAAAAAAACTTTTAAAACTACTGTATTGTATGTAAGATTAGATAAGAAAATGTATGCATTAGTTAAGTATTGTTTTGTTTTAATATTTCGAAATTTTAGTTCGTAACATAAAAACATCAATTTAATAATAAATTAATAAGTAATTATTGATAGTTCCCTCTACTGAAAGGAGGGTCATACGCTGAGCAAGCAAAATTCGTACGTTTGTATGATCGTAGGTATGTTCGTCCCATAGAAACGCAGATACAAGAACTCCTCGAAATTCTTAGAATAGCTGGTAGAGTTTTTTTTAGCTATATAGGTAATCGGGATCGGGAAACTCGAATCCGGCAGCAGTTGTCCATAAATTTTTAATGGTCAATTTCTTTTAGCAAACAAATCTTTTTTTATACAATTTTACCAAAGGTTTCCAATGTCTAAGTAATTGAATACTCTATCAGCTCTGCCAAACTTTTTCGGAGATGTTATGGTAAAGAGAGATTATTACCCCGAGATCTATCAGAGAGTATGAGAAGAATAGCTGCTGAGAATAGAAACAAAGCGGTCAGGAAGTGAAAATTGCCTGGAAAAAGTTCATAGTTCGGAGAAGGATATACGAATGATCAGGAGTCTAAACTGAGAATTATTATGGATTTGAGGGAAAAATAAGTGGTTTATGTTAGGGGTGTAATTATTGGTTAATGATTTCTCTAGCTAAGGCTAGTATATTGTGAATTGAGAAACTTCAGCTGGTAGCATTTTCTATTAGTGACTTTGCGTAATTCATTGTTTCGAAAGTGCGCGACTCGATGATGGTGATGGTGATGCTGATAGATATATTATATGTATATTTACGGTCTTAAAACGAATCGATAACAAAGGTCTGTTTTACACATTGCATTTTCAGTGGAAACGGCTAACCGTGAGTGGCGCCTCGTAGGGGTACCACCGAACGACTAGTCGCTCACCTATCTGAATTGTTGCTTAAGATAAACTTAGCATAAAACAAGGTTGGTTTCGTGAAATATTGCACTCTAACCCGTTTCATGACGTTCCTCTACATACCCCGTGATGTACATGGTATGTAAGCTCTAAGACATAGAATATATGTTGATTCAAATCTGTAATTTACATCAAGCATGTCAGCAATGTTGTGCAAGTGTTAAGAATTTGTTCGGTGTTACCAGCTAGAATTCTATTCAAGTACACGTACACGTACAGTCACTATCACATTGTATAATTAATTGTAAACCTTGTCGTATTCAGTTGAAAACTGTAAGGAGTTTATCCAAGGAGCAAATAAATGTAAAATCATCTGATCCTATAAGTGTTGATGGCCATTGTTCTGAAAATTCATTTGGTTTTTATCTAACAAAGGAGGATGGTCGTTTTGTGGTGAAATCAGTCCCCTCGAAAAATGTGATTCCACCTGTCTAAAATTCTTATAAACAACGTTTCTAGTACATGTATTCCTTAAGTCCTTGTATTTACAGTGATTAAGCCGGTAGAATCTGCATACGAATGCTGCATGTACATTGAGTCTAACCGTTAATAGTAATCAGGCTTTTCATCAAACAAAGGGTTTACTGATCGAGTTGATATTAGCATGATTCGATAGAGCTTTTCAAGCGCTACAAAGTGATATTAAAATATTAAAATAAAACCACTGGCCGTCAAAAATTTGAGGGATGTCCAAGGACTGAGGATTAGGAATTCCTCATCAGTTCCCCTACAGTTCCTTGCATAATAAAGGTAAAAATATGGAATATTCACGATAATTTTTGTTCCTACACTCATTTTCACTTGAAAAATTGTGAGAATCAATGATTTCATGGGAAAATTATTTTTAAAACAGCAATATTGCAACTTTCGTGAATGGCGGAACTGCGAGGGAACCTATAGTTTATTCCCATTTCCTCTAGGAATTATCACAGCGGCACTGACAATTCCTCGACACATTAGGAATTCCTATTTCTCAGTCCTTGGACGTTGCTGAAGACAATATTAAAAAAAATAATAATAGTTTTTATTGATTGTATCCAACTCATTATTAAAAGAAATATTATACAGAATATTTTATAATGAGTATTATCCATTTTATTTTCTTTAAATCACAGTTCATTCATAAAGACAATAGCTGACATAAAATGAACCATTCAAAAAATTTAATTCTTTGTCTATCTCTTAGGCAAGAATTTTCACAATCTATTGGCCCATATCGTCTTCTAATCTTCGTTGGCCATGCATATAGTCAACATGCAAAAGAAAGAAGAAAAGCAATGATGATCGATGATGATTCAACGTTTTGAATAATAGTCACAACAAAATGAAACAAACTATTGGTCACTGACTGATGTGAATGGATCAGTGTTTCCAATGGGAATTCAAAGCAAAATGTATCAAAGTGTACGAAAGCCAAATTTTCACGATCTAAAAAACAAAACATAATGCTCGTCATTTTTGCTTTTACGAGAAAACATTTTGGTCTCTAGCGAACAAATAAATCTAATCTGTAATTAATTTAGAACTATATGCGGCTCTAAAGGTTCAAACATCAAATAAACCCGAGTGTAAATCAAATATAGCAGGTGACCTGTACATTTTGTTTCTGCTTGGTACACTTGTCATTGGAAACAATGGGATGGATCATTATAGTATTTCTAAAATGAATTCGCTTATGCACTCATGTAGTTGACTTTTAAATCTGGGGGAAATAAAAAAAACCAATTATACACAAAAATTAGGCGTAGCTCACAATATTTTTCTATAATAGTTTCGTTCTGGCGATTTTACTTTTTAAAGTCCCTTAGTGTCATTCACCACCGACATCCATCAATCATAGATATTCTTTGTTTTATTCATGTAGGATATCTTAGGCCTGGATTCGAATATTTCCTGAATGTATTTGCTCACAGCTGGGGCAAAAGCTCAAATTGGACGGGCCAAGATAGAACTCGATGAGTTCCATCGAATGCACGATTCGTTTTTTTGTCCAGCGGGATTCCTAACTCGAGAAAAATGCAAAATACTGCCAAAAAACTCCAGGTCGAACATTTCAGCCACCGGATCCCGTAGGATACTCCAGGAAATATGCGTGAAAGTCACCATATCCGGCAGGAAAACACAGGAAAGCGATGGAACATGGAAGCAGTATTCCGATCAAAAGTACGGCCGGATTTTTCCGCCAGGAATTGATCGGAAATCAACGGAACTACCCGGAACCGGCCGTTTCCAGACCGGGCTGTTCGACCTGGAACCAGGCAAAAAGCAGTCATGTTTGGTAAACCTGTCGCTATTTGCTCAGTGGGGGTACCAAGAGCTTATATTTGCAGAGTTGGATAGAACTTGACGAGCTCTATTGAATGGCTATCTTTATAGTGCCATAAACCACTTGGAACCCCTCCTAGGTACTACAGTCATAGTGTCAGCAGTATGAAGCACGATTTATGGAGTTGATGAATAATCTTAGCCAGCTTAGACGTGATATATACATTTGAATTATATGATTTATAAATCCGATATTATTCATCTTTTGTTTCTTGCTGTAACTATATAAGTGTCCGATTTTTTATTTTCGAAGGGAAATTGTGTACTGAAGCTTCTTTTATATCCGAATTGGAATTCAGTATCTTCTGCTGAATTCTTCGAAAAAAGCAATTAAAAATTAATCAGTGCTCTTTTGCAACAGAAGATTGTTCCTCGTTATTCCTACTCATATACATTTGCAAGACTTCATAGAAACAATTATCATTTGTGGAAGACATCTGGGGTGGTGACACGGATTTGCCCTTTCGGAGGGGATCCCAAAATGAAGTCGAGTCGGAAAGGTGTCCATTCGAAAGAACTCGTCATGTTCTATCTATCCATATCAGTTTTAGCATTTGGTCCCCTCTTTGAGCTAGTCGCGACTGGTTTTACTGGAAAGCTCACGTTTCAGCAATGAATTTGCATTTTAGGAGGAGTTTCAAATGTTTTATGACAGTGTAAAGATAACCATTCGATAGAACTCATCAAGTTCTATCTATCCGTATCTCTTTTGGCTTTTGGTGTCCTCGCTGAGCGAATAGCGATAGATTTTACCAAAAATGCCTGCTTGTTTCCTGTTTTTTTTTGGCAGTATTTTGCATTTTTCTCGAGTTAGAAATCCCGTTGGAGAAAAAATGAATCGTGCATTCGATAGAGCTCATCGAGTTCTACCTTGGTCTCTCTAATTTGGGTTTTGGTCCCCTGTGTGAACGAATACATTCAGGAAATATTCAAACCCAGACCCAAGATATCGTACGTGTTTTATTGGCTCTGTTGCAATTAAATGGGTATGCAACAATAGGAAGTAGGTCAATAGAATCCCTAGTCGAATGTTTTTATTCATGCGCTTGCAAGACTCAAGCTCAAGATGTGTCCATAGCGCATGACTTTCTTGCTCAAGACAAGCGCTTCAATGTTTGCATGAGTTACAAAAAAATGCAACTATAATTTTTTATTAAAAGTGGAGTGGTTGTGAAGGTAAGATTGAAAAAAAAAGTTGAAAAAGTTCTTTAATAATAGAAACGCTTAGATAAAAATTCAAGCGCATGAACAAGTTTAAGAACTGGAGCTCACCGAAAGGGTTCATGTCTTGTCCTCAAGATGTGTCCATAGCTCTTGACTTTCTTGATCAAAAGCGTCAAGAATTGCATGCGCTTGCAAAAGAAAGTTCGACTTGGGATACTATTCTCACTGTAAAAAGATCAAGACACATGAAGTGTATAAATAAGACGCTTGGTTAGTCTAAACAAGACACTTAGCGCCATTTCTGATTGGTCAGTCAAAGTCCTTTTTAAGACACCTCACGTGTCTGCGGATAACCGATTTGGAACATCTGGAACACGTACGCGTCTCAATCGATCTTGATTGGATTATTTAAACCAATGTATTTAAGCGTCTGACAGTAGTCTTTTTTAGACGCTTCTATCGATCTATGGTTCACTAATTCAAGAATTCATATTTTTATATGAATATTAGATATTAGAAAAAATATTTTCAATGAAATAGCTTTTTTACACTTTACTTGAGTTAAAATCATATTTAAAACTTGCAGGAGTTATTTAAAAAAATTTTTATATATATTTTTTGACGTTTAATGAAATTCCTCGAAGGTGATATTCTTGTGAAATAAAATATTATCTTCGAAAATATTTTATTTGAGTAAATCTGATTTTTGAGGAATTTCATTAAACATCAAAAGATATATAGAAGAAAATTTTAAAATAATTTCTGTAGTTTTAAATATAATTTTAACTCAAACAAAGTGTAAAAAAATTATTTCATTGAGAATATTTATTCTAATATCTAATGTTCATATAAAAATATGAATTCTTGAATTAGTGAACCATAGTTTGATCGAAGAGCCTGGGAAAACTCATGCAACACAAGTGTAAAACGAAAAACATAAAAGTCTTAAGTATTTTTTTAAATATTCAATATTAAAATATAACTGTAATCAGTTATTTTTGATAATTTTTGTATCATCTAGAAAACAAATAAAAAACTTGAAAATATATTAGAAATAAATAAAAAAGAAATTTCGGTAAAATGGTTTGCGTATTTTTAAAGCCCCTTCACTTCAGATATCGAATCAAAAGATACGGATCTCTTCAAAACCACGAATATCCTCCACTTGAGTTAAAATGTGAAGCAGTTCACGGCAGAAAAGTCATCGAAAAAACTAATTCTGGAAAGAGTGAAATCCTAAATATTTTCAAAAAATCGAATAAGACTCTTTGTTTCGCATCCGAAAGTAAATTCTCATAGCTACGAAAGAAAGTAAAAAATTGATCTATTGGTCAATAGCTATAACAATTTTTTACGAGAAAGAGGAACTTAAGACGCTTTCCTGTCTGTAGTCACTACATGTCTAAAAACAAGACGTATTTCGCGTCTGAATAAAACTTAAGCCGGATAACATGTCTCGTTAGACACACGGCATTTTTTACAGTAGTTACATATATCACTGATTCCATATCATTTTCACAGTAACCCTCTATCATGAAACCAAATCAGCTAGTGTCACCTATTCATTTTCTATGTAGCGCCAGAAAAAAATATATATCACAGCGTGTTCCTCATTTTATGCTAATTCCAAATATATACCCTAGTCGAACTATTTTTTTGCAAACGCATGCAATTTTTGACTTTTTTTGATCGAGAAAGTCAAGAGCTGTGGACACATCTTGAGGCAAGACATGAGGCCTTTCGGTGAGCTCAAGTTCTTAAACTTCTTCTTCTATCGCTGAATATTCTTGCTCACGCGCTTGAATTTTAATCTAAGCGTTTCTGCTATTAAAGAACTTTTTCAACTTTTTTTTCAATTTTACAGTCACAATAACTCAACTTTTAATAAAAAATTATAGTTGCATTTTTTTTGTAACTCATGCAAACATTGAAGCGCTTGTCTTGAGCAAGAAAGTCATGTACTATGAACACATCTTGCGCTCAAGTTTTGGCCAGCGCATGAATAAAGAAGTTTGACTAGAGTATAAATCTTAATATTTGGCCCGGTTTTAAAAACAAGTATTCGATCAGTGCATTTAGAAATAATCAGTAAAAAACAAGCGTCTTCCTTTCATCAATCAGTAGATCATATCTGAAGCACTTACAATCTATCATGCATACTTGACTATCGTCGCAAAAACGTGGATGCGATGTGGGTAAATTTTGGATCACTATCTCGTAATAAGTGGAAATCTTATCAAACCATTTCGATTATCGAAGTTCGATAATTCATTTGAATATAATTGTAGATATATAGGATATACATGTTTCTATTATCATTTGGCTTTAAATTCAGTACAGCTATTATTTTTTCTTTTCAGTCGATTTTCTCGTTAGCATAAAACGATTGGGATGATTATTGAACAACTTTGATTTCGATTCTATTTAATGAATTCAGTATCTCGAATTTATCGAATCAAATTTTATTTGAATAAACATGATTATGTATCTATACTCATCATTCTTCTTCAAATAAAATTACGTACATTAAAAACGATAAGACTAGCTAGTTTATGTTTTTATGGAAATATTCTAAACGTTCTAGAATGAAAAGAAATGAAAAAACATCGAAAATTGCTTGCGAGAAAATTCTTCATAATTTTAATCGAAATGAATTAAACTTTCAATGTCAACGTTGGGCATTAGCTCATGGCAAGTGTCGCGTTTTGAATAATTTTCTTGTCTAAGCTTCGTTTTTTCCTTCAATTTTTTTAAAGGTTTTGTTCAACGTTATTTTACACAAGATGATAAAATTCAAAACGATTCGAATGTTCTTTTGTATCCATTTACAATTTGTCCATCACCATATCCACATAGTGAATATGAAAAAGCTCACGAAATTCAACATGGAATTAATATGTTTGTTCAAAATCTTGCTTTCAACATTGATTTAATGGATTCTGTTTTTAAAAAGTGAATAAGTTTTAAAAGAATTAGTTCTTTTCTTTTCATTAAAATAATAATAAATCTGCTTAGTTTGATTGAATATGACCCATTTATAAAACGATTAAGAACCATTTATGATCAAATTCAGCAATTGCCATATAAAGTAAATGAGCATTTAATTTGAATTCAATAACACATTCTGTTAATAGAGTGTTGCCGAAACATGTATCATTCGATCGGATTATATGTTACAACAGATGAATATGTTTGCTCAAAGAACCAAACTTCGTCTCGTTGAAATTAATACGATTGCCGTTGGTCTTGGAGCGGCAGCCAAACTTATACATGATTGGCATAAGTACGTGGAGTTATTCATGCTTTTTTTTGTTTCTTTTTTTGTGAAAATAAAATTCTATTTTTCTCTAGGCAATTCTTAACACAAATACTACCTGAACTTGTATCGCAAGTAAATTGAAAATTTTATAGAAAAAGACTTTACTATTCTATTTTATCATCAATAAAAGTTGCCAGAAAATGAATCATATAACCTTGTCATCGATACTTTATTTGAATCATGGAAAATTTATAATAATTCAAGGTTTGAAAATGTGTTTCTGTCATTCATTTAATATTTTGTTTTAGTATAGAGCAATAATTCTCTTTGTTGTACCTGAACATGAATTTAATATTGGTGATCAAATGTTGATTGAAAAAGGACTTTTATCATTTGAAAATTCTCTTCTTGTCAAACACGTAACATTCGTGGATATTTATCGAAATTGTTCTTTGGATTCGAAAGGAATTCTTTACTTGTGAGTTTTCAATTATTATTGAGCAATTGATCTAAATATGATAACTCTTGAACGAATTTAGTGGTAATTTTGAAGTTGCATTCGTCTACTATCGAACAGGTTATGATCCGAAACATTTTTATAATGAAGATGTAAACGAACTATTAATAATAAATGTTTCTTTTTGTCATTTTTTTTCATTTATTTACAGATTTGGCAAGCTTATATTATGTTAGAATCTTCTTGTGCTATTAAATGTCCCAGTTTAAGATATCATTTAGCTGGAATGAAATGCTTTCAATTGGCAACCAATGATGAAGAATTTTTAGGAAAACTTTTTCACGAACACGAAGAATATATTGATGATTTTAGATATGTTTTAGAGGATATGTTTACCATGGATCAGGTTTCAGCAAGAAATTTATTACAAAAGAAATAGTTGTGCATATTTCTTTCCTTTCAACAATATAGGCAATCAATGATCCAGTTTTACAACGACGTATACTAGATAAACCGGATTCGCTCTATTTGAAGCAAAGTCGAGAAGGAGGTAAAAAATGAAATGAGAAAGACATTGTAAAATAATATCCTTAGTTATTAAGTTCTATCTTATGTCATAGCTTTACTTTACATATGTGGCCTTGAAAATTTTGAATACTGTAGAAAATTTGAAATTTAAGTTTAGAAACTTTTATATTTCTCATATTATCATAGAGATCTGCATACGAAAAAAATAGACAGTAAAAAGATACTCGATCGTTGCCAATGAAAAAAAGAATCTTTCCTTTTTAAGTAGTTTCTCATAAAAAGTTTTGCTAGGTAAAATAACATGACGCGTTCTAGATATAAAATGTCCGAGTTTTTATATCGTTCTTTTGATGAAATCGTTGATCTGACGTTTAGTTTTGATAAACCAGTTTATAAAGTAATTTCAAATCGAAATAAATGTAAATTGTTTAATATTACAATTACCTATTTCTCTACCATTGTAGAGTGCTGAACGAAGTACTATAATAAAAAGAAATAAGTACCTTTAAAATAAGTTCAGAATTCTCATCATTATCAATCAAGAATATTTTTCTATATGATGATAGAATTTTCTTTTCTTATTATTTTATTTATTATAAGAGTAGACTACTTCGTATTGATATTGAAGATAAATAAAGACCGGAATTTGTTTAATTACATTCAAATAGTATTTCACATAAAATTTTAACACTCTGAGTATTTTTTCAATTATTTCTGTCGTCAACTCTGTGATAGCAATCTAATTTGTTTTATATTTTTAGGTGGAAATGTTTATTGTGGTTCTTTACTTAAGTAACAAACAAAATTTTTATTTCATTTTTATTTAAAACTATCTTTTTTATGCATAGAGAACATATCAATGAAATCATTATGAATAAACAATCAAATCGTTATTTTCTTATGTCTCGTATCTATCCTCCGATATATTCAAGTTTAATACGTTCCGCAAGACCTAACGATAATAATGAATTTATATCGGAAAAACAAATCAATGGAGAATTAGGTGTATTTGGAAGTTTAATCAGTCGTAATGGAACAGTAATTTTCGAAAGAATTGGTGGTTCATTATTACGTAGTAAACCAGCAATAAATGTTGAAGGTGGTATTGCTTCTGGACAAGGATACATTGACTCAGTATTTCTTGTTTAAAAATATAGATATTTTTGTTTTTGTTATGCATGTTTAATAATACTGTTATCAAAAATAAACAAAGAATGATGAGGACAAAAGAAAAAAAAAGCCACCACAGAAAAGAATCACGAATAAAGTAATGAAAACATTTATTTGCAAGATCTGACAATAAATTAATATCAACTATGAATGGGTTATAAGTCTAATACCGCCCATTTCAGCAAGATGGTGAGAAAAATTGCCTGCTGGACATGTTATAAACATAAAATTTGTTGGAATATCAAGTTGTTCACTAAGTCGTTTCACTGTTGGTGGATCAAATTGTCCTTTGATGAGTAACTAAAATAATTCAATTGAATAAAATATGTGAAAATCAAAATCAAAATCAAAATCTAACCAAATCAATACAAAGCTTTGGATATTGTTTATCAAGAAATTTGACATTTGTTTCTAACATTGATGGAATTTGATTCTCATTCTCATAAACATGGCATATTTTTAAAAAATTTGTTAACTCATTTTCACGAACATACAATATAGCTTTATTTAAAACCGATGGATCATCTGTTCGTGTAAAAAATAACATTGGGCGATCTTCTATTCTTTTATATTGTTGATTAAGCATTTCTTGCCAACTTCTTGGACCACCAAAATAAATTAAAAGTTTTAAAACACGATTTCTTGAAAACATTAGCATAACAATTAAAAATGTTATACCAAAATATAAAATAAAAAATTTTACATGAGCTAAATTGAGTATTATTTCGCCAATAAGACCAACAAAAACAAGTAAAAATCCTAGTACAACATGTGGCCAAGATGCATAGATTTTTCGTGGTAAAGTCGAACGTTTATATTTTAATATCATATTTCCAACAGCAAATAAAGACATAACACTTAAAAATGACATAGTATATACACCAGCAAGACTTTCTAAATTACCACGAACAATAAAATGCAGTAAACTTGTAACAAGAAAAAAGCCAATTATAATAAAATGATTTGTTTCTCGCCATCGATTTGTAAATGATAAAAATATAGGTAAACATCGATCAAAGCTCATACGTCGTATTAAACCAGTTATACCAACATAAGATGTTAATACAGCACCTGATAAAACAAGTAATGCATCAGCTGATATTAATTGTGCAAGCCATGTTGAAGAATTCGATTGAAGAGTTGCTGAACCCATAGCAGCTAGAAGATCATCACGATGGTGACGAATTTCAGCCATTGGCATTATGAATAAAGACAATAATGAGAATACTAAAAGGGAAAAGAAAACAAAATTTGAAGTTATCATCTTTTATTTTGGTAATATTATCTAATAAAAACAATATTTTTCTAATCGTGAACATTTTAGCACAGTATTTTTAAGCAAATTTACTTTAACCTACTTAAACTAAAAATCATTTGAAGATTTCTTTTTCATTTTCAATTTGAGAAATTGTAATATAATTAGAATTAGAATCTTTTCATCGCAGAATAGTGTAGAAATAAAATGCATGTAGAAACTTAGAAGCAATAACTTACATGGATTAAATAGCGAAACCACATACCACATATTTCGTAGTGTTTTTGGAAATACTCCAACATTTTGCTCTTCAATATAATTTGATGAAGTTTCAAAACCACTAACACCCAATAAAGCTAATGCAAATCCATAGTAAATATCTTCAGGAATATTTTTTAAAGGTTTTGTTTGCCAATTTTCTATAAACATCGTTATGGAATCATAGGATTTCATAATTTTTATCAAACACATTATTAAAAGTAATGTCATTGTACCAATATGTATAGCAAATATAACTAAAGCAACATTAGCTGATTCTTTCAAACCCATTAAAGTTAATAGACAAAAAAATCCTAATAAAGCCATGACAGCCCATGATGGATCAAGTCCAGACCATAAATTTTGTCCGTAAGCAATTGCTGAACCAGCTGATACAACAGCTGTTGCTATATAGGAAACTAATGTTAGACAAGCTGCAATTGATGCAATGAATTTCGTTGTACAATTAAGTAAAACATTATATGCACCGCCATTTAATGGAAGAGCAAGACCAACTTCAGCATAAATATTACGAAATAGATAAAGAACAAAAGCTACTAGATATAAGGAAATAAACGAATATTGACCAGCTAGATATAGTAGAGCAAAATAATTTTAAATATAAATAGAGAAATCAAAAGGTTACTACCTCTTTGTGCGCATATTCCTGCAGTATAAAGACATGATGAGGAAATATCATTACCAGCAATAGCTGTTGCATGCCATTCACCTAACATTTTATGACTTTTCTTTTCTTTTTCACCGTGAACCAATTTTGGAATACGCCCTTCAAAATTTGTTCTAGAATCAGCTGTTGTTGATGGGCCGTATGATTCATTGTGAACTGTTGCTGTTGATATAATATCATTAGTAGTGGTAGAAAAATCGATACGCGTTACTTCACCCCAACGACCAGGAAAATCCTAAAAAATCTCAAGTTATATTTTCGTTAATTTTGAATAATTTAACAAAAAAAATATAACCAACCCAAGTTGTTGAATGTCTTCGACCATTATGATGCAACAACGAAGAAGATTGTGAAGTTTGTGAAATTAAAGGAGAGATTTCTGTTGAAGATGTTCTACCTTCGTCACTATTATCTAAGTTTATTGACGTCATTGAAAATCTAAAAAGTAAAAATGATTTAAACTGCATAGTTCGTTACTCTTGTTTTTACTTTATCTAACATTTTGTTTTATCAAAACTTATAATTTATAAATTTGTCTGCTTAGTTTCCTTTTTTCTTGCACTTTCGACTTCATAAGATTTCGAAGTTATCTTGTTTTTCTAGATATTAGATAGTGAAAAGTCATGTAAACGAAAAGAAAACGTGAGTGTAAATTCTTATTGGTCTATTATTCCATCAAATAGTTATGTCTATTCAATTTTCATTGATAGTCGCTCCAGGTTTTATTCTCTATTTGCTTTTAACTAATTCGTTTCATTTTATCACTTATATATATATATATATTATAAAAACAAGTCTTCTATGGCTTCACCAGACACACCCGAACTTGAAGAACTTGTATTTTATCAACAATTAATATCAAATTTCCATGATTTATATACAAGAGCTCAACAGTCATGTTCAATACTTGTCATACCACAACACCTATCGACTACTTCTTCATTAACACGTGACATATTTGAATCACATGTGTTTCGCCCTTCTCCATGTTATCTACGTAAACATGTATCTTGGAATGACAAATATGAAATTGAGTTTGATACTAATCGTACTATTCGATTTTTTTACAAAAAAGATGGAGCAGGTGAAAAACGTGTGAAGATTCTAAGCCAAGAGGATGTTCGTGATAGTATTCGACAACGTTCCTATAGTATATTAATTATTGAACAACCATTGATTGATACTAATGCAATCAAGAATTTACCAAATGGTACAATATTAAAGTCAATACGCAAACCTTTGAATTCATCATCGGTAAGTTATGATATCCATAGAGAAAAAATAACTTACCTTAGATTCTTTTCTACTTTAAATCTTTAAAGATTTAAGCTATCATTTATATTGATATTTGATAGCTCGCTGAAAATTGTAAGCACTTAACTAGATTTTTAAAATGACTCATTTTCGTCTGTAAAAAAACCACATTTATTATCACAATAATATTAAAAATATTTTATTTGATTGTTATTGAGACTGAATTAGTATTCAAAAACAAGGTATCTATTTCGACTATTCAATAATTTTTCAAAAGAATAAATTTCTTAATAATTCTAAATTAACGCGACAATACTCTGTAAAAGATGCATTAGTAAATCAGTTCTTCGTTCGACAGTAAGATAGTATATCATATTATGATCTTCATAAAATAACTAATTAAATATCTTATTTAGATATCGAAATTCGATATAACAACGGCAAGTTATGAATCATCATTTATGTTTCTTGATTCGCTGCGTGAAATAGAGTCGGCCTTTGCAAAATTGCGTACAGCTTTGTTTTTATTTAATGAAACCTATGTCATACTACCAAAATTTGTTGAAAATGCTCTTGATAAACTTCGTCAATTACGAGTAGAATTTCTCGTGGAATCTTACAAATTATCAAATAGAAATCATGCCGATCGTGATATTGAGTTAGCAAGTGAAATCTACATAACTGGTAACACATATACGAAAGTTTGGCCAATTATTCTTCAACATAATGAAAATAAAGATCAAATATTATTTGAAAATATTGAGAAACGACAAAGAAACGAGCACAAATATTCTAATCAAATTAATTTAAATACGAATCAAACTGCGTTAAATGAATTGAAAAGATTAGATGATCTTAAATCATCGTATGAAAAAGCTAAGTGTATTCGTTCGGCACTTGATTTAACAGTGGCTGCTAAAACATTAATGATTGTTGATCCAAAAAATTCTGCTGTTTCATATCATTCATCATCAAAGCCAATGCCAATGGCAGCCGATGAAACTCTAACCGCATTTATTGATCTCATATGTCAATTAATATCATCTGCAGAACCAAATGTTCGTATTCGTTTATCGGCACATGAATATTATACGGAAAAATTTAGATTCTCTCCTCTTCCACAAGATATTGATTATGCTTTTACAACTTACCGAGGCGTTCTAGAATATTTAACAAATAGCTCTTCTTGGTTTTGATAACAAAAACATTCACCAAAATATATTAACCAAGTTACAGAACCGGTGATTTTCTATGTGTTCTGCTGCGACAGAGATGTATTTTTTTTCTGTAATTTTATTAAATAAAAATGTAGAGAAAATGGAATTCATGTTGATCATTTATTTGCTACAACAGGTTCCTTTGCTGCTGCATGAGAAGCAACTGACGAACTTGTATCTTCTAATGGAGGTATATTGTTTGTTTGTTGTTCGATTATGTCTAGTAGTTCGCTTTCCTATAAAGTTTTATGAATGTATATTTCTTTTTGGTAAACAAATATATTGTTAAAAGAACATGATTAACGTACTGAAGTTGGTGCTGGAAGATTTTCTATATGATATACCATAACAGAACCGTTACTTGTACCGGCAAGAACGCACTATAAGCAAGTGACATTATTGTTGAAAAAAGGAAGTTAAAACGAAAAATAAATAAATAAATACTTCAGAGTTCGGTGCATATGTTATTGAAGTAAATATATATTGTTGAGTAGCTAATATGACATTTATTGGTTCAAGTCTGTTGAAAAAGAAAATACAGTAACATAGAATAGAGAAATTCACTGAAAAATAATTTCAATCTAGAACATTTTCTTTGCATGAATGTATAAATGTCAATCGTATTATTTCAATGAATACAGTTTGATACTCGCAGCTAGCCGTTATGCAACAAAATTACATATTTTTCTTTAGATGTACTAGAATCATCTGTATTATATATAGTTAGACAGGTCATAATAGAGAAAATATGGCAGGATTATTCTGAATCAGTTTATTTTATTTGAAATAAATAAATAACTGAATTGAATATTTGTTTATGACTACCTTGTATTTTAAAAAGAAAGAAAGAAGAAGAGATTTTCAACCGAACACTAATTCTCTTCATTAGATAAAGAAATGAATTTTTATTTGTTACGGTTTGCTCTTAATAAAATACCATCAATTCAATCCTATTCATTTCTTTAGTATCGAATTGTTTTGATTCTAGGGAAAATTTGAAATGTTTTCTTTGAACACTATCTGAAAGTCAAAAATGATAGAGAATACATTTGAAAAAACATCCTAACGTGTCGTTGCATTGGACTATGATATATCGAAAAAACTTCTATTGAAGTCAGATGACTAAAAGAATAACAGATTTCTTACGTATTTTTTGATAAATCCCATACTTCCACAGCTTCTTCATTGGCACAACAAAATATGGTTGCGGATTTTGGTGACCAACAAATATCAAAGACTGGTTTCTAAAAATACTGATCAATCATAAAATGACTTCAGAAATATATAGGATTACTTTTCTTGATGCAAATGTAATACATGGTTGAAATCTATCAACAGTCCAAAGTGAAACTGTCCAATCAGCTGATGATGATAGAAAAACACCTTTTGCAAGCGGACACCAAGCTATACGATAAACTGGACCCTATTCAAAGTAATGTATAAAAGATAATATTCGAAAATTTCTAAACAATATATTATAGCAACTTACTGTATGCCCAGAGTACGTATCTAAATATTGTTCATTGTATGATACAGAACATCGATGAATAAGACCTTCTTCAGTTCCGCATAAATATCTAAAATAGATTGAAATTTCATTTTCTTTTCAAAATGTCATTAAAGTAGACATACATTGTTTTATCATCTGGACAGACATCAAAACAGAGACCTCCCGAAGTACGAAAAAGTAAATTTTCGGACTTTGAACCTTTTGTATCTTTTCCATTCTCACGTTTTTGTACTGTTTGTTTACTTAATATACGTTTCAATTTCATATAATCTAATAGGACAAGAAGAATTTATGATGATTTTGTTTTGAAAATATCCCTGTTCGAAGGTTTGTTTTTCTTTACCGTTGGATTCGAAACCTTTCCGTAATAACCATTGAGTAACTCGGCCATCTAGAAATATAAGCCTTTAAATCATGAGCAACATAAATATCATCAACACAAACCGGTGGAAATTGACATAAGTACTTCGCCAGTGTCATCGTCACGGCCTTTTTCGACTTCAACCCAATAGAGGTGCCATACAGGTGCTGTATGTTTCCCAAGTGACTCTCTATTCAACAATAGGAGAAAACAAAAGAGTTTAAAACAAAAGTAAAAATTCTTCTATAATAAACGTACTCTGTATCTAGCAATGGCTTATCACCATTAGTTTGAACATCATATACATTGACTGTGCCATCGAACAGACCGACCTTTTATAAGAGTGTATTCAATTAAAGAAAAAACAAAAGAAGAATCTATTTCTACCGCTAGTAATGATGGAAATTTGACTGAAAATGCCACAGCTGTTACACCAGCAGGAGTATGAAAAAATCTTTCTGGAAACTAAATAATTAAACAAAAATGAAACAGAAATATTGCGTGGTATTATTTAATGAAAATACTTCTTGATTTTTTAAACACCAACAACAAACTAAACCATCACGTTGATCATTATATTCGAAAGGTCCATAACCAGCAGCGAGAAGATCAGGATTTTTTCGATTCCAACCTAATGCGCTAACATTTTTGTTACTTGTAACTTCAGCAGAGTAAGCTAGTTTTACAAGAAATTTAAAAAAATCTCTTGGTTTTAGCTCTATTTAAAATAAAATTTGATAATCATTTACCAAATAATTTATCGAGTGCTAAACCAGTAAAATTGACTTCTTCTAAAAAAATAAGATTATTTATTTTACATTAGTATCAAACCTATTATGATTTGATTTCGTTTTGTTATTATAACAATTACTAATTTACTCAACGATGTATCCAAAGAAAAAAAAATCAAAGTGTGAGCTATCGATAGATTTGAATATTCGGTAGACAATGATTTCGAATGACAATCTTTCCTCTCTGAAAACCTTCACTATATTTCTAATTCATATTAACATGTACATTATGCATGATTGAAAGCAACACTTAAATAACTAATTTATGATCGCACTAATATATATACATATATTATGACAAGAAAATATCAGTAATTTGAAAATTGATTCGAGGCTTGTCTCTATGTGTTAGTAGAAAAGCAATTGACTATTTTTAAATGAAAACGTCTCATAGATGTTTCCTGATAAAATACTATTCGTTTTTATAGATATTATAGTTTTTAGTACAGTATCTAACAAAGAATCGTATCTAGAATCCAGTGAGAACGATTTTTTCCCGTATTTTCCTGTCTGGTTTCCCGCGGGAATTGAGAATGAGAATTCTCACGGAGATTTCTGAAACAGACAACGGGAATGGAAATCGTCATCGGTATTTCGGGAAAGAGAATTATATAAAAAAATTGCCCGCTCCCGAAAATCTGTTCGTCCTAGTTTTATCGTTATTAAAACGTATCGACTTAAGGGGGAACCTCCTTTAAAAAACTTTATTTTTTGAAAAAGTCCTAATTGACTTGCTGTCGTAGAAAGATGCTCCAAAGTTCTCTCTTTGAGAATATATATATATATATATATATATATATTGTGAAATCCATACTCCCTAGATTAGTTTTTTATGCTGATTTCAAATATCATATTTATTTTGCATAAAAAACAGTTACTGATAGTGAAATTAAGTAATTGTCGAAGATTTTGTATAGGATTTCCCATATCAACACACTCGAGCCTTAAAAAGCAACACTAGATATATTTTTTCCTTGAAGATTTTTACATCACGTTGTAGATTTTGAAATGCTCTATCCATTTATATGTAGGAAACTATTTAAAAGCATAATTATAATTATGAAAATACGACAGAAAGTCATTGAAGTGTAAAAATAAGCTGGCTGCAGTTACGTATTCACTATCAAATGAAATTAAAAGAATTCTCTATCGATTCATGTATACAAACGTTTGTTTAACTTTTACTTTATGCCCGAAATCAGCCCATAACTAGATACACCCAGGGGCAAATTTTTAGTCAAAAATTAAGTCTTGAGAGGACTATAACTCGGGTTAGCTATATTGAAACAACGTCAAAATTGAAGAATATATGTAAAAAAAATGTACTCTATCAAATCAGACAACGGAGTCAAAAAATTGAGGGGACGGGGGTTCGCCCGGGGGGGGGGGGGGGGGGGGGGGGGGGTCGCCCCCCCTCCCCCCCCCCCCCTCCAAAACTAACAGATTCAAACCCTATAGATGGTGCTCGCTGGCTTCATTCAATAAATGCCCTAAAGACAACTCGTCCAGTTATATCGTAAAATAATCCATTTTTGGCATCTTTTTATTGAATTGCAATAAAAAGCAATTTTTTAACTTGCTTATCGTTTTACTCAAAAGATGAATTTTGGTCACAAAAAATGAAACTTCTCCTTCAGGGTTTAAGGTATAATCAAATTTCTTTTTGTTTTACAGTTCCAAGTGCGAGTAAATTTTTGGCTGACCAAATTTTTTATATTCTATTTTGGGGTTGAGAAAAATAAAATTTAATGTCGTGGGATGGACGTTTTTGGGCTGATTTTGACCCCATATCTGTTGAAATGTTCATAGAAAATGAATGGATTTGGAATTTCAAGATTCTGTTCGGACAAAAGTTGCATATAGTTCTTGGCTTTAATTTGAAACCACCGCGCGCTCTGTAGCTTTTTCAATGACAAAGCCTTAGGAATTCTGCTGAAGCTATATATATGACTCATCAATAAATTGGAACTCCATTGTAGCCCGACATATCAACCTGAAATTTTTACTGGAAGAGTTTCTCACGAGGGTCACTGATCTCCGAAATTTTCAGCCTAAATGGATCGGTTTAAGTGGGAAATAAATTTTAAGGGGGGGAGGGGGCGGCCTTAACGTTTTTTTTGTTTCATCCAATTATCAAAAATAACAACAAATATGTATTAAAAAATTACATAAATTAATTTGTTGTTCACTACATCATTCGTCATCTTCTTTGTCATCATCGAAACTACGATCATCGAGACTATAATGTGGAACTGTTATATCATCATCTTCTCCTTTCGAGATTTGTTTTTTCGTGTCTATTTTACATGCGGAACTTTTTGCTCTTGTTCGTGATTGTTCGCTTATCGGTGAATATGAAAGCTTTTAACAATAAACGTAAACCGTATCAATTGTTGGAGAAATGGTCAATGTGAAATTTCTCTAATCCACAGATGTAGTTTGATGTGTAAAATGTTATATGTGAAACATGGGAGCGCGCGATGAGTTGTTGTCAGTCATTAAAAAAAACTTTCAATGCGAAAAATGAAATAATAATAGACGCTGTAAAAAGTTTTCGGGAACGAGTACCAAAAAAAGTCATTCCAGCAAAGCCCTAATCGTATGACAATATTTTGTCCTGAAGTTTTCCTTATCGGTAGACCTACGAATAGATTGAAAAATTGAGATTAAAAGATTAATCTCTTCGTGAAATGCTCTATTCAGAGAGATAACTTATTCTACGAATATTTCGACAATCTGAGTTTTTTCAAATTTTGCATATCATGAAAAGAAAATTCAAGTTAAAATTAGGTCTATTTTTGGACAAGATTATTTATTAATATAGTGCTCTCCGAATTTACTCTATTTACCGTCTCATAGAATTGAATTTTATGAAAATGGCGTCAGATGAACAGGTCAGTCTCAATGATCGCCACTCTTTCATGATTGCGAATATTTCATTAGAATCTACCTTATACATAGTCTACAATCTCAAAATTGATCTTCAAGTTAGGAAGATTTTGTCTTAGAAAAATGAAATTGGATGTCAACTAAAATTTAGACAACACCTTAAGTAATAACGCAATTTCAATCCATCACATATTCTTAAATATCAAATGTATTTTTTTCTCTATTAAATCTGTTAAGTTTACTTGCGTCTTTGCCAGCCAATGGCGTTAATCCTCGATAAATAGCTTGTTTCGTTTGATTAGTATTCAAATTAAGTACTCGTTCCATGATAAATACGCATGAAGCAATCTTCGATGACTGTAAACAAATAGAAATCCCAAAAGAAATCAAATAGTCGCACATAAATATTTATCGTTAAATTTTACATCAAACGGTTCTGGAACTTTTGTTTCATCGCTTGTGCTGTTTGTTGCACTTGGCTTTCGCATAGTTTCATCCATTGATTGATCTGAAAGACGTGTTCCATGCGATTTTTCTACTCCAGAACTTGAAGAACGTGTTTGATCTATGATAAAATATAAAATAAAACACGCTCATTAAGTATCAATAGATAATTGTATCAGCAACGAACCAACACGCATAAGTCCGTCATCAATTGTTTGTGTTTTCTGAGTGCTCTTAACAAGATTAGCTAAAACAAATTGAATACGACAAATTTCTAGCTTCATTTTTTACAATATATATTTATACGTACTGTTACTTTGACCTCTTTCTGAGTCATACATATCTGCAGTTGATGCGTATGCCTCTCGGCTCTATTTTAAACAAAAATTTTCATTTTCATTTATAAAACACAAGGAATAATCTACTTGAGAAATTAATCGTTCACATTGAACTTCTTTATTTTTAACACTGCTGTTAAATGTATTCATACCACGATCATTGAATACATCACTACCTTGTTTACTTTTACACAACTAAATACATACATATATATATATATATATATGTAAAAATAAATACTGTAAAGTATATGTTTTAAGTTTAATTTTACTTCAACATATCGTTCATTTTCTTGTTTAATTAATTCTAAATCTTTTGAATCATTAGCAACAATAGAACTATCCAAACTTAAAATAAATATTGTATCTGTTTCAGTCAGAGTTAACAACGGTTGTATTATTTCATCTTCTAATGGTATTAATGAATGTTCTAAGCACAAAAGTTTAATTAAATAAAGGGTTTCATAGATATAATCAATAGTAACCTCTCTCAGTTCCATGTATGGCAATACTTTGAGCAAGTTGATCAGTTTCTTGTTCTGATGGAAAACTTTCTGCGTCAGTTCCATGTGAATTAAGTGCTCCGCCATGGCTAAGCCCTATCATTGATCTATTTCAAACATAGATATGTACAAGAAAACAAAACAAAAAATATTCTATTTATTTTTTATTTACTTACTTGGTCGCAGAAAAAACTTGTGGTTGAGCACTTGAATAAGCTGCTTCACTCGGCTATTTCAATAAAAAATAAATAAACGGATGGTTTTGATGAAAAATTATCCTTCAAATTCTCACAGTTGATGAAGCATCTTGTGTTAGAAAAGAATCTTTGACTTTATTATAAAATAGTTCTGGATCAATAAGACGTTTTGGTGTAACATCTTGATTATTTTCAATGAGTTTGGGTAACGTACGAACAGATCGTGTTGCTACTACTGGTGCCGTTTTACGAGCTGCACCTGACACTTGACCAGCAGATCGTCCACCTCCAGAAACGCCAGTACGTACAGAGGCTGCCGAACGTAACGTTGATGTCATTTCAGTAAAATGAATCCTTCAATTGAGCTGATGTCTTTTTTTCAACCATTCTTTATTTCATCACTATTAACGTTACCTCTGTACCCGTTTTGTCTTCTTCCAATAGATGCCTCCCATTGATACTATTCAACATAAGAAAGAAAAAGATTTCATTTAAATAATATTCATATCGAATAAAATAAGACAAGATTGGCGAAATGTATCTACAGATCTATTTGACTTTCTAGATAATATTTACAAAAAAAATTTTTACATAAATAAATTTTAAGAAAAAAAGAATAAACGCTTGATCTAATGTAATATTATCTTAGGAATGATGAAATTCAACAACACATTATCAATACATTATGAGTCAAAATTCACTAGAGAATTTTGATAATATATCTAATAGAGAAAAAAAATCTATTCGAAGACGTAATTATTGTGTTGTCAGCTTAGTTCTTAACAGAAAATAACAAAGTAAGTTCTTGTTATATGCAGCAAATGTCGAAGATGATTTGAATGAACGGATTCTGGATTTAATTTAAAATGATGTTTACGATGATATTCCACAATCACTTTTTTACTAATAATTTTTCACATGCCATCAATGATACCGTTCAAAAAACAAATATTTAGATGAGTTTTATTGTCTTTTAGATCATTGGTCTGAGTATCAATATAGATTGCAAATGTATTGCAATCACTCAATACCTAAATTTAATAATGAACTTCTCACAGCTATGACAACAGTAGTAATTATAGCATTGCAAAGCTTATTAATGAAATCGAAAAAGACTCATTACTAATATGGACAACTCTACCCCGACATTATTCAGATAGTTTTATTTCAAAATTTCTCACTGCTGCAAATATTAGAAAACAAGGCTGAAATATTCTATAAGAAAAACCCTCATAGATTCACTTCACTGAACTCTTAGAAATATCCCTAATAGAATTCACTTCAAGGTAACTGAAACAATAGAGCCAAAGGTTCTGTGCAAAATGAAATATCTTTCGTTACTCTGCAAGAACTATTGATCGAGATACATCAAATATTATGAAATCTAGAAAGAGTTTTTACTCTGTTAATTTTCTTTCGAGGCATCATTGTTGTTCTTAAGACGAAATCGATGTATCTCGTTCAATAGATATCCTAGAAATCCTAAATTTTTTTCATTTAATAAATAAGCATATCTGCTGTGATTCGAGTTAATTCAAATAGTATTCTATTCGCCACTACAATCAAATAAAAACATTATGCTTAGGATTTTTCTGAGGTTTCATCTTAGCGAAACGAATCATATTTTTTATTGCTAAAAATTCTTGTTTAAAACGAATTTCTCTATAGAAAGCATTCCTTGGATCCTTGGAAATACTGATAGCACTTGAGAGTCATTAGAAAATAAAAAGGCTGAATAATTAGATAGTCACGTTTTATAAATATATTTCGAGTTCTTCAAGTACAATAGCTTTTTATCATGTATCTGTGCTCTAAAACATCAGAGATAAAAAAATTTCTAGGAATTAACGTAACTATTTTTGTCGTGACATGCCAATTGAAATCGATTATAGTTGAATTTCTTTTACAATCTTTAAAATATAAGACAATCAAAGCAAATATTGCTGAGAGTATTGATTAAAATCAAAATTCACTAGCTGACAAAACAAATTATAATTCATTAAAATGATGTCACAATATAAAAATAAATCTAGTATAGGATTTACTTGGTAAGATAGTGCAAACACACCATCGAAGTATTCACGAACGATTTCAACGATGAATACAATTGTATAAATACTTTTATTTCTTTAATCGTACATGACGAAGGAGAAAATTATTTAATACTCGATAAGCAAACAAACAATGAAAATACGCCTGCATGAATTCCATTTACAACTAGCTGAAACGAATAAAAATTAATTTATTACTAATAAATTATAAAAAAGAAACAAGAATTCAAATTCATTATGTTAATGAATAGAAACGATTATTAAGAAACAATGTAAAAATAATACGCTGATTTCTCTTTTTATTCAAGTGTATCTTTTAATGATAAATAAATTCTGAAAAGTTTTCCCTGTGATAGAAACATTTATAAAAACATCATACTAATTTTTGACTAAGATTCTGTAGTTGAGTTGTATCATATATAATCATAAATCATTTCCTTTTTTTTAAAATTCTACTTCGAACTTTTAGAATGCACTGGACGAATGAAGCAATCTAATAAATGAGATTAGATAAGCTAAACGATGAAAAAATGATCACTGTCATCATAGTTATTGATCGATATCAAATGTAAAACGAAGGTATCTTATATAATAAATGTTCTTGTCGAGAACTATTTATAAACAAAAAATTATGAAAGGACGAACTCTTTAATATGATTATTAATTGATGTTTCAATCTAATAAAGTAAGAGAGTCATTAAACTCTAGATATGCATCTTGTATTATCAATCAAACCAATGATTGATAATATACCCATCAAGAATTTAAATTATAGACTAAACACTACGGAACGAATGAATTGGCATTGCAATATTGCTCTAGTATTATTTTATGATTAATTATAATATCTAACAAGTTTCCTAAGTAATTTGAACCAATACCATATAAAAATCGTCTATTTGAACTGAAAGAATACTGCCAAGAAAATAAAGGATATCGTTGATGAATTGCATTTTTATGAAGATTGGCCTCGTTTACATTAGCAACCATCATAGAAAAACATGATGTTGAATGCTAAAATCAAAATTAGTGACAGATCAATGGAGGTGTTTTTGAATAATATTTGCTGGAACATAACGGGTGATGAAAATATTAAACAGCAGTAAATATATGAAAAAAAGCAACAGTTAAAGATTCGTATCTTTTCGATATGTGGTCGCTATCATCGATAGCAAATTTTTTCTGTCAACGATGAAATCATTTTATATAACATTAAATATCTTGTTAACATATTTTAATATCCATTTGATCATAGAATATTACAAGAGTAATGCAGCAATAAAAATCTTATTAGCCGAGTTGTAATTAGTCTAATAGGATATAAATTTTATGTTCAAAATCGCATTAATATCTTCAAGTTTTCGTTCTCTTCGCATATTTCAGCGCCGTGGTTCGAGTTTATTCGACGATACAGTTCTTACCATTATAAAGCAGTTCGAATTCAAAACAGTAGAGTCTTCGTGAGATGAACAGACTCCTACTTTGGTAAGAAAAAAAAGATGTATACAAGTATACTGCCTTATGTTATTCAAATGTATAGTTCACATATATTCTTCATACTCATATCATCTTGTTTCAAGCTACCTGATATATTAAATCATTACATTTATTAATTTATGCCATTATTAACTGATATCATTTTTCCATTAAAATTCTATTAATTAGTATCAACAGTTAATACTGTTCAATAACTTGATTTAGCTGTTTTAAACTAGTCAGGTATCAACATAATACGTTTCGATATTTATTAGTGATGTTTTTTTATTCATACTACTGGTTAATAAATATGAAAAATCTATAATGTTCAAATGTGATCAAATTAAAGTAATTAAAGCAAAGTACTAAACAGTACGATCTGCAGATACTGTTTAAAAGAAGACTGAAGAAAATACATTAATTAATTACAATGGAATAAGGTATGAAAGATACTTGTATTTTACTTAGCGTGCAAAATATTCATAAAAATAAAAATATCCCCAAGCTACGCATGACAATAAAACTAGTTAGGACACATGAATAGGCCTTTGCAAGTGCAATTTTTATATAGGAATGCAAGTTAATTCACCTCAAGAAAATTCTACATTTTTGTGTTGTTTTTATTAAATATAATTATTAAATTAAAAACAAAAACATCCAATGAAACCTAAAGATGATATTTAGATCTATAAAAAGAATAATAGAAGAATTCAAATATCAATGTCATAATGTCTTTAAACTATATTAAATTTTAATTGCAAAAAGATACATGTTGCGTTACAGATCAATTGTACTGAATTGAATAATTATGCTTTCAAATTAAACACATTTACCCTGTCATTTCATTATTAATGAACACATCATTAATAATTAGTTCGTTTCTCAATGTGACAGAAATTCTAGAGTACCAGCTATTTTTACTTAAGGAGACAGAAGGATCAATTTACACTCATTTTGAAGAGATCTTATTACTGTATGTTTTCTCAACAAAGATAGTTCTATTAGATCATTTAATATAAAAAAATTGAGTCAGAAATATTTAAAGGATTCTTTCAATTGAGACATATTATTTTCTGTCAATATACGATGACTCATAGCTGAGCATCGAAGAAATCGATTAGATTTTGTCAACAATGGAAATTTAGCATGAATTTAAAATAATTTTCAGCACACTGTCATAGTCAATGCAGTGATATATAGTTATCCTATGGTAGCTTCAAATATATTCATACTCATACAATATATATATATGTAAATAAGTCATAAATCCTTGATTCGATTTATGAGAAATAGCAATGCATGTTGACGTCAATTACTTACTTCGTAATTCAGCACGTATCTAGATTGTTGTCAAGATTCATAGAGTCATCACTCTACGAGATACGCATATTTTTTATCAACATATGGAAAGATTGTATCTCCATGACAATATACATTCTTATACAGATTGAGATGCATACTTCAGCAGTTAGTATCAATTAATTGGATTGATTGAGAGCTACATATTATTAATATGTAAAAAGATAATTTTATCTTTTATTTGAACTTTTGCAACTAAAGTAGATGAAAGTTATGTGAATAAAATAATTTCTTGGCATCTGTCATTTTAAATAAAAATTTTCTATTCATCACAATGATTTCTAAATAAATGTAATGAAATAATTGTGAGTGTATTTTTTTGTCATATTATGTATCGTGATAATTTTTTTGATAGAAAAATAGAAAAAGAAAAGCAAAAAGAATTATCTTAACTTTTCTAACTATTAAAAAAAACGGACTCAATCTATCATCTAGTATTTTAAAAGGGGTCAAATTGACATAAACAAACAAAACTATTCCCCCAATGAATTGAAGCAATTTTTAAAAGAAAGTAATCATCGGAGAAATTTATGAAAGCAACAGTAATTATTTTGGTTATCATTCTTGCTGTTCATTGTTTTTTTTCATATTACTTGACACATATAAAATATTAATAACCGTATTGCCAAAAAAGAAATTATCAAGCAACAAAACAAAACAAAAAAAAGAAATTAAGAGAGATTCATACAAAAAAATAGACGCAACATTATATTGATTTATATATATGTACAAAAGAAACAGAAAAACACTATTATCCACCAGTCTTTGAATTATTATTGACTACCACTATCATCACCAGTTATAATAATCGATGGGGATTCAACTGCCATGATATTTTCTCGTCGAGTAATAGCTGTTGGTGATTGGCCTAGTTTCAAGAAAAGTGGTGTTGGATCACTACTATCTTTTTCTTCTGCTTCTTCTTCTTCTTTCTGTTGATTATTGTCATTGAGATGTACAGATGGATATTGACTATGAGAATGTTTACGTATATTTGTTAGTGCAGAACTATGATGGCGTTGTTTATTAACTGGTGATCGAGGTGGTTGTTGTTGTTGTTGAGATTGTGATTGTGATTGTGATTGCGATTGTTTTTGTATATTAGTTGTTGATATTGTTTCTTCAAATGTTTTCTGTCGCATTCGATGATGATGACGTTTTGGTGTTCCTCGATAGGATACATCTTCGCTGATATTTTTTCTACTTTCTAACGATGGATCATGCATAAGGAATTCATTAACAATGCGATTCGTTTTTTCATCGATACTATAATCTCGTGTTATTGGCATTGAATAAACTGGTGCATTATGGCCTAAACTAGCCATAGCTGTATCACGGACCATACTAAATTTTAGACGAGGCTTTGTTATACATGTTGGAAGAATTGAATATGTTGTTGAAGATTTTGCTTTATTTACTGTTGTTGCAGGAGAACTGATTAACGGTGCTTGGGTATCGAATGAAATTGAACCACGTTGAGAACGAAACGCTACTACTTGTGAACTCGATGTAGCCGATGGTGTTGTTGAAGATGGTGAACGTTGGAGAACATGACGAACGTTGACTATATTATTTACATTTGGAGAAAGATGTTGTCGAATGTGATTTGAAGAGGGACCAGAAACAACTATACTATCAGTGCTCAATGGTATCTGAGTATCGGATTTTGTTTCACTTGTAGATGGTTTCAATTCCATTCTAGATGACTCTATCGAATTAAACAACAAAGAATATTATTACTAAAAATTATTTCTTTTGATTTACCATCCTGATTTATTACAATAGAATTTCTTGATTCATCTGATTTAGTTCGACGAAGATCAGGATGTCGAACTTGTAATGACGATGATAATGATGAATTTTTATTTGTTTCATTAGTCTAGTTTTTAAAAAACAAAGAAATCGATTATGTTCGACTAGAAATAAAAATAAACAACAAAAGATTTTACTTGATACACTAAAGCTTGATATTTATCAGTTGTAGTATGTGAAATCGTAGCATTTGATGAGGCATTTCGTTTATCTTTACTGAATTCTCGTCGTTTTTTACTTGCTGTCCGAGTAAATGATGGTGATTGCACAATTTTATAATTATAATCATAATCATTGCCACTATTTAGATTTGTCTGATCTGTATTGGATAATTGCGAGCAATTTGTTCGATTTGTTGTATAATTCTCGACAAGCGGAATATTTGTTGATAAGCTACGTTGTTGAAGCATACTTGACTTTGATAAAATAGGAGGAATAAGATTTGTCGATGCTTCTTGATACGAATGATGAAGACCTTTATGAAGAAGTTTCGAGCTAAAAGTTAACAAAGAAAAACACAAAAAGTAACTACTTTAAAAATAAGAATCTTTTTCTTTTCGTTTACCGATTTTTATTGATTTGGTGTTCCTGTTGCTCTTTTTGTTGTTGTTGTTGTTGTTGTTGCTGTTGATGCTGCTGAGCCAGATCATCATCTAAATCTTTAATATCAACACTTCTCTGTTGTATACGTCCATCACCAACATAAATAACACTTTCGGCACCGTCAGCTGACATCCAGCCTAAACTAAACGTTCGATTTTGACTTTCTAAGGATTTGTAACCACTATCATCTTGATGTTGCGATCTATGTTGTTGTGGTTGTGACTGTTGCTGCTGTTGCTGCTGCTGCTGCTGTTGTTGTTGTTGATGTTGTTGTTGCTGGTGAGGATGATGATGATGATGCTGTTGATGTTGTTGTTATTGATGATGTTGATGTNATCGCAACATCAAGATGATAGTGGTTACAAATCCTTAGAAAGTCAAAATCGAACGTTTAGTTTAGGCTGGATGTCAGCTGACGGTGCTGTTGTTGTTGTTGTTGTTGTTGCTGTTGCTGTTGCTGTTGTTGCTGCTGCTGTTGCTGTTGTTGTAGTCGATAATTGAAATCAGGTATAGCATTTTCATTACCAGACGATTCAATGGATGTAAATTGATCATTTGGTCCTCGACTACTTGTATCTGACTGCATATCGAAATCAGTTTCAAGACTTCGTTCAAAACTTGAATTTTCACTTTTCGAGTTAAAGTTACTTAACAAACTTGAAAACTCTACCATCGAATCTTTGTTACTTTCTTCTTCTAAATCATTTTGGTTTTTAAGTAATTGTTGTTCACGTCGAATGTTTGATTGATTAATACAACTACGACGTTTTTCAAATGTACGTCTAAGAGCTTGGCGACGAACTTCAGGTGGCGGTAATAAAAGATTTGATGAACTTTTTCGACGGTATTGATATTTTGATGGATCATCATCGCCGCCACCACCATTGTCACTAACACCATTGGCCGTAATATCTTTATTTTGACTATGAATAGGCATAGCGCCAGCTGAATCAATCGATGTGGATGTTAATAAATCTGGCGAGAGTTCTTCAGGTGATGTTCGATCTAATCGTTGCTGTTCTTCAAGTTCATATGATTGACGTAAACGCCAAAGATCGTGTGATGCTGTTGTTGCCTGATCATGATCATTAATACTTATTTGTTGAACCAGCGTTGCTTTTCGACCTGTATTTCTTTGATATTCTTCCTAGAGAAAATAAATAGGTAAATAAAATAAAAATATACAAAATAGCAATAAGTTAATTAAGTAAGATTTACCACTTCAGTGCTGTCTCTTTGATTTTTCAACTGGGATAGTTTAGCTGCTTGAACAAGTTCAGCCATATCAGGAATTTTAATAACAATTGGTGGTGGTGCAATAGAGGATGTTAATTGTCGATGATCATCAGCATATTCATAAGATTTTGTTCGACGATTAACAACATCTGAACGATTTGTACCTGGTCGTAACATATGAACAGCATCAAAACTCCGAGACTGTTTATCATTTGATGTGTAATTCGATGATGAAAGTCCTTGAGTTGGTGACGATGATTGTTCAAGTGATCGAGAAATTTCATGATCTCGTTGTGAAACTGATAAACGTACTTTCGATGTTTGATCTAAATGAATGAACGTGAAAATAGAGAGTTTATTTATTAAATTATTGAATTGCTTTTGTATTTTCTTGTATATAATCTTTACCTGATGGATCGATTGTTGCAGTAAGTTCTTTCTTTTCGTGAATAATTGCAGCAGAATTTTTTCTACTTGCTCCAGGTGTCGTTATAGATAAATGTTGAGATGTTGTTGATGTACTTGATAATGGATTGCCAACAACAGACAGACTTGATCCACGTGGCGTATAAAATATATCCTGTTGTGTTGATGTTGTTGGGGATAACGTTGATCGATGTGGCTGACAGCCATAAGCCAACGTTACATCAAAACTACTTTGACGATACGGGGATAAAGAAGTTGATGATGGTGATGAACGTGTATCAACATTAAGTGAAAGACCTTTTTCAAGACGTGGCGTGTCAGGTTTTCTATCAGTTGTCAATGATACATTTGAATTTTGTCGAACATAGCAACGTGGATCAACTTGTAAATAAGCTTGCTCTTCATCCACATTAACATTTCCATACATATGACTATAAATTAATATCATTTGACAATATAAAAATTAAATGAAAAATATTCTCCAATCTACTCACAGCTCATTTTGGTTGTTAGCTATAATAAAAAAAAAGAAAATAGTCGAGTAAGTAAATAATTTATCATTTAGAAAAAATTCAAAGAACAGATTAATTAATTTTTCAACTGTCATCACCGTCAAATCTTAGCTGAAACAATTAGAAGATTCTACAGTGGACATTTTCAATATCGCATTGACAGGAGAAAAATACAATAAAAATAATGAATTTATCTCTTGATGGATATTGAATTTGAGTTTTTATTAATGAATTTACAGAGATATTTGATGTTTCAATCAGTGCAACCATTAGTTATCGATAAATATCGAAGACACCTTAACTCATATCGAACCGTGAACAAAACCTTGATTTCTACGTCTTTATTTACGTTCAAACAACATTGATTAATAGAATAAAGATAATAATCACTCAACCTTGTATGCTTTTTGAGCTTTGTATCGATGTTAAAAACATGTATTAATTATTAATATTCAACTTTTCGCAGTGTAAACGTTCATTAAAAGTTTCAGATTATACTTTCGCTTTCTAACTCGTTGTTTCTTTTTTAGTTTACTAATCTAATACTATTAGAAATTATTGAATATATTTGGCGAAAAGATTTTTGTATGATGTTTGATCATTTTGCATTTTTCAAAAATTTACCATTGAAGTACAAAAACAGAAAATTGAAATTTTAAACAATAAAGAAAAGTTCATCTCAGTACGCGACTAATTCATTTTGTCATATAAAATTAATACTTACCAGTATGTTCTCGAATCTCATGATACATTTGAGGGTGTTGCGAAGTCTGACCTTCTGATGCATGATAATTTGATGCTTCTTGCTTCGAACCAGGTATTTGCCACTGATCTCTATTTGAAAGCAGTGAAATTTTAAATTTATTTCTTTGAGCAAAAACAAAACATTTTTCATTAATTACTCTGCAATTTGATATCGATCAAGTGGATTTGATCGGCGTGGTTCGAGTGGTGAAACTACTCGAATATCATGATGATATAAACGATTAGAATCTACTAATGATGCTTGATTTAATGTTTCATATAAAAGTTTCATTTGTTCGGTTTCTCTATAGAATCAAACAAAAACAAAATGTATTCGTATTAACTTTAATTAAAACGAAACAAATGATTTACCTCAAATTTTTTCGATTTAAACAATATTTGCATAGCAATAAAATCGAAAAAACAATGAGAAGACCACCGAGAATACCAGTTATAAGTACGATGAATGCCAGACTTCTTTGATTAAAATGGGTTCGTGGTCCCTAAATAGAAATGAAGGCATTTCATAATGATTTTCAATCTTCAATAGACACTAAGAGGAGGAAGAAAGAGAAGAAGAAACGACAAGAAAAATAACAAGTCATCCCTCTTCAAAATCGAAGTAAATACAGACGTCATCTGTAACAGAAAAAGAAACTAATTAACATGAGTATATTTCTTGTCGTCATGATGTCTCATCTATGGATGAATACTCACTTTCATCGTTAACAAGAAAATATTGATTCACATCTATAGATGTTTGTCGTTCGATATTTGTCATAACGGCTAATGCCCTTGATACTTTCATTTATCATTGTCGTCATGTTCGAATGGTTTAACAATAGAAAAAACAAAACTTTTTTAAAAATAATGATTACAATCATATAAAAGATAAAGAATATTGTATATATATGTGTATCATCTGAAATTAGCTAATAAAAAGTCTAATGAAAAAATATCAAGAAGATTTTGCATTAATAAATCATCCATAAATACACATGCATAAGTATATACGTATGTTAATCAATATAATTATTGTGTACTTTTCAGCTACAAACAAAGGATGAAGGTTACCATAGGTATGAATATGTCAAAGCAAGCACTATACCAATGATCTTCATTCAACTTTTCAGATGAATGCTATTTAAAAGTAAAGAGACCATTTTCCTGTTTCTTTCATTTTCTTTTTCTCGTCTTTTTTCTCTAACATTCTATTGTTTCCTCGAGGAGGGACTATAAGCAATGAATTTTTTTTGTCACATCATTTAACAGCAGTCAATGTCTCATAATAGTAAGAATAACACCGGTAAATATGAAATGTAATCAGCAGGAGACTAAGATTGGTTTCTATACGTTACATGCGTTAAAAAAAAGAGAAAAAAAAGACAAGAAAAACTAATAATAAAAATATTCGTTGAATCATGATCTCACAAAACGTTTTTGAGATTTTTTTATTTCAAAAGCATAAGCTTTGTTTCGTGTGTCAAAGTAGGCACGCAACGTTGACGTTCAGCGATCTATTATTATGATTGCGTGCAATGCACAATTACAATTCCTCACAAGACAGATGCCACTGCTGTGTAATTACAAAGTTTGATACAAAACAAAAAAGGTTCCGGCTAACAACTCTATATATATATATATGAAAGACGAAGAAGAAGATGATGAAGAAGAAGAAGAAGAAGAAGAAAAAGAAAAAGAAAAAGAAGAAGGAGAAGGAGAAGGAAAAGGAAAAGAAGAAACAATGTTGAACATGTTCTCATGAGATTCGTTTCTAATCATTCAATGTAGAACAAAGAAAGTAAATAGATGTGTGTTAATATTTTAAAAGAAAAAATTGTGATAACCTCGGATTTAAATTCGAGTGTTATGTGTACTACAAAGAGAAAAATATTATGGACGACGGATTGGTTTTCACCAAACTGCCTGCAAAATCATCTTGGAGAGTAGTAAGGAATAGGGGTCAACCCCAGCTGAATGAATCCGACTCCCCGACAGAATCCAATAGGATTCCTGGACGCGGACCTATTGTCGGTTCCGGCGGAAAAATTATTTTCTTATTCACGATCAAATAAGCTTTTGAGCCATCAGAGCGCAAGGGTGATTCGTTAGAGTTGGATTCCGTTAAAATTCAACATCGGATCCGACTGTAGGTCCGTGTCCAGGAATTCCATAAGATTTCGTCGGTTTTATTGAAACCTATATGGTATTCGGTATATTCACTGTCTGACCCTTGTCGGAATGATTTTCCTGGGACCGGCTCACGTTGATGAACTTAATTCAAATGAACTAGAGAAGTGTTCGAACAGCTCTTTTAAACGAGCGGAGCTTTTTCAAACATTTCTTTTCAAATGAACCTAACTTGAAGTTATTGTAGATGTTATAATATGGGTGGACCCATAGGCCCTCAAGGCCTACTATATAGGAGTACCCATAGGATAGTCATCAAGGATCTCTTGGTGCTCTTATATAATAGAACTTCAGGAACTATTGGTACCCACCCATATATTAAAGAACTTGTGGGCCTATGAGTATCTCATAGAATAGGCCTAGATGACTTGTGAATCCCGCGTAGCACATTAAATGAGTCACAGATATCGAATGTGGGATGTCCCTAATCAATCCTGATGATAATATATATAGTTTTTCATGATGATCAAATCATAGAGCCGAGCTATTTCGAAAGCTTAAGTTCGTTGAAAAGAACTGTTCAGCTAGTTCAGTTTATGAGAGTGAACGTTTTGGCCACCTCATCGGTTCTGAACTAGAGTTGGACTTCTCTAGACAAGTGAGTCATCATAGCATGCATAGATATCAAAATTATCCTAGCAAGTCCGTCCTATTAAAACTTGATTTCCACTGTTTGCTGCTCACCCAATAGGACTTTGGGGCAAATATGGCTTAGATTTGAACTCTTCGGCTTGAATTACCCTAAGAAAGTTCCTAAAACTTGATTTCTATTGGTTAGTGTTCAACCAAGAGGGTTTCGAGGTAATTAGAGCTTAGATTCGAGTTCTCCGCCCTAGAAAACTTCGACGTATCATCATTTTGATTGGAAGACGGTTCTTTACTTTTCGATCGATTAGAACGTGAACAAAAATAGAACCAATTTACGATTCAATGTCTTTCGAATATGTGACTTAGACTTCTTGTTTCCTAATGTTTCATATACCATTTTGTAGCTCGTGAAATTCTCTATTAAATGATATATAATAGCGCGGGTTTTTGTTTGATTATGAGAGGAATAATTCCTTTACGAAAACCGACATAGGCCAATAATCGCATAGAAAAATCACTATTTTTGCTATAACTCAGGAATAGCCCAACGAATCATGCTCATATTCGAACTCGACCGAGACATTGTTGAGACGATACTGTGTAAAAGATTTCATCCAGATCGAACTCTCTTTTCAAAGGTTATCGTGTAAACGGCCGGCCGGTCGGACACTGACCGATTCTATAGTGTACTCACTTTTTTTTGATTACACAAAAACTATTTATCTAGCCATTCGAATCTTTTTATATTTCATCTATTAACTAAGGTTATTCAGCATGCATAAGCATTAAAACGTACTAATATGGTTCTTGCATTTTGTTTGTTTGAATACTAATAGGCTAAGCGAGAACATGACTGCTTGACGTATTTTGAATACGAAGAAAAGTGACAGAATGAGTGTGTGAGTGACTGAATGAGCGTTTTTGTCTTTTCAATCGCAATGCCATTGCTACTGACGTTCCTAGCTCTTTTTTCTCGTATATCTATGATGAAAACATTCCTCACTACTGAAATAATCCTTTAATAAAGAGGCGTTGACGTAACATCAGAAGAAAAAAAGAAAAGTGCAAAAGCCTGTGTTAGAATATACAAAGAAATACGGAATCCTCTTTCATTTTTTTTATTACAAATGCACATCACCTATATTCTATGGTCTTTTATATGCGTGACTTTTAATCAACAAGTAATTTCATCTTTTCACGACAGATGTCGTAAAGATGGGCCATTATGTAAAATGCGTGAGACAAAATCTACTATGAAACAGTTAATTAAGTTTCAACACGACTTTCTCTATATGTGTATAATTGGTATTTTTCAACAAAACAAATGTACTCCAGACCGTTATAAAATCTTGACTAAAAATAATTATAACAAATAAAACTATTTAAAAAACTATTTTGCAATAGTATTCATTATAAAAAGCCAATTGTATTTTTATGCATTCTATACTAAAAGAAGAATACTACATGATAATATGAATATTGATTATACTTTATCCGATTTCTTTGTAACAGAAAATTATCTATCAGTCTATTTAACCATATTTGTTACTATCATTGTTCGATATCTATTTAGTTGAACATACAAATACTGAATCGTTAATATTAGAATATTTCATTCATATTCGAATTCCCTTATCTGCTTCTCAATTTTCCATTGTCTTGTTTTTTCTCGTGTGCCTAGAGGCTGAATATTAAATATCCATCCTAAAGGAAATAGTGATCGATACAAGTGTGCTAGAAAAGAGGCAAACAATTCTTTAGAGACTTTCACATTTAGACGCATTAAAAGTTGGTAATCCTCTATATTCACCAATAGAAGAAATAAAACAGATATTCTATACATGAAAGCACAATACGGTTAACATTATGAGCCGTCACGTCTGTCTATAATCGATCGGCAAACAGAGAATTATAAAACAAAATAGTAAAAAGTGTATTTTACTATTAATGAAAATATTTACCAGTTCTAATTAATCATTGGCATCAAATGTCTAAATTCTGACAAGATAAAAGGTCTACTTAAGCGTGATTATGTCAAATGCGTTCTTAAAGTAAATTAACTTGTAGCTATATAATACAATTTTTTAAATAATTTATTCATTTTTATTTCAATTTTATATGAATCACAGGTAGCCTGGAAAATATTAAATAATACATACCATTTTTCTTTTGCTATCTTCTTATCAAGAGCAAGAAATCTTTTCTTTTTTAATTAAAACTTACACGTCTTTTTCTTTTCATTAATATCTTATTTTTCTTTTGCATACGCAAAAAAAACACATACGGAAATACTCCAATCACAATTTTCTAATAACAGTAGTCATAAGATGAAAAAGGAAGACAAAAGAAAAGAAAAATAATAATAGAAAACAATCAAATTAGAGAATCTATATTCTTTTTTTTTCTTAACAAACGGTAAAGAAAAGGAGAAATTTTTTTAAGCAAACTATTTTTTTTACGCACAATATTTATGTCGTTGTCGTCCTGGTATATATATATTCATTTTTTTTTCTATCTGTTTCTTTTCTCAATTGAGCCTTGAGCTTTGTTACGCTTGTCAATGACAAGAGAACAATGAGAATAACAAAACTGAAAAAAAGAATAACATAATACTAGAAATAAAATATTATACTAACACTTCATATTGCGTGCTTGGCACACCTCTAGCATTATCATGATTATTATAGCATGTGGCTATTGGAATATATATATATATTACATAAAAGAAAAAGATCTAAACTGTGAGCGCACATAGAAATATTCTATTTTTATGCATGTTAGAACAAAAATTTCGACTTTAAAAAAAAAAAGAAAAGAAATTGCGTACTTAAGAATTTCTTCTTTTTTTTTCTTTTACTGAACACAAATTGCGACGGGAATGATGTTGATGGGGGCAGTAAATAATACTAACTTATTTAAGATTCAGAGTCAAACATGAAATGACAAAAAATGAAAGATGAACGGAAGGAAATAGAATTTCATCTCTATTCTTACAATTAAATCCATTAAATCTTCTTAATGTATACGTACCCTAGTCGAACTTTTTTATTCATGCGCTTGCAAGACTTTAGCTCAGGATGTGTCCATATCGCATGACTTTCTTGCTCAAGACAAGCGGCTCAATGTTTGCATGAGTTACAAAAAAAAGGCAACTATAATTTTTTATTAAAAGTTGAGTTATTGTGACTGTAAAATTGAAAACAAAAGTTGAAAAAGTTCTTTAATAACAGAAAAGCTTGGATAAAAATTCAAGTGCATGAACAAGAAGTTTAAGAACTTGACCTCACCGAAAGGGTTCATGTCTTGCCTCAAGATGTGTCCATAGTTCTTGACTTTCTTGATCAAAAAACGTCAAGAATTGCATGCGCTTGCAAAAAAAAAGCTCGACCAGGGTATATAAATTGCACAAGTTGACATAGTATTATGCTTATCCTTTTGGTTGATGTTGATTTGAATTGTTCTTATTTTATTTTATTGAACAGAACAATATATCATGAAAAAATTTGTTCCATTCAATATTTATATTGTATAGTTTTAGTGTTTGAAGAAAATATATTTCTGATTAACATCTATTTTACCATGAAACATTAAGTGATTATTGAATACTATCATAATGATTTGTTAGTAATGTTTATGGTAGAGAACTCTTCTTACAATACTTTAATTTTTATTTCCTTTGGCATTTTTTCTTTGGTATCAACAGTCTGAAAAGGGATTGATTGTCGCGCCGTCAACTCTTGAGTAATTATGAATGTGTACATATCATTTCGTCGAACTGAAAGCGAATGCGACTCTTATCGCGACCATCGATATTTAGACGTAGGCGAAGAAGATAATGTATTTTCCTCTGTGCGGATACCATTCTATAAACAACATCTAGAGAAAAAGAATCTTGTACATAGGACTACAGAAATGATTATTCATCGAGCTGTCTTTCGCTCTTGTCCTTTTGCATTCCTTCGCATATGTATATGTCGAAGATTGCCCGTGAACAATTATATATCGTCTCCTCCTCTTTTTCTCTCTACTTCAGTTCTTGTTTTTCGCCCAATCCTATACAAGTCAATATCTAAAAGAAATAAAAAGTACTGCATTTTTCCTTATCAATAACAAACAATTGTTAAATATCATCCCTATCATCATTTTCATCATCATCATCATTGTCAACAGCAACAAGAAAATAGACTCCTTAAAACTGATTAGATTAATAGATCAAGGACAATAAAAATTCATCACTAATATTATTGATGCTTTGTCGTAAGTTTAAGAATTTTGTATTTTTTTACTCGTGTGATAGTGTAAATATATTGGTAAAAATAAAAAACTCGTTCAATATGCTAAGTATTTCGTTCATTTATGTCTTCACATTAAAAGAATTCCTTCTTCCATGACGTAACAATATTAAAAGGTCAAAGATGAGAACATGTGCCTGTCGATCATTTTCAGACTAATGAACAAATAAATGAATACAAAAGCATAATATCATCATTCTGTAATGGCCTTCGAACATTTTCTACTGTATTGATTCAGGAAAGCCAGATTTCTGATGGATGATAGATTATTATTTCGCTATTTTTTTCCGTTCTTTTATCGTTTCTTTTCTGTACATATCTTAATATTTGGGAGTTTTCTATTGATGATGCATATGTGCAATGCACGTGCTGCGCAAGCTCACCAGTTGCTTGTCGTCGATAAATTGCCATAATGATGAATCCTCGAAACAAGATGACAATATCTCTTTAACAGCTAGTATATCATCTCGATTGTCCGCGATTGAAGATACTACAATAAAAACGACAATATCCAGCAAGGACAATTCTTCACAAGATTCTCATGATATCAAAAAATCAATTATAATAAGTCAGCAGTAAGTCAAAGAGAGCATTGCCTTTGTATATCATTCGATCGAATGATTACTATGCATATAAATAATTGCTAAGTAGCTTGACTTTAATGATTTGATTGAGCTAAAGAACGAACGGCATTGACCATCGATAGAGAAGAAATCATTGCACTAATCAATACATATGGATTATATAATAATCCAAAGTATTATTTTAAAAAGACCGAATAAACAAAGTGTTCATAGAAGAAAATGGATGAAAATTCATGCTTAGCTATTTTACTAACATTATGAATTATAGTTTGATATCTATCAATAATTCTATTATTTAGATTGAATATTAGTATTGTTTTTCATCTTAGTTATAGTGTATGTTTTGTTACGACAGTATGCATTTGTAAATTTTTTTTATCTATTTGGATCAAAGTAAGAGAGAAATTCTATCAGGTCTAAGATACTACACAATTACTGTCAAGTTATTTTTTCTCGTTGAAAGATAGATTTTTTTTTGTTATCAAATGTCAGAAATTTTGACGTTTCTGAGATAGATAAACTTCTCGATTTCTTTTACTCTAATTTAGAAACTTTGCTGATGACACTCGGAAATCTCATCTTAACTTTTAATTAAAAAGAAACCACTGTAAATTTTCTGTTTGATATGTATCATGAATTCCTAATTAAATGAGAAACATAATAATTGAAATATTTTATAAGAATACTAGCCTTGTTACAAAACATTGCCTTTTGTTTTATTCATTCATTGTACAAAAAAATATTGTAGTAACCATAAAAAATGTATTGGAATAGATACGATAAAATTTGTTACTATTAATAAATAAATAGAAAAAGACTAAAATATATATTACACGAATGAAATCAGTAATAAGGTTTCAGAAACTAATTAGAAATCGATGAGAAAACATTTCATGACTTCTGAACTTGTATGGAACATATTTTTATTCTAACAATAGCATCAACAAGCAAACGTCTTTTTCTTTTATTTACGGCAAACTTAAAGTATGCAAAGAAAACTTTTCAGGTCAGATCATAGATTCATTCTGAATTTTTGATTAATAAAATCAAAATAATCATGCGAAATCAACATTTCTCATATAGTAACGATCAATAGGAAATATAGACAATACATTCTAATTACACGAATTTTCATATGTTTGACGAGTTCTTTTAAGAAACACTTACAAATGATTTATTTTTTCTGTTACTACCATAATGATTGCTATTTATTCGACATTGAACGTTGTAGATATAGTAATAACATAATTCCTATAGACTTTTAGATTTAGTGCTCAACTTAATTGCATCAAAAAAATCTACAACATAATTCACTTCTTTCTAGGTTATATGATTCTCTCGAGTGTGGGAGCATATTTTTTTCTTTTATCCACTAGTTAAGACCATGGGATAAGATAACAAAATCTGTCATCTCAAATCGTGTGCGAGTGTGTGTGCGTATATGTATGCAAGCTACTATAAGAAAAATGCGTCATACACATACAACGCATGCATATTCCTATATTCCTTATGTATGAAGAGTACGAGGAAGCAGTAGAAAAAATCTTAGATGGCTAACACAAAGCAGAGAATAGATCGATGGTCTTCATCAGAGAAAATAACGTTAAACGTTACACAACCGACATATAGTCGAACACCAATCGTTGAATCAATGTCTAATAACGACGATTCTGAAAAAAACCAGTAAGTGAATATGAAATAAAAAAATTTCTAACATAATTATAATTAGAAAATAATAAAGTCATCGTGAAACTAAACTTTTAAATGATTTCTTGTCATTCTGCTTCGTACGATTCTCGTTAGATGATCGTTAGTCTGCACAAAAACACAGCAAAAGTTCTTGTAAATGTAACTAATTATATCTATGATCATTTATTCTTTTCCTATTGCATCGATTCTGTTCATTGACAGATTTATAATATTGAATTTCTTAATCAATTTCGACCTTTTTTCTTTTTATTAGAATATTATTTCTCTGGAGGCTGGATCAGAAAAAAAATGCCAATACCATCTTTCCTCGTTTGTGCTTCAGAGAGAAAAACCTTGGAAACGTGTGATAGAAAATACATGTTTATATTTTATGTAAAGAAAAATCCCTGCCGATATCCTTGCGTTGTACAAACTGTATTGTAGGATCATTCCTTATTTCCGGGTTGCACTCGTCGCTAACTCACCGAATGATTATTAACGATTTCTAATAACAACACGCAGACACACTCTCATCTCATCATATGTCAAACAAATAAGGATGCAAACATTATCATGGGTCCTATGTACGAAGAAAAGAATCGAGGAGGCCGTCAGCTCAAGTAAAAGAGACAGCAAGAAAAGAACGATGCGATGATGAGAAGAGTACAGCAATAGAAAGATAAAAGCAATATTTTCCATTGCTGTAAGAACAAAAATACAGATAAACATAGGAAAAAACAAACATATGTTTATGGTCTATTTAGAAGCTTAATTAATACAACGATTGACGATATTGAGCATCTGCATTTACCTGAAATTACTCAAACGAAAAATTTATCAACAAGATCTACACCATCAGATATTATGACTCAACAAGCGCTTCGTCTTGCTGAAAAGATCAATGATCAATATTTAACATGTAAAATATGTCTGGTATGATTTATACGAAATATATATATATATATATACGTATATATAAATATATACATATATATTATTTATTTTTTTAAGACGATCGATTATACTTCTTTTTTTTCTAAATTTAAGGAACCATTCAAAGATCCAAAATGTTTAACTTGCCTACATACATTTTGTGAACAATGCATTGAAAGTCATGTATCTGCTCAAAGGTAAAGTTTGTTCTTTTTCATCAAAAAAAAAACACGTAACGATCAATAGTCTTCCTAAGATAATATAAACGCATTTATATGCGTGAGCTATATACCCAAGCCACATACTGTTGCTAGTATTTATTCAAAGTAAAATCATACACAAGATAAATCAACTAAATTTCTGTATACCAGACAGATGGTAAAAAGAACATGACAAAAAATAGAAGAAAAATAGACTTACCAAAAGATATGTCGTCCTTCGACACTTGCAATGTATCTATTTGTGTAAATTCTTTGTCAGTTCAGATCATTAGTTAACTCGTTGCTTAAAAGCTTTTTTATTACGATCTTTTTTTTATCAGCATATTTATATATTGGTGAAATTAATGTTTACCTGGATGTACAATTCTCTTCTAAAAGGAACTCTTTAAAAAAAATCTATCTTAAAAGTATTCATGTTTGAAATAACTCAAAGATTTCAAATTAGAGATTTTTATAGTGAAAAGAGTTAATCATCTTTGAAGCGAGCAAAAATTACACAGACCAATTGTTTAATATTGAAACAAAATAACCTTGGTCGATAAATTCAGGATACAGAACTCGATAGAACATACAAACAATATTTCGAACCGAAAAATCACTGACTTTTCCAATTGATTTCATTCTGTTTTTCTATCAAGAATTGTATGGCTTTGAACCGTAGTCATTGGAAAATTCTCTGACTTTTCGATTCAAAATACTATTTCAAAGTTGTATTGATTTCCAGTTTTTCTTGTTAGGACCAATTTATACTTCTTGATCTAATATCTGTCAATATATTCTGAGTTTGTATTTTTCACGTAATTATTCATTAATTCTGAAAAACAAAATTTATTCTTTGTTGTTATTTTTTCATATACACATTCTAGTTGTTGAGATAAGGTCATCGCATAAATGCCATAGTAAAGAAAAATTATTAGTTTTTCAATCTTGGGTTATAAAAATATATTATTATTATTCACTATTCATTCAAGCGAAGAGAATAAGATTATAGGACTAGAACAGACATTAGCTTACATTGAATAAATTACATCATCATACGGCTGCTTGCTTCTGATTCATCAAGATAATTAAACCAGTTGAGATACGATGTTTATTTAGAATATGGTAACAAACCTTGTCTGAATTATTTTCATTAATAAGATCTATCCTATTTATTATTTGACCTTATTGATATTTAATCAGTTATAGAGATCGAAAAATTTTCGTTTAAGTACTTATGCAATTAAACCGTAGTCGAATAAAAAACAAATTCTATCTGTTTAGATCATATAAATATACTGATTATCGTGAATTCGCATGTCCGATATGTCGAAAGAAGACTGCTATTCCATCGGGAGGTGTTCAAAAGTTGCCAGACAATTTTCTTATTGCTGGCTTATCGGAAATGATAACTCAAAAGAGTTTAGGAGCAAACGGTTCAGTAAAAGTATCAACAAATTGTGAAATATGTAAAACTGTTCATGATCGCGAACGAGAAGCAACATCACGATGTCTTGAATGTCAAAAATCTCTGTGTCGTCATTGTGTACAAGCCCATCAAACAATAACAATTACACGTAATCATTCAATATACGAATTAGAAATTGAAAAAGATATTTTATGCAAAGTAAAATAGAATAAAATAGATTTTTTATTTTTAAATTATATGTTTATTTTTCTCTTTAAAGCATCATCAAACAGAATTTGTTCGTTATTATTGCGAACAATGTGAAACATGCGTTTGTATTGCTTGTACATATGCTGCTCATCGTGATCATGAATTATCTGATTTTCGAGCAGCTGCTGCTAACCACAAAGCATATATAAATGAATGTCTCGACGGTTGTAAAGCACGTATGAGTGAACTAGAAGCATATTTAAATGTTATACGTCGATGTGATGCTAATATAGCTCAAATTGAAGCAAGTATACATTCATTAGCAAATACATTCGAAAAATCTCTACGAATAAAAGAACAAGAACTTATTCAACAAATTACTGAGCTATATGGTGATGAAACAAATGAATTTATAAAACGTCGAGAAGAATTAGATGAATATTACGAACAAATTAAGAATACATGTTCACTAACTGAACTTGTTATACATGGAAAAGATATTGAATTGTTATTAGTTAAAAAACAATTATTGGAAAAATTTCGTGAACTGGATGCTGTTGAACTTGATCCATTGCCAGAAAATATTTGTATGAGAATTGATTTTCAACCTGGACAACTAACTTTGGGTACATTGAAAATATGTGAAGTAACACCGATCGATGATGATGAATGCGAAGGTGAATTAGAAGAAGAAGAAGTAGTAGAAGGAGGAGGAGGAGGAGCAGAAGAAGAGCAACAACACGAACAAGTTGGACAACATATGGTTTTAGAAGAAGAAGCAGAAGAAGAAGAAGAAGAAGAAGAAGAAGATGAAGAAGATGATGATGATGATGACGAAGAAGAAGAAGAAGATCACACTGAAAATGATGAAGAAAATAAAATAAACAATAAGATTGATTATAACAATGTTAATTCAAAATCAAATAAAACATTTTCTTCAAAAGCAATTCAAACAGAAGATGTGGAAACTATGACACAAACTGTACAGGTTAAAAAAGCACCTAACTTTACACTAAGTTTAAGGAAAATCAAGAGAAACTACATATTATTTTTAAAATTTGCTTTTAAGTATTTATCTTTTTTGATCTGATTTTTTATTCAACCCATTAGACTATAAATTAATTGTAAACGAGCTATCATACAAAGACCAATTTATTTATGAGCAACGAATAAATAATAATAATAACAACATTCGAAAAAAACTCCGACATTTCAGGAAAGTTTATTTACATTGTAATATTACTCATATTTGCATAAGTTTTATTAACTTACTAAAAGTCTGTTTTTTATTTTATAAACAATCATTAGTGTTTCCAGTGAAAACAAATCTTGCTGATTAAAATGCTTCATATTCTAAATAGGAAAATATCTATAACTATATTTTTCTAGTTTTTACTGTAAAAACAAAACTAGCCCTTACTTATCTATGTTTCGCAGTCAGAATTGATTAAAAATGTAACTCTAATAAGATGAAAGTTTAATATCTATTTTCTATTTTTAGACAATGGACATATCATTTTCTACAAATGATCTTAATTTTGAAAACGGTAATCTTCCAACGTCGCTTGTGCCAACTGACGAAAATGGTTCTCTTTCACCTACTAACATTGAAACATCATCGTCTGCACCTCCGGCTATATCTTCTGATGTGAATACCAATATTTATGAACAAAGTAATAAATTATCGCGTCGTGTTCGGCGGTTACTTAAGCCAACGTGCAGTGTAGCTGTTTTACCTAATACGGATGTAATTATTCTTGATTGCGAACAAAATCTTGCATCGATTCTTGATAAAAAAGGCAAATTTAAATATTGTTTTACGTCAGAAATTCCTCCAACTGAACGCAAAGGTTTTGCTGTATCTGGGTTTTCATCGACAGCCAGTGTTAGTGCTGCTCCAGCTGGTTCAAATCGAACTGTTCGTATACCAACACAACAAGGTTTATTATGTATTAAATTGAAAGGTGAACGTGTTAGCGAGTTACCATTTGGCTTTACTGTACATGCTTTCAATTCAATAGCAGAAAGTGACAATTGAACAGAAGTTATTTTTAAAAGGAAACATTCGCTTTTAAATACATTTGATTGTTGTTATCGTATCTGTTAAAAAGAACGTCTGACGTATTTTAATCAATACAAACTAATTTATTATACGTGCACAGTTTTAATTGATGATTGACTTAATTCAGTCAAAATATTGAGTAAGAATTTAATAAATGAAATAAAATCCAACTGATACAAAATAAAAATATTATTTTGCTTCTCTTTGTGATCATTACGAATCAACAGAGCAGACTCTGTCAGTAGTAACATGTACAGATACATGCAAAGATAGTAACTAATAAAACAATGAAGAAGGTGAGAAATAATTTTTGAAAAAAGGAGATTTATTTTTATTACTGTGGAAATCAATTGAATTCTGAATAAAACACCGAAATGCACGAAAACAGTATACGATAAAACGAAATCAAATTTATTCTAAAGTTTTAATTCACAATGAAGCTAAAAGACATATAATTATATGTATGTCATAAATATATACATACATAATGACTCTCGCAATATACTGAAAGTTTCAGCCAACAAGAACGTTCATTTGTTGATATATTCAATTTGCAATAAATCATCGCTTGGTTTAAACATTTCATAAAAATCAAATTCACTTCGCTACTCAATATTTTGATATACGAGTGTTTCTTTGACTGAAAATTTTAGAATGTTACGAGGGCAAATAGTTAGATCAATTGGGTAAGTTCCAATTTGAAATATTACTATGTTTTAGCAAACGTATAGAATTGTAGCAAAAACTCGATAATAGTATCCTAATCTAGTATCACAGATCGATGAACACAATTTCTTCGAAGTTTTTTTGTGGCTTAAGAAGGTTTCTTTATACACTCAACATGAATTGAAACAAAGATTTACGTCTATCTCTGTTACCTTGCTTGATAGTAATCATAAATTTGTAATACGTTTGGATATTTTCCCAAAATCTACAAATTAAACAAGTTCTAATCATTTACTAAGATGTGTGAATAATTATCAGCACACTATCGTACATAGTTATGTTTCAAGAATAAATATATTTCAGTCAAATATTTTCAATAGACTATAGTAAAGCTTTTCTGAATTGATGCCAATGTTTATGTTTTAATATGGATATGTTATCTATGGAATATAGTTGCGCAACAGAAATGAAAATATTCTTTTGCATTATTATTTATAGGAACTAATAGTAGCCTATAGAGATCATTCATTATGTAGCTATTATATCTCATGTTACCAGTAAAAGAATAATGATAAGTTAATCAACATAAATTAAGAAAATACTTATCTTTTACATACAGCACTAATTCAAGAGACAAACAAGAATAATTCAGTATTGTACTTTGAGCAAAAGTAAAACCGAATGGCAGTAACAAAAAAAAATTTAAAGATCGCATTTGACAAACAAATTCAACAACGACGATAGCTATGAAAAATGCATCAGCTTTCTGTTTCTTTGTTTTTTTCTAGAAGTCTTTAAAAGCGTTCTCCAGTTACTTTGTTTTTTTTTTGTTCTTTGTCCATTTATTTATATCAATAGTACAAATAGATCGATAAATGTACAAATATCTAGCGAAAAAACTGGAAGACTAGTTGTTTATGTTGAAATTTGATCATAGTTTTCTATAACATCTGTTAATGCTGTACTATATGATGCAGGGAAATGATCAAGCCACATTCTGGGATGAACAATGAATTGACGAAATTGATTATATGTACTGATCCCAGCACGATATGAGATCTTTCGTGAGAATAAGCCAACACGCTCGGTTGAATATAAGTGTACTATTGTTCCAGGTATAACTAAATGCGCACGTTCGCCTGAATGAGACGTTACAACTGTCGGTGAAATAGAAAAATTACCACCGGTAGTTGTCATTGAATTTGTTAATGAATCATCAATTAATGTTTGTGATTGATGATTCATAGAATGAAAAGCTTGACGACGTTTAGTTAACGCTTGCACAAGTGTCATTGTTAATAAACGCATTTTACTTCGATTACATGTATGTAATGCATCAATAATTCGATCTCTTAAATGTTCCAATGAACGAATCGATGCACGTGTTATCATATCAACGTCAACAACATATGAATAAATAAAATCACGCGTTGCAACGGCTAAATCTTCTGATAAAACCGCACCAGGCATCGCCATTCCGTAACATTTTAAATGTGGATACTTTGATTTCAATAGAATAGCAAGAATCGATGCGATACCGGCACCAAGTGAATACCCACATAGAACTAATGTATAATCAGGATACTTTGTAAATATGTCTACTAAACGTATTGATATATCATCGAGAATATATTTAGCTGTTGAATGCATACCTTTTAATAAATACAATAAATTATAAGTATTGTAAAACTCTGGTAGAGTATAGATAAATATTTTTCTCATTAGAACCGATAGGTTATTTCATTTTTTTGATTTATCTAATGAACGAATAATGAATTATGTTAGATTTATGATAACTTATTCAAGAAATAACTATGATTGATCAGCATAGAATGAAATATTATTCATTATTAAGGTTCGATTGATATTCATTTATATATTACCTATCACATATTATACTGCGTAATAGTGTTTCTCTGACGAAGTTACAATTACACTAATAATCATTTTTTATTCAAAAAATGAATTTAAAATTGTTCCCAATTCTTAAATGCAGATCTCGATACTCTATCTGATTACAAATATCTCTGGTAAAACTTTGCACAGACAAGTGGCTATTGTTTATATGATCATAGGACAAGTCTTTGTATGACACAATGGTCTTCAAGTATTCTGAATGAGTATTGAGAATAGAACAGTAAGAGTGAATATGTATGCATATAAGTTAGGCCCGCATCAGATTCAATAATTCTACCATAGTCTATTCTGAGTATTTTTATTTGATCACTCTAGGAATTAGAGGTAATATATCTCCAGTATGAATTAGAAAATGAAAACAAATCTTCATTCGTGTCGACAACTACATCGACATATTCTCAATGAAATGCACGTTCAGTTCTCAATCAATATATTTTCGTATATAACTTGATTGAACTCAATTTCTCTGAAATTCAATAAAAACTCTTCAAGTACCGTAGTATTCTATGATCTACAAGTAGTTATAGAATACTTTTCGATTGTACTGTTTCGTTCCGTTGTAATCTTTAATATTCGTTTCATATATGCTATGGTAATGATACTTTTTCTTAGTTGACTTGATTAAAATATTAACCGTAACTGCTTTATAAAAACAAAAGAAGCGAAAACTTACCACTATGACAATAACCACTGCCAAATAATTCGGTTTCTAATGCATCTTCCACAGCATTGATATCAGTTAATATGTCAGTTGCACTTAATGTTCCACGAATAGATACAACAATTGTTTTCTTTTGATTGTCCGCTGCTATATAAAATGGTGCTAGAAAAAATAAACAAAAGTAATCTAGCATAGATTGTTTTTAGTTGTTTTCATACCGTGATGAAATGCAGCAAGAAAATTAGCATATAAAATGACCGGCTTTTGTTTGCGTAGTAAATAGGCTAATGTAGCGTATTGACTTCCACAGGGATCATTTGCACTATCTGGATGTTGGCAGCAAGATGAGCAAGTACCACCACCACAACAGCAACAACCACAACAAAATCCTATTGTTCTGTTTGAATTTGAATCAAATAAAGCAATGTGCGTACATTTTAGGCATGCCGAAAACTTTTTCAATTACTTTACCTAAAACGCATTGCACAAAGAATTCGTGGTAGAAATGTTAATCTATAATGATATGCTAAAGAAAACCTTAAAAAAACATGCAACAGAAAAAGTATGCACTACGGGATAATTAATTTATCAAATTTTCATACCATCCAAAAGCCGATTGTGCATACGAATTATAATAAAGTCCTTCTTTGAGTAATTCTAATGGTACATGTTGTATAATATTGATTGATCGTTCTTCTTGTACATCCTCTTGTTGTAAAAGAATAAGACCGGCAGCAACATCACTTGGTACCAGATCAAATCTTTCATCATCAAATAAGTATTGTAAAGTTTTAACAATATTTTTTGTATCTGAAGATTGTCCTCCTAAATATACAATCATGACGTGTATAGCAAAGCAATGGATCAATTCTTTTCTTTTTTTTTTGAGTTTTATTTATTACCATAACCTTGTCCACAACAAAAAATAATCTTGATTCTCATTTCCCATTTCTTTTCAGCTGTAACAAAACCCGTTAAATCAATAAAAAATGCTAATATTATAAATAAAGATATGGCAACACTCCAACTTAAAGCTATCGTCGTTACAATTGTTGCACGTAAAATAATAGCACACATTTTAAATACTCTTATCATTGTAATTAAACCCATTATATTAATACTAATATCAATCAAAACAAGAAACAAACGCATATAAATCAATACTGACATACGGCGACGTGGTCGAGTATTTTTTACAGGTGTTCCTCGTAAACTAATCCAAAACATAAAAACACATAAGATTGTTATAGCCGTATAAACACTTAAAAGTGGATAAAAATAGCCAGTATAGAATGATGATGGACATGTTGAGTCTGGTGATTCATCTTTAATACGAAAGACAATAAACGTCACTAAGAATGGTAAACGAAGAGTCAGATCAATTAATGATGGTATTGTTAAATCATCGGAGGCAAAATTAAAACGACGACCAAATAAACGAATGCCGGGCATAATTTGTGTTTAGATATCCTAAAGTGTTACTTGACAAATGAAAAACACCGAATTATTCATTTGTGTAATAGGTTAGAAAAACATCAAGTCAATTAAGGACAGAAGAAAAAACACAGCAGCAACTTGTTATTCTATGTGCGCCCATTATTTATTTATTTTTCTCTAGTCTTTTACGCAGCACAGCGAATATTAATGAATACTAACAATGTGTTTGAATAATAGGTAAAGCGATCGATAAAAGGTTAACACACTTCGACACGTTGGCGTCGGACAAATGTCAGAAAAGTTTCACATTATTATATTAAGATGAAACCTGTATTTTGGTCAGTGTCAGTTCTATCGTTAGAATAAATGATTCAGAGAACATGTGCTCGTCCTTTGTCATTCTAAATAGTTTTCTTTCTTAAATATTGCAGCGCATGATAAATTAAAAATTCTGCACCTAAATACTCAAGAAAAATAAATGATATAAAATCGTACACTGATCGAAATCAATTTCTATTAAAATTTTAATTCGTGTTTATAAGACAAAAATTACTCATGTGTTTATTTAGATAGACAAATTTAATTTTTGTATTAGATACTTAAATGATCATTTTTCTACAATCTATGTAGTAGTGAATGTTCTAACAGTATTTTTTTATTGATGACAGAATCTATAGTTTATCACCTGTGGATAGACAAATGGATTTTATCATAAATTTCTTCGAAACTTGCTAGTTGGTAATACCTTATCAACTGATAAATATATATATATATATATTGTAAATATTTACTGAATATTATTGTATTTATGAAATAAACATTGGAATTTTAATTCTTGTGAGTCATGTTGGCAAATAAATTATCTACAAGAAAATTAAAAGAAATACTCCTAGTATTGATTAAACGTCAACTGAAAAAATAAAAGCATTGGCTACTTCACTATACAACGATTAACAAGTGTGGGTCTTTTTTTTTATCTTCGACATCAGAAACGTTTAAAACGATGTGCATATATGTTAATAAGTTAAAGAACTAACTACTTCAGAAATATTAGTTACGCAAGACATTACGTCATCTAACATCAAAACAAATTAGTTATAAAATAATACTTTTATACGAATTACATTTACTTTAGTTCAAAAATTTCGATTATTTGAGACATTCTATTTAAAGGATATAATAGAAAAGACAAAAATAAACCGCCTTCATCGTTGTCTGGAATAGAACAAAATAACTAGGGTATCTAGACTGTTTTTCTATGGAATACATTTTTGTGTTGCATTACAAACACGATTTCTTCATAAAAAATATATAGTGCAACTATTTTCAAAAGACGAAGACTTGATTATTATTCATTTAATTTTATTGTAAAAACAAATAAACAAGAAAAACGGTATGTTGATAAAAACAAACACTTTAGAAGGAATATTTTATGTCGCAACTCTGAGATTCATCATATTAAACAGTCAATTCGTTTCATTTTCGTACTAATTAATTTTTTCTAAATGTTCCATATCATTTTCTTTAATATGTGAAAATAATTCTTTTCTTAACTTTGTACTTGATACACCATTTGTATATGGTAAAAATTTGACAGGCATTAATTCTTCTACAACATGTTTTGATGGAAAATCTGCCATATCATCACCACGTACATAAAGTGCTGTTTCATTTTCATTTAAGTGTACGATAGATTTAACAAAAACCGATGGATCTGTGCCAGCTACACAATAGACTTGATCAGCATAACGTTTAACATTAAGCATACGTGTTTCTGTCCCATCAACTGGTACTCGATTTTTTAATTTTTGAATACTTCTACTATCATGTACACCGACAATAACTTCACGGCCAAATTGTCGCATACGTTGAAGAAGAAGACGGTGACCTTCATGGAATAGATCAAAACAGCCAATAGTATAAACTTTATCAGCTCGACCATCAAGCCACATTGCTGGTAACGATGAACTACGTGGAAGATTATGAAGATAATCTTCTTGACATTCAGATGCAGAAGATGAACTACTACGGTCATCGTTTTCTTCTCGAATATCATTGATATGATTGATTAATGGATTTGTTATATTTTTGAAAATATTAGGTGATACATGGCCATTGGTTATACTTGATGTACTTCCTGTAGTTGATGATGAACGACTCGTTTGAGGATTTAGACGTTTTTGTTTTTCATTCTGAAATAATAATAAATAACACTAACTTGTTAAAATCTATTAATAGATTAAAATAATTACTTCTCGCACTAAAGAATCGATTGTCAGTGCGCGACTTCGAGATTTTACATTGGTTAACGAGTTAAATGCATTAATTACTGCAATAGTTTTATTAATGGGTGATACTGAAGGAGAAACCGTTTCTGATGTTACACCAGTAGATGTGGCTTTCTTTTTTGCGCTGACTATTTCTCGTGCTTGTAATTTTTTCATTAACGATGCATAAGCCAATCGTATTGTCAATGAAAAACATATAACCCCCGTCATACCAGCTAAAAAAAATAAAAAAAATGAATTGTTTAACAAAGAAAACGTAACAAGAAAAATTTCTACTTACACCAATGATTAAATGGAGAAAGATGACCTGTTGATAGACATAAAAATGCTAATCCCATTGATTCAAGTTTTTCTTTTAATTTTCCCTCCATTGCAGCCGATGTTGAACCTTGACAAGATACTCTAAATTAATTTTTATAGATTGATTTAATATAGGTTTCTATAGTTTTAATTGAATAGCTTACTTATTTTTATTGAGAGCAGCATAAAAGTAATCTTGTACACGAACAACGCCAATAGCTGTTTCAAGACCAATGATCGTATAACATAAAACAATAAATCCAATTGAGACAAATGTAGATGTTTGTTCGAAATGTGTTTCTTGTAAAATTGTCCAAAGACAAAAAATATTAACAATTTTATCGCAGAATGCATCCATAAAGCCACCCAATACAGGATCATCGATATTTTCACCATAGAGACGTTTTTGTACTTTTGCAACAATGCCATCGACATGATCAAGAAAATCATGAAAAACAACTAATAGACATGCCAGAACCGGATAATTATATCTATAGAAAAAAGGTAATTTTTATTGATAAAGCTTTACATAATATCAAAGATAATATTTACTTTAGACACCAAGCTATTGGCATGATAAGAAGTGTTCGTGAATATGTGACAATATTAGCATTAAATACAGTTATGCATTGATCACCGATTCGAATGAAGCGAGGAATCCGAGCCATGCAAGGTGATAGATGAATTTGTAGTGGTGTATACATATATAAGTCGTACCATACAACCTATGAATTATAATAATCCGAACGAACTGTTTATATTCATATGAATAAAAGATTATTTTACTTACCATTTGAAACATAAAAAATTCGATGGCATGACTGATGGACACCAGAGGGCTCACCAGAATTTGAACTAGTGCTAGTAAACCATGAAAATCTATAAGAAAGATATTTAAAAATAATAATTCGTATAACTATACAAATATATAAATCAAAAGTAGAATACATACTGAATTGTATACTTTTCATTTGTACAGACATCTTTTTATTTTCAGTAGAAAGGTTAAATCAGATACTATTAGAAGTGAAAGAACTCTATACAAACTGCTGGATTCATTACCTTTTTATAGAGTGAAATCAAAAACAAAGATAAAAAACCGAGGGCGTGCACTAGGTAACGATAATATTTTGTCCTAGTTTTATTGAATTAATAGGTCACTTTTTTTTATGCTTATTCTCGAGATTTTTAAGATTTCTCAACGGTTCAAACATCATATACTAATGATTTTCTACTTAATTTCAAGGTTTTCTACTATTAAATGTTACAACAAGGTTGTTGTTGCTTTTATTAAAAAACTTTTTCGTTCAATTTATGATGATTCTTTTAAATAAGTTTTTATCAACTTTCTCACCGTCTCATTATGAGAAAGTACCATGTGTATTGACACACTACTACGCATATGAAATACTTAGTAATCATTATACCTGATAAATATGAAAACGTCTTTCGATAAAATCAAAAAAAGTAAAGAATGATTTCTTGCCGTGATAATGATATTTTTATTTGAATCGCTGATTTCATAGTGGACCAATGACGAAGAACTTTTCTAAAATAAAATTTATACGAACAAAACGAATAGATAACAATATTTTCAAAAATATTAATATAAAGATTTCTTTCGAAATCCATATTTTGTTTTTTTTAAGGAGAAAAAAATCTGTTCTCGTATTTTTTTTGAGACTTTAAATAATACATAGATCACAAACACGTAATCTGACACAAATACAATACAATAAATAGCGAGATAGTGTGAGAAAAAAGACCTTTCTTGGTCAATTAAGTATTTCACGTATAAACACGAATAACATCGTCAATACGTTTACGACAAACTGGACATGGATCTTTCCGATTATATAATAAACGTGCACATTCATAACAGGTTACAAAATGATTACATGAACGAATAACAGAATTACGTGGCCGATCCATACAAATCGAACAATCAACATTTTCATTTGCTACTGAATTATTGGCATTATTGTTTCCACTTTCAACTAAATTTGAAAAAACAAACATAAATGAATAGCAATTGAATTAGCTGCTTACTTAAATCACTACGATTTCCACTGTGGTTAAATCGATTCGACGATGTCAATCCTGGTAATGTTCGACCACGAACAACCATGACTCCACTGCTCTTTTTTAATGACTCAATTCGAGCTAAAAAAGTAAAATAAACATACATTTCAATGGTTTTTTATTATTTAAGATTACCTTTTCGTCTTGATTCCCGTTGCTCTTCATCAAGTATTAATGGATCGGGCGATGAACGAAAATAAAGTACCTTATCCATGGGTTCAAGTAATGTTCTCACTAAAACACAATCAAAAGATAAACAATAAACAAAAAACAAAAAAAACATAAATACAAAATCTTACAAGTAGCGATTGTTTGTGTACTTGTTGTTTTTGTTGGGTTCAGTTCGATTTCAGGCACATAATAAACTGGAAAAAGGAAACGTGCACCGACAAAATTCTAGATAAAATATATCAAACATTGAAAGGTTGCGAATGATTGTATTTATATTTATTTACTTCTTTATGAGGTAAATTTTCTGACATTTTGTCTAAATCTAATCGCATTGAATTTGAGCATATGATTACACTCGCTGATGCAAATTGAGCAGCTTCTAAAATAATTATATTCATTATCGAACATATTCGAAGTATTGCATAAGTTTTTTGATATAAGGGTGTCCGATAAAGAATGAGCCTATTAGTATTTTCGAAATTTCTTCTCTACTATCCCCATGATGAAGACACCTTTTTTTTTACCACAAGATAACGCTTGAAATTCTCTACAAAACTATGTCTAGTTCCAAAAAATTGTTTCACATGTATTCGGAAAAAGATGAAACGTAAAGACATAAAAAGCTGTAAAAAGTAAGTAATGGATTGAGCATAATGAATGGTTGTGATTTGCATCTCATTTTTATCGCTTACGCTGCCGCATTAGAAAAATAAAATATACCAGATGATGCAGCGTGAAAAGCTCTACAATTTCAAAAGTACAAATTATAAAAAGAGCTATGAAGGAAAAACCAATTCATCTTGTAGCAACAAGTATACTATTTTGCACGGTCAAAATTTGATTGCTCGAAATTTTGCCTATTATGAAAACAAAAAATGCAATTATATAATAAGCGGCCTTCTGTAAATTGCAGAACTTTTCACGCTGCATCTTTTGGTATATTTTGTTTTTCTATTAAGGCGAAGTGAGTGATGAAACAATGAGATGCAAAGTGCGACCGTTCATTACGCCTACTCCGTTACTTTTTACAGTTTTTTATACACCGTTACTTTTCGTCTTATTTCAAATATATCTAAAATAGATTTTGACTCTATTCATACATAGTTTTGTAGAGATTTTCAAGCGCTATCTCTTGGTGAAAAATGTGTCTTCATCATGGGGATAGTAGAGAAGAAATTTCGAAAATACCAATGGGCCCATTCTTTATGGGACACCCGTTATTTCATTTCTTCTATGTTATTATACGGAAATATTGTAGCAAGGACTGTTTGCTTTTTGAAAGGATAGTCCATAACGAAAGTACAATCAGTTATTTCTTTAAGCAATACGAATAATTAAAAAATTCCTTTTTTTGTGATTCTAAACATCAAATTTTTGCATTACTTATTTTTGAGATGAAATAATTAAAGCTCAGACTATCATGAATCGATTGCCAATCAAGAATAATTCATCGAATATTGTTGAAAAACTAACTTAAATTTGCTTGTCCAGAATTGTAATAATATATTCAGATATTAACATTTCTCAGACACAACAATATTATGAGATTGATACTTTTCAAATCTGAATCGAAAAATAATTACAATTTCAACAATATTCTACTGAAAATTGGTACTGCTGTTAAAATTGTATAATAATTATTCGGAATAATTGTTTTTTATACGATGAGATAGTTTTTAAAAAAAATCTCATTTCAAAAATTATGAGTTTATATAATTGTAATAGGTTTTATTATCGAAAAAAAGCTTCGATAGATAAATATTTCGCTCATTGAATTAGCTAATAATTTACGAATTCAAGTAAACTCTTCATTGAAACTGTTTCAAATCTTTGTATCATCAGGCAAAAGTGTGTGCATGCTTTTACTGTTCTTTATGGGTTTTGATGAATCCTATATAATGTAAAACTCAACATCTTGAATTGAAAAAATCAGAAATAAATTTTGTAATAGACAAAATAAATTGTGTTCCACGATAAAACAAACAAGAATTTGTATTTTAGAATTCGTTTTTTACGAAAATATTAAAGAGAAACAATCATTACAAATTTTCATATCGAATAAAATAAGTAGAGCATCTTGATTTGACCTAGATTTATTTCTACTGGTGAAGATGTAGATCAGAACAAGTACCGCCTAAAAATATACCTTTCAGTCTCTTTATTTATTGTATTACACAACTTGTTTAAGGTATCAGAGACTTTTAATTAAATTCTTAATGTCTCTCTATTGTAGTCTTCTACTGTAAAACAATCAGGTCACACATGACAAGAGTACGTATTGTCTTGGTTATTTTTTTTTTTAAATGTATAAGTAAGTCAAAGTCTACTGATAAAGTACATGAGTATAATCATTTGTCCTAGTTTCATTTGTTTCAGAAAATGCATTTCATAAGTAGAACAGAACAACAGTAACAATGACATTTTTAAGAACTATTTCTGTTTTTTACTTCTTTTTTCTTGTTATCAGATAATAGCATATTTAATTCATCGTTCTTAGTCTCATCAAATATATATTCTTACTTTCAAGCAATGTTTGTTTTAGTTCTAGATTTTCGATAATGCATTCAAAAATAAATTCAACATCTTTCACAGCATCTTCAAGTCGGTTCAAACATAATATTTGACCCTGATTAATTACAAAAATAAATAAAACTTTATGTATCATATATGAAACTCACTAAAAACTTTGGCACTTCAATAAGACCATCACGATATAATTGATCTTCATCGTAACGTATGCGCTCACATGCTGTATCCAATTGTTTCAAGTCACTATCAAAAATCTTTACGATGTGACCAAAATAGGCAAAATTGCCTAAGAAAAATAAGCAAGTATTAGAAACAAGAACGAGAAAAGTCAATCATAAGACTGAACCTGCAATTCTTAAGCCCATATTTCCACAGCCCAATACAGCAATTCGAACCATACTTATTCAATAATCTGTAAAAAGTCATGTATATATATGTACATTTATGAATATAGGAGACATTTTGTTTCTTGTTAGTTTTTACTTATCCTCCTTGACTAATTTTTGTTAGCCCAGACGGACACAGTGACAAAAGAAAAAAGAAAGAGAATTACATGAAACAAATAACAAGAAAAGAAAAGAAAAACAATTGTTCCGTCTATTTTTTATGTCTTTTATGCATTATCATAGTAGTACAGTGTAGAAGAAGTAATACAACATAGAAAAAGAAAAAGAAAACATGCACAAGATATAGAGAAAATGTGTGAGCGAGAAAAAAAAAGACAATTAGAATCGACTATGGTGTTTTTTCTCGAGTTTTCTCACAAATATATAATGATGATATATGTTAGAATATATCACAAAGTAAACTTTATCAAGAACTAGCAGATGCATTTGCGTTTGAAAGAACATCATTAATACGTTGTTCAGGCAGAAGACGTTCGAAAAAAGGATGTCGAAGAGCATCAATCAATGTTATTCGTCGTTTTGGATCGTATTCGAGCATTTTTTCAATCAATTCAAATAACTGCTGATGATCTGCTTCGTCACTCATCATATAACGCTTGAATGGATAAATAAATAAGAAATTGTTAGTTTTTGAATAAAACAAAGAAATCTGTTTATCTTACTCTTAACGGTTTACAATTGTCTCGAACATAACGACCAGCTGAACTACGTTCATCCCAGTCCAATCGGCCATGGTAGAAATATTTCGTTTTTCTAAAGGAAAAAAACAGATTTATGTAACGTTTTTAATATGTTAACATTGCTATTTTAGCTTTATTTACTTTGACTGTTTTGCCATTCGATATGGAATAGGACCGAGTATGCGTTCCATCATCGCTAAATGTTCTTTATTATCATGAGTCTATAGAAAAAAAACAAAAAAAATGATCATTTAGAAAGCTTATGGATCAATTTATACGATACTTGAAAGAGAGTAAAACCAAGATAGAGTTCAAATAAAATACAACCGACGCTCCAAACATCACAAGGTTGAGACCATCCCAATTCAAGTATAACTTCTGGTGCACGATAATGTCGAGTTGAAACAATTGTTGAGTGATGTTCCCAATCGAATGTTGCAGAACCAAAATCAATTACTTTTATATCTGTGCGACATACAATACGTTCATCTCGTCTCTATAAATACAAATAAATAGATTTCAATTTAAATCCAATTTCTTGGTTCAAAATCGAGAAAAATTCGAAATTTCAGCAACATTTTTTCTTCATAATGAACATATGATCTTAAGTTACATTGGCAATTGTCGTTGTTGTTTTTTCCGTGAAACATAAGAAAATTTTATTGAAAAACTTCAGACAATTAAGATGTCTTCAATGCAACCAACCTTGATATCTATCTGAACTATTGTTGATTCTATGTATCGTATGTAGGACTATAACAGTTCCGAACTGGTGAACTGTTCAAACAGCTCTCTCGAACTGAGCTGAACTGTTTGAACAGTTCAGTTCAGCTCGCCAGAGCTGTCGTAGTCCTAGTCCAAAAGGTACCCTATAGCCTATAGGATAGCTCTTGGCAGTTCTCTTGAGCTGAGCTGAACTGTTCGAAAAGTTCAGTTCAGTTCCAAAGAACTGTTTGAATAGTTCTGGTGAGCTGAACTGAACTGTTTGAACAGTTCGGTTCAGTTCCAAAGAGCTGTTCGAACAGTTCTCGTGAGCTGAACTGAACTGTTCAAACAGTTCAGCTCAGTTCGAAAGAACTGTTCAAACAGTTCAGCTCAGTTCGAAAGAACTGTTCAAACAGTTCAGCTCAGTTCGAAAGAACTGTTCGAACAGTTCATCGGTTCGTTTGAACCGGGTTCGTGAGCTGGAGCTGTCGTAGTCCTAATCGTATGACTATGAGGAAATATTATTGATACTTTCTACTAAAAACATAATTCAGAAAATATAATTTTCAAATATACTAGATAAACAGAATGAATACTAGTCTAAATTTGATTAATGTGACTATTACAGTTTAGGTTTCAAATGAGAGTAATAACGTATTTAGAATCATCAGAAAAATTTGTCTCAAATAGGATCCTGATTGGTTAAAACTAAGCGTTTTATCTTATGGAAAACACATATGATTCATCAAAACTCCCAATGACAGAGCGTAAAGAACGTTCTTCTTTCTAGTTATATGTCGAATGAAATTAAAGAAATTCAGAGAAGTTTTGCAGTAACCAAAAGAATCGATCTTTGCTTTTATTTTTTGATTAGAAAGAACCATGCTCGAATAAAAAATTTCATAACAGACATCTTTTTTGTAGAACGCACTTGGCAAGAAGAACTTCATCATCGAACAATGTAAGTTTTTATTTACTACCAGGTTTTGTTTTGAACTATATGAGCAATTATAGAGTACGACTACTGGTGATTTTTTTTAAGCTCACGGAGTATACGTTCTAATAACAAAAACGTTTCCTTGGTTCAGAAATCGAGGACGTGGTACAATAACGTGCGAAATTTTCCCAAAAACTTTCGCATCACTAACTGTTTTTATATGTTAATGTTGGCTGAAGTTTGCGAATGCGTTTTCAACTAATTTTACATACTTTTCGATGATTGTAAACGACATTATAATCCGAATTGACAAAAAGAATATTTTCAGGCTAAAAATAAAGCAATAAACGTTGTCTAGTTTATTTTTTTTTCTTAGTAAATTTCTCACTTTTAAATCTGTATGTGTCAAAGAAATATCATGAAGAACTATGAAAAAAAAGATTTTAGAATGAATAACCATAATTAAAAACAGAAATTTTTACATTTGACTGCAAGACATAATTGGTATGAAATATGACGAACTTGATCGATTGGATATGGAATATAATTATTTTCTTTTAAAAAATCAAAGACACTTAAACCTAGCATATCAAAAGCAATACACATATGACCATAGTAATCAAATGAATCAAGCAATGAAACACATAAACTAAAAAGAAAAGAAATGAAATAAAAATATTTAAAACGAACTAAATTTCTTCTACAATTATCTTACTTAACACAATCGGGATCTTTTTCTTTGATTGTTTTCAGTACATTAATTTCTAACCGGGCCGCTTCACGATATTTATCAACATTTTTTATTATTTTCAATGCTAAACGTGCATTACCATCACTAACAGTTAAAAATATTATTATTAAAAAGAAATAAAAATGAAAAAATATTATTTCATACCCTCGTAGGTCTCGAACTTCGACGACTTTGCCAAATGTACCTTCACCGAGTGTTCGACGAATTTCATCTGAGATAAACATAATACAATAATATTCAAAAAAGAAAAATCTCAAATTTCAATAGTAGTATCGTTTTGATTTAAATATTAAATGATGATTGATTATCATAAGTTTCACTCATTATACTAGCAATGGCGTTGGCTGCAACTCCAAAATATCAACTTTATCACAAAAAAAACTTTTCTTATTACATATCGTAGTAGTATAGATTTGATATTGGATACTGAAGACTTCGAATTTCTGACTGATATTTATAAATACGATTAACCTTTATTGAATACATAATTGAATGCAACATAAGACAAACGGAATCTTCTCAAGAGATATCTATTTCCTGCTTCAAATAATCAATAAATATATATATTCATCTATCATAAAAGATTATATCTTTTAAAAAGCAAGTAAGTAATCTGTCAACTATAATTATCGTCTTTCAGGTATTCTCACTAGTCGTTCATTCGGCAAGTTGAAATGAAAACTGAAACGAAATTTCTTCACTGATCAATACATCTATATTTCGATTTTTCTTTTTGTTTGTTTTTCATTAATAGATATTTAGAACGATATTAGATTATTATTGGACACTAAGTGTTATTGATATTGTCAAATTCTCACGAAGTTGATAAGACAAAGCTAACAAAATGAATATATATATTTGAACATATGAACTAGTGATCAACATCAAATGATGAAATATATGTGACCTAGAAAATTTTCTTCTTATTAAGACGAAAACCGAACTTACATTGACGATGCAGAAGATCACCTGAAGAAAAACGAATAAAAGAAAAATTTAAATAATTTTATTGAAATTCATACTAATAATATGACCATCTTTACCTGGAACATAAATCAAGTGGCCTTCGTCGTCATCACGAATATTGACATGGCCCGAATCACTTTTGTCGCGTCGACTCTATTGAAATGTATAATAATCATGTTTAGAAACAAAACATTATACTTTTTATATTGAATATATGCACACTTATACTTTCACTCACTGTTTCTCAGCAGGACAAAAAAATATTCGATCATCACATTATCTTATTTTACTAATGATAAAATGAAAAAAATAAACGCAATGAAGTCAATATATACAAGTTGTATATGTAAAAATCGATGTACTTTTATAATCATGAAGCGCTTCAATGGATTTTAATGTAGACCAAATAAACGGGAAGGTCAAATATCTCTTACACGTGCTGGTCCTATGAATAAATATGACACAAGCACACACACACACACAATAGACAGCTTAGGAAGTGTACGTGTTGTTTTTGTTGCCCATCATGTTTTGTTAGATATTCCCTACCTCAACGATTATCGTTGACGATTGTATTGCATTAACGACAGGAGGTGTTTTTACTTGATTACATTGAGAATAAATTGTTGAATGCGATGATGGCACATGCTTTCGGTAACTATAGTATTCATGATTAGTACCAGTAGAAGTATTCGATTTAATCGATGAACTTGTTGTAGCTATAGAAGAATTCGATGAATAATGTACAGATTGTGGTTGTGATAATGGTGGTGATACAAGATAATATCTTTGTGATGGCTCTGTTTGTTCTTGTTGGACGTCTCTTAATACTACACGAAGACCACTATTGAATTGAATAAGTCGCATATTGATAAAAGGACTTTTGTTTTTTTTTCTTCTTATCGAGTTAAATCATGGTTGTTATGAAAAAAAATTTGTGAGGTTTTTTTTCTTCTCTGAAGTATTACCTTCATGAATCCCGAGAATACATTGAAGTATACGAGTGTAAAATATCGATTTGAGTAGAATGAATATAACAGATGAATGTGTGCTTCTGTATGTATATATATCGTACGTTGCTTCACCGATATGGATATGGAGTGAGTATATGTATGTATGTGTGTGTGTGAGTATGAACGAATAACAATCTTTGTCTTTCCTCTTATTTCTTCCGCCAGCAAAAGCTTTAGACGAAGGTCGTCGTCAGTTCGCTTGCTCGAAAATTATTAATCAAATTGACCAAGTGACCACTTCTACATCAACATATAGATGTGTTCACACTCTCTCCCTCTATTTCTTTATTTCTATTTTTTTTCTTCTCTTCTTTCTATGTCTCGTTCCTCTTTATCATTTGTCCATTAGAGTTCAACCACACACAATGCGCTAGTATAAGTACACGATGAATGTTCACCATCTTTTCTTTTTTTTTTGCGAACTGATCATCTGGGCGGCAGAAAGGGCATCACTAAACGCAGCTTCTCTTCTTTCTTTTTCTTTTTTTTTCTTCGTGTTCTTTTCACATTTCAAGAATGTTAAGACTATGGACTAGTTCTACAAGCAATACCACTATGACTATTCTTTTGTTCACCAGACAATTTAAAATATGAGAATGTTCGAATAGAAAGAGAAAAAAAACGATGGAAGATAGATTAAATCGCCCATTGACTATTTTACATTTCAGTCTATGTGTGCATGTGTTTGAATGGATGTTATTCTGCAACTTGTAGTTTATTGCATAAGGAACATGCACAAAAAAGATGGTGGGGTCAATTTCCTTTCTTTCTTTTTTATTTCTTTGTAAATGCATACTTATATACGCAAGCATAGACCTTTAGCACGACACATCAAGGTGCCATTAACCTCCGTTTGTTAGCTGCTAAGTATTTAAGAATACAAATATGGCGCACTCACACACATATATATATGAATCTAATTAAAAAACAGTAAATGCAAACAGAAAAGTTTACCTTTTGATTTGGTGTTGAGGTTGACCGTTTATGATGATGACGATAATTATTATTTGTATGATTATTTGTGTCATTGTTCGTTTTCTTATGTCGTTTGGATGCTGATGATGTACTTGTGATACTTTCAGCACGAGCAGTTGTACCGCCACCACCGCCATTTCCACCACGGCGATTTTCTGAAGAGTCATGTCGATTGTGCCGTCGCCTACGATGACGTTCAATTGATGAACTAGTATGTAAATTATTACGAGGTGCTGTTGAAGAACTGCAAACACATGCAAAATTAGGTTCATACATGCAAATAAAATGAAATGAAAAAATATAAAGAATATTCTATCTCAAACATGCGCAGTAGCACAGCAATCATCTTTTTTCTGTTCTCAAAAGGCACAAAGGCAAACACGCAAATACGAAATTCCCACCCATCCTCAGCTATTAGTGGTACGATTGATCGCGATGGAGATTGTTCTTTTCCACCGTGTGGTGGTGCAACAAAATCAAGAAGAGAATTTGTTGTTGATAATAATGATTGTTGTTGTTGTTTGTTAAGTGAAGTCAATGAAGCAGATAGAGGTACAACAATAACAGGAGGAATTTTAGTATTAATATAATTGTTCGGTGGACTAGGTGATAATTGACCATTAGGTGTAGAAAAAACAACTGATTCAACAATAGTACTACTGGTTGGTACAGGTGGTGGTGATGATGCTGGACTAAGTGTTGGAATTGGTGGAGTTGCTTGAGGTAATGAAATAATAGTTGAATTTGCAGATTTTTGATTAAGTGGAACTGAAAGTACTGGAGGTGGTGGTGTTTTTGCATGAGTATTAGCAATAATAACACTTGAATCATCATCTCCATTAGTAGTTTTATCTTCTTCAAGTAGTGATAAATTTTCCAAATTAGAAATAATAGGCTCTGTTTTATGTGAAAGGCCGGCACTCGAACTACCTTTAGCAAGTAGATATTTTTTAATACGTCGTTTAGACGAACCAGGCGTTTGATAGCTGGGAAATGAAGTTATTGCTGTATATGATGAATTTTTATCTGCCACTGTTGTTGGTTTACCAATATAACTATGATCATCAAAGGTACGATATGCATTCAAAGGATTTGCTATTGTTGAACCAACATAAGCCGAACTATTAGATGCAATTTGTGATGACGATGTCGATGATGGTATTTCCGTTGTATGTATTGTATTTGTTATATAATTCGGTTCATGGTACGTTGGTCGTGTATATTCTTTTGATTTTGCACGTAAATAATCATAATTGTATGTTGAATGTGTGGCTGCTGATGATGTTGAAGGTGGAGGTGGTACAATAGGTCGATTTAGATTTTCATTCATCGTTGATGATATTGTACTTGTTGGTAAATGATAATGATAATAATGTGAATCTTTACGTATTGGTGTTGTGGGTGGAACGATTGCTGATTGATAATCATCATTTGGATTTGTTATTTGATCAATGCGTTTATATGAATTAGCTTTTTGTAGATTAGTAGTTGAACGATTTTTTGAATCAGTTCGTCCAATCATGGTATCTTTGACGCGTGAATTAAAAACAAGATCTTTTAATTGATCAATACGAGCTTTACGTTCGCTTGGATTAGAAAATTTTTCTTCAGCTGCTATCGATGATAAGGGTGGTGCCGGTGGTGATTGTAAACGTGATGAAGATATATGCATTGTCAAAGCTCCACCGGTGTATTTCTTTTTTGCACGTGATGATGAAGTTATTGTCGACGGTTCTGCTGTATCATGAGAAACATAATGTGGAGTATATTGTTGACGATAGCTATTTGATTCATTATGATGATATTGTGGATTTGAACTTGTATTATGTACAGTTGGTGTTTGCTGTTGCTGTTGCTGTTGTGATTGAGTTTGATTTTGTTGTTGTGTCTGATTAAGTGAACCACGTCGTTCGCTTGGTGCTCGATCTTCATTATAGAAACTCACTAATGATTGAGCTTGATGAAATGTTGATGCAAACTTTTTTTTTAATTGTCTTGGCTTCGTTATATGACACCAAATTGGGGCTATATTAGCGTATTTTCGTGCTAGTTGACTTGGCGATGAATAACTCCATGTTGGAGAAGCAACTATAGGTGCTGCAGATCCATAATATGATGAGCTAGTACTATTATGATTCATAGGTGTATTTAGTGATGATTGTCCACTTGAATTTGAATTATTATTTATTGGCATGGGTCGAAGTCGATATGTGTGACTTGTTGTGCTTGAACTAATATTGCTTGTCATTTTCTGCTTGTCTTATAACATTAGGATATATATGTATGTGTTAGTCGAAGGGAAAGAAAAGGCAAAGACGCTCTTTGCTCGTTTTTTTCTGATGATTAGATAAGAATGAGTACTGGACTGAGAGAAAAAAATACGCAAGAGATATGTATAGATGGATAGAAGACGAAGAAAAAGACGACGCCTCCTCCTTGCTGTATCCTAATGAAAAAGAAAGAAAAAGAAAAAGTGTTGATTTTCAGAAAACTTGCTCAGTTATTATTATTATTGTTGTTGTTGTTTTTTTCCCGTTCCTTCGCTTCTGTTTCTCTATATATGCACAAAGCATCGGTATTATGTACATGATCGATTTTCTCATATGTTGTATTCTTTTCTTCGTCTTCCTCTCATCTATAGAATATGCACACATACACACACATATAAATAGATATAGGAAAGAAAGAAAAGGATAGAGATATTTTCAAAGTAATTATGCCTGTGCCAAGCAGGGGATATACACAGCACACACACGCGCTGGCGTCAGCTAGAAGACTGCGGATGTCTAGGATACACGTACAATAAAGAAGAAAAGTGTTATCGTCTATGTTCTCTTGTACGCCTACATCATATTGTATTTATTTCTGAGTATTACTCTGGAAAAGAAAAAAAGAAGAATATTCTACAGTCTATGACGAACATAAGTCAATTACGTTATTGCTGTCGTTGTTGCTGTTGTTGTTGTTGTTTATTGTCTCCATATTTACAGTATGGAATAAGAATTAACGTCTTTTTTCTACATGTGCACAAAGGCGCATAGAATGCTAACTCATAGTGTCGTTCTGAAGAATTACGTTTTTTTACAATATAGACAGACAAAATACAACAAGTTATAGAAATAAAATAGACATAAAGAGTAATATTGTCATATTCCTGCTGTGTGGCTGAAGGTGAAACAAAATCCTTGTTATTATGTTTATGAGTAGACTTTCTTACCGACATACTTTTTATAGATATTATTGTTCGATTTAATTTTACGAATTTTTTCATAACGATGATGTTGATGTTTCTCACGATGGTATCGACAAAGATTTGGTTGTTCATATTTATGTAGCTTTTCTTCAATAGTTTCATTGAAATCAAATAAAAATATTTTATTTATAGAATCTTCATATAATTGTTGAGTAGCAATCATTTATGTATTGAACCAAAACGAGAAGAAAAATCCACTGATTGAATACAGGAAACAGACACCGTCAATCGATCGATTATTGTATTAATAGGGTGTACGAAATGTGGTTTTTTTCGGTTTTTTCGTTCGTACGTATGTAATTTCTATTTCTATTAGAGTGACGCTTGTTAATGAGTAAGGGGTGAGGGGAAAAACAAACAAGAATAAATTACGATAACGCCAAGGTAAATTAAACAAAAAAAAAGTGATTGCTGTAACTACTGATAATGATAATCGATGAAATATACAACACGTATACAAACTATATTGATGACAAAAAGAAGACATCATTCGAGATAATTTCAATAAGTAAACAATATGTTTAAATTAGTATTCTTTCTTATTTAATATAAATAGTTACAGTCAAGATGACACATATTATATTTATTCTATTTTAAATCTAAGTTGAACACAAAATGAAAACATGAAAAGTAAAATCTACGATTTTATTTCCTTGAAGGAAATTACTATAATTTTATGGTTACTAAGATGTGTTATGACTCATAATACCCTAACGAGTATTAATCATTTAGATTAATCATAAGGATAAATGAAGAATATCAGTTATGTAAAGAATATATTGAATGTTAGTTTTTATTATTTAGGTGGCAAAACAACTAAACAATCAAGTCATATGTAAACGGTCATAGATCTAAACGAAGGTACAGGCTTGACAGTGATCGAAAAATGTGTCAATGAGACAAGGATGAAAATCAAAATTATAAAATATTAGATCAAAATATAAACCTTCGGATGCAATTGTTTCGATAACTCGATTACTATGGAATGTTCTTTTTTCTGTTCAAGTGATAACAAACAAGTTATTTTAAAAAAAACTATTAGCATTAGTGATGACAGCTAAGCCAATTGTCATATACCTCTACTGGTAAATCTGCTACTGAAATCATATTATTGATGACTGGTTGCCAGAAATCTGTCATCAACTTATGATATACGATGCACTGAATGACTCACTTATTTTTTCTGATATGTACATGTCGATGAAAATTATTGTTTTTAAAAAAGATTTTAAAGTCTTTCTAGGTCACATTCAATTGTAGCCATTGTTCAATTTAAGGAATCCTAATTGAAAGATGCATTTAATCGAGATTGTACGGAATGTGATAACCTCTCTTTCTTTCTTCCGATATTAATTCACACAACACACTATTAATATTGCAAATATTGCATGATACACTATTTTTCTCCTGTAAATCACTAGCTCTGCGTTCGTCTTGTCTCAGCTACCACATTACACATCAGACTACATTGTCTTGTTGTGAATTGTAAGTTTTACTGAATCACCAGAAAATATGGCATTTAATATTGAGTTCATGTGTTTTTCTATTCTAATAATGATTTGTGTCTGCCTTTGTTTTATACAAAACAAAATTTACAAACAATGGAGCTAGAAAATTACATGATCAACGCATTGTAAATGGGCGTTTATTTTGCACTTTGTGTAAAAGTTCGAATGTATTCATCATGCATAAAACACATGGGGGACTTTTAGTGAAGTCTTTTCCTTCGTAGCTTACTAATTGCGGGCAAAAATTAAGTCAATTACTGAAAAATGACCGCAGTTTGGAACGATTGAAATTTTATTGTCTCTTTTCTATTGCGTTTCCAAAGTGCGGTCATTTTCAATTGATTAGTTATTTCGAAATTGATTATGATTTTTTTGTATGATTGATACATATAAAATGATGAGAAAGAGTGATATTTCATTTGACACAATGAATACTAAGTTCACTCGGTCAGCAACTCAACAAGGAGAAAAAGCACTTTTGTACAAGAATTATTTATATCGAGTAAGAACAGACTCAGAAACGCACAAGACCAAGAAAAGCTTAAGCTAGAAAAAAACAAATATATTCTTGATAAAGATTTTTATGCATACCAGAAAGTCTAACGAAGTATTTTTCATCGACATATAGATGTTTTAAAGGATGCTAAAGATAGTAGCGACGAAGAGTAATTTTTTTTGTGTTCATGTATTACTTGTATGAATTAATATATATAACAATCATTTTGTTTGTTGATTGCTTCTTAGCTGAAAAGTGACCGCAGTTTGGAAACACAATAAAATTAAGAAAATAAAATTTCAATCGTTCCAAACTGCGGTCATTTTTCAGTTATTGGCTTAATTTTTGCCCGCAATTAATACGTAGCCTTTTCCTTAATTGCAGTACTGCTTTTGTCTATCAATTTATGGTATGTATCCTATGAAGAGACATCCAATAGTTATTTTCTATATTTAGGTATTTTGGGAACATTAAGTAGATCGCTCGTTTCTTTTGGCAAAAAATTAACTTTGTCTTGAAGAAAGTTGTTTTTTTTGTTTTGATTTTGATTTAAAATAAAATGATATTAATTCTAAACACGCTATTGATGAAGTTTTTGGTCAACTTCTTCCATTTACTATATTTCAATTATGAAGAACTTCTTAAAAGATGCAGATATTTGAACAATAATATTTTTTGCAAATAATTAACACAAAAAAGACTTTTAATCAAAAATTCAACATAGATAACCATATGCAATACTTTCATCATGTAGTTTTCTAGGATTATTAGTTTTGAGTCTGAGAGATGTTGACAATACTCTTCTCTGTCTGACTGGGATCGAAACATTCTCATCTTTCAAATACAAAACCTTGAAGAATTCCGCATCAATGTAGCCTTCTAGTTTTCGCCATTCGCTCCTTTTATTTTCATAAAGAACATAGCAAGTTTTGCACGAAACAGTAAATTAAACAGAAAAAAACAATATAATTTTGAATCAAATTTTTCATACAATAAAGGCTCGAATAAAAATCACAATGTACTCATAATGACAAAACAAAATATGATTATTAGGGATATGATGCAGGCAGGAACAAAAATTTAGGTAATAAATAAAACTTACAATAATACACAAAGATATTAACATGCGACAATCAACTTTTGCAATGAGGTGAATATAAAATTTACTATTCAATTATTTTACATCGAAAAACCGTTTTACGGTCAGTCAATCTAAGTTCGAAAACACTAATTTGACCGTCGGCTCGAGTATTGTTGTTTAAATTGAATTAATTTGTTCAAGTACTCTCAATTAATAAGGTGTTGCAACCAAATTAAATTTCCAAAACGTAACAATTAGTTCCGATTTGGTAGACTATAGAAAGGATGGATTGTATCAGATTATAATTCTAGAATTTCAGCCGACTTCACAGGTCAACAAACCAAGTGTTCATATTTTATATGAAAGAAAAAATAGACTCAAACTGTTCTTAGATAAAATATTGATCACAACTGTTTACATATGAATATATGCTGTATATATTAGAATGGCATCAACCATATGCTTGTTAAAAAGAATAATAAGGAGCATTAGAGACGTTTTCTCTGAAGAAAAACGAAATAAACTATACAATATACTCTGAATAACTCGATAGTTTATTTATTTGATGTTATTTTTTTTCTTTTAAAAAGTACTAAAATTGTATGTGTATTGAGTAGATAAGATAGAAATAAGTCAAAAATACAATTCCATCATATACTAATTAGTCAAGTGTAAGACGTCGATAAGACTCATAAAAACTGAAACAATAAGGAAACTCAATTGTCGGATATCAATACATGATCATGTTCGTAGTACGAAAAGTTACTTAAAAATAATTTTATCTATTTTTAAAAGAAAGATTGTTACTATTATATTAGTGATATTCGATATCTCCCAATGTATTTTTCTTTTAATCAACATTTCAAATTGTGAACAATGCAAATGCAAAAGTAAATTCATTAATTATATTCTACTTTGTCTAACCTTTCTCCTAGTTCTCTTTAAAAAAGAAATATATATATATATATGTTATAGTTCAACATTTTATAGAAGAGAATAAACACTTTTAATAAGGAAGAAAATGGTAAGAGGCATATGTTTTATAAGTTAAGCTTATGATGATAATGATCTCGAATGATTCTTTTTTTTTTCTTTAAATATTCAAATTTTTACTCACCGTCTTTTGGATCGTGATCTTGTTCGTCGACGACGACGATGATGATGATCGTCTCGTCGCTTTCTATCATATTTTCGTCTAGAACGCCGATGATTTGAATTCGTTCGTCGAGCAGAACCATCTGATCGAGATGATGATGAGGATGCTGTAGATGATGAGGATGATGTTATTGATGACGATGTCGATCTTGATCGACTATTTTTTTGTCTGTCACTTGAACTATTTGTATCATTATTTATTGATGAACGTCGTCGAGGTTTATGATAATATGATGAACGTGAATGCTCATCATCAGTACAACGATCAGATGAATGACGTCGTTTATGACGTGTCATTATTTTTTTTATAATAATATTAATCTTGAATAAGAGTTTATTGAACAAAAAAAGAAAAGAAAATAATATCCATATTTGACTCCATCATCTTTTTTGTCGATTGATAATCATTTGCTAAAATAAATATAACCGTCAAAATGAATGTTCAACAAAAAAGAGAAGAAAACGAAAAGAAGGTAAAAAAACAAAACACATCAACCATGAGGCGGAGAAAATAGAAACAAACATACAAATAGATCAATTGTGATATATTTGAAATTATTCTAGACTTATAAAATAAGAGTAAACAACAGGAATAATCGATATTTATGTATCAATTATTTTGTTGTTTTTTCTGTTTTATTTTTACAAATAAGTAAACGAAATAAACACAAGCAAAAACAATCGGTTAAAATGAAAAAACGAAGTTAAGAATTTTCTAATTGTCACCAAGAACATAACCACGACCACCGAATATATTTGGGCCACGATTTCCTCCGTTATCTTGAGCGTCTGGTTGACGACGAGGTATGGGTGCTGTACCAAAGCCACTAATGCCTGTTTGTTGATTTGGAAAATAACGATAACTAGAAACGAATGAATAAAATTCAAAAACAATATGTCAAATATCTATTTCATGATAATATTTTTTTTAAAAGTACACATACAGAAAACTTGGTGTATATAATAAGCGTGCACCACCAAAATCTTGTGGATACTTAAATACAAGAAAAAAGTAAAGATGCCCAATAATAATTCCACATAATTGCACTAAAAATCTGAATAAAATAAAACTCAATAAGAAATTCTGATATAGAAATAAATCTATTAAAACTTACGATCCTGAAATAATCCAATTAAATAACATAATAACCCATGGCATATACATTGCTTTAAACTGCATACCAAACCAAAATGACATCATAACTTCTTTATTTAATTGACACCAAATATACATAACACTTAATATCATAGCATCCATTAATATCTTTTAAATAAAGAAAGAAATTAATTTTTTCAAGTTATTTCATATTCAAAAGTTACTTACATATATTGAGAGAATACTACCAACAATCACATTACAAATCCATAGAAAGAATAGACAGAAAATATAATCAGCTGGTTTACCGTTAAAAGTGCCTTGATTAGAAAAAAATATAAATTATAATGAAATCAAAATACAAAGGATATCGTTTTCTTTATTCATCATACTTGTTTCTAGACGTGAACTGTATTGATAAATAAAATACAGATTAATCAAATAATTAAAGCCCATCGGAAAGAACAATACTGCTGTAAGTAATCGCCAAATCTATAAGATAAATCTGAATGAATTTTTCTGGAGACTAAATAAAAAAACTGGTATACTTGAAAATGTTGAATAATCGGTTGAACGAAGAGAACAAGATTTTGAGGTCGAACTAGGCCCATACGTGCTGCAACGGGAACAACAATAGACGCCGTAAACCATGCGCGAGTTATTGGTGGAACACTTTTAAACCATTGACCAAGATCATTTGTAGCAGACATTATTTAATAAAGTCGAAGAATATAACGCAAGAGAAAAAGTGAGATTTGACTTGAAAATGTACTAGTTAAGTTTTTCTTGTAAAGCTACGATTGCGACAGTTACAAAGAATGAAAGAAAGAAAATAACATCAGGATTAGTCATTAATGTCTAACCATTCAGAATTTGACTGATCAACACTTGTCATACGAAATATTTTTTTGATTTTTTTAAAAATAGACGAATACATTAAGAATATAATAAACCTTAATAATTGAGAGCTTTTTGTATTAATGTTTGATAACAAATAGTGACATCTTCAGTCAAAATGACATTCAAAAACGCGTGTATGCTACTGTAAGACTTCATTGGTCACATGACAGATAAAATAATAGATTTTAAAAATAAATTCTAAGGAAACATGGTATAGTAAATGATCAATTTATGCAGCAGCAACCTAGCAATATTGTTCATATTTGCATAGATAGAGATATACCCAGGACGAGCTTTACGACGTCCGTATACGGTGAAATACGGGCCGTATACGGCCGTTTTCTGCCGTATACGACGGTAAATCGCCGTATTTGGCCGTATTACATGGCTCCGTATTACGATCGTAAATCTCCGTGTCGTAATACGGTGAAATACGATCAAAAACGACCGTAAAGCGCCGTATTTCGCCGTATACGGCACGGAGATTTACGATCGTAATACGGAGCCATGTAATACGGCCAAATACGGCGATTTACCGTCGTATACGACCGTGTATGTTCGACCTGGGTACACTTCCGAAACTGAAGCCCCCCTGAAAACCGTTAACATTTTATCAAAAGTACCGAATTTGTAATTCCATTGATTGTTAGATAGCATAAAGTATACTGTCACAACTATATTAAAGCTTTTTTTTTTAAATTTTATCCGGAAACTTGAAGATATTATGTGCATTTTTTTGAGTTCTGACACAGAGAAAAATATACTTTTCTTTAAAAACAATAGCTTTTGAAAATCATTTAAGGTTCTTAATCATTATGAATACAATACCTTTTGAAATGTTTTCGATAATATGAGACCATTCCTTCGAAATGTTGCTTATCAGTTGAGATGAGTTTAAAAGTGATTTTTAATTAATGACTCTTTGATATCTAGGTGCACTTAATATTTATAAATAATAACAGAAAACACTTGTTTTACAAGATTCGATAGTTTCTCATGTGGATCACTCTAATTAGTAATCTATGAAAAAATTTTTCAAAAAATCTCTATATATCAGATAATAGAAGGACACGGATTGAATTACAATATATAAATATATTTCCATGTTTTCTAATAATGAAGGTTTTGATCTTGATATTGTATTGTATTTCACATTTATTTGTCATTTTGAACACTAGAAAGTTGAGTCCGCTATCAGAATTATGACAAAGTGTTATCTCTACAATTAAATAGAATCTTTTTTTCCATTTTTCTGTTATAGTCTCCCGAAAAGCTAACTTTTGTGGTTTACTACTACGTGATTTTTGTGTGGATTACTATAAAAGTTCTTGAAGAATGCACACTGTGACAAAAATTGAAAAACCAAGTCTATTAAGTTTTACTAGAGCATGTTGACTATATTTTAAAAGCAACTCGAAAATTCTCTCAATGAACTGTAACATAATCAGACATCTATATTTTGACACATCATATCAAGATAACTTCAAATAGACTTGATTTATCAAGTTGAAATTTAAAATAATTTTGTAGCGAATAAAATATTGACTTGGGTAGCTAGACCATAATAAATACATCACGATAGAAGTTTCAGTCATGTACTTCATTTATGCATACATCGATAGAACTATTTCGATAAATCACGCTTGTCTGCCGATGTTTATTGTATGAAACCAATAAGCCAGTCTCTTCTATGATTGACTACTGATGATGACTGATAGACTATTTTTAGAGTATGGAATCTCATGGATATGATTCTCAATAAAAGAAAAAAACTTTTAATTATTACCTATTTGAAAGTGTGTTAGGAAAATTTGATTTGCTAGTTGAAACCTTAAAATATTACTTTTATCGTTATGATGCTTTTTTCATTGTTTTGTTTAACTTCTCATTTTCGTTTGTACTAATACAAAGAGAAAAATAATACTGCATTTCAATACTTGTACATGAATATGTTGGAGTAGAAATTAAAATTTTTTCGTAGTTTTTATATAATTTTCGATCTTTCTGAAATAGGTAAAAGTAAATATTCGTCCTGAAGTCTGAACGGGAATGTTTATGCACACGTTTCTTATCTGTCTGGGTGTAGTTTTACTAAGTCAGTTTGAATGAACAACATAAGTGTGAATGAGGATGCGAGTTTGATTGCAACGGATTTACATCCGTCCACACCTACATGTCGACTCACGTCCATTCACACCATCACACAAATAGCACATTTCTTATTATTACGGAAAATCGAGAATTATATAAATACTACAACAATTTTTTAATTTGCCCTAGTGGAGATTAAAATTTTAATCTCTACTAGTAGAATTTAAATTTTTGCCCCAACATATACATATTAAAATTAGGCTAGGCTGGAGAATCTTAGTATTTAAAAGATATTGAAAGAAATTGAATTTTTTTTTTCAATAAATAAATAAAAATGAAGATAAATCAATATACTTTTCATCGAATAAATTTAATTGAAATTTATTAGTAACTTTCGTTTTGTAGAAAAAGAATTATAATTTCACAATACAAAAGAAAGATGAAAAATTAAACATCGTAAAACAATAAAATAAAATGTTCATTCATGTTGATTGTTGTCAAAAAAAACTCAAAAGAAATATAAAATAAGAATAAAAATAGTAAAAAAAAATTTAGTTCTCTTTAGTTCTGATTATGTTTGACGAATTAAACGTTGCTGCTGTAAAAAATTCATAGTATTCGGATTCTTATAATAATAATGATGATGATGATGATGATCATATGAATGAAGACGCATACCGCGTGGTTGCATTATCAATGGTTCTTGTCGTATACGTTTTGAATTAACTGCTGTTGCAGGTGGTTGAATAATTGATGGTATAATTGTTGATGTTTGAATTTCAGTTGATGATTCTGATTCATCATATTTAAAAGTTTCATTACCATTATTTGAAGGCATTTGAAATTGTCGAGTCGAATTTGAAACAATTGTCTATAGAAAATAAAAATAACTCAATCTTTAAGGAGAAAGTAAGATTTTTGCATCCATACAATTAATGGGAAACTATCTGGTTCATGTCGATGTTGTTGAACCAGATCTGTTGATGGTACGTTTGTTGATGTAACAGATGTTCCGTATGTATATATTGAAGAAGGTGCTTGTATTTGTGTTTGACAATCTGATGATCGAATTGGTTTCCACCATCGTGTTGCTGTATTCTGTAAATGCTGCTGAACACGCTGTTTAGCACTATTTGATGTTGATGTACTCATATCCGTGGATGTTTCATTATCATTTGTTCTGACTTGTGTTTGAAGAACATGTAAAATTTTTGTTAAATTGGTCAATGTTATGTACTGACGATTAGATTCTGACAATGACTGTTGTTGTTGCTGTTGTTGTTTAAGTTGAGCTGTATTCGGTCGTCGATTTGATTGTGCGGGTGGAAAATGTGTTTGTTGATTTTGTTTCGAACGTGGTTGTTGGCGATGTTGAGGACGTGTTGTTGATGGAAGAATCGCTGGGCATACAACTGGTTGTTGAACAGATTGAAGAAGTGTAGCCGTTGCACGTTGCTGTTTAAATCTTGGATTAAGTTGTGAAAAACGTTGTCGATGAATTTCCATAACTGATGTTAATTTGCTTGGCCAAGCTGATAAGTGTGTTTTTATTTTTTCACTACGACCAAACCGAATATTTTGATCTATTGTTGGTTGAAAGCCTGTTGATTCGGAATTAAAGAATGGAGAAAGAATAGACGCGTTTTGATTTTTCATCAACGACGAAGTAATAGTAGAGGGAGAACAAGGAGAAAAAGACGAATCAAAGCTTGTCGTAGCATTAGATGAAGGAAGAAAATGTTGAACAAGCATTGTGACAATTATTTTTGTTGCTGTTACGATTTTTACTGAAGTCGTCAATCGTATTCGAGTGTCATTGTTTAGAGAGTAGTGTTGCTTTTACTGCTGCCAGTGCTTGAAAAAAAAAATAGAAAGAAAAATGAAAAAAGAAAGAAAAAGAATAATATTGTTGATTATCGAATTATCGTGCACATACCTGCGCAAATTTCATGTGTTTTAGAATGTATTTCATTACTAATATTTATTTATTTTTAATGAAACGAAAAAAACAATAGCTAAAAAGAAATAGAGAGTTGCATACTTTTATTACGCTTAGCGTCACTGATGAAGAATAACTTTCTTCTACAATATGTTTAAAGCACAGTTCAGATTTATTTTCAATCGATCAAATGGATACGATGATAAGAATATTTTATTTTTCGGGTCTCATTTAGAAATAATTAATAAAATAGCCAATATTTCTATTATTGATGAATTGAATATAAAATGGCTAATAATGTTTTTGTTTTGTTTGAGGATACATAAGTATCCATTTAGTTCGTCGACGGGCATTAGAATAACATGTTTTTAAGTCGTCTTGTTTTGCTACTCAGAAAAGCGTAAGTGCCTATTTTAATTATAATGCCATACATGATTAAAAAGATGTGTATTTTTGTTTTCTCAACATCTGACTATTATTTTAAACATAAACCTTTTTTATATTTTCTCCTTTGATATAGAAAGTTTTTAATTTTTTCTAAAAAACGATTCTTTAAATATTATCATACAACAGTAAAACTGATCTAATAAAGAGTTGTTTTCGCTGAATATAAAAAGTAACCTATTCATTATCACTGATAGAGTAATTTCAAATAAATGATGCATAATTGTTTACAAAAGCAAAAGTAGGGGATGACCTTCAATTTGCCATGTGAAGGATAATCTTCTATTGAACATTTTTTCAAGTTCCCTATATGACGTTAAAATTCTGAACGATAAATATGTTATCAAATTAATGAAAGAAGATGAATTAACTAAAGAAAAGGTCATCGAATTTAAAATAAAACTAGAATTAAATATCATTTCAATGAACTAAATGTAAGTTTTATTTTTCAAATTCAAATAATTAAAACGAATACCTGCCGTTATCCATTGATATTCAATTCACATGATGTTGTACATCAGTAGAATGATTTTTTTTCGAATAATGTGATGATTATTGATGTCCATTACGAAAATGAAAATATGCCTACACGTTTGCCCCCTGTTTCTTTCTTTTTTCTTCGTCTTTTTCTTTTCTAATTACCATCAAAGCATAAATAAAGCCTCCAACTACTTGATGTTCTATGGGCTTTTTCTTTTCTTTTTGAAGTTGCTAATTACGTTTCAGGAAGGCAATAGTCAATCATCATAATATACACAAAAGTTACTTTTCATCAACTTTTTTTTTTATCAAAAGAAATAGAATTTTGATTGACACTTGATTCGTTATTTTTATTATTCATAATAAATTAACAATCATAACAACAGAAGAAAAACAAAGCAAAATCTACTTAGCGAGTATCGCTTGTGCACGAAAGCCGCGTCCAGCAGTATTTTGATCTGATCGAAAAACAATCATTATATAATTTTTTGAACTAACAAATTGTAAATTATTCGAATTAGCGCCTGTCCCACAGTAGGTTGGACCTGGTTGTCCTATAGAAAAAATGTTTCAAAATTTAATTTAATTAAAAAAATTTTTAAATCAATAAATATACCAAGATGATAGTAGCGAATTTCAACTGAATCATCACAACTATTTCTATTATATGTCGGTATATTAAAATCTGTAAATTGAAGTATAACTCGAAGAGACTGTGGTGCTCGAATGTAATAATAACATAAAGCATTCATTGGATATAAATTTGGATAATTTGGAGATATTATTGATACAACTGTATTCTTCGGTGTCAAATCAATAACACGACTACAACCTACGTTATTAAAATAATAATATTTACTATTGAAAATAAATATCATATAAAACACACTCATACCGGCAGTGGCTTGATGTCGTTTACGACGGCGTTGATTATTAATTTTTTTTGGTACTATTAAAATAAAGAGTAAAATAATTTTGAATTTTCTATTAGAATACATACTGCACGCTCCATTTATAATGCTAATGTCGTCGATTGCAATATAATTATATTCCGATGTTATTGGCTCATATCCAAAAGCAATTTCATAAGCATTAACATTGAAAATCGTTCGTTGAATTTGTTTCCAGTTTTTGTCTACAAAAAATTTAAAAAATAAAATAGTTGAGAGTTCCTGCGACGTAACAGAAGTTAGCCAGTCAATGTGACTTGATGAACTCTATCGAGCAAATGATGTTGTGTTAAAACGAGAATAAAGCTATGCTAATAAAAGTTTTTCAATTATCACTAATCCTAATCACCGTTTTACTTCATCCAATGATCGTGTCTCGTCAGAAACAACTAACTCACTTTCTAATTCAAATTTTTTCGAGACATTTACGTTACTTTCATTTGAATTAAACATACCAGACTTGATAGAGTTCACCAAATTATCGCTCTTTTATTCGATGACTCAGTCAATCGGGCAAACCGTTTTTATTTCTATCTCATTGAATTTACCTTGATCTTTCCAGTTGAATGTAAATGAATAATCATCCTGAGTTGTATCTGTTTTGTTATAAATAATTCTAAGTTTACCAATACCTTGCCCATATATGGAATACCAAAATTGTAAGCAATGATTGTTTTCATTAGATAATTTCGAATGAGTAAATGGACCTAATTGAATTTTGTTTGAATCATCTGATCTATTTTTAGTTCCAACAATAACAAGATATTTTCCATCTATTGAATCAAAATAAAACATGATTTTAAGAACAAGAATAATAAAATTCTCATGTTACCTCCACGTGTATGATCAACAATCGGTCGAATATGATCTGTTTGCATACCTTCTTGAATTTGCCATTTATTATTAATTCTTATCGGACATAATTCGCCAACAATATCGAAGGTACAACTCATAATTATATCAGTTTCTAATCAAAATAAGAATTTGAAGAATATTTCAAATGTAAAAGATTTCAGTTATTCATACGTGTGCATGGTGGATTTAGACATGATTCCATTTCGAATGAACTACCTCGCAAGAATGAACATGGCTCTTTATTACCGTCTACAATTGTGTTAGAACATAGACGAGTACGAACTCGAACACCACTACCACAAGATTCACTGCAATTAGACCAATCACTCCACTCAAGCCATCGAATACCAGTATTTGCTGAAAACAAAAATACAGTACAATATATAAAATAGAATGTAAAACAAACTCTTGATTTACTCAGAGCATCATTCATCAATTTCTTTGATAATGATATTGGCAATGTTTGTGGTTTGTCAATTTCCTTCGAATGAACATTTTGCTTAATTTCTGGAAGAAGCCCGGGAGTTGCTTGTATAAAAAAAAAAGAATAGAAATAAATATAATACATCAAATCATTTTTCAGAGTTTAAACAAATAAAATGAATTGTACTTAAATATCCTTCAAGTAGATTACATTGATCACCATAGAAACCATCTGGACATGTACATTGACAATATTGATTAATATAACCTTCATTTTCACATACAGGTTTCGGTATACAATTATCACCACAACGATAACCTAAGTTTGCTAATTTAGTATCTAGATATGATAAAGCTATACGTTGACCCATAAGAAATGTACGACGATTATCACGAGCTTCCATAAAATGCTAATATTAATTATTATAGGAATCAATTTCGAATAAACAAATAATACATAATCGTACTTACTGTAGGATAGTAATGCATTATAGAACCAAGATCATACGGTTGTCCATAATAACTATGTATTGAACTTGACATTAGATCATATTGTCTTATTTCGCTTCCTAAGATTAAATTAAAATTGATATTTATTTCTTGATCACGATCTACACGAGCCATTTCATGATAAAAACCAACAACATGTCCTAATTCGTGAATAGCTGAACCGAGCGGACATTCCATTGGCAAATAAAGAGAATAAGCTGACAAATATCCATTTGAAGATGGCTGATAACCAACAAAGGTTGCACATCTTTAAATAAATATAAAAATTAGTTGCAATTATAAATCCATAAACAAACCCAGATCCAGTATCTTTCACGATAATCTTTGCACCAATATTCCAATGACGCGATGGATTGTAAGGTTCAAAACGAATACATGTACGTTGATGCCAATGTTGAATTGCATTCAAAACATTTTGTTGTACACGATAATCTATTTTATGATAAAAATAAATTATGAAATCATTCACACGGAAAACAAATTACTTATTCCAGAAATAAATTCATAGGGTACAATTCCACGGGGCCATCGATTGCTAACACCATAAATATTCGTTTCAGGAATTATTTTTCGTTTAAATCTATTTATGAGAAATCAAATTCATAAATGAAAACAAAAACAAAGATTCTCTTCAGCAATCAATATAAATGTTTTCAATGAGTTTACCGTTTTGAACCAGAAAATTGGGTTTCTTCAGTCGGAAGAAGAATATCACCATTAGAAACATATTTCGGCTTATTTCGGTTTTTATTATCGATTTTCAATTCAGACGTTTGAACTTGATCAGCCGGTTTTGATTGAACAAACTGGAAGAAAAATAAAATGAATTAATAAAAATAATAAATAGATGACTTACAGGCTTCGATATGATGCGACCTTTTTGAAGAACATTATGACCAAGCATTGGAACTGGTATATTCGTTGCGAGCACATTTTGTTCTTGATTCTCACATTGAATCAATGCAAGAGATATGAGAAACGCCAAACATTGATCAAGTAAATTCAACTTCATAGTTTCGATGGCAAAAATACGGAGATAAATCAAATGTTGAATTAATTACCGCGAGTATATACCAATTGATCAGATGATAAAAAAAAGAAAAATTTGATCGAAGAAAATTATCAGACACAACAATACTTCATATGTTACAATCGAGTACTGACTATCATTTATAAAAGAAAATTTATTAAACAAACACGGGCAACTATCATACGAGTGTAGTACACTCCAAGGATATAAAAAGTTGATATTATCACACTTGTTCTTGTTTTTTTTGTGAAACTCTCAATAGTATCAAATTTTAATGTCGAATTCAATTACTGAACTATTGTTCATTTTGTATTGAATTGTTCTCTGTTGCTTTTCATGAATGTTAGAATTTCGTAACATTCACAGCTCAATAAATGCCCTATGTCTATGTACTTTCGTAAAATACTTGAAAACTAAAATAATTGAACTCAATTATTGGATACTTGAAACTTGAAAAGTTAAACTTTCAAGTTTGGTGTATGTGTTTTGTAGACATGAGTGAATCACGGGGTGTTAGTATACATGAAGAGTAACATTGGACACTTGAATTTTTGAACAACAAATAAAGAATTGAATTTTACTTTTTCGTTTTGCATGATTCTATTATTTATGCTATTCTTAGTATTGATTGTTCTCCTTCTTCACTATTCATGTATTTGTCCTTATAACATTTTCGTTATAACAAGAGAAAACAAATTGTTGACATTAAAACGTCTAGGGAGAAAAAGAAACCATTTTATTGTTCAAAATTTCGAATGTACAAAGCAGCCATCATTCCATAATATGTCGGACAAGAAGAAATACAATTTGTTAATAACCAATAAGAAGATGGGTCGATTGGTTTCGATGAATCATCTATTCGATTTTGTATCAAATCATTTTCCATGACACCTTGCATTGTTAACGATCCAACATAACCACAACTAAGAGCAAATTTTTCGATGTTTCCAGCTTGATTGAGTAGTAATTCTTCATCTAAACTAAATAATTCGTTTTTCAACTTTCTATATTTTCCAGTTATCCAATTGTGAATAAATTCATCGAATAACTTTGAATATTCAGTACCACTGTTTGGAAATTTCGAGAAACAAGACGGATGAGGCTGATAAATTGTCGGTAATTGTGTAGACCATGCATGCGTATGAGCTTGATCCCCACTAATAACCAGAAGTATTCGTTGTGATGATTTATTACACCATGATCGAATTAACCGACCAAATTCTACTAAAAAAGGTCGTTGCTCTTCAATATACGTTTCTCGTGCCTCATCTAAAGATTTTTTTCATAAAAATTAATATTAAATATTTTATTTTAAAAAATTTTCATACTTGTTGTGCCTTTCATTGGTTGTGCAATAATAATTACTTTAGGTCGTGACTGAATTGAAATATGTTTAACTGTAGAATTGTTTCCTTCTGTATTAAATGCTAATTTATGTAAAGCAAAATATAAAGGCACAACTTCACCCCATCGCAATGGAACACTTAAACCAGCAAAAGCTAACATTCCTTCTACTCTTGGTAAACGCTGTTTTAGATATAGATATAAATCTTGACATGTTTCACCATCTAAACTGACATCGACGCTATAATCACTCCACTGGCTATTCCATTCAGCATTTCCACTTGCTCCACTCATTAATATACCTGGCTGATAGATATTTATAGCTTGATGAAGATTTATTCCATGCGGAGTTAAAAGAATAATAAGATCAGGATCTAATTCAGCGATCTTTTCACTTATTTTCATGCAAGATGAATGAAGAGATTGAACACCATCAGGAAGATCTTCACGATTTGGATCTAACAACATCGTACCATGCGGAAGATAGGCGATTCCAATCAAGCCAGAATTAGGAGACAATGATTTTGCCATATTCTATTGAGTAATATGACTGTACTGAAGAAGCATAAAAAACACTAAACAATATCTTTAAAATCATTCATGCTCAGTCAGAGTTACATTTCTGTTTAAATTACCTTCAAAAATAGCTGCAATTCTTTAGATAAACTTTTCTTTTAAATACTGATGATCAATTATTCATTCAATGCGAGTACTTACTTAGTTTTATCTATTTATTCATGAATCAATATAGATTTGATTTGTTGATTTAATAACGTTTTAAACATGAGAACTGTCGCTTTCTTCATGATAAAAAGGCAAAAACAGATGTCATTCATTTACATCCTCTATAGGTGCTCATGTTTTTATTTTCGGCTTAAGTCTAAAAAAAGCAAAAGAGTTTTGTTTCGTTCTGTCAGCATGAGAATGTTAGAACATGGCAGCTAATAGTTAATATTTGATGGGATATTTACAATCTATGGGTTACTTATAATCAAATGATTTGTTTTTGATGATTTATTTCTTTTTGTTTTGATCTAAACATATCAATTACAATCAATTAATGAAGTTTATGTGATTAAAAGGACAACCATCGATTTAAATAGATAATTTTACTTCAGAGAAAATTTCTTTGATTAAAGCTAAATTAGAACGTATTGAAGTTTAATAAACGTTGCTTTATAAGTACGGGATTGAATTCGTTTGTTACCACACAAACGTTGTCTTATACTCGTAATCTATTACAATGCCATTCGCCGCTCGTTTTTGTCCTGCTGTTAGTTTTATTTTGTTGTTGTTGTTGTATTTCTCTACTATTTCACATAATGCCATAATTCTTTTAGTGTTTACTGCCGACTGATTCATCCACGTCGTCATATGTTCCAGTTCGATCATCTTCATCAATCAAATCGATTCTTCATCGTCGTATTTCTAAAAAACGTTCTGTTAATGTTCAAGATCGGAATCAACAAAAATTATCCACTCGTAAATTTCAACGTATAAAAGGGTGAGTTTTTTTTTCTTCCATAGTTATGTAAACACCTCAACTTTTCTTAAATTAGATCGAATATTGTTCGAGAAATTATCTTATGTAATAAATCTCAATCAACATCTAAAAAAACTCATAGTTACGATATGACTATTCTTCATGAGGATGAACTCAATAATACTAAGTTGGCTATGATTCACCGTCGAAAGAAAAAAATTCCATCTTGGGCACAAAGTAAATTTTTCATCTTCTATTTACCATCTAGAATATTGTATATATTTTAGAAGATCAGCTTCAATTAGCCATAATTAATCAAGTCTATTTTCAAGATAAAAATCCTGATGATATATTTGGAAGCATTTGTATAGATCGTGTATTTGAAATGATTAATTCAATGAATATCAAAAATAAAGAATCAATACCAATGATTGTTTCGCGTCACGTGTGATTTTTTTATTATGGCTTCTTGATTTTTCTACTTTTTTAAAATAAAATTTACCATAAATCTATTTTGTTACTCTTCACAATGTAGAGCAAACCGAAATTCCTACTCTTGAAATTAGAATAACTAATGATTATATATTTATAAAAGTTTTCATTTCTACATTCGATATTCGGATAAATAACGATCAATTGTGTATTTTCGAATACGATTTATATTTTGTTTTAGACACGAGAAAAGTCTACCCACCAATGTATAAAATCTTCGTATAGAAACTATGCATAGTTGACATATAAGGACGAATTATGAATACGTCAGAAACAATTCCTGTTCTAAAGAAATTATCCTAGAAAGAATACACATAATATACTTTTGTCGAGTTAAATCCCTTAATCTTCGATAGGAAACTTGGAAATACTGATGCTCGAAATTTGACTTACAATTTCGAATACAGTGAGCTTTTCAGATGTTGTCACTGCGTCTGTCCTAACATACAATCATAGTATTAACGAATCTATTTTACGTTGTTGTTTCAAGATGAGAATATTGAACGCTCTGCTATACATTATCTTCGTTAAAGATTTTCTTTGCAAAATATTTCAACTTGAATGTTTCTAGTTATTTTCCCCTGATTATTCATCAGAGAGATCAGGCAACACGTTGACAAAACAACAGCATTAAATTAACATTTGTCTAAATTAAGAATCTATACGTACAAATGTTTTTTTATATTATTCCTAAAGCATTGAATTGTAAATAGTTTAGCTACATAGTTTCGATTAATATGATCTTTACCAGTTGGCGAACTTTTGTTGTGATCGAAGAATTTAAAGGTGTTTACTTTTTATTTCTTATTAGAATGTTTATATTCAATCATCAATTACAAAGATAGCTACTTAGCCATTTGAATTTTTATTCTACAATAAATATCGCTAATGATTTCTTTTTTCTTTATTAGCCAGTGTGAAGGATTATTATCAAAGAGGCACGTACATATTTCGTTCACCTTTCATCATCATCATCATCATCATCATCATCACTGATAGAGAGAAAGAGAAAGAGAAAGAGAAAGAGACATAGGGAAAAGAAGGAATTGGTCGTTATTATTTGGCTTAGTGAACGAAGGCGGGAAGAACACTAATAATCTGTCCATTCGATCCTTCATAGAAAGAGGAGAGAGAGAGAGAGAGAGAGAGAGAGAAAGAGAAAGTGAAAGAGAAGAGATGATAAAAGTACAAGCATAAAAGACGATGAAGACTGTCACAATACGTCCTTCCTCGTTTGAATGTGAATCATAAGCAAGAATATCTCATCTGCATAGGACAAGATTCACCTTTATCATTATTGCCAAATCCACTATTGCATAAAGAAATTCTTATCTTTCAAGCATCATGATCAAAGTTATACTTCTAATTTTTGTACTTTTTGAAGGTAAGGTTTTTAGAATTCTTTAGATTTCCTATTGGTTCATAAACTACACTATTGTTGACTAAATATATACATGATGTGATCTTAATTTACCATTAAAGAGATCGAGGAAATCATAAAAAAAACATCAGAGAAATCTATTTGTTATTAATCCTTCGTTATGTTACTTAGAAGTTTTTGATGGTGATAAACATACAAACATACAAACATATGAATACGGATGTATGACAATCTATATTTCAATATTTTTGTTTGCTTTTCTCCGCCTTGTTGATTGACTGATATTGAACAAACGATAATGAGTATTAAACAAAAGCGTAGTAATCAGAATAGTTTGGAAACAACATACATGTGTAGGCGTGGCCCCGACGTATTAAGATCTCATTTTTTTTCTTTTTTGTTGTACATGTTTTGTTTGTACTTGCTTAACACGCACGTCATCTTGGTCAGTGCAGATAACCTTTGCCTGAGCAGGGACCAAAAAGAAAAAGGATGACGTTTACTGAATCAGATGCATACAATTGTACATCTTTCTTCTTTGTCATTATCTGTGTATATATATGTATAAAAGAAAAAAAAAGAAGAAAAGAATCCGACACTTGCACAACGAGGCCAGTGTAACTTCTATGAACTTTACTCATGAATTATAGAATAAGGGACAAAGATAGATGATGTAATTCATGTGTATTTGTATGTGGTGCTAACACCCAAAAATGTGTGTATGCGTCTATGAATTGTCCAACGTTTTGATCATGGTCAATTTTTTTGAAAAAATAATGTTAAAAAAATGTTTTCTTGATGTTTGCTCTCGTTTATTATCTAAAGAAAATGTTGCATCGTTTGAATTTTTCTTTTTCAAGTGATTTTCGGTGTTGGCTCAATAAACCCAATAAAGAGTTATGTCGGATGCTTTAAAGATAGTCGTCATCAACGTAAATTGAATGGCCTTGCTAAACCTTTGACTTCATCATCTATGACTGTTACTTTGTGTATTAATTATTGTGCTAATCATGATTTTAATTTTGCTGGACTACAGTTCAGGTATGAAATGAAAGTGTAGAGCTTTCAATCTTGAACTAAGACAAAAAAGAACCACGAAAATCAATGTCTCATTTTTGTTCATCTATAGATCAGAATGCTATTGTGGTAATAGTTTGTTGACAAGAACTAAAAATGAAGATATATATGATGATGCATCAATTTGTTGCTCATGGACATGTTCAGGACAACTTAATGAGACCTGTGGTGGTGACCTTTGTAATTCAATTTACGCTGTTAATCGTACTACACAAAAAAATATCAGTAAGTATTTCAATTGTTGTGCACGAGCAGATAGACATTTACATTGATCACTTCTCTTTTGCAAAACATTTTCCTGAGCAGAATACACTCAAAATAATGAATTAGCATTTGTTTCAATACACAGTGTATTTTGATGAAATTTTCACTCAAATTCTAGATCAATCATTGTTTCTAAGTGCAAGATAGATGAAGAATGAATTTATTATTTTCTGTTATATTTAGCGTCTGCTACGAGCGCTAGTTTGTTGATGTTATCTTCTGGTTGTCAAAGTAATCCATGTGGCTATGGTGGTACGTGCATTGAAAATATATTAAGACCTATTGATAGTGGATATAAATGCCAATGTATACCGGGTCGTATTGGAAACCATTGTGAATACCGTAAGTGCGAATATATGAAAGATAATCAATAGATTTTTGTATATGAAATTATTAATGAGATATTCGTTTGAAACTTACTTTACAAATTATCATTAGGATAATATGTAATAAATTGAATTAAATTCTACTTTATGACATTAATTTAAATTATTTTCTTATCTTTCTATTTTCCATCAAATTATATTGATAATTTTTATATAACGTGCAAGTTTAGACTTTTAAGTTATCTGTTTTTGTTTTAATATTTATTATTCAGTTCGTACTCATGATTTTGTTTTTACTTCGAATATTTATTTTCTTATTTAATACCCAATTTAAAAATTAGCTGATCCATGCCGCTCACCGGATGTTTGTTCACGTGGTAATTGTTTATCTTTTACTGAAAATGGTACATTTGCTTGCGAATGTCGTTCGGATACATGTTCATCATCGCAAGCCGTATGTGATGCATCAAAGATAACAACGTTAACATGTAAATGTCCACCAAATCAATATGGTGAACAATGTGAATTATCATGTCCATGTCAACATGGTGGCCGTTGTATTATACAAAACGATAATACAACTGCACTGTGTCGTTGTGATGAATCACGTTTTTATGGTGATCTATGTGAATATATATCACCATGTGCATCTCAACCGTGTTATATGGGTGGAACTTGTACAAGAAATGAGACAAGATTTGTATGTAAATGTCCACCCAATCGTATTGGCAGCCAATGTGAAAACAATGATCCATGTCAAGTGAATCCATGTGTCGGGTATGAATTTTTTCTTTTGATTTTTCTATAATTTTAATCTATTTGTATTTATTGCATATATGTTAAAAACGAAATATTCTTCTTTTGATTTTTCATAGAAATAGTACATGCTATCGCATCAATGATTATACATATAAATGTGTATGTGATCAAGTTCATACAGGAAAAAATTGTCAAGGTTAATATAAACATTTGGTGAAGAAAAAATACATAGTAGTTTTTGTTTTTGTTGTGTTTGTTTATTGTAGATATTGTTCCCACAATAAATCGTTATGGTTTATTTCATAGTGCATGTGTTCGAGCAAACGATTGTGATGTATCACTTGGTTTAATTTGTTTTCCTGAACGACGTTGTGCTTGCATGGATGGATTTACATGGACTATAGATAAAGAAAAACTACAAGCAACAGGTCGATGTGAACCAATAAATGTTTGTTTACAATCACCATGTCTTAATCAAGGACAATGTGAACAACGTAATGGTACAACTGAATACATGTGTCAGTGTCGATTAGGTTATGGTGGAAAAAATTGTCAAATCCAATCACGTGATCGTTCAAATCAATGTTATACAGGTTTTTGTTTAAACGGTGGATCATGTTATGTTAATAATAATGGTCAAATGGAATGCGTCTGTTCGCCTGGTTATATGGGACGTTATTGTGATATAGCTATAGGTCCATGTTATTCAAATCCATGTCCACATCCGGAATCAGTTTGTTTAAGTGTACATGATGGCTATATTTGTTTATGTAATGATAATCAATTATTAGAACCATATTGTAATATGTCAAAATATTGTCCTGGTTCAATGTGTAATGGTCGTGGTATTTGTTATAATGCATTAGATGAAAATTCCTATTGTCGTTGTTTGGAACCCTATACTGGTTCACATTGTACATTAATAGATACATGTTCACTCGATCAAATATGTCATCCATCAGCAACATGTATTCCAATGGAAACGGGAAGTTATTGTGCATGTCCACCAGATCGAACAGGGCCTACTTGTCATGAAGGTTAGAATATATAAATAATACGAAGTAGTTCCATTTTTGTTATGCATGATTAAATCATACTTTATGTATAGAATTTTGGCTTGATCCATGTTTAAGCAGTTTAACAACTTGTCTTCATCATGGAACATGCACGTCATCTCCTGCTTTATCAGTATCTTCTTCTTCTCAATCATATAAATGTGCTTGTACTGAAGCGTATACAGGTTCACGTTGTGAAATTGAATTACCTTGCCCATCACAACGTTGCCTTCATGATGGGACATGCCAAAGAAATGTACAGTTCGGTTATTTTGAATGCTTGTGCACGTCTGATTATTTGGGATCAAGCTGTGAACGAGGTTTTTCTTTAGAGAAAAAAATAGCAACATTTTTCTCATTCTTTTAAATTTTATGATTTGTTTTTATCTTGATTTTTGTTTTTGTCATTTTAGTAGTACCGACTACAACCATGCAAAGTCCATGCTCATCGTTGCCTTGTTTCAATGGGGGTTTGTGTTCAGAAACAATAATTGGAGGTTTTTTTTGTACATGTTTGCCAAATTTCACGGGTTTACGTTGTGGAGATATAACAACAACAACAACAACAACAGCCATAGCAGTAGCAACAACAACAATGATAATACCAACAGCAATTATTGAACAAATTATACGAGCAAATGATCCATGCAAAGATAATCCATGTTTAAATGCAGGAAGTTGTATCTTGAATGGTGTTGGTGGATTCATATGTCAATGTCTTAATGGATTTGTTGGAAATCGATGTGAAGCTCGCGGTAGATAATCTGTTTTTTTTATCTATCAAAAATATATTTCTAATTTATTTTGCTATAGTGGATATTGCACCGTTACAAAATTCATCATTTTCATTAATTAATGTACGGTTTGTTTTGCTAGAGAAGTTTTATTCAAAAAAAAAAAATTGATTTTTGATTTTTAGCTTGCTTGGATTATACCGATTGGTCTTCTATTTCTTGTTGTTGTTACAATGTTAATTGGTTTTCTTTGTTGTCGAGATTCAGCGGAGAATAGGTATGACGTTCTTCTTATTTTCATTTTTTGTCTTTTGTTTTGAGTCTTTATGTGCTATATTTAAATGATTGTCAATGTCGTTTCATAGAAAAGAAAAATCCGAAATCAGGATTTTAAAAACCAGTCTATAGAGGTATTATTATAAACTAACAAATTTGTTGTAATTTTCTTTGGAGAATAGAATTGTTGATAAATATGCAAATTAAAAAATTTAACTGGGTTGCTCTTGGTTGAGATAGATTTTGCTTTGTTTGCTTTGTTTGCTTCTTTTTATATTATAATTCTTATATGATTTTCTTCTCTCGTTTGCTTATCTAGAAAAGGAGATCCCGTTTATATGTTTGAACAAACACCTTATCCAACGATGGGTATTACTGGAAATACAAAGTATCGTGAATATTCGAATCCAGGTTTTGTTGCTTCAACGAACATGCCTCGAGAGTAGATTCTTGCTGTTTTTCTTTCTGTATCTTTTCTTTTTGTTCTCTCGCTAATTTTGTTCATTTTGTTATCTACTGTAAACTTTTATTCTTTTCTTTTTGGTTTTTCGAATTCATTTTCTTCTTTGTGGATGTAAGTGTGGTTTCTTCATGATCAAAATGACAGACAGACAGTATTCAACATACGGACAATGGTAGTGCCAGGGGGAAATTGTTTCTTTTTTGCTTTTTATACAACAATGGTTTGAAATAATATTTATTCAAAACAAAAATACATAAATATCAGATAGATTAATTCATTTTTCAAAGTATTTTTTATTAGCATTACGATAAAAGACAATGCTGTGAAAAACAAAAATTCAATAGGTTTATCGTAACCTGTGATTAGCAAGTAATGATATAGGCTGGTCTTACATTTTCAATCTTATCAAGAAGCTTTCGAGAACTCAAGAACATATGTTTTGAATCAACATTTAGTGTTATTAATGAATGTTGGCTCAGCATTTATGAAGGGACTGCGTTTTAAGAGTAACGTTTTGATCTTCAGGAGGATCCGAATGAAATGTAGATGAAGAAACTTAAAATAAATTGCTGCTCTAATGTCTTCCACTGCAATGAACATTTTTATTAAATTTTACGCATAGAATTAATGGGGAAACTATTTTCTAAAATAGACTCTAACTAAGAATCAAGAGTTTTAGAAAAAGCATTCAGAAATGTTCGAACCTACTTTACAAACCTATTTTTCATAGAGACCGACAAATTGACATAAATTGAGACAGTATTTGTCAATAAACCCTTGCTGTAAGCGAATGACTTCGAAATAACTATCTATTGCTAGAAAAGTTTTATTGAACAATCTTTTGTTCATTATATTTCAAATTATTTTCGTCTGTATGCTATGCTTTCTCTGCTGTGCATCGTTCATATAGAATGCTGTATGATGAACACAAAAGTAACTGAAAAAGTATAAGTCATGTTTTCAAAAGATCAACATTGTGATTTTGACTAGGTTGGACATTTCTGCTGTCTCTTTTTCACAGGGTTTCTATTCTAAAAATTAACCAGAATAAAATAGCAATAGAAAGTTATTTAATTCTAATATAATTCTTTAGTATTCGAGGATATTATCTTATTTACTAGTACAAGTAGTACAAATGAATTTTTTGTTTCAATGAATATGGTCCTCTGTGTAATATTGAATTTGATTTTTTGAAAAAATTTCCACATGTTACTATGTAACTGTTAAGCATTTCAGAATAAATATATTTTTTAGCATTTAACCAAGGGAGAGCAACCTGATTTCCAGGCATAGAAATCACTAGAAGCCAAAGAAATCGTGGAAATCAAGAAATCAGTTTGTATCCCTTTGGATTAAACTGGATATTAGTCAATAAGGAGAATGTTCGAAATAAAACTTATGTCTAGAATATTGCTGCACAATTTTAGATATAAATATAAATGTATGAGTGTGGTTAATCTCTCGAGTAGATGTTTTTAGGGTTTTGTAATAAGATGATATGCAACTTTTTATTTTGTGAATCTATTGGCAGTTCTATAGAAAAGTTTTCTTATTTCGAAATTGACCGAAGAACAATTTACATTAGCTTTTAAAGAAAATGATTACTTACGTCATGTTATTCACTCGAGTGTTGCAATGATGATATTTCTTTCGATTGAAAAAGAAAAAAAAACAGCCCACTCAACGATAATGTAATGTATTTCCTACGAATGCTTCAAAGAACAGACTTGCGTCATTCTGGTTTGAACAATATCAGCATAGAATCGAATGGTTTTAAAATGAGAAATTAAAATTTAATTGTGTTTTTTTAAGACATTTAATCGAAGAAACTAAGAATTTCTTTTTTTATTTTGCAGAATTCTTTCGTTTTTCTTTTCTTTTTATTTATTAATAAACAACAGTTAATGATATAAACCAAATAAAAATAGTGTGGTAATGTTAGTCTTTTATTATTATTGTATTTAAATAAAATTGTCGCATAGCATTATAAAGCTAAATAGAATATTGGACACGCCCGATTTAAAACGAGACCAAATGAAAATAATTTGATCGTTTAATTTGTTTTTTATATTAAAACAAAACGTTCAAAAATGTGGTCAAAATTAATTATGTCAAGAAAATAACAACAACTAAACAATACATTTACAATAGAAAATATCGATTTTTGTTTTTAAAAGCATGTTTTCACCAATGCTATTAGTAGGAGTTTCTTTGTTTTTGTCTTAGTCACGCTTTCCAAATAACATGAGAATGTATAGAAAGATATAAACTATATCAAGATAAAGCATAATTGATGCAAATACATGATCTTCAGCACTGATTTCATGACGTTTACCACCTGAAAAAATGGAAAGTGATCAGTAATTATTATTGATAAATTTGGAGACTATAAACTTACCCATAATCAATTGTGTATCGACAGCCAAGAACTAATAGTAAAAAATATAGCACAACTTACAGATAATTTTTCTCAATTGAATAAATCTTTCACTTACGATAGCAAAAGCCACAGCTCCAAGACCAGCATAAACTGTATACAAAATCTATGAAACATGTTTTAATAGATATTTATTACCTACGAAACTTGTTTAAAAAGTATTTACTCGTGAATAAGTAAAAATACACACAAAACCGAAACCAACCAATGCCAATGAAACGGCGAATATAACTCCCATCATTGATGTAAAATCAAATCTTGTTTGAAATGAAAACAGTGTTACACCAAGACAAACAAAGCTTGTTAAACCAACGGCAATAAATATAGATTCGATTTTAAAATATGCCGAAATCATACCCATCTAAATTAGAGATACACGTGAGATATTATTTATTTGAAAATTCATATTAATGAACTATACCATGTAGGTCATTGAAAATGTCTAAAAGAGAGGTAAGTAAATTATTTTTATTGCATAATTTCTTTTTTCTAATTACCAAAATACAAAGTAAAATCAGATTGAGCGGAAATCGACGGCCAGCACGTTTGCAACAAGCTAATGTTATATATGTTACAAAAAATATACCGTAAGATGTCCAATAAGCCCATTGGCCCCTAGGTGATCGTACATAGTTGCGAATTGTAGGTCTACAAAATGAAATAGATTTGTGTTTGTGTTTGTGTTTATTGATAAATAGTCAAAATAATGGATTATCCAGATGAAAATACATTTAATTGGAGCAAGGTTCTAGTGTTCAATGAAGTTTTATTGATTCTCACGTGGTTTCTGTTGGCATACAACAATGTTGATTCAAAACAGAGTTTTATCCAGTTTAGGTGGAGTGCATTGCATCCACACTTTTTTAGACAGAATTCTCAATAGGTCATGACGTTAACTAACAGGGAATAAATTTTCAGAGCCGATACGATGATACATACAAGCATTGATTAATTCTTGAGAATTTTAGCGCTAATATTTCATATGCATTATGCAGACACTATCAAAATTTAGTGTTCACACCTCCTGAAAATCAAAATTGGACAAAACTCTTATGTATATTTTGTCATCGATTGTTTTAAAACTTCTTGTAGTGTCAGAACAATAATCTATTTTGTATTCTGATTGTGATCAATGTTTGCTTTTTGTTTTCATCAACTACAAGAAGAATACTTGACAATAAGTAGGCACCCTTAATGAAATTGAATTATTGAAAAATCTTCAGTCTATATCATAATGCTTTTTTTTTTGTTCAAACAATTACTGGCATACAATTTTAATTAAGACTGATTTGTTTAGTGAAAAGATTGGTACATACGTAAAATGAAATACTGCAACAATACCAAATGTAACCAACAATTGAAGCATAAGAATGCAATAGACCTAATATGATATTCAAATTTTTCGTTTTATATTTTTTCGTTTTAATCTAGTGAACCTTTCGAATGAAACCATTACGGATCTGTTTACTTTCAAGACCATTAAATTTGCCCCATTCACCATTTGGTTGTGGGCCTATTTCATCAAATAAATAGTATTCGTCAATATTAGGCAACACTTTCAATAGTCTCTTATCAGGAATCAAATTAATAATTCATAATGAAAATTGATATATAATTAGTTGTATTTCAAAAACAAAGAAGCATTTTTTCAGCTAAATTAAAAATATACAATCTGATGAAACTTTGCTAAAAAAATACAATTTCTTGTTTGCTCTCATTCAGAAAACAACAAAAAAAGTAAACTATTAAAACAATATATTTTTCATTTTAGTATTTTTCAACTAAAGAAGTAGAATTAGATCATTTTGTTTTTAGTTGTATGGAATATTTCTGTGGATGAATATTGGCTTCAAGATATGTTTTTAGATTTTTTTAAATATAGAACAAGTAATTGCGTATTTTAGTTGATTTATGATATGTGGCAAAAAACAGGTTTACTATGATTGACGTCACGACCTAAACACTATATAGTTACAATATAAACTCTAAAGTATATAGAGGAGAGTCGAGAAAGGAGAAAAACTATAATACTGTAGCAATAGTCAAATTAGTTTTTGAAATAATTAGTCAAACAAAAAAGAGTCTCTATTAATAAACATGTATAAAATGAAAAAAACTTTAAGTTGCCAAAGATCATATTTATGGTGACTCAAATTTCATTATTACTTAATGATTCTGTTAAAATATAAAATAATCAAAAGTCAGGTTTGTTAAATGACAATATATGCATTAATGAATTCTAGTTGATAAGAACAGGTTATAGAAGTTTTATGTCAAAACCGAATTCTTGCTAGCATCAAATTACAATGATATTATTTGATCGATGTAGTCATTCTATCAAACTACGCAATTTCAAGATAATCTTGGCGTTTAGATAACAGAAAATAGAAAATAAAACATATACTAATACGAACATAGAATTGATTCAAAAAAATAAACTATCAAAATAAAACAATAAAGCTTAATTTTGTCAATAGCTGTATATACGTATACCAACGTTCTATGAGTTTATCTTACTAAGTTAGTTTAAGTACTAACCTGCAGGCGGTAGATTATGTGGTATAATAGGAGGTGACTGAAACGGTATTTGATTTTGCTTATCACCGGGAGCTATATTTGGCGCAACATATGGAGGTACAGGTTTGTCATCTAAAATGATTGAAAAACACAATTCAATTTTACTCCATGAAGAGTATATTATTAATTAATAAAATGAGTTATTATATGAAAGTACAAGCATTATAACATTACTTAAATTATTCAAGAGCAAGAAGAATAATAGTTAACATTTACTTTTCCTAGAAATTATATTCTAACATTCTACAAATCGTATAGCTTCTACGAAAAAAATATTCATTTTATATATCTTAAGAGTTTCATCTTCTTTACAATTTTCTGACATGATAGTTGAAGTTTTGTTTTTTGAATTTTACAATGTTTTATTTGAAATATTCTTTACGGCTACTGGTGGTTTACTAACGAATTTTTCTTTCAATAGAATGATTAAGAAAGAAATAGTTTCTCTGATGTAGGATACGAATGCCATGAAACTTCTCTTAGATACTTTTCATAACTAATAAGTTATTAATTATGAATTTATCGTAGATTCAACTTTTTGAAAAGATTCAATTCTGAAATGTAAGTACAGTCAGTCATACATGTCGACTAATCGTTGCAAATATGTAATGTTTGAATATCAATCATATAGAACTGTTTACAAAAATCTGTAGAGATTTTTTTCTTCTAACCATGTCAAATTTTGATTAAGTGCATACTAGAGTCTCACAAGTTTGAATCGATGAATAAGTTTTTCTTATTCGGAAACAAAAGATACTGGTTATAGATCAAACAATACAAAACGAAGCGAGAAAATCAATCATATATTAAAGAGAGAAGCATCAGAAACAGTAAAAAGTAAAAAAAAAACACATACTAAGCGACGATGAAGTTTGTGAATATGTAACCGATTGTGACGGAAAAGCTCCATAAAAACCGGGTTGTTGAGGTGGATATGATGGATAAGTACTTTGTTGTGATGAATAATACTGGCTTGGATCTTGTTTCATTTTTCACGTCTATGAATTGAATTAAAAATAGTTAATAGGATTTTACTATGGAATGATCAAATAATTATAACTTACAATAAGAATAGAAATCGAAAGAAGACTCGTCTTTTAAAAGGATGTAATAAAGAGTTGATTCGAAGAAAATCTACAGACAACGTATGACTTCTAACAAATACAAATACTTGATAATTTTGTTGATGACATTTCTAATTTCTTCGCATCATCGCTGTTGCGTTACAAGAACTTCAAAAATGTGGGCGATTCTCCTCAAACATTGAACTAAAAAAATATGATTACTTAATTTCTTTACCCTTTCTGACGCACGTTACTGTAAATATGTAAATACTTGATGATGATAATAATGCCTCGTTCCAGTACATTACTTTTTTGTAATTCTCTTCCACTAAAAACTATGTCAAGAATGAAAGAAAAGGAGGAAAACTCATCAAAAAAATTAATTCTAAAAAAAGTAAAAAGATCTTTCGTTCTTGGAATAATTAGCAAACGCATTTATCCCTACCTTCATGTAAAATAACATGAATAAATAAATGTAACCAGAATCGTTTTCCCACTATATAACTGAGAGATACAATATGTAAATATAATTACTATATGTCTATGTAGAGTATCGGCAGGTTTCTATCATACACACAGAAATATTTCGAGAAGAATTCTTTAAAGCAACATCTTCTGCAGATGTTTTTCAACTGAAAATACGTGTGTACAAACATCTGTCTCTTAAACAATCCTATTTCATTAGACGATGAGCTACTTTTAAGATGTTTGATGCCAAAATTAACATAAAAGAGCACGCGTTCTAAAAACATGAATTTAGTGCATAGCTGAAAGCAAAGTCTGCTAAAGAATGAAGAGCATCAATGTTAAATTCAGTTTCAATTATAGTTTTCGGAAGACAAAATACAATGTGGCATTTCAGCAATATTCTCCAGTCGATAAACTGCAATTGTTACCGATAATGAAAAAGAATTGCAGCTGCTAGAATAGTAAAGATCGTATATTGACGACATCTAACGATAATCAGAAAGTAGTTACGATAGTAATACTTACAAACAGCTAGTTTATCAGACTACGACGTTATATAATTGAAGAAATTTATCTCAAGATTTCGGTAAAAATCAATTTTGCAACATATTCTATATGTTTGGTTATCTGATATATCCACAAATTTCTATTGATTGGTTTTTGGTTTAGAGGCTTTAAACGTCAACATATTTTCTTATGGCTGAAACCATTACAAAGACATTTTTGTTTTTTGATATTATTGCTTTTTTCTCTTAAGATTGAGACACGAAAGTTATCATTTGATAATCATGGGTGTTGGTGGGCATAAACATCACTATAATGATAGTAATATTGAAAAGGAAATGAAGTCTATTGGTGACGCTGTATGTTTAAAAGAAAAAGGAAAAGAATATATACTATCTTATGTTGTTTTTGTTTTTTTCCCTACTCAAACAGGATCCATTGGCAAAATTAAAAGAGTTATGCAGTCAAGACCATGCATGTGAACATTTTAAACATCGTTTGCAAGAATGCACGAATAGAGTTAATAGTAAACCATGGACCAAAGAGACATGCAACGAAGAACTATTAGATTTTCTTCATTGTGTTGATGAATGCGTAAGAAGAATAACAAGATGATTGTAATATTAAGTATTTATTAATTTCTTTCTTATTTTATTTTAGTGGTCACCACACGTATTCAAATATTTAAAATAATCATCAAATTAGAGACATTGAGTTTTAGTCGTAGAGACATATCCAACGCTATTTCCCCTATTCTGATTGTCCATCTCTTTTTGTATAAGAAAAAATAACAAAAACCACATTCTTTCGTTTCTTTTACTTTCTTGGTTTAACCTGAGTGAGTGAATCAGAATTAGGCCTCTTTTTGTTTATTCCACTGCAGATGGCTATGGCTGCTACCCGTTTTTTAATTCGCACTGCAACAGCAAGTCGTAATCCTGTTTTTAGACTAATGTCTGCACGTACACAAGCAACATCAGCTGCACCAGTAACAGGAACAGCAACAGATATGCTTTTTACATTTGCTTCGCCATCTGAAGTAAATTATTGTGATTTTGAAAATAAAACAAAAAATGCCTGATCAACCTGTACTTTTGTTTTTGTAGGTATTTTATACTCAAGCAAAGAATGTTCGCCAAGTTGACGTTCCTACAATGAGTGGTAATATGGGTATTCTTGGTATGTAGAACCAAAAGAATCTAAAAGGAAAGAAATAATCTGAATATTATTTCTAGCTCATCATGTACCGATCCTTGGAGTACTTAAACCAGGTGTTGTCTCAGTATTTGAAACAGATGGAAATACAAAACGATTTTTTGGTAAATGAATTTTATTTTTAGTAACGAAAAAAATGGTCCGGGTGCTTTGATTAAAATTTTAATAATCTATTCCTACGTATTCTTCCTAATAATTTAATGAGAACTTACACACAGTTTTTATTTCAATTAAAAAATTGATAGATCTATTGAATATTTAGTATGCTTATTTGCCATTGATCTTTGACGAAATTCTAATTTTTAAGAAAGCCGCAGCCTTTGGTTTTATGTTGTCATTACTTTCATATTTGAAGGATTCCTGTTTCCAAACTGCAATTAATAATATAAGAAGAATCATCAAATTGTGTAGCGCGTAGATACGAACTGTTTATGCGTACTACTACATTTGAGATTTTTAAACGAAGCCACTTTTCAAGCAAAATCGCGAAACTCATAGCACGCGCTATAAAAATTGAAGTAGATCTGTCCAAGGATCCTTTATATGACAGAGAATACGTTCTTCAATCAGTTATTTCAGTGACAACAACATTTAAATTTAGAACTATATTCTAATATTTTAAAAAATATTTCTAAACGAATCTTTAACGATACGTATTTCCTAAAGAAAAAAGTTTAAAAAAAATTACAACAGCAAAGAAAAAACTCCAAATTATTCACAGTTCTGTATTATATAAGCAGAAAAATAGTTCAAATACTAAAATACAAAAATGATTAAAATAAAAGAAGTATATTATTATATTGAGTAAAATTGATTGAAGCGAATTCCAGCAAACTACTAGAGTAGATTTATGAAAATCCTCTGCGTTTCTAAATCATTGAAATGTACCGCTACGAAAAGATCATATTTTGATGGCGTTAGTGTCTCAATGCTGCAATGAATGCAGATGTCAGTGAAATCAGCGTTTCCCGTGGATCAAATGTCACTGACTTATATGCCGTATTTCAATCAGCAGAATAATTTTTACTGATAAAAAAGATATAGAATCTGCTGTTAAAACAGAAAAATAACTCTCACTATCAAAATCAAAAAAGTATTTTGATGCTTCATTTTACTCACATATTTTATGCATAACAAAGTCGCATAGAAAAGCTGTATATCCTATAGAAAATTAAAGAAACAAAATTGATATAATCATTTTCTTTTCGAACAAATATATCACACGGCTGTATTGATATTGTAATATGAAAATATATCTTTCAAAGTTTTAACAGCTTTTCCGATCTACTTAATCAGTCGCAGTTCGTGTCTGTGCAGCTCTATCTTGTACTTTGAAGTGTTTAGCGATGACATTTTAAAATCTATTAAAAGTATCATTAACAAAACGGTTTCAAATAACGCATAGACAGAGCCCATCATTTTTTTTCATCAATATAATTCCTTTGATTATTCTTTATACAAAAAATAAATAAATAAAAACTTGATATTTTTTAGTAAGTAGCGGTTCAATAGCTGTTCATCCAGACTCAAGTGTTCAATTATTAGCTGAAGAAGCAACAGCTGTTGAAAATCTTGACTCTACAGTAAAATGAAATTGTCTTCAAAGTAAATAAAATTATATTCATTATTTCAATTGAATTTAGGCAGCCCACGATGCTTTATCTGATGCTCAACGTCGATTGGGAGCAGCTAAAGACGACAAACAAAAAGCTGAAGCACAAATTGAAATCGAATGTGCTGAAGCCGCTATTAAAGCAGCCTCTGGTGTTTTTCAATAAGTTTTATGGCAAAAAGAAAAAGAAAATCAAGCAGAACACAAACAGTGTCTAGTTTATTATTAAGATCATTTAGTTATATGTCCATTTCTTTTTTTCTTTTCTTTTGCTATGTACCACATAACATACATTGAACCCAAAATAGATAAATCGTGTCACTTTTCTTTTTTTCAGATGGGTCTTTCTCGATTAAATCGTATACTAGCCGTTGTTGTTCTTGCAGTTGCTATTATTTATGGATGGAAATATCTATTTGAAGCTCGGCGTCCACCATGCTATTCAGTTGATGTCAAATATTTCGGTTTAAACATTCCAAAATCAAGTGAGACAGAAGATTTGTCAATAAAATCATTTAAAATTCCATTCGATCGTTCGCAAATTGATGATATGATTGATCGTACGAGTAAAACTCGTTTTTATGAGCCACAAATATTAATTGATAATCAATACGTTAATAAATCAACCTATGGTTTTAATCGCCAAACACTTGAAACTATTCGTGATTATTTAATGAATACATATGATTGGAAAAAAACAGTAGAAGAATTAAATACATTTGATCATTTTAAAACAAATATTGCTGTAAGATATTGTTTGGTGTGACTTTTTCTATGAATAAAATATTCTTTTTCACAGGGTTTAAATATTCATTTTGTTCGTGTGACACAACCATCTCGAGTTAATGAAAGAAAAGAAGCTATCTTATTTTTACATGGTTGGCCAAGTTCATTTCTTGAATATCTTGATATTGCTCGTCTTTTAAATTCATCATCAAGCGCAAATTATGATCTTATTATTCCATCATTGCCTGGCTATGCTTATTCCGATGCACCTTTACGTTCCGGAATGAATCCAACACAAATAGCTCGTATTATGCAAAATTTAATGCAACGACTTGGTCATAGTAAATATATTGTATGTGGAGGTGATTGGGGAGCTATTATTGGTACATTAATTGCACAATTATATCCTAGTCATGTTCGTGGACTTTATATAACAATGGTAGCAGCATCATTATCATTTAAACATAACATACAATTAGCTCTTGGACATTTTATAAGTCCATCGATATTACTTGACTATGATGAACAAGAATTTTTAGTTAAACGTTTTAATGCATTTGATTATGCTGCACATTTGTGGTAAATTTGAAAAAGATATTACTATAGAAATAACTGATTCTATTTCTAAATTAACTAGGCACGAAGGTGGCTATTTCCATTTACAAGCAACAAAACCGGATACCATTGGTTATGCACTTAATGATTCACCGATTGGTTTAGGTTTGTTCCTTTTTTCCTCTATGATGTGATGTTCAATTTTGAACATGTTTGTTTCAATTTTTAGTTGCCTATATATTGGAAAAGTGGTCTCGTTGGTCTAACAATCAAACTGAAGTTGATCAATCAATTAATTCCGGTTTAGATCGTTTTACACTTGATCAACTTCTTTCAAATGTGATGTTATATTGGACTACAGGAACAATAACTTCGTCAATGCGCATTTATTTTGAATTTTTTTCTCAAATGATGTCTGGTCACGACAGTAAACTTCTTGATGGTCCTTTAGCTACATCAGTACCAGTTGCCATTATTAATTATCGTAATGAATTATTGTATACACCACGTACAATAGCACGATCCAAATACCCGAATATTAAATTATGGCTATATCATACAACTGGTGGACATTTTGCTGCAATAGAAAAACCAAGAGAATATGTCCGTGATATTGAAAAATTTTTATTGCAACTTTAACAAAGGTCAACATCGATACACAATCTAATCCTATTTCTATGACATTTTTCATGTATTTTTGTTCTATTTTATACTTCTAATTATGACTACTAATTATGAAAAAAACTTTATTTTTAATTCAGCATTTATAATGAAAAAGCAAAAAAAAATGTTCTATATTATAGAGATATGTTTTTTAATAAAAGCAAAAATAAATGATTTCTTTTATTTGTATTTTTCTAGATTTATAAAAATAAACTGAACAATTTGATGATGCTGATTTATATTGATTGAATCTTTTATCCAATATGGCGACAGGATTTATGAGCTTATGCGACCAGATTTTATCAGCATCATCTCCCTATACACCTTATGATGTATCAAAAAAACCGCTCAGCACTTTACTCAATGATATGACCCATTATGTGGCTACAGTTGTTCAAGTAGACAACGGCGACGATTCAATTATTTATGGGTATTTATATTTAAGAGAAACAAAATTGAATTTGATTTTATCATCTGTTTTTGTTTTTGATAGGCTACAAATACTTCTCTTGAGTGATGTAGAGCGTGTTAGAGCTGCATCACTCCGTGCACTTCGCTATTCAATTCATCGTACGACTATTTTTGATAAGTTTCTTCAGTATCGTCTTGATTATCTTGTTTGCCGGTAAGTTAAGTTAAGTTAAGTTATTTTTTTTCTTTTCAAATCGATTATGCTTCATCAGTTGTCAGAAGATAACAGAAGTTAATATTCAAACATTATTTTTTAGGTCTCTTACAATTGATCTACGAAATGCTCGTGAACGCTTAGAAGCATATAAATTTATTCGTCGTTTATTTCTTTTATACCCGCAACGTTTACCACATTCGTTTGTCTATGTTCTTGATGCTATTGTTGCATCAAGTCATTTTATATCAATACCACGCACCGGAAATTCAACACCTATCGTACGATCTGATCAAATGGTTAAGTGTTGTCTAGAATTATTGTGTGAAATAGGTAAAAAAGATTAATATTATTTAACAAAACTAAAACATGAATTTTTAAAAATTGCTTCAATAAAACTAGCCCTACAAAATCCACATATACTACATGACTGTCATGCAATAAATACCATGTTAAAATATATAGTTGATCTTGAACAAGATGAACTTCGTGAAAGTGTACTTTATGCATTATTGCATGCAGTTGATCGTTTTACTATTAATGATAATAGTGAGCCAACAATGATAGATTCTGTCGATCCAAATGGTCCGGCTTTGGTACTGGTTGATGAAGGAATGCGTGAAAGACATGAGTTAATTGGAAATATGTTTAGTGTATGTCTAGTTATATCTTATTTTTTGTTTTTTTCTTGTGAAACAAACATTTGCTATTCATTTCAAATATTTTTTATTTCTATAGCAATTAGTGGCGATTTTTTCATTATGTGAAAAAGGAACACTGAAAACTGGTGATCGTCGTGGAATGACACCAGCACCGTAAGAAAAAAATTACACAAAAAGCAAAGACAATTTGTTTTCATGTATTTTTGTTTTCATTATTATATAGATTAGATAGCTTAGTTATTAAAGAACCGGATAAATTGAAAACACTGAAATCATGTGCCTCAGCAATGGCAACAATATTACATAGTTGGATCGGTAAGAATTGATCGATTGTAATTACTCTATATATGTATATTCATATGTTTCATATAATTTATAAGGTTTTACTGCTTTTTGTCAAACGAGAAATTCATCCATACGTTTACTTGTTAATTGTTTACTTGTACAGTCGGAACCAATGAAAGTATGCTGTAGTAAAGTTTTGCTATTTTATTAATATATAATCATTTTTATTAGATGATAATTCTTGATCTATTTTATGATTTACTTAATCTTGATATTCCACCTGTCTGTGATAGCTATGAAGCAGCACTAAAATCAATATGTAAGAAAAAGACTTTTATTTATTTTATTTTGAGAAAAAATTTGTGTTTCTGCTGATATTCAATTTTATTACTATTTTTTTAATATGATGATCACATCTTTTATATATATACATATAGATCCAATATGGAATTTAACAACAGTGGAAGAAGGATATACATTTGTAGCCTATGAAGGAGCTGCTAAATTACCGCGTTTATCATCTACAAGGTACACTGCATTATTGATAAATATACTTATTTCACTATCTTCGCTTTCACTTCTTTTAAAAATACTCTTTTTGTTTATTTTAACTTTTCTTCTATTATTTATCTATAGACCGAACTTGCTTGATAGCCATATGGCATTGATGCTTCTTACTCTTATTGATGCTGGCTTCATCGAGGTAATGTTCTTATCAGATATAAATATTTTCATTGATGTTGTCGTTTTATTTCTCTGAAAATGAAATCTTTAACTTGCTCTTTATTTATTAGGCGATTAGTGAATTAGCGTCAAATGATAATTCGATATTGTCGATTCGTGCAACGCTACTTTTAGCAAATTTTATCTGGCTGGTATGTTATACTAAGCATTATTCGGGTTCTCGATCGTTTTTAGAAGTTAAAAAGTTTATAAATTAGACACACAGTAGAAAATAGTTTTCATAATGAATGACGCTGAATCGCCGACAAAAGTCACTTGGTAAAATTTAGAACACAAATTTTCGACAACATCTTGAAATTCACAGATTCTCTATGAAGAAATGAAGAAAATATTTAATCTACCATAATCTTTCCAATTACCAAAGATATATGACTTTTAGAAAAAAAATTAATATAGAATATCAAGTGTAACTAATTAATAATGAATCAATTTCTTAAGATATTTTACTTTTATTTATTTAAAAAACTAACTGTAAATAATATAGATAGTAATAAGTTATGGTTCAGAAGGAAGGATTATATTGATTATATTTTTATTATTACTAAATTTTAGTGTAATGAAAATCTACCTGAAGAACAAAGTTTTCTTTTGTTACCCTTATTGATGGATGTTGCTATCGCCGACGATGATAGCATCAAGCGAAGGTACTTATTTTTCAAATATATTGATTACATTTTTTAAATATTTTATTATTATATCTATTTTTTTGAAGCTTTGCTAAAGAAGCTATGCTTAATATAAATGCATTTTTTGAATTTAAACAACGTACACGTCACATATATTCATTTCAATTAGCACAATTAATATATCATTCGCAGCATTTGCACGATTATTATACATTACCACCAAATATTGGCACAGAATCAAATCGTCGAACATCAACACCATCATCCAATGATCCCGTAAGTTTTCTTTTGAAGAATAAGAAAGATGGAGAAAAACCGAGGGAATGAATTACTTCTTCTCTTAAGTCCTTTCATGCTGTATTTTATGATATTTATCTCTTGTGTGTTTGTGTGTATGCATTATCTAGACATCGCTCTTGAAATGGCCATTCGCAACGCCATTTCGAACGTTAAATGTAAAGAAAATAAATATAGCGTAGAAACAAGTGTGGTTTGTTTCGTGTTTCGTGTTTGTGTGTATGCGTGTGTGTGTGTGTGTGTGTGTCCGTATTTATTTATAAGTAGACTTTAGACATTAAACTTCTAAAAGCTCTTAACATTAGATGTATAACTGTGCATGGGCTCATGACCTGGCGTTTATCGGTTTGTCGGTGTCTTTTTGCATGATTTAATTTAATGTGTCTAACTTCATTTGACTTTTCGTTTTTCTCATTTTCCTTCTTCTTTTAGTTAGTGGCGGAAAAAATCGATGCAAGTATTCGTGATACAAATACATTACAATCGGATAATTATAAAAGATGGAACTGGGATCTTATATTAGCTTTATTAAAAGTACGACTGTCTTCTATGAAAGTTAAATGTATCTCTGAAAATTCCGCTTTTCTATAAAAAATAGGATTTTCCAAAGCAAGCAAATCAAGTTCAAGGAGATCTCTATGAACGGTGAGTTGTTCTTTTATTGTTTTGTTTGAACGGGTCAACATTGAAAATTTTGAGAAATAATGCTTTTAGAAAAACACGTTTCACTGTGTTCAATTATTTATAAGAAAAAGTCAAGAAATTTGTTGCAAATTTTATGCTTGAGATTTCGTATTGACAACTTAGTGAACAGATTGGAGAAAAAAACAATATCAATACATCTGAGAAATTATAATGTAAAGATTGCAAAAGCAAAGAAAACTAATCCATACAGGCATTGTTCTATACTAATTTAAGTTAGCTCGTTAGAAATAGATTAGTACCATGAATTTAAGGTAATGAAGTAATATCGTCAACTGTGCCATACTTGAATATAGCCTTTTATGCCAAAATAAACAGATTATATCGTCTATATACTATTAAATATTTAACGTTTTCTTGCAATAGACAAATCGAAGTTTGTAATATTGTGATTGAATTTATTCATTTAGATTTCTTGATAAATTATGTGACTTTTTCAAACCGGAACAAAGCGGTGGCTTTAACGATATTCTTTTAACTGATTCAATTTCCGATGTAACTTGTCGAGCTTTATTAGCATTCTCTGATCTTCTTATTTATCCGTCTCGACCCTCATCAAATCATATAAAAGTAATTAATATTAACTCGATAAATAAATAAACGATAAAAATCACTGCATACTCTTAAGGTTATAGCTAGTAATATAGCTCGAATACTTTTAACAAGTATTAGTGATTCATTGCAACAGGTAATTCTTTTTTTTTTTATTACGCATCAATATGCAAGTTATTGTTTATATATAGTCAATTGTTTCCATGAGAGAATGCAGTGGGCGTGCTGTAATAACGGAACATGATTTATTATCAAAAAATAGTGTATATTATTATTTATTTCTTGGACGTTTAAGTAAATCATCCGTCGGTACACAAGCATTAATGGAAAGTGATATATTTGTTCGGTATGTTTTTCGCTTTCTATAAATTATTTAATACATTCATACGTATATAGCTAAATATTTATATATGCATCTGTTTTAATTATTTTTAGTCTTTCGGAAATGTTGAAAATGGACGATGAATTTGCTACATCAGCGATTGTTGCTTTATCTTCATTTAATTATTATTATGAAAGTCCTTGTCGAACTTATTTAACTCAAGCACTCAAATCACATTGCACGGTAAATGCCAGTAACTTAGAAGAGATTTATATAAGATTGAACTATTTACGTTTGATATTTTCTTTGTTTTCTCTTTCGTCTTCTTCAATTGAATCTAATTATTTAAGTATACAGTGTTTTATTCATCATGAGAACTAGTGATCATCGAATTTGTAACTATTGAATTAGACAATGGTCACATATTGAATCAGTCTGATAGACTTGTGAAAACTGAGAGGATATTGCTCTTCCAATTGGAGTCCTGTAGATTAAAATTTTTTTGTATCCTAGCCCTGTCCTATCGTAATACTTCGTACCCTTGTCCTGTCCTCTGCCATAGGGGCATTGTACCCTTCCCCTACCCTACCCTACCACAGAGATTTTTCATTTTACACCCTATCATATTCTTACAGTTTCAGGTCCAAGTAAAAGTCAGCATGAAGTTTTTCTTCACTTTGTTTCAATATATTTTATTGATTTTCAATGAGAATCAAATACAAAATTAATAAATATTTCGAAAGTTTCTTAAAAATAAAATGCCATTTACAACATCACCACTTAAATTTTGCCATCTCTCTTCCGAAATTCGCCCGGTTGCACTAAAAATACGTTCATGTCGAGATGATTTCGAAGACATTTTTTATTACATTTACATGCACATTTACTCGACAAATAATCAAAAGTGACTGAACTCGTCAGCTTATGTAAAAATAGTACTAAACAATAGGCCATTGTTTTCCGTTCGTTATTATTCCACCCATCCGATTTAGATTATGATATCACTCTTTACACTGTTTTTGATCAAAAAGATGTCAGAAATATATATTAAGTGCTACTCTATAAAAAAAATTTATTTGTGTGAACTACACCCTACTTATACCCTATATATGTTTTTTGTAACCTTACCCTGCCTGGCCCTGCAGGGCAGGAGATGGCAGGGTAGGGCAAGATTGTCCTGTAGGACTCTACTTCCAATGGACTGATCGCCGTTTCAGAAGATGATAATGATGATGATGATAGCTCATCTAGTCCTCCCGAAAAAATAAAAGTTAAATAAAAAACATTGCCAATGTAATAAATTTTAAAACTATCTAATTCTATATGGTTTTACTTTGTATTTTTATACTAATCATTGGCAATGCAGGACTCAATCAAATGAACCGTTGTCGCGGAGATTTAAATATCTAATGTGCTTTCTAGTTCTAAACATTATTTTTAGTAGTAACGAATAACACTACAAACTTTGATATATTTTGATTCTAACTTATAATAGATCATCTTAAAGAGTGCCTTTTTTTATTAAAGAATTATAGATTTAATCAAATTTGTTTTTCGTATTAAAATAAAATAAAATTTCATAGAAACTAGATCATCAATCGCAAGGAAGAAATATTCAGCTATAAGTCAAGATTGAAAGTCATTCATTAGATTATAGAATATAACTTGATTGTATATTTAATACATTTTATTTTATTTTCTACTTTCTAGGCACTTCGTTTGTACAGTACAAGTCTACTTCGTGTAGTTCTTCGTTCAAATCCAGTTGCATTCGGTAGTTGGGGATTAAGCCTTCTTATAACACAATTACATGATACTGATCAACAAATTTTAATTGAAACAGTTTCAGTTCTTGATGAAGCTCTTGAAGATAGAGTAAATATAATGTTCTTTTGTTTTTACGATCGGATAAATATTTAACTTCATTTTTAAATTAATTTTCATAGAGATTAGTAAATTTATTTCATAAACTATGGGAAGCATTTTCTACAATAAAAAATGTAAGTGGCTTTCTAACACAAATCTATCATCAGGTTACTGCACGTATGAGTTCAATACCGTTCAATCAAGTTCAACATGATGACAAACACTTATCAATGATACGTGACGAACTTGCATATTGGGATACAACATTTAATACTGAATATGTTACTTTAATTGAAACAAAATTATTTTCAGCATATTCTGGTGGTTCCTTATTAACTGATGATTATTTTGAAAGACGAAAAACAACGTCCGTAACAAATAAAGCAAAAATAAAAAGGTCAACCGCTCATGTTTCATCTCACTTGTATCGACAATTATGTCTTCATCCTGAAGGATTTCGTCTATTACGTTCAGAGTCTCGTCTAGAAAAATATGTTACAGAATTAAGACAACATCGTACGAATTGCATTAGTTTAAATGAAACACGCGTTATTAAAGAAGCACTTTGGACATTAGCAAATACCGCGAGTACCGAATATGGTTACAGTTGGTTTGTCGAAAAAGATTTATTACCAGATTTTTTACGTTTTGCGGAAGAATGTCAAAATTTATCTGTTCGCGGGTAAATAAATTTTTCTTAAGAAAAGCTAATTTTTGAAATAATATTTATACTTAAAACAAACAAATGCGACATTTTACGATCCCTTTCAGTAAAACAAATTAACCGACTACTGTACTGATGCTTTGATTGTAAACAATATTATTACTAATTTTATTGAATTTCATTCATATAGAATTTGCTCCACAATAAGGCCTAAAATAGATATAATACTTATTACATATACATTCATGAAGGCATAAATTTAAAAGCCGAATACATAAACTAATATTTTACTGATCCTTTGAATTTCAATCTTTCTTTAGATTACGATTCAATGAAATTGGAGTTTATGACACTATCAACATATTTAATACATTCAATCCTAAGAATAATTTAATGTATTCTAAAATGTCTATTCTTGTACAAAAGTGAAAGTATTTATAAGACTGGCCTTTTTGTAATACATATTTGCATTATGATGAACTTTAAAAATTATAGTAAAATAAGAAAAACTTCGAGTCAAATTTCAGCATTCGTGTGACAACATTTTCAAGATTTCTCTTCGTTTTTCGCTATAGACCATACCTATTCGATTGGTTATGACGAACAATAGAGAAATCTTTTAATTAGATGCATCCTATGTTCACGTACATCCAAGTCACAAGAGCAGTGATAATGCTATATTTAGTGAGGAAAATATAAGAAAAGATCAAAACTCGTAGTATAAAGACATAAGTATATATCATTCAACATAATCTATAAACGTTGATTGAAATTAGATAAATATTGTTGATGGTTTAAAATCTGTCGTTGTGTAATCTATTTAAATAAATAGTTAATAAATTTGTTTTGTATTTTCTGTTTCAGCACGGCATTCTACGCACTCAGTTTAATTGCTCAAACACCAGATGGTGCCATTTCTTTAAAAGATTTCGGTTGGGAAACATATCGTGTTCGATCTCATTCGATTCCACCATCAGTCGCTAATACTGATACATGTCAGAGTACTGAACGACGTATTTCTAAAGGTATTATGGCATCATCACCACGTAAGAGTATTTCATTGCAAGTAACTCCACCAGGAATATCAACAATAAACAATCTACCAGATAATAAAACAAGTCTCAATCTAAATGAACCAGTCACAGCTGATGCTCTACCAACGAATCGATTTAATCTTCATAAAGATTCGACTTCATCTGATGTTAAATCTAAACGATCGTTCACTATGCCATCATCAATATTATTGAATTCCAATGAAAAAACCGATGTTCTACATGGTAAATAAAACAAAACATTATTTTTAGAAATTAAAATTATCATTTTTTTTTCTTCCTATGATGCTAGTTATTATACCCGAAGAAAGTGCCCCAGCAACACCTACCAGTAATATAGCAATGGTATCATTTTCCGATTGTCTTGAAACTGATGGTCATCCATTACTTGTTAGTGTGCCCATACGCCGTTGTTCAAGTATATCAAAAGAATTAACAAATGTAGCAACATGTCGTGATTCTGGTATAGCAAGTGGAGCAACAGGGTCATTTTCGGACTTTGAATGTTCTCGTTCACCATCTTATCAAACATATCCCTCTCATAGTCAATCTCAGTCAGCAGCTGAGCAATCAGCAACCGATAGTTTGCCATTAGAACGTTTTCGTCCACGTTCAAAATCAGCTCATCAATCGAACGCATTACGCCAATCAAAACAATTACAAAAAGTTCCAGAAGTAATACAAGCATTAAGAGCACCGACAGCTGGACTTGGCGCTGCATCAGAACCATCAGCAACAGATGAATTATATCGATCACGTTTATTACGTTGTAATTTTCTTTTAAAACCAGATGCAGCCGGTTATGAATATGCACGACGTGTACAAAAAATTAGTCATGCAACATATTCTCATTTAGTTAATACTAATTATAATGATTTTTATGCAGATGATATGTTATTAAAAGAAAAAAAAGATGAACTACTATTGCCCTTTCAAAGATATAGGTCAAAATTTTATAAAAAGATTTATGAATCGCATGATGTACATGATCAACAAATCGATAAATTTTTAACAGATGATGGGTAAGTCAACGATTAGAATTCTTTTTAAGTAAGACATTTTTCTTGTTCCTTTAAACAGAAAATATTCTTCTGATCAACGTGATCTAGATGATGCTGATGAAGATGGAAATACTATATATCGTGGTTTAGCTGTACCAGTTGATATTCGTCAGGTTGTAGAGGTAAGCAGATACATTAAATTTCTAAAATATACTTAAAGTAACGACGAAGAATTTGTAATGCCTTATAACACTAATTAAGATACATTCTCTCCGTGTGAACTGACAGTGAAATAATATTTGATATTTCTTGTGGCATTTAACTATTGCTCAACTAATAGCCTTATATGTTAAGAGAAACACGGATAAGAGTTTTTTTTATTATGATCAATCACGATAATATTAAAATATTCATTGTTTCCCCGATGTATTTCTTCATCGTTTCATTCTTTCTGGAAGTCCTATCGTTGATACATCATAGTAGGAGATAGAAAATACGATGTCAATAAATCGAAAAAGAAATACAGAAAAATAGTAAGCAACTGATTATTATAGTTGTTAGTTCATTCTGGTAGTCTTCAGATAAATTGAATATATTCTTCTGTAGTCTTAAATTACTTGTCTAGAATTAAATATTTAGTATTAGATGATTTACATTTATTCTACTTCATAAAAAGAAAAGAATTCAAACGTTCACAAAGTATCTGCAAACTTCATACATTATGCCATCAATAAATACATGAATCCATGGGCTAAATTGATTCAACAAATAGAATTGAACATAAATAAATAATTAGAACGATCATTTCGAACATTTAATCTAATCTAATTGAAGACTTGATAAAAAAAAATAGTTTTTGTGTTTCTTGTTTGTTTCACTGTCACTTATCATATCAAACCACTAGACACACCCTAATTTTGAATGTGAACTTACATTTCATAGATATCTGATGGATATAATTTAAATTATGAAACTTGGTCGGATCTTGCTCGTTCTCGTTCACGTGGAAATACAAATGCTGATCAAGCACGAACACGTAGTGCTACTGGAGCATCAATTAGTTCTGGAGGTGATTTTTTTTATTCAGATTATTGTTTCTATAGTATCTTGATTTATGATTTATTTCGATAGAATTCACATCAACATCACCTGCAGTTGGATCACAAGATCAGATGATGCCAACGACAATAATCGTTCCAACAAATCCAATGCCATCAACGCCGTCGTTAAATATTTGTATGATGTGTATTAATAATACAACTAGTCTTACATCCCATGAAAATCCTCATATATCTATGCAAGCAGATTTCGATGATGTCAAATCATTAGCTAGTCGTCTTATTGCTGCTATTCATACAGATGAAGTCGAAAAAAAACTGTTAAGGTTATTTTCTTTCTTTAGCATTTTTTTGCAAAAATAAAATAAAACTGTTGAAATTTTAGTTGGAAAGAAAGTCGTCCACGAATATTTGATAATGTTTGTTTATATTCGGAAATATGTTATATATTAACACTGAGTAGTGTACGTGTATCGGCGCAACGTTTTCTTCATGATTTGTTTTCAGATTGCCAATTTGAAAAAGTAAGTTTCTCAACGATAAAAATAAAGCAAATAGAAAATTATTCTAATCATTTTTAGCTTCGTAAACGCCGTCGTCAAGTAGATGTCTTACGTGAAGAAGAAGATGATGATAGTTTAGATACAAGTACAAGTTCACAATAAGCAATCATCATAACAGAATATATTCAAATAATGTCTTCCTTTGTATTCATTCTAATTTACACAATGTCAAATATTGTTTGTTTTTGTTTTCTGACCGGTGATTATGAACCATCACCATTATATATATATATATATATATTCAATAAAGAACAGTGAGATTTTATTAATTGATTAACTTGAAAAAACAATACCGCGTGAGAATTATTAATGTTTCTTTTTTGTCTTTGATATCCTTGTCTTACATGTATGAAGTGAGATTTTGTTTGCGTCTCTTTTTCTTTGTGTTTATTATCAAGATTGATTCCACTTTATTTTTCTTTACACATCTTTTGCAATAGTTTTCTCCCTTTTTGCTTGTTAGTGAACTTGATGATACAAAAAAAACGAAAGTTAAAAAAAATAAAAAGACAATATAAATATATATGTATATATGTATATATCTTTAGCATTCATATTCACTACGTTATCAGTTAATTTTTATCCACATAAAGAAAAAACAGTGTTTTTTCCTGGTTTTTTTTTCTTTTAACAACTTGGTGGCTTATTCACGAATAGATTTTCAAAATAAACTACATCTCAAATATTAAAATAGCAGTCATTCGTTTTGATTGATGTAAGATACTAGCTTTACTGGTTCACCTTATTCAATTTCATAGCGATTAAATAATAAAAAGCTCTTGTAGAAAGTGCCGAATTCAAACTGAAAGTAATAATCATCATAAATGTACAAGAAAAATTTGAAACAAAGTAGTACTTTTGATCATATTAGTCCTGTTTCTAGTAAAATTGACAAACAAAGATAATTATCTTAGGACCAATATGATATGATCAAATATATAACGAAGTGATGTTGAAAAAAATCCAGGTTATAAATGATACGTATACCGACTTGCTAGAATATTTAGATTTGATTAAAAAAAACATTCCATAGCAGCTCGAAAACAACATTTACCAATCTATTATTTTGGATCTATAGAAGTTCATCTTTCAATCAATATGAGCCATAGAATAATAACGATCATTTCAAGGTTTTATTGCTTCAATCGAATAATTTTTTTCGGAATATTGTTTCGTAATACGGGAATTTTTCTATCTTCGATATCCAAAACATAAGAAGCTAATCTAGTCAACAACTCTAGTGTAAATATGAAAAATTAACAAACTTAATTTTGAATGGCAAAAAATTGTTCGTTATTTTTCTGATAAACGCATATTGCAGTTATGTGAATGAAACATACGTAGTTTGATAGAATTGAATTATTTAGATGTATAGAATTATGCTGACAATAGTAATTCATTTTAAAAAGAATATAATTATTTTGGAATACTTTGAAAGTATCTCTTAAATATAAATGTCTTTTTTAAATAATGTCTTATTAAAAGAGTGTATTTTTTATGAACTGCTTTTGAATATTCTCATTTCTATAGATTAGTTAATTGTCATAACTTTATCTTTAATTTCCCTAAACTCATTGTCAATTGATTATGCATGTTTTTCTTCCTAACTACATTTGCTGAATTTCTTTTTTTACGAAGTGACGATGTACACCCAAGTAAGCATAATCAATAATGTACCAAATATCAACTTATTTTTACGTGTGTCACAGTTTGAGCTCTACATCTCGGGGAGCTGAATTGAAAATCTGATGAACACCTACAACTCCTAGGACCTTAACTGGTGAAATGTTCAAACTCACAAGTGCTGAGTCTGTTCGCAGCTCCACATCCACACAGCTAAGCTATGACACACATAAAAATAAGTTAATAGTTGGTATGCAATTGATTATACCAACTTGAATGTACATAGCTGGTTAACTGTGTGTACTTGTGTGTACATAGTCATTTCCTCTTTATTTTTAATAATGAACCAATAACGGTAATGTTATCAAACATCAATCATAATTGTATGCTGATTTTTTGATACTGTTAAGGAACTTTCGGATTTCTGTTTAGTGAATCCTCGTTTGTTCTGTGTTTTGTTTATTTGTGCGAAAAAGTTTATACCTTGTTATATAATCATTCTTAATTGGATATATTAACAGGAAAGACAAAGAAACATTCGAGGCCTATGTAATTTACAGATAGTTACGTATGTAAAAATGATTTGATTTAATAGAAGAAGAAAAGAATAATATGCGATGTAAAAATGTTTACTTTCACACCGTATCATCGAATCCATTGTAAAGATATGCAAAACATAGTAATTGGTCTTTTATTGGCTTCTGTTTTACTTACAATTATTTTTATGTATGTTAGTAGGGCGTATTATCATTGGTGCAATATTTAACATCTAAAATAAGCACTACTGTATTCTACAATAGATTCCATTCATCTTAGAACAAATATAATTTATATTTTCTTTATATTTGTTGTCTTCAAACTATTTCTTTACCTAGAATAGATCAAACTATTTGAAATAAATAATTTGCTTCAGTAAAAAGCATCATAAAAATAGAAATTAAACTACATGAACTGAATGATCCATCAAAATCAAATTATGTATTAGTTTAGTTTTCATAATTTATACAGAATGAAATACTATTGAATTAGTTTCTTTCAATTAGATTTACAAGTGGTATATGGCTTTTGCAGAAATTTATTTTTAACTCAAGTATTAATCGGTCAATAAAAACTGATTATATTGCTAAAAATATACTAATGCGAGTATCGATTATAGTTAAACTATTTTGTACAATATAAAAAAATCATAAGATTTGGCATTTATTTTCGGAAAAGTGAATAGCTAATTAATTGGATTTGGACAAATATAATTATGTCGGACGTAAATGTGGGGAAAGAAAGAGTACTACAAGTCGTTCTAATAAAATTTCAAACATTAAAACAATAGAAAATGTATAAACTATGCAAGACATGACATTTAAAAGTTTCATGTTTTTCATTAAATATTACTGAAACATAAGAACTGTGTAACTGATCTATTAGAAATATAGTATATTTTTGGCAGATCGATTCCTAATGTAGAATCGTTCAAAATAATGAAGACAATGGTTGCAACAATAAGAAAGTGACTCAATCATAGGATGATCGTGGTTGAAAATCAACTGCTGTGATATTCATCATTATTGTTAAGAGAATGAAGGATTCGAATTGTTTTATGATTGCATCTGTCAAGTATGAAAATATGTTGATGCATTTCTTACGCATACAAATCTGTTAAATCATCGAACATCATTTATTATCTATAATGTCATGATTATTTATTTATGGTGAGTATTTGACTATTGATATAATCTATTATTGCATTGTCATATAATGAATTCACTTTACTTTGTAAAACGCATGCTAAAATAGGAAGGATGTATTTGACTTAATACATACGAGAAAGAACATATAGCGTCTAATTCAATAATCGTTCAACAATCCGTATTGTCAAATTTTTTAATTAATGGTCTTATAACATCTAATGAGCTACACATATATATATATTTATATATACATATACTTCATTGTTATTACTTGACTAATTGGTATAGATACGAAATTAATTGTATGCTGTAGAAATTATTTCTACTCGAAATAACGAAATGAAACGCTTCTAGACTTTATTGTATGTATATAAAATTCACTTTTTTCAAAATATTATACTGGTTTATAACTATTTGTAATTTATAATTGTTTAACCATTGTTTAATTGTACAATTGAACAATTTCAATAATCTATCTCGCGAATCAGTCAACATTTGCTATATAGCAAAAAAGTTTTCATTCATATATTTATTTAACAAACTCGTTTGAAATATACTTTATTTTTATTGATATCATATCAATACTATTGTTCAAAATATAAAATTTTCCTAAAAGAACTTCGAACTAATGTAAAACAAATGCGATAATAAGTGACGCACGTAAAACACTATTTCTAAATTCACCTAATTGCTTTTCTTCACTCATAAAATTATCTACGTTAATTAGGATTTTAATTTCCGTATGAATAATTGTGAATATAAACTTTTAATTCATAAAAAAAGAAAGAAACTAGAAAGTTACAATACTGGTTAAATAACAAATGAAAAAATTATAAATAAAAAAAACTCTCATAATAACTGTAAATAAATTCAACATCAACGAGGTAATTAATTACAGATATCTTTTATAAAGAAAATCATACAGTTTTAAAGAGCAAAATGAGAACAAGAATTACTAAGAATCATTACGTAAATCAATTATTTCAAATATAATTTTCCGGAAAGAAAAAGAAATATGATTTACTGTTTCTTTTTGAATCGTTTCCAGAAAAACATTATTCTTTCAATACAATATAGGTATATAACAATAAAAAAAAATATTCAGTATAATTTATGTGTATAAATAGGTGAAAATATTTTTTTCGCTTGAAAAAATGAAATCCAGGCAGTAGCGAAATCAGATTAAATTCAACTGGCATGAGAAGACAAGAAAAAATTGAAGTAATTACAATTCAGTTCTCTGAGAAAAAAGAAGCACCGTCTGAGAATTATTCGAACAGGACGAAGATGCACCGGAGTGCCTATTGTAATGATTATTAGTGGTTGTTGTCTCTAATGATGATGAAGCATTAGTTTCATGAAGAAGCAACGATACACGATGTGCAGCTATAGCATCAACAAGTGCTGATGTTATCGTACGAACAGGCGCTTGTAATTTTACAGGAAAGTCTGTTTGAAGCTAGAAATAGAACACGAATAATGTTTAAATCTTTTTTGAAAACAATAAAGTGAATAAATTCATCTTACTGATGATATATGTTGTCCATCCGTTGAACTTCGCTGTAATATTGATCTTAATACTGGCTGTTGTTCATTTTTAATTAAATATTCATCAAATGCTTCATTAGTTTCACCTATTGAATATAATATTTAAAAAACCAAAAAACAACCGACACTAGATCTATTTTCCGATCTCTTCAATTAAACTCTTTTACCCTCATTGGATGATTGCAAACGATTAAATGAATTTGTAAATACTGGAGACGATGGTGTACTCTTTATGTTTTAAAATATAAAATTATAATTCAGTGAATGATAAATCATTGATTCTATATGGTTTCTTACCAAACGATTATAGACAATGGTTTCTGTACGTGGTGGTGAAAATTGTCGATGAGATATACGAGTTTTTTTTTCTGGGTATCTATTAGGAAGTATTCTAAATTTATACACATAAATATAATCGTATGAATCATACACTGTCTGAATGGAAGACGATGAAAGATTGACTACAATGGCTTGTAGTCGGCTTGAATGCTCTATATAATTTAGTGTAAAGGATTGTATATATTAATGCATAAATAACTAATTAATTAGTTAAAATATATTTAAACTTACCAACTTTTTTTAACCAAACCGATGAATTTCTTCGCCGATAGCATACAATAAATATAATTAAGATACCAATAAACGCTAATGTTGGAACTGTTACTGCAAGTATAATTACTAAAGGTTTATTACGGCCATCAACTAAATTTGGTAATTCATCGGTTGATTGTTCAATAGTTGTTTGTATTGTTTCGGTAGCATGTGGCGAAGAATGTTCAGTTGTTGCTGAACTCATTTCTATCTCATTATTGATTGATCTGAAAAATCGAATCAAACAAAAGAAGATTTAAAAGATTGAACGAATTGATCTATAGTCATCCACGACATGAATGAATTGTTTTACATTAGACGCATAATAAGATTTTTAATGATTGATAGATTCATTTTTGTTTTTCTTTCTTTCAGTATATATATGTTGATCATCCCATTATACATTGGCAATAGAAGAATAAAGTACACAACTAGAGACAGTTCAACAAATATCCAAAGGAAAAAGGAGAGAAGATGATAATTCAAAAAGCGCATCAAACAGATAGACATATGTGGCTGAGAGGCTAGAGAGAGAGAGAAAACAAGA